AGTCATAAATCAATTTATAATGTATTTAAATAAATGACATAAAATGTATTTTACATACTACTATACATAACTCTATATTTAAGGAAGTGGGGGAGGGGGGGGACAAGGAGAGGGGTAGGGACAAGGAAAGGGGGTGGGACCAGGTAGAGGCAAGGGACCATATATTTAAGGAAGGGGGGGGGGAGAGTTATGGAGAGAGGGAGTGATGGAGAGGGGTGGAGTGATAGAGAGGGGAGGGAGTGGTGGAAGGGGGAGGGAGGGGAAGGGGGTGATGGGGAGGGCAGAGGGGAAGGAAGTGGAGTGATGGAAGGAGGGGGAGTGAGGGAGGGGGTGGTGTGGTGTGTGTGATGAGAGGGGGAAGACAATAGTGGATACTTACATGATTGGTTGGGGGCAAGCTCACTCCCCTGGGCTCGTTGTCACCCCATTTCTATTCATGCATGGTCGTGGATGCATGATGGCAGTTGTAGACGCGTGAGCATCGGTGTGGACATGGATAGTGCTTGGAAGTCCAGTCCCAAGACTGCAAAAAGACCGAGACCGAACCAGACCCAGACCACCCAGGACTGGAAATTCTGAGGACCGTCAAAGACCGCAACCGCGGTCTGGTCTTCGGTCTCTCAGGATGTTTGAAATTTCAAGACCAACAAAAGACCAGTTAGACCGGTCTCAACCAGTCTTTCCAGCCTAAACAAGCTGGGTATGTACTGTATATATTCAAACATGAAATTACAATATTCACATGTGCAAACAGCTGTGAAAGACACTGTAAACCAATGATTGCACAACTATCATCGAGAGCGGAGTTTGAATTAAGATCAACAATGCCAAACTGTTGATCTTGCCTTCAACTCTCGTTTCCTCTTGCGACCTCCCTCTCGTTTCAGCAGACACAAAAGGATGCCCACGAGAGGTTTGTATTTTATCTCTAAATCATGTTCACTAACCTTATTCTCACTGTTTAGGTCCCCCTGCACTCGCTTTTGATGCCAGCAAGACAAGCCTTGCCCCTCCCAACAAGGTATGCAGGCGCTGTTTGAAGGATTACGGTGAGTGGAGAGGGGTATGGAAATGCAAGGGGAGACCCATGTTATGGGAGACCCCTGAGGTGGTACGTCAGGAGATGTGACCATGATTGGGATCGTGGTCGCATCTCCATTCACCACCTCCCAACAATGGCAACAACTAATGAATTAATGACACCCTAGTGCCATGCACCACATGCTGCGGTATCTGCACCTGGCCAACAAACTACCCATGCCAACACCTCCTCCCCCCTAACACAGAAATCACATGAGGAGGGATGTTGACCCACCTCACACCTTCATGTCCACACCACGCTATGTCGAACCAACCTCAACCATGTCAACTGACATGACCTTGCTGAGTGCAGTCCGACGGCACGGCAGCAGTGTGGTTGTGGTAGACCTACCAGGTGCATTGCAGAGCCCATCACATGGCTTCTCCACTCACTCATATCTCTGCCAACCTGCCACCTCATCAACTGCCACCTCATCAACTCCCACGTTATCTGCCCATTGACGTCACACCTGACCTCGCCCAAACCTCACTATCCTGACCCCAATGCCAACCTCACTGCGTTGACCCAACTGCTCCGTGTCAACTCCACCCACATCCAACACTGACCACATCACGTCAATGCCAACGCCACCTTCCACCCCTGTCATGTCGACACTGCCATCTCAAACCAACATGACCATGTGGCTCCTGAAAGCAGGTTCTATAAACATAGTTGTATATGAAATGTGTACATAGTGTAATCATTATCTATACTGTTTGCTACCTACAAGACCAGTCTGGGACTGGTTGTCGACTAGTCTGAACCACAACTGGTTCAGACTGGTCTTGCAACCACACAAAACCATAAAAAACCACTCTGGACCAGTCTACATTGGTTTGGTCCAGTTCTTTTGAGCTTTTGAAATATTTGAGACCGGTCTTGGTCCCAGTCCTGCCAAATCTGGACAAAAAACCGGACCAAACCAGACTTCCAAGCACTAGATGTGGATGCGTGATGGTGGTTGTAGACGCGTTGGCATAGACACGTCATCAGGTGTGGTCACAATTATTTCTTTGAGGCTGTTGCATGGGGTGTTATCTGCGTGATGACTGGGAGTGTTGCCGGTACGTCGTTTGCTGCGTGATCTTTGGAGAACAGGCTTACTAATGTCATTCCTAGCATTGGTGTTCACTGGTCTCGCCGTTGGACAGATGGCGCTTTGGGCTATCAAGAAACATAAGAACTATAAGAAAGACTTTGGGAAGGAGTACCCTCGCGGGAGAAAGGCCATGTTCCCATTCGTTCTGTGACGTTTCCTGGGTGTTTCTTCCGAACCTTCGTATGTTTTCTGCTCAATGTACACAATGTTAATTCTTGCGACTCGGAATTGCACTCGGAAGCATTGATCTTCAATAATAAGCATACATCAAAGTCGGGTCCTCTTTTCATTCTGGAAATTTTCATCCCAGGTAGCTTATGGCCCCCTGGACATGCAGAGATTTGGTAAAGTATGTTAGAGAAAGTACAGTTGATTGATTCCATTGCGACCCAAGCTCCTCATGACATCTAATGTGTAGTCCAAACACAACTTAGGACACTTGAACCGACCGAAGCGTTGCCGCAACAGAATCCCTCAACACTGATTCTTCCATCGTTCTCTCAAGGTCTAGCCAACATCGTATCGGGTGGACCTTATCTTCATCGTCTTTATAATCATCCAAAAGGTCATCAAAAAATTTGCCAGCACCACGAGGGAAACCCTTGGTTCGAATGACTTCGACGGAGTAAACGTGGCTTGTCTGTAATTTTTATGAGCTACCTGGAAGCAGATCGAAAACCATAAACCTGACCTCTGTTGGTTTTAAGCACCAATAAAACTGATCAAAAGCCTTATGCGCATCACCCGCAAGCAGCAACCCATTCGATGGGTCATCCAAAGTTCCATGCAGTTCATCCAGCACTGTAACAGGAAGGCCAGTAAAATTCGCGAGGATGTCAAATGATGTGACAGCAGATGTAAACTGAATGCAGAGGAAACGGTCTCTTATGAGCGAAATGCATGTCTAAAATGGGTAGATAACCCACAGAGTCTGACTTGCGGTCATTGTCAAAGCTGCTTATTACTCTGGGAAGGTTGTGGCACACTTCCAAGGAGACGGGATAAAAATCAGAGGTTGGATCTGGTGAGGGGTGTGATAGGTCTTGACGCCCAATTATGACATACGTGTAGCCGTCCCGGACCATTATCTTGAAAAACATTAACGGAGTAATATGTATTGAACATTTACGCACATATTTCTTAAACGCGCGACGCCTGTTCCTAGATCTTTCCCTATCTTCCGAGGTCGTACAATTCAGAGTCGGGGTAGCCAAACGAGATGGCAGGTTCTTCATTGAGCTGCGTTTCGTGGTTTCTGCTCGTTCTGACTACGACATTGTCAGTGTCTGCCCACCACAAGGCGTTGAAATTTATAGATAAATAGTAGATGGGTCAGCCAAGTGGTTCCAAGAGCGGCGAGTAGTTCGATTGTATTGTCGTCGCCTTTGCGGCCACAGGATATGATTGCCGACGCGACATAGCGTTTTCCACTCTCTCCTCCACATTCTTCTACGCATGTGAGCATGGCGCTCATAACAGCATGGAGATTCACGGTTGCCTTTTCATTGCCCTTCTGGCAAGTGAAAATATTTCATTGGTCGGCCAAGAACATGTTGACCATTTCCTCTGCCTTGTTGACTAAGTTTGGGAGATCTTCGTCACATTCCAAAATATCAGAAATTACTGGCTTCAGACAGTCCCGATTATAAATATCGATGGAAGCGCGCCAGGAGATTGAAGTGAGGGAGCCGACAGAACACTGGGAATTCATTGGGAATTTGGGGAAACGTTTCGACGTTGCAACAGTCACTAGCAATGATGGTTTTCTACAAGCGGTATGTGGAGTTGTTCGGTAGCCTTTGGCGGAGTCCGAGCCAGATTCTGTCCCAAGCTAACCCCCCATCTTAGCTAGCGAGGAGTCGGATGAGGTGTATGATCAGCGTTATCGGTCCTTAGGTACAATTGGAAGCAAGCCATATTGATCGACACCTCGCCAAAACCGCTTCCTCCATTATTTTATCCAGGTACTTGAACTGATTGAACTGGATCGGCTGATTGAAGAAATGCCGCAACGGAATCCCTCAATGCCACTTCTTGCATTCTTCTCTCAAGGTCTAGCCAAGATCGTATTGGGCAGACCTTGTATTTGTACTCCTTCAAAAGCTCATTGAAAAATTTCCCAGCACCACTCATGTGCAAAATTCCAGCGATCGCAGCATGGATGGCAAGGTAGTGAGGATTCGGGAGAGGAATACTACGAGGCCTCTTGCGACTGGAGCCAGAGATAAAGTCACCGCTGTGGTCTTCAAAGGTGATGAGTTTGTTCTCATGGCTGCGTGAAAAACCCATGGTTCGAAAAACTTTGAGGGAGTATACGTGCATTGTCTGGAATTTTTATGGGCTACCTAAAAGCAGATTTAAAACCATAACCCTGACCTCTGTTGGTTTTAAGCACCAGCAAAACTTATCAAAAGCGTGTTGTGCATTACTTCCAAGCAGCATCCCATTTGAGGTGTCATCCAAAATTGCATGCAATTCCTCCACTGTTGTAACAGGGAGGCGAGTAAAATTCACGAGGATGTCAAATGATGTGACAGCAGAATTAAACTGGAGGTAGAGAAAAGGATTTCTTTTTAGCGAAATGCATGGCTAGATCGGGCAAAACCACCCACAGAGTCTGATTTGTGGTCATTGTCGAAGCGGCCTATTGCTCGGCGAAGGATGTGGCAAGCTTCTAAGTCAACGGAATAAAGATCAGGGGCTGTAGTTGGTGCGGGGTGTGATTCGTCGTAAAGCCCAAGGGGGTGTCGGGATCATAATCCCAGACCGGGGGCCGGTTGGTTGGTTGGGCTGTCAGGCCGTTAAAAAAAAATTGGAAGCTCAAAATTTTTGGCCCAAAAACATTATAGACAGCCTTCCTGATGGATAAAGTATACATAATAGATACTAGAAAGCCTCAAGGTGTGCTAAATGCCTCAGGATGTGCCAAAAACACCAATGGGACTGCTTACATAAGGCAATAATAACATGCATTGATAATTTTCGTTAGTGTGGCAACCGTCAAAGACCTTTGATTATGATTTGTTAGCATATTCCGGGGCACGCAAACTCACTGTGAGATTCCACAGAACAGGACACTCACGCCGTGACTCATTCTGACACCAATGAGGTTCATAGGCCACCTATTTCAAGCTCGGAAATTGTCAACAAGGAAACATGAGGTCAGTGTGAAAGATGAAAATGTAAGGTTGTTGACATTGGAGGATTAGAGGATTGTTTTTGTGGATCCCGAGCAGAGCTAACTGCCAACAATGTGATCCAGTGGGATGTGAAACTGTGTGGATAAGTAAACCTACTTTCTGTTAGGGTTTCAACATGAAACTTACTTACATCTTCACGTCAAACCATTCTAATATCATCTCATTTGTGTTTGCCATGCACAGGTGCCCATGCATTGGGTCTGCGATGCATTTTCAACGTCGAAAGGAGGACCAGGAGCACGGCGGTGACATCATATTTCCTAAAGTAGACATGTGCCTGATTACGTTGGGTGGTTGGTTCAGCCCAGCACTCACTACCAAAAAAATCGACCCTAGGTCTTTTTTTTTAATCCCGACACCCCAGGTCAACGAAGTGATATGTCTTTGAGAAGCATCTACGCACATCTTTCTTCAAAGTGCGACGCCTGTGCATGGAGCCTGCCCCATCTTGCGAGGTCGCACAATTCAGAGTCGGGGTAGCCAAACGAGAAGGTTCTTCATCGAGCTGTATCTTGTGGTTTCTTCTCGTTTTGACTAAAACATTGTCAGTACCTGCTTACCACAGGACGTTGAGATTTACAGATAAATAGTAGATGGGTTAGCCAAGTGGTTCCAAGAGCGGCGAGTTGTTCGATCATGTTGTCGGAGTCGCCATTGCGGCCACAGGACACGATTGCCGACGCGACATAGCGTTTTCCACTCTCTCCACCACATTCTTCTACGCAGGTGAGCATAGCACTCATAACAACATGGAGATTCACGGTTGCCTTTTCATCGCCCTTCCGACAAGTGAAAATATTACGTTGGTCGGCCGAGAACGTCTTGACCATTTCCTCTGCCTTGTTGACTAAGTTTGGGAGGTTTTCGTCACTTTTCAAAATATCAGAAATTACGGGTTTCAGATCCCGATTATAGATATCGATGGAAGCGCGCCAGGAGATTGAAGTGAGGGAGCTGACGGAACAGTGGGAAATCATCGGGAAATCAAGGAAATGCTTCAAGTTCGATATTACAACGGTGAGCGATGGTGGTTTTCTGCAAGTTTTGTATATTGTTTGGTAGCGTTCGGCGAAGTCCGAGGTCCATTCTGTCTTGGCAAAGTTTCAAACGGCCAGCATCTTACCATGATCAGCGTTACCAGTCCGTAGGTACAGGAAGATCGTTGACGCCCAACGAAGTCTTACAAAATGCTTCCTCTTTTATATTTTTCAGGTTTGGCCTGTGAATGGATCGCATCCATCCTCGTTTTTTTCAATCTACTCATAAAAATTTCCCATGTGGGATAGCAAATGTAGTGAGGATCTGTCCGGGGGTACATACCTGAAGCCAGAGCCGCCTTTCGTCGAATACCTTCATTCAACCTGTCTTTGTCGTCATCATCTTCGTATTTTTTGTACTCTTGGAAGAGCTTATCGAAGAAATTTCTGTGCCAGTCATGTGCGGAACCTGGGCGATCGAAGGGTGGAGAGCGATATAGTGAGGATTTGACAGGAAATGGCTCCGAAGCCTGGCTGCCGCTGTGGTTTTTCAAGAGTTTTCTGTCTGAATTTTATGAGCAACCTGTAACGAATCTGGGACATCTCTTCGCGATCGTTTTAATCACCAAAATTGAATGCCTTGGTCCTCATCCTCGTATTTATTGAAAGAAATTTCCCATGTGCCCAACCGCGGCCGGTGATCGAAGTGTGGATAGCAATGTAGTGAGCATTTGGCAGGGGTAGCTGAAGCCAGAGCCTCGCCGCATGCGAGGTAAGTAGGCCCATCCTTCGAAAAACTTTTAGAGCGTAGACGAAGTTGTTGTCTGCATTTTTCCTGAGCGACCTGAAACAAAAGTTTAAAACCGTAAATTTAGTGTCTGTTTGCCTCGTGTGCGTCACGTTGGAGCAACATCCCATTTGATGGCGAGAATGTTGTGCAACTCCTTGATTGTTTGGAGCGAAAATCCAGCAGTACATATGCCAAATGATGTAACAGCAGATTTCAGCTGCATGTAGAGGAAACCACTCCTGTGAGCGAGAGATGACAATAAACAGCAGAGGGTCCTTGTTGAATATCCTATGGTGTATACGACACAACCTTGAGCTGACAGGGTCGACGGCCTCATCCAACGCGACATTTAAAAGCCCTATAACAACACACTTTCACGGAGCTGTTTGATAAATCAACGCTTTGACAAAAATAAAGCGGTGTACGCACATCATGATAGAATATCAGGTTCCGTTTCAAAGTTGTTGCTCCTCCAAGATGGATTTGACCCATCATAGGTGGCGGAACTAACGGAGGAACAAAAAGTGCGTTAGCCAGGTGGCTTCGGGGCCGCGAGTGTTTCAGCCACGTCTAAGTTGCATCATTTTTCACCACACGCAATGATCGCAGATGCGACGTATCGTTTTCTGCTCTCGCCTTCTACGCAGGTGAGGATGATGGCGCTGCGTCAAGATTCGCGGATATTGCTTCCGTGCCATTTCCAATCCCAGAGAGGTGAGCCGAGAGCTTCTTGAAGCTTCTTGATGAGGGTATTTGCAGACTCAGCCAGGCTCAGCAATCTTTGACTTGAGGTTTTGACCGAGGCAGAGGTGAGGAGATCAGGGTTGCGTCACATGCATTTGAACCACGTGACTCAAAGTGTACCTTTCCAGTGAGAGAGTTACTTCGGGAGGCACAGTATCCGCGACTCGGACTTCGCAAGGAGAGACTTGCCGCTGTCTCCGAGTTTGCTTCCGGCGGGGCTGCTGGGAAAATGATTGGGGGATCTAATTTAGTAGTAAGCTTGTGGGTATCCTCGTAAAACAACAAAACTAGGTGCTATTCTCTATCCAATTGTTATGTTTTCCTAATCGATTGTTCGAGCGCCTACCTCAAGCGCGCTTTGGGTGGCAAAATGACGCGACGCGACTTTATGTGAAAACGAACACGTGCCAACCCGGAATGCCGAAACCCTAACCATTCGCCCCACATCGACCCATGGAGATTCCATTCTTTCTTCCTGCCATCATCTCAACGGCGTCCGCGCCATTCTAAACTCCAGGGATCTCTCTCAAAAGAAAGGGCCATTCCATCGTGCTCAACGAGTCATTTCCTCGGGCGGGCAAAGTCACGGGTATTTGCGAGCTCGGCGGCAATCTATCGTGAGGCCAGGCCACCAGACAAGCAAACTTGACATTGCCCATCATGTCCTCCGACTGGCCCCCACAGCTTCAGCTCTCCATTCCCTCAAGCACAACTTCCTTCAAGCGCTCTTTCGAACAATTTGGTGTCGACCTTGACAGCCCCGTTGCCCTTGACGCTGGCGGGAGTGGAAACAACAATGATCGCAACAAGCGTGCTCGCAGTGCCACCAGCTTTTCAGATGGCAGCAGCGATACGTTGGGCAGCAGTCCGCAGTCGTCAAGTGAGGCCTCTGGGTCGGGCAGCAGGAGCTCAGGGTCAGGCACCAGGAGGCAAAGAGCCTTGCAAAACGACTGGTCTGGCCAAACTGCTGCTGCGACAAGAGCGGGAACAGCGTTGCCAATATCAAGCCATCAACCTCCACGACTACCCACGCCAGACATTCAAGACATTGACATGCCCGATTACCCCTTGGTCGACGATAACGACTCGGATGCTTTCTCGTCATCCAATCTCCCATCTCCGCCCCTTTCGCAGCCCGACGACAGTTATAGGTTATCACTACAAAGATTCAATGAATTCGACTCGGAAATTTCGGTTCTCCGCCAACGCTCTCCAACGCTTCCTCCAACGTTGCCCCCCTTGTCAATATTTGAAGAAATTCCTTCACAAACCACAATTGAATACCTTCCTGACTCCCCTGTCAGTGTTGGGAGCGCAACTATCTTCCCTCGACACGCCCTGCCGGATTCGGAAGCAGCCTCAGAATTTTCATTAGGTGAGTTGTAAGCGCACAGCATCTTTTTTCATCTTGTTAAGCGCCTCTGTAATCTGCAGACTTTTCTGGATCATCCTTTGCAACTTCACAACAGCATTCGCCCATTGACATTGCTACTTCACAACAACACTCACCAATCGATGAACCTAGCCCTCAAGTAGAGCCACCTGCAAGTTCCGCATCGAACGATCTTGGATTCACTTTCCGCGAGCGGCTTGACTCAGCACTAGGCAGCCTCCGCTCCGCCTCCCCTTTAGTGCCTGGTTTGGACGAGGAAGAGGAACAAAATTCCTCTCGATCATCATCGTCATTCACGCGACCGACTTTACCCAACCCACCCACACTACCACCTATAATTACAGATACCGAAAACGAGAACGTGATGTGGAATGATGAACCCCTTCCTACACCTGCTTCAGAAGGGACGTGGAACATGCCTCCTAGCTTGCCGTCTCTGGAGGACCTGAGAGACCATGCCCTTCCATCTCCATCCCTTAGGGGGCTGCATCATTGGTTGAACATGGATGAGCCACCGCGGAGGCAAGACGCGCCCGGAACCTCCTCTTCGCCGTCTGACGATGATCCTGGACCGAGTAGCCGTTATAGGGATCGTGTTCGGGATATACCGATCCAGAGTAGTGGGTTCACCGACACATCTGCCAGGAGAGGTGGACCTAGTGGGAGACGCAGTCCGGCATCTGCTGCTGCTGTCAGGATGTTGGATCAAGTGATGTGGAATTCGTCGTATTCAAGTTCTTTGTTCTCAGGTGTGTTTCCTTGTGATGCTGTCATGGCTCATGCTGTAACTTGCTCTTAGGACGATCAAGGTCACCACCTCCCTCCAGTGAACCTTCCCAGTTCTTATCACATCACCCCTCTTTTGGCAGACCTCCCGCACATTTCCCCCTTCAAGGCGCTGATAGTACTAACATGAATCTCGATGCTTGGCTTGCTGCAGCTGAGTCAGCCGGACCGAGCGGTGCGTTTTCTGATATGCCCATCATGGATTATCTGGCTTACTCTTGACATAGATACTACCATTGCCTCAAGCCCACCTGTACACCATTCATGGACCGAGAGCGATGACCGTCAAGCTTCTCACATGTTATCCCAGCACCACCGTTCCCGACCAGCAAACTTGGGTTCATTCAACTCCCTCGTGTCAGAGAATGCCTCGGAGGCACGTCGCCGCTCTCAACGTGCCGAACTACTGGAGCGGGCCACGACGTTTGCTTCATCATCTTCGCAAGTCCCTTTGATGGAAGACGGCAGGCGGTCACATCTGCCCGCGTGGGATGCGGAGTGGGCTCAAGGCAGTTCCGTAGCAGAATCACAGGTACATCCACCACCACCAGATAGGGATCAACGGGCTTTTCAGGCACAGCGGGCTGCTCGACAGAGTTTAAGCGAGTCACATCAGCATACACACACACGGCCGAGTAGTAGTAGGTCTTTTGAAGAGATGTTTGAGGCGTTTATGGGCCCGGAGAACGATGAGTTTCGGCAGAGGACGAGGCCTCAGCGACAGCATCCTGATGCAACCCCTGCGTTGTCGTCGTTTGGGAGGGAACGGGTATTGCAGAGAGAAGTTTACCCCCGTGCTCGTGCACCTAGCTCGCGTCCTGGTCCACCACCACCACCACCACCACCACAGCAAGCAACTCATCGTCGGATATCGTCGTGGTCTAATTCAGTTTCTGCGCCTGGTGGCTCGAGTTCAGCCATGGAAGCACCGGCCAATGATACGTCTGCTCACACCAGATGGCTTTTGGACTCGCAATCCTCAAGTGAACGGGATGCATTGACGAGTATCTATGGTTCGGATTATCGTGCTGCTGCTAGAGAGGAACAACCACGACCGTACCTCCCCATACCATCCCTCCCTTCGCCTGATCTGGGGGGTATTTTTGATCGTGCTCCTCCTTCAGCTCCTCCACCGGGACGGCATATTCCTGCTGCTGCTGCGCTTCAGCACACTCAACGTGAACGTGCGAGACTGGAGGATGAGCGTATGCGTGGGATGATTGCGCAGTTGAATCAGAACTCTCCTGGACGGGCTAGGCGTCTTCGGAATTCGATTGGTTCGATACGTGGGGTTACGAATGTGTTTGAGTTTTCGGATGATGAGGAAGATGATGATGTTGAGATGATGGGGCAGAGTAGGATTGGGAGGGGTCATAATGGTGAGAGAGAGGCGATGGATGTAAGGGCGCCGGCGCGGACGGGGGGAGTGGAAGAGTCGCTTTATAATCGCCGTGAACGGTTCTTGTCGTTGGCGGTGAGTTTGAGGGTATTACCACCACCACCGTTGACGTCGAGCGCTGATCAGATTTCGCAGAGCGGTGCAGGTGCTGGGAACGAGAATGGTAGCAGCAGCGGCAGTGATGCTGAGCTTTTTGGTGGTGAAGCCCCAGGTACAAGTAGACGCTCGACGTATTCGGCTCATCGACCTCGAACGCCTCCCCTGGATACGTCCAGGTACCCTACACAAAATCCAGTTGGATCTGGTGGAAATGTCATGTTCAGGCCAAGTGAGCCTTCGCAATTGCCTCCTAGCAACATGCATCCATTCGATCCAAGTTCTTTTGCACCTGGCCCTTTCCGGAATACGTTGCAGAGTATAGCCATGGAGCGCAACAGCCGCGCTGCTCGTCATTATGCGTCTGCTGTACCGGCGAGGAATTCTCAACCCTCTCATGCGCCTAGTATACCGCCACTTGCGTTTGAGGAGGATGGTTCAAATTTCCAGGGAAGAGCGCCGCCGCCAAGGTCTGATGCTAGATATGCGTATCTGAATCGGCCGCCGCCTCCTCCACCACCAGAATATGCAAACTATTTACGTCCTGCGTTGGGTTCGAGAATCGATCAATTCCAACAGCAGCGACGACCACCACCTGTACCGCCTGGTGCTAGCTCTTCTGCAATGCAGAACAGCGATCTGCATAGATATCTTTCTCGTCAAGCTCGTATGGAAGCTTCAAGGATTGACGATTCGGACGGTGCACCCCCTGTTCCGTCCCGCGGAGACGTTCAGGGATTCAACAGCGCCATTGAAGTTTTGCAGCATGATGGTCTGAGCCACGTACGTTCGAGGCAGCTTATCGAACGATATCGTCGTGAGCGTGGAGAACAACCGCCCCCAAGACCCCTTCCTCATCTTCATCCTCAATCTTTATCTCAATCTGACCAATCTCTTCTTCGGACTTATAGTTCGTCTCGGCCGGCGGAAGCTATCGTCCGTGCTGTATCTGATGTTTTTGACGTGGCGGATGAGGACACCCCTTTGCCTGCGAGACCTACGAGAAATGCTGGATTTGGTGCGGAGTCGGAGTATGATCGTAGTTCGCGGGATACGTTAGCCTTTCGCGGACGACGTGCACGGGCTTTTAGACATCCTATACTTGCACGTATGGGAGGGCGGCCGAGAGCGTTGGGAGATTTTGTGGTGGGTGTTGACAACTATGCTTCTTCTGTCTTGTTTGATCCTGATGTGTGTTTTTTTTCAGGCGGACGAGGAATTTGATACGTCATACGAGGGCCTGTTGCAGTTGGCGGCATCTGTTGGTGAGGTTAAGCCGAGGTCGACGCCTAGTCATGTTATATCCTCGATGGAGACTGCGGAGTATAGAGATTGGGCTACGGCGGATAGCGATAAACGGTGCCCTATCTGCTTGGATGATGTTTGTGTTTTTCTTCCCGTTATCTCTCTTTCCTTGCTCTTCGCTTACATTGTGAATGATTTTTGCAGTACACGCCCACTGATCCCGTGCTCAAACTTACTAATTGTTCTCATTGGCTTCATCGGGATTGTCTTCAGGTGGGGCCTTTCGTTCTAGATGCTTGGTTGAAATCATGCTGACGGATGGACTCTTTTCTCAGCAATGGCTTGGAGGGGCAAGCACTTGTCCTGTTTGTCGTAAACCCGTCCATGGGCTCTCTTCTTCTCCCCGACAAAGTGGACCACCGCCAATCCAAGATATCCAGAATCATTGGCCGTTCGGCGGCACATGGCGACGTGGCCCACCACCGCCTGGCCCGGGACCTAGCGGTAGCGGGAACGTTTTTTCAGGCCATGCTGGCGCTTCTGGTGCTTGGCCGCGGAGATGAGCTGCCCTTTTTTTGCATTACCCCACATTATAGCTTTGATCTACGTTTTTCCTTTTCACATTTTGAAAAAAGCATCTGTTCTGTTTCTTTTGGCATGGATATAAACCCCATCGTTACTCATACGCATTTCAATGTACATTAACAGTTTCTCTCTCCATTTTTCTTGTTCATATTGTAATCTCATTTTATGACCATGATTCAATCGCATTTTCCTTTTTTACATCTTGTCACGACACATAGTATTTACAGCATAGACGCTTCATACATGACCCCTCTCTAGGTGTTCTCTTGGTCTTTCTTAGGTGTTTTCGGGTTATATAAACCAATTTATGATTGATGACATTTCACGAGATTGGAAGAGTCACTGAATTGCATAATTGGTCGTTCTCTTGACTGATATTAAGGAGTTCGGAAAGTGTAGTGTCTACAATCTAATAGTTTAATCTTACAAAGTCGTAAAATTGTTTTTTTACGTTCAACATCCTGTAAAAATCACCTCGCGCAAACGTCACGTTGTGGAGCGACATCGCAAAAAGTCCAGCGAAGGCGGCCCACAGACCGTAGAAGACTTTCCACCCCCTGTGGTCAGTTAAGACCGTACCCACGATTTGAGTCAAGAAAAACATCCAGGAAAGAGTTTCTAAGAGGGATCTAAGCACGAGAAAGATGACATGTGCAGGTCTTTCTAGTGAAGCGTCATACATCATTAGAATTTGATTGACCGAACAGCCTGAGGCGGCAGGCCGATGGAGGTATACGCACTGAGAACTCTCAGGTCCACTTCTTCAAATGTACAGGGATTCTCTGCGTCAGCGCAAATGTGGTCCCAGTTCAGGGCCTTGGGAAGTCTCTGGATTCGATTTTGAACTTCGATCTACAATTGCGAATCAGATCTCAGTATCGATTATGAAAGTTTAAAGCTGATAGCTCACCCAGAAAAAGGGTTCATACCCGGCGGGAGGCTCGACGGTCAATGAGCTCCCGCGTGAGATTTCTTGTGACCATCGCGCTTCAGCCTGGATTGGCGCCGGCAGACTTGAATGCCCATACTCGTACGCTATAAAATTTCTGTCAGGCCATGTTAGAATCATTAAAGGTTGATGAGAAGTTATCCGTACACTTTGATCTATGTAGGATTCAACCAGAACCACGATCAGCGCTATAATGAAGAGAACAGGATAAATAACACTGATCAGTAGAATCACAAGCTCTTTCACTTTCACTTTTGGCCTCTTTCACTTTCAGAAGCACTTTTACTTTCACTTTTGGCCTCTTTCACTTTCACGACGCTTTCATTTCCACTTTGAGACCTCTTTGTGATAGCTTTCTGGCTTTCAACAGCTTTCACCTCTTTAGGAATTTAGACAGTGGATCAACATATATGTTAGTAGGCTACTTCGTGTGCATGATGATCTACATACTTATTAACGTAAAAAGAGTTGGAGGAATCTAAGGTATTGGCAGGCTCCTAAAAGCAGCCACTCGTCTCGCTCGATGAGCCTCTAATACTATTAGCTGTATGACTAATCTTATGATGTGATCATTGATGGGAGTGAACAAATAAACAAAGGTAAGGGCTCGAGCTCGCGAGAGAGCGGCTGCCGGAAAAGTCAGTCGGGGAGCTCGGAGATCATTGATTAACCCTAACGTTGGGTCCCAACTCCAAGGACCTGCGTGACAGATCTTTGTTTGGACTTGGGGCTCGAACCCAACAGTGAATGGTACTCTACGATGAAAGGTCCAGAACTGTGCTGCAGCAGAACCACAATAATATACTCATCATGCCCAGTCTCCAATGTGGACATTTCACCAATGACATGTCAGTCCAAAACTATATATGTACAAGTCTATACACAAGATCTGCATAAGGTTCAAAGCAGTATTGTATTCTACATAAGGGCCCGGGATTCCAGTTTGCCAACTAGTAGTACCCAATGGCAAATCTACAATACCTCAACGAAGTAAGATCTATGAAGGCCTTTGAGGATTCAGAGATCACAGCCCACCAATTTCTTTACGAAATTCTATTGAAAAACATTTTTGAAGGCCATCCATTCACACTCGTCGATTATCGAGGACCTGGACACTATTCTCGACACTGTGTGCCAGTGTGCGCTCCACTCGAGCATATTGTGACCAAAATGTGACACGCTGGGTCCTTACAGATTTGAGACCCAACGTTAGGGTTAATCAATGGTCTCGGAGTTTCCCGACTGACTTTTCCGGCAGCCGCTCTCTCGCGAGCTCGAGCCCTTACCTTTGTTTATTTGTTCTTTCCCATCAATGATCACATTTGTCATACGCTAATAGTATTTAGAGGCTCATCGAGCGAGACGAGCAGCTGCATTTTGGAGCCTGAGGTATTGGAGGGATTTGAGAGTGAGGACAAAATATTCGTAAAGTCCGTTGGAACTCCGACATCATGTGATAATGTCGAATTCTATTTCCTTGAACATCACACCACTCTCCCTTCCCATTCTTTTTCATTAGTGGTCGACGTCGTCCACTCTTGGGGTATAACGTCTGTCTTTTTGTAAGTTCTCTTCCTCATCTCGACAAACACTCCCACTTACGATCAGTTTGAATCACAGCTGTCTCTTGCATGCCAACCAGCCATCCTTCATAGCAACGCTACAGGGGGCACCATAATGCCAATCCACAAAGCTCACCACCCACCACAACCGCCACAACCACTCCCCCCGACAACATGCTGTCCTCAAGGGTTATCCCCATTGCCAGAGGGCTCACACAGGCTTCATCAGCGAGCCTATTGAGGGCTTGGTAAGGCTTTCTTTGTTACCTCTGCTGAACAACGTCCTTATACCACTCGTATCGGAGTCTGAGATTTCCCAGTCGTCAACATCTGGATTGGAGCTCGATAGTACAGGAACGGGCATAGGCGTGCTGGAAGTTGACGAGCGTTCGATGCCATGGCGAGTCGCAGAATTTAGGTGGTGAGGGAATGTGGAAATGGTACGCTATGCTTCCTTTCTCTTTCTTCTCTTTGCCCATCATCCCACGTGGAGCCTGTGACGTTTCTCCCTCCTACACATCCCTGCCATTCTCCCCTGGCGATTTCCATCCCTCATTTTGTCACGCACCCCTCTTATACCTTTTTCCGAGCTCTACTCTAGTCCAGAACTAATACCCATCCCAGGCTGTCATCCGTGCTCACATCCAACACAGTTCACGTGAAGGTGCTTCACGGCCTGCATATACCCAACCGTCGCACGTAGGTTCGTCCTCCTCATTTGTGATTTGGTTTGAAAGCTGATGAAGAAATACCAACCATCGAAACCGACAGCCTCTCCTCCTCGACATGCTTGCATCTCACAAAATGACCAACGTCAAACTCGTCCGGCACATCCACTTCTTCCAGGACCCCTCACAAGCTGCAGCGCAATATGCCGCTCAAGCTATCATAGGCAAGCATGCCGATATCCTAGGGCTGATTGAAGGTGTTCGGCGTCGATAGACTACTTCGGCGATGGTTCTCCAGGCCACAGTTTGATATTGCGTTAGCGGATCATGATGAGGATGGACTGGAGGGTCACGTCGTTCTAGTAATCAGCACCATTGTCTTACAAATATTAGAAATCTATTTGCTTTGAACCCTCTTTCAAACCCTCTTTAAGCCACCTTTTGAAAAGCTGTACCTCTTTCATGGTCCCTTTTTGGACCACTTGCAGCCCCTTTTGTCCCTTTTGAAAGCTGAAACTGCTTTTGAAAGAAAAGGGACTGGGCTTCCAAAAGCGGAAACACTTTCACGCTTTCACGCTTTCACACTTTCAAAAGCGGTGAAAGCAGCTGAAAGCGGTTTTGTGATTCTACTGATTGGCACTTCTTGCCGTCTTCGTACGCTCTAGTACATTTTCCACCTGGAAAGTAATTATCAGCCTAGATGAAACCAGTGTTAGTACGAGGAAGGGGAATATATCTTTACCTGGGAAGGACTATTAGCCTAAACATTAGTCACGATGATGATATGACGACGTTGATTAGGTGAGCAAAGGTGGAAGGAAAGAATAGGGTCTTACCCTTTCAATCGAATCCCTCTGATCCTAGACAAGACAGTAAGAGAAGATGAGAAAGGGAAGGTGGCCTCTTACCCCAGTTGCAGTGTGCCTCCTTCAAAGCTCCATCAGTAGAATCACAAAACCGCTTTCAGCCGCTTTCGCCGCTTTTGAAAGCGTGAAAGCATGAAAGCGTTTCCGCTTTTGGAAGGCAAGTCCCTTTTCTTTCAAAAGCGGTTTCGGCTTTCAAAAGAGACAAAAGGGGCTGCAAGTGGTCCAAAAAGGGACCACGAAAGAGGTACAGCTTTTCAAAAGGTGACTTAAAGAGGGTTTGAAAGAGGGTTCAAAGCAAATAGATTTCTAATATTTGTAAAACAATGGTGCTGATTACTACTAGAATGACGTGACCCTCCAGTACGTCCTCATCATGATCTGCTAACGCAATATCAGACTGTGGCCTGGAGAACCATCGCCGAAACAGTCTCTCGAGTACGGCGAACACCTTCAATCAGCCCTAGGATATCGGCGTGCTTGCCTATGATAGCTTAAGCGGCATATTGAGCTGCAGCCTGCGAGGGGTCCTGGAAGAAGTGAACGCGCCGGACGAGTTTGACATTGATCATTTTGTGAGCATGTCAAGGAGGAGAGGCTGTCGGTTTCGATGGCCACTATTTCTTCGTCAGTGGCAACCGTGTCCCCGACTTGTTTTGACCATGATTTGAGTGTTCTCTCACTAATGGACTCAGCCATTGGGGGACCTTGATGGTTTCCGCTGGGTTCCGACGATGATTACAAAGGATGGGCCTACAACGTCACTCAGAACCACCTTTCAAACCAAATCACAAATGAGAAGGACGAACCTACGCGTGATGGTTGGGTATATGGGGGCTGTGAAGCACCTTCACATGAACTGTGTTGGATGTGAGCACGAATAGCGGCCTGGGATGGGTATTAGTTCTGGACTAGAGCTCGGAAAAAGGTAGAAGAGGGGTGCGTGACAAGACGAGGGATGGAAATCGCCAGGGGATAATGGCAGAAATGTGTAGGAGGGAGAAACGTCACAGGCTCCACATGGGATGATGGGCTAAGAGAAGAAAGAGAAAGGAAATGCAGCGTACTGTATCCGCATTCCCTCACCACCTAGATCCTGCGACTCGCCATGTTATGAAACACTCGTCAACTTCCAGCATGCCTGTGCCCATTCCTGTACTATCGAGCTCCAATCCAGATGTTGACGACCGGGAAATCTCCGATACGAGTGGTATAAGGACATTGTTCAGCAGAGGTAACAAAGAAAGCCTTACCAAGCCCTCAATAGGCTCGCCGATAAAGCCTGTGTGAGCCCTCTGGCAATAGTGATAACCCTTGAGGACAGCATGTTGTCGGGGGGGAGTGGTTGTGGCGGTTGTGGTGGGTGGTGAGCTTTGTGGACTGGCATTATGGTGCCCCCTGTGGCGTTGCTATGAAGGTTGGCTGGTTGGCATGCAAGAGACAGCTGCGTTTCAAACTGATCGTAAGTGGGAGTGTTTGTCGAGACAAGGAAGAGAACTTACAAAAAGACAGACATTATACCCCAAGAGTGGACGATGTCAACCACGAATGAGGAAGAATGGGAAGGGAGAGCGGTGCGATGTTCAAGGGATAGAATTCAACATGGTCACATGATGTCGGAGTTCCAACGGACTTCACGAATATTTTGTCCTCACTTTCAAATCCCACCAATAAAGCCAACAACTTATTCAGCTGCCCACCCTCGACCAGCGCTAGTGCGTATCTGATCTCTTAAACACTCCATGCTCAACCCCATGACGGCTGGGACCACCACATCGCTAGCAGGCAGGGTCATTTGCACCATGGCTACCTCTCATAGGGCATAACCCACCCTCTCGTGTTTGGTGGCTCTCGGGGCTTTTTGGATGCGGACAAGGGCGTAGGAGAGATGCGAGGAGTGTTGGAATGAGGGTTATTATTTAGGCGTTGATAAAGCCGAGGAGGACATTTGACCATCACAGGCACAATTTTGACTTTTCAAAATCCTTAGATTCCTCCACTGGCAACTCTTTCTACGTTAATAAGTATGTAGATCATCATGCACACGAAATAGCCTCCTAACATATATGTTGATCCACTGTCTAAATTCCTAAAGAGGTGAAAGCTGTTGAAAGCCAGAAAGCTATCACAAAGAGGTCTCAAAGTGGAAATGAAAGCGTTGTGAAAGTGAAAGAGGCCAAAAGTGAAAGTAAAAGCGCTTGTGAAAGTGAAAGAGGCCAAAAGTGAAAGTGAAAGAGCTTGTGATTCTACTGATGTCGTTATCATAAAATTCGGTTGGTACTGGTGGAGGCAGTCCGCCGATTAATTGTTCCCACTAGAAAAGCTGATGAGTGATACATTTACCCGTACTAACCTCTCACCTGAGGAAGGGGTCCCTTGTCCTGCAAGCCCTATTTAGCAATGTAGTATATGCCCATACAACCAACTGCCTCTCACTAGTATTCGGGTCTCACCCTACAGAGCAACATGTAGTATATTAGGCAAAGAAATAAGTCAAGACAACGCTTGTCGCAACGTACCTTTGGCATCTTCGGGTCCACCTCAGATGGCTCAGTTAGTTCTATTGGTTGTTCTCCCTAGAAAAGCTGATAAGTGATACGTTTACCCATACTAACCGTGACCTCTCACCTGAGGACAGGGTCCCTTGTCCTGAAAGCCGATTAGTGATGTAGTGTATGCCCATAACAACAAACCACCTCTCACTCTGGTATAAGCCTACAGAGCACCATGTAGTATATTAGGCAAAGAAATAAGTCAAGACAACACTTGTCACAACGTACCTTTGGCATCTTCAGGTCCACCTCAGATGGCTCAGTTAGTTCTACTGGTTGTTCTCCCTAGAAAAGCTGATAAGTGATACGTTTACCCATACTAACTGTGGCCTCTCACCTGAGGACAGGGTCCCTTGTCCTGAAAACCGATTAGTGATGTAGTGTATGCCCATAACAACAAACCGCCTCTCACTCCGGTAGTGTTTGGAAGTCCGGTCTCGTGACTGGAAAAAGACCGTAACCAGACCGGACCAAGACCGCAAAAGACCGGACCTGCGGTTACGGTCTTTTATTTTTGAAATGTAAAGACCGCAAAAAAACCGGTTAACGTGAACCGGTCTTGACCGGTTTGGACCGGTCTTTTGTAACCCCTTAAATACCCTTTAAAACGCACCCAAGAACGTACAATTTGGTAAAAAAAAGAGAGAGATATGAATTAAAATGTAAATTACTTTTGGGAATAATAGATGTACCAGACTTATTTTATAGAAGCACCAATTCCTAACGGAATTTAACGTTCTTGGGCTCGTTTTGAAGCTATTAGAGATGTTAATAAATTTACCGATTCATAATTTCAAAATATTGGCCTAAAGACCGGTCATAAACCGGTTAAAACCGATGCAGACCAAAACCAGTCTATAGACCGCAAAAAACCGCAGTCTGCGGTCTTTTTGCGGTCCGGTCTGGTCTTTTGACTTCTGGGGAAAATGCAGACTGGTTACGGTCACGGTTAACGCCCCTGGGCATCAAAAAACCGGACCGAACCGGACTTTCAAACACTACACTCCGGTATAATCCTACAGAGCACCATGTAGTATATTAGGCAAAGAAATAAGTCAAGACAATGCTCGTCACAACGTACCTTCTGCATCTCCAAATCTTTCTCAAATGGTGGAGGTCTAGATCTATACCATGACTTAGTATAGTCAGCCATGAGCGGAAAGTGCGTGCGTGATCAGGGGGCTTGAAAGCGGACGTGTAATTCGCAAGCCATCCCAGATATTTATGCATCAAGCCTGTGGGTAATTTTAGAATTTAGTGGTTCTTTTAATCTCTGGATCGTCGTACAAAAGAAGTTGAGGTCTTCTGACAGCTTTCTTGGCTGCGAATGTCAATTTACTGGCAGACGAGCCGAGTCCGGGTGGAATCAAATATGTTCTGCCACTCATCCACACATCATTGATTGCCAAGACGCTCACGGGCGCCCATATTTCCTGGGAGGTTCTTTACTAGCAAAGACGACACCTGGTAGCAAGATCCAATGATTGACACCCAACAAGCCTCTCGTATACTGATGCCGTGGACCGGATACTTGAGGATATAGTTCGATAACTTCGATTAATGTTATTCAGCCGTTGCCGATGCACCCTCAGATCAGCAGAATTCTGGTTGTCTCGATGATACCGTTGGGCGGGGCAATGATCCCGAATTCACCACGGGTGGTTTTGACTGGGCATCTGTCTTCCGTTCCACTTGTTTGCACGCCACGTATATGAGGGCTCATCCGCTCCGCTCCTTTCCACTCGCTAGTCCAATCTACAGCTACTAAGTCCTCGAACCTGTGATAAACAGACGCCATGCGAGGCGACGTGCAACGCCTCGGATCTCCGATGCCCGAGTTGGTGGTGAAACGGTGAACTGCCAGACATGCACCATTACAGAATCGGTTGGGGGTGCTGACGAGGTACAATTGAAGAAATCAACACCCGGCGGGTGTTTGACGTCGTCGTGGGGCAGGAACCGCTGCATGGGGGGTTGGAACAGACGAGACAGTCACAGTGTTCTGGCTACCCCTTCGTCTGTTACGTGAAGACGAAAAGTGCAGGGGCAGAGCTTACCGGGTGTTCACTATTAAAAGCACGAGCTATAGGGTACCCTAAATGCGCGATTGTCTGTCTCTTTGGCCTTGACTGATCAGTCCAAAATCAAGTACCTTGATCTTTTCGACCTGAAGGTATCACTGGACTTTGTACTTAGTGGTGGGGTGAAAGGGAATTTAAGGGAGCTGTGAGTTTTGTCCTGGATGAGGGATCGCAATGCCGAGAAGTTTGGGGACGACAAGTATGGTACTTCGTAATAACTGCGCCGTATTTTAGTTGTTGGTTCAACTTGGGTGGCAAAAGGCTGGGGATTACACACCTTTGCAAAAGTCCCCAGGGTTTTCCCATGCATGGCATCCACATGTATCGTCTCTAGCAATTTTGACGACGCTAACCTGTGGCAAAAAGGTCAATGTGATTACCGACATCAGAGAAACCGAGTAGTTAAGTACCATCTCGCAGAACCCAATCCGGCTCGTCATCGAGTCCTTAATATTGCCATGATTCTGGACTCATGAACGTTGAACGTTGAACGGTGATGGTGACGCGTTGACGGTTGAAGACAAACATTGAGCAACACAGCCATCCAAGGCTAGTTATCATTCTGTCTCCGGCTGATAAGTAGCTACTTACAAATGACAAAGTCTCAAATGGCAAACAATCAAAAACGAACAACTCCACCCAGAGTCCAGACATCTTGATGACTTCCACACTTACAGCTAACGAGGTATCGACTGGTATCGATTTGGTATCTTGCTCAGACTTTCTGGTTTGGTGACTTTGTTTACTTGTGGACTCTGGAGTCTCAGGGTATGTGCAATTTCAAACAACCTAACTAGAAATTCGCAACAGCGGGACAATTGGCTGTGGGAAGTTGTTTGGCCAGCTCCAAAAGTAAATAAAGTCTCTGAGAGGAGCGTTTTGAATTCTGGTCTACCGATACCTCGTTAGCTGTAGGAATGGTTGAGAATACAAAAATTCAGGCTAGTAGCTGGTGTAAATGGTGAATTCAGCCATTTATAGAACACGGGGCAGAGGTCTGTTTCTCTGCAACAAATCGCTCTGCCGGGCAGTTTACATACCTCCTAATTCAGACTGCAATCGTTGCCCCAGCCGGTTTTGATTTGGACGTCACACGTCACTGGAGTTGTGTGATTGCCCCCTATTTTGATGAGGGCCCCTTTCATGAATGGATCATGATTTGATTCCTTCCTCGTCTGACGTCATGCTTTTCCCTTGTAAGGACTACCTCTTGTACGAATTGAAAGAAGGCATCTTTTTCAAAGCTAGACTGGCTACTCAAAATTCCAAACCCGATTGCACAATCATGTCTCAGCCAAGCCACCAGGATGTTCCAAGCAAAATATTCGCTGCTTTATGTCAAAAATTCCCCAATATTCCTGCCAAATTGGTCATATCCATAGTCTTCCATGACTTCATCAGGAAAAAAAGTGGTTGCGACATAGCACAACATAGTGCTGATAGCTATGGTAGCACTTTTGCAACCCCCCCTTTATATAGCACCCCATAGCATCCCTGTCCGGTTATATAATACTACAATTACATATATAGCCTCACCTGCTCACAACATATTTATCCATAGTATCATAGTACAAAAGTCATGTTTTTATACATAGACAGATATAGACAGTATCGTAAAACATAGCACAGGTAGAAGCCAATCCATATATATTTCCCCTCCTGTTGATTTACAAATGCCGTCTATAAAAGTAGGTAATACTAATGGACAAGCATCATCTGTCTCCGTCCAAGCTCTCCTCATACTCCTGTACAGCAGCTGCAAACACAGAGATGGGGATGTTCTTGAGGCAATACTGTGGTCACGGCTATAATTCGCGAGGAGAGAAAGGGGGTGTGAGTACAGCAAACACGGACGAGGGAGGATGAAAGCATCTACACATGCTTGAGGGTAGGCACTGCCTGGAGATGAGGAAAAAGGGGGTGTGAGTATGGTGAACGTGGATGAAGACGGACGAAAGGACGCACAAGCTGGAAACGAGGAGAGAAAGGGGGTGGGTGTGAGTACGGTGAACACGGACAAGGGAGGATGAAAGCACGCACGGAATAGAGCTGAGCAGACAAAGGGGGCTGTGAGTACGAAGAAAGAACGTGGGCAAAGAACGAAAGCACGCACTTACAGGAGATGAAGAGGACGAAAGTTGAATGAACGCACAAACTTTCTAGAGACAAGGAGGGGAAGGGGGTGAGTACGACAAACACAGATGAGAGACATCAAAAGAACGCAAGCTTGGGGAAAGGGATGGGGGGTGCTCACCTGTTGCCCCTGTGAACCTTTCCCTCCTGTTGGCTATGGTGATGTATGGAGTGAGAGGAAGCAGCAAGAGGTGAACCTCTGGGGAAAAGAAGGGGGAGAAAAGACTCAAAGGAAAAAAAAAAAAAAACTCAAACATAGAGGGTACTTGAAGAGAGAGAGAGCAGGCTTGAAGGGGGAGAGACGATTCACAAAGAATAAGAAAAGGCAGAAAGAGGGCTTGAAGAGAAGGGTAGAAGACCAGAAGAGAGAGAATCGCAGAGGGACAGAAGCTGCAGGCTTGAAGAAGAAATTCAAAGAGAGGAGGGAGGGAGAACATCGATGTGGTCCAAAAAAAATTCAACATGGTCACATGGTGTCAGAGTTTCAACAGACTTCAATGAAACATTCACTCACCGGAACCTCTCAGCGTTCCCAGTTCTTTGCAAGATTTCAACAAAGTTGAAGTGCTGGATACGACGGTATCGTGGTTCCCTCTGCAGGTGTCGAAAACGATATCAGTGCGCAACGCCTCCTTCCCCTCTTTCTCGCCACAACTAACCCTAGCCTCTTGCAGTCAGTTGGACGCTGCTAGCACCCAGCGTAGCATTAGTGAACGCCGGGTCAGGTCTCACAGCCCTCTACATCCTCTTGCGGCAAATTTGCAGGCTGCGGCATCGCCAACTAGTGCGAATCCAGTACTGTCCTGACCTCCCTCCTTGCCTATCTTAGGCTGACGTACTAGCTTCGTCGAACTTCCTCGTGGCGTATGCCTACGACCCCTCAACTGACAACAACATCGAGGATGACACGCATGACACAAAGGAAAGCAGGGGCACCAGCAGTGTTTGACACGGCCCTTGTTGGAGAGGATATCAAGGAGTACCAAGCGCTGGGTTGTATCGCAGGTACGTTCAGCCCAATCCATCGTTTAACTTATGTTCTGTTTCAGGCCTTCGCACTGCCCAAGTCCACGCAATCTTCTCCCTTCCTGAACAAGCTCCTATCCCCAGCCCCTCGCTTACGTCGAATCTCTAGGCACCCCTGAACCTCGTACTGGCATGTACATCGTCAAACGGTCAACTTGTCACTCTCGCCGAAACGCTGCAATTGTCCCTATTGATCGACTAGTGCGGGGATGTCACCTACTGGGCAAGTGTGGTGCGAAGATTGACTGGAGTTGGACAACCGACAACGTCCTTGACCTTGTGACCCAGTTCTATTTCAATCCTTACAGAGACGTAGATACTTTTTCTGTCAATAAATGTCCCGTCACATTGATTCAGAAGCTTCAAGACATAGATTAATTGACTACAAAAACCTAATAAATAAGTACACTGTCTACAAGAGCCTGGTAGCACTGATAACCACTGTAGTGCGTGACAGCAGCTACAGAGCCGATCATAGATGTGACGGCACCTCTGTCAGCCCTATTGCAAAATGCGGCGGACCGATGGTCTACAGACAACAATCAGCACGATGATGAAATCTGCCAAGCTATTGATGACTACACCAGTTACAGTCGGCTACTGATCTAACTGGCGATCTACCGGCTAAAATGTTTTTTCCTGATGTTTGCTGCCCTGGACCTCTATACTCTACCTTTGCAGTTTGGTGAGATCAGTGAGCGGACCACGCCTTTCAGATGTCCAGGTCCATCATATGATCAGGAGCATGCATCAGCAGCAGTGGCATGGTCACGAGAACCCAACTTGGTCTTCCGCCATCTCTGCACCTACTTTTCGATTTTGTCTGCTTATTTCACTGGTCAGCCAGACCTTCCTCTTGCCTTTTTCCGATATCTGGATCATCTGAAACACCTATCTGTGGTGCACGAGTGGACACCGGTTCACAGGTACCATGTGGAATTCTTTAATAATCGTGTCGCTGAGATGCGTCATGGTGACTTCTCAAACTGGGCCATTCCAGAAGCTGGCCTCGTAAAAAAATATGGCTTTGACTGTGAGCTCTTTTTACCGGAGCCACATCAATATGCTACCAACAAGATATTTTACAATGGCAAGCTTTGGCGGTTGGAGAATGACCCAAACCGTGGTCAGATCAGGTGAGTCACTGCTAATTACCCTTCGCTGCGATTAATTTCAATTTTCAGCTTTATACTTCGCCGAACTCGGGATCCCTTTGCTGATGAACTACAGTATGTTGCGCAGATCAAACTCACAACGGATTGCCTTCCCATGTCCAATTTGCCAATTGGAAAACCTGGCCAAAAGTTTCATGCATGTTAAGACTTTTGGATGAAAAATGTTGCCATCTGATTCTTTCCCCTCACTTTAGGCAGTGGACCCGGATCAACCTGGAAATGTCACTTGCAATTACAAGTATTGCAATTTAACTCAAATTAGAAAGTTCCTTACCTATGAGGGTGGGGATCTTCCTTTTCTGACTGTTGTTGGTAAGAATTTCCGCCCACCAATGAGCATTGCCTATTCAATAATGTCTTGATTTTGTTTCAGAGTGGTCAGATCGTCAGGACGCAAAAATTGTGCGCCAGATTGCCAAGCATGTAGCAGAGAAAGCTCAGCGCCGTGCACAAAGAATAGCACATTTCAAATCCTTGCTCCCTCGGGCGGTGGCCTTCTTCCTTCCTCGTGGTGTCGGTCAACTCGCGAGGCCACAAGTCAACAACAACTTATCAGTAGAATCACAAAACCGCTTTCAGCCGCTTTCACCGCTTTTGAAAGCGTGAAAGCGTGAAAGCATTTCCGCTTTAGGAAGCCAATCCCCTTTCTTTGAAAAGCGGTTACCGCTTTCTAAAGTGGTCAAAGCGGCCTGGAAGAGTTTTTGAAAGTGGGTGAAAAGGGGTGCAAAGAGGGGTGCAAAGATGTATATTTTTATTACATTACCCATTGTATCTACGGTTGCTCTACCCCCCAAAACACACTGGCCTCGTCAATGAATAACTAATTCCCCATCGGTCACTATCGTTCTCAGTGCATCTGTCGCCGAGCGGCCGGGGTCTTGCTGTTTCATGATGCCGTAGGAGGAGTAAGAGGTTGTGTCGACGTCATTGTCATCATGTAGAGTTTGTGCTGGCCAGGCACATACCCATGTTGAATAGTCGAGGCGGACCGGCAACTCCGGTATGCCGATCCCGTGCATACGCGCACGTACTAGTCTCATATAGGACACTGTAGATAGTTATAGTAGTTTGTAGTACATTCTAGTTACATATGTTTGTAGTATATAAGGGGGACTGAGAGTCCCCGAATTCATTACCTTCTCACTTAACCACTACCCCTCGTACTTGCTGCTCCAACAACCCAATCGTGACAGACATGGCGCGTCAGAGGAGGGGAGGAGGGGGAAGGGTGTGGGTGCAAGTGTTCTGAGAGGCGGTGCGCTTTGTCTGTGGTTGTTACTTTTCGGTGGTACTCCCTTCTACCACCATGTCTTCAAAACCCCAATCATCGGGGGCGATACCCTCGTCAAACTGGCTTGCATTGCAGAAGGTGCGTCTCTTCTCCCACCTTATATTATCTCCGACGAGTTCAAAAAAAAAAAAAAGACACTAGGGAAGGCCAAGAAATCCGGAGGAAAGAACTTCAAGTCCGGAGATGCAAGCAGGAAGAGAAGGAAACTCGAGGATGCGGAGATGGACAAGAAGGGGAGATCGCGTTCGAGCTCGCCAGAGCCGATTACGAAGACGTCGTGGGCTTCGCGCGTTTTGCATGATGAAGACGCTGCGAGCTCTAGTCTGTCGTCCCATGATATCAACAAAAATGGAGAATCGTTGTCTGCGTTACGCGATATGGTGCATGGGAAGGTGGAGTATAATACCAATCAACGATTGTGAGTGTCCCCCGCGTCTAGGTCTGCTGTTCGTTAGCTGAACTCGTGGGTGTTAGACCAGGGAAATACCTCGCGATAGATTGCGAGATGGTGGGTGTAGGACTGGAGGGAGCCGAGTCGTCGCTTGCTCGCGTGAGTTTGGTGAATTTCTACGGGGCGGAGATGTTGGATGTTTTCGTGCGTCAGCGGGAGAGGGTGGTGGATTATAGGACGCAGTGGAGTGGGATACGGGATACGGATATGATGCATGGTCAGTTTGCGTTGATTGTGGGTGGGTGGGGTGCTGACGTCGGTGTGGATAGCGAAGTCGTTTGAGGAAGTGCAGAAGCAGGTGGCGGATTTGCTTGAGGATAGGATATTGGTGGGGCATGCGGTGCATAATGATTTGAAGGTATGGTATGACAGTGAGGTCGTCTATCTATCTCTTGCTAACTATATACGGGGAATACAGGCTCTGCTGCTCTCGCATCCATGGACGAGTACACGGGACACGCAGTACTACGCGTATAAAGGTGGACTGACAAAGTCGAAGCGGATAGCGCTACGAAATCTCGTCAAGCAGGAGTTGGACCTTGTGATTCAAGAGGGGGAACATTCTAGTGTACGTTGCCTTGAACCTCCTTGCTCTCAGATGGTCTGATGACCCTCCTCACCTTACCCAGGTTACGGATGCGAGAGCTACGATGGCAGTGTATCGTCTTCACCGGAAGGATTGGGAGAAGGGAAATAGACCAATAGCTTTGCAAGGCGGATCGATGGCTACAGCTGGGACGAAACGAAAACGGGACGACGATGATGCTGCTGAAAAGGAGGAAGAAGGCAACGACAAGGGAGAGGTTATCAAACCCTCATCGGCCAAAGGGAAGAAAAAGAAAAAGAAAGTGAATTCACAGGAATACCCCGGAGGGAGGAAAGGCGTCAGCTCGGGACTTTCGACGGTTGTTCGACGTGGGCTGCCTGGTAAGGAAAAGGAAAAGACGCAGTGGTGGAAGCAGCTGCCGACTGTACTTACTTCTGGGTCAAAGGGCTCTATAAGAATTGGCAAACCTACGTCGTAGATATCTGCTTGAATTTCGGGTCGCGTGAGAATAATTGAGTGAATCGCGTCAACGTTCGCAATGACCGCCACTGCTGCCAAGGCGGGCCTCCGCGTCTCCCTTTCAACCACAGACGGCTCAGAATGAACAAAAACACGCAAGCGACGGTTAACGAGCTTATTGCGGGAAGTGTTGGTGGTGCTGCTCAAGTGCTTGTTGGGCAACCATTGGACACTATCAAGACGCGTGCACAGGTCGCTCCTAGTTTGTGTTTTTCGTCTTCTTACGACTTGTGTTTCTTGCTGATATGGTTGGATAGAGGGTATGTTCGTGAGTGTCGCAAGAAACTCCCCACTGCCGACTACTTAACACTTGTCTAATAGAAAGGACCTATGGACGTATTCACGCAGACAATACGGAAGGAGGGATTTTTTGCTTTGTACAAGGGTAATGTCCCCACCACATCCCTCAATTAACCCGCACTAAGTAGACCGCGTTTAGGCATGGCCAGCCCCCTCCTCGGAATCGCAGGCGTCAACTCCCTCCTATTCGCCTCCTACGGCATCTCCAAACGGATAATCTCACCGTACCCTTTATCGCTGAAAGAAATAGCTGTGGCAGGCGCTATGGCCGGAGCTGCGAATGCCATTCTCGCGAGTCCAGGTTCGGCTCTTACCCCCTCCCCCTCGAGAACCTATGTGCTGATAATGGGATGGGATGGTTACAGTGGAGATGTTCAAGGTCCGAATGCAAGGCCAATATGGCGCCAAGACGGATAAGAGGCTGAGGGTTGTGGCCAGGGATATGTGGAGAGAGTGGGGGTTCAGGAAGGGTGTGATGAGGGGGTATTGGGTGCGTCTTGTCCCCTCCACTCCACCAGTTTCTCAATAGTCGGGTGCTTTTATTGTAGGTAACGGTGGCTAGAGAGATTCCAGCATACGCAGGGTACGTCTTTCTTTTCCTAAGGAAAAGAAAGAAGGCTTGACGGGTTGCAATAGGTTTTACACCGCTTTTGAGTTTTCGAAACGGAAATTCGGCGAGACGTATGGGAGTGACCTGCCAGTGTGGGCCCTCCTGGCCAGTGGGTCCACGGGCGGGATCGCGTATTGGCTTTCGTGTTATCCGTTAGGTAAGTGATGAATGTCCCCCCTCAACGCTCAACGCTTCATCATCACCATGCTCATGGGATTGGGATACAGACGTTATCAAATCCCGTGTCCAGCTTCGCGCAACGCCGCCCACTGGGACGCCGGTACAATATATTGCCAGAGAAGTCAAGACCATAGTGGCTGAGTCGGGATTGTGAGCGCCTTGAGCTCTATTCTTTTATAAGTATTTGCTAATGGGTCCTTTTGATTGTAAGTGCTGGGCTTTTCCGTGGATTGTCACCATCTCGTACGTTTCTCTTTTCATCTTCACTGTGATTATGTACTGATGGATGTCGGGTGATGACAGTTCTCCGAAGGCACGTTCTCTCTTTCACTTTGGGCTAATCTGAAAGTTGAATGAACTTGATGTTTAATTAGTATACCTGCGGCTGCGAGCACTTTTGCTGCGTTTGAGTTGACACGAGGTGGGTTTCTTGGTTTCTCGGGATGGGAGTGCCCATGGTTGAATCTTTTGTTATAGAATACTTGGAGACGGTTACGGGAGTGTAGATACGTTTGCTGTATCTACGAGTGCAGTTTGAGGCTTGAAGGATGTCTCCTTCAATCAAAATTTCAAGCACGCTGCGCTATAGTGAACTATTGGTACAGGAAAACCGTAAGGAAGATGATGATAAGAGCTGGGTTTTCGTGACATACGATATAGCAGGTGATATCTAAAAGTTAACGGTATGGGGCTAAACAAGCTTGTTACTGAGCTGACCTGCCTTAAGCAGCACGCAAGCTTGGCTGCTGACAGACTCCCCCTCCAAACTCGTTACGGTGGCAGTGATTTGAATCATTATTGGGCCAACTTGGCGATCCATGATCATGGACGTGTAGGTGAGCCAATACACCCACGTAAACCGTTGTGGAGTAGGGGGAAGAGTGATATCTTGAACATCAAGTTCTTCGAGCACACAGCTGACTCCGAACGAAGAGGAAAAAAGGCTTATCTGCGGACGAACAATGGACATGACGGGTGGACCGTGCTGAACCCCAAAATCGGCTGGCCGAAAGCCATCCACCTCAACAGAGAATCTCGTCGCATAAGACTGAATGTCGGGCACAATTGTGCATCTCTTGGTGAAGATTTGGGTTAGGCCGTTGAGTAATGCGGAGCCTTTGGGGCTACCCCAACCAGTACAAGCGTCCCATCCAGAATTCGCGGGATACCCAGGAGCGCTGTAACCGTCGACCTTGTTATTAGTGGGACCTTTCGACCCATCGATATCGTTGAAAACACTTGAACCCAAGGCATACAAAGCAGGGTTTATATATCCAATATTCTCTCCCATCGCCGCATTGATTCTCGCAATGAGGCCAGCCCACAACGGCGCAGCCGCACTGGTACCTCCACCCGTCTTGTGACCACCGTTGAAAGGGATTTTGTAACCACTCCTCTTATCCGAGTTAGCAGCAACGTCAGGAACACCGCGCCCCTTGGACTGATCGTTCAGGGAGACGGGAACGGTTGCAGAGCGTTGGTAGGAGGGCAAAGGGAAGTATCCGCTGACACCACCTCCGGTTGCACCCTCGTTGTGATTCCAAACGTATTCGTCGTAAGACGAACCGTCAACGTTTGCAATCGCCGTGCCGCCGACTGTCAGGACCCATGAGTCGCTGGCAGGGTACTGCACATGAACATCGCCGTCTGTGATCTTGGAATAGCTTCCTCGATCGCCCGCTGCGACGCACACGGTCACGCCCTGCAGTGCCGCGTCTTGGAAAGCTGAAGAAACCGCATCCATGAAATCTGCGTCTGCATGATCACCGTCATCGCCGTTATACTTGTAATAGCTAGAGGATAGAACTGAACAGACGGGGTCATCGGAGTTGGGGTGGGCAACTCTTCCGATCAGGTCTACCCATCCTTTCTCTGTTTTGGGAGTAAAATATACAGCCACAGAAGCACCGGGTGCTGCGCTGGCCGAGATGCAAATATCCATTGTGGTTTCGGGGGTGGTATCAGACGTCACGGTATTTGTTGCATCATCGATGTCTACGTCTTGGACCGTCGGTGCATCAAGGCCCAACTCAGTGAAATAGGTGTTGATGTCCTTCGGGTTGTAGCCGGAATCAGAAAAAATGGCGATCGTCTGTCCAGAGGCACTCTGATCGGGGAAATCATAGAGAGAGGTAACTTGTGGAACAGTGAGATGTGTAAATGTGTCAGAAGAATCATCGTCGTCGGAGCGGTTGCGTGTCGTGACGGTCCTATTATCGAGACCAAAAACCCCAACGATGATCCCTTCGAGATCTTCAGGAATATGAATAAATCCATCTAAACCTCGATACGTCTCCAACGTGGGTTGGTCGATGGTGCTGCGAACAATTTGGTGTTCGAAACGCCTGAGCCTGGTGGCAAAAAAGGATTCCATGTTTTGAACCGTCCCAGAGACAGTGACGGTGCGCCGGGCTGCATGGGTGTCGATTACAGTGAGGTGGTGAGCGGTGACGAATTTCGTTACTTTATCGATATCTTCATTGGAAGCGCCGTATAAATCGGCAAATTCTGAACTCGACATTCGTTGGCGTTGAGAAGGGGGAGTATTCAGGAAAAAGTCGTGGTCAGGCAGCGGCGCGCCATCTAGACGGCGACGTAGAACGATTGTAACCGCGAAAGACTCGTTGGGATTAGCGATGCCAAGCGCCTTCGCAGTTGGCGAGGGACGTCGTTCACTGCCTGGAAGGCGCCGAAGTCCTTGGGGAATGCTGGACATGGAGAACTGGGCGTGGATGAAGGTCAACTTGAGTCTCGTGGTTGGTATTTATTATCTTTGGTCTTACCGCAATCAGTGAAAGATTCGACCAGCTATCATCAGGTCTAAATCAAAGATTCACGACATGAAATGGGCCAGAACCGCTAGATTGAACTTGGGTTTGATCAGATATCGTGTCACATTGTAGGGACTCACCGGGCTTCACCAAGTAACTATGTATACAGTCCCGCTATGGTCTGTAGGACCTATTGCAGCTACCATGGAATGGGCATAGCTGAAGATCCAACTTCTTGACTTTTGAAAAGTTTGATGAAAGCCAGAAAGTTATCAAGTTTTTTGTTTTTCATTTTTGCTGATGTGTAAAGAAAGGCCCAGAGGAGACACCGATTCACGATTGCTATCAGGAGATCTAGAGCCCTTTCAGCAGCAAGGACGTATCAGGACGTATCAAGGTGATCAGTGTGCGAGTATCGGATGAACAACGGGTCATGAGCGTGTCTGGAGACTGAGGTGGCGGACACTTTAGTGATCGTGCATTTCCTTATATGGTGAATGTCTGCCTCCCTAATATGGAACAGTGTATACGAAAAGTAACACACTCCCCAAATCGGGATAGCGACACATAGGGTGAATTGCCGACACATTGATGCGCTCCAGTGTGTTCCCCCCTTTTAGTGTGTCGATTTTACATGTGTTCGACACATTCAGATGTGTCGAACATATGTCGTCGCATGCCTGCTCATTTGCGCAACTTCAGTTCTTTTTTTTTTCACAAGTCCTTCTGTACTCGAGTAAATGGCAGTAAAATATATATTCCTTATCTACATGTATATGGGAAGGTATACCTACTATGTAGAAGTGGGAATTGGAAGGAGCAAGGTAGGGATGCCACCTCTCCCCTTCAATAACCCTTGCTAATCTAAAGTTGCGATCCCCACACTACCCTGCCCAAGCTGCATGCCCCCTCCCCGATACTGAGTCCTCGACTCCCTGACTGATAGCAAACGTTGTCGGTGCATCAGGTTGTTGGCAGGCATTGCTGGTGCTCGTGCCCTGGCTCACTTGATGGACGTGGACGTGATGGGGGTACTCGCGTTCGGGCTGGTGTTCGTGTTTGGCTCACGGTTGCATTTGGGCTGGCGTCCGCGTTTGGGTGAATTTCCCGTTGTGTCCGCTGACATGGGGTGTGTGAGGCGGGGCATGCAGGGAAGAGAGCGGGGGTGGAGGATAGGGGAAGGCTGTGGAATCGTCAATGGTGCTATTGGCGGTTCGTTGATCGTCGTGGGCCCGTGACCGTTTGTTGAAGGTGGTGGTGGGCCCCCGTGGCTGTTCGTCATGGTAGGCACTCATGGCCGTTCATCGATCGTGGTGATGAGCTCCCGTGGCCGTTCGTCGATCGTGGTTGTGGGTGGTCGTCCATTCAACGATCCTGGTGGTGGGCCCTCGTCGATCGTGGTGATGCGCCCTCGTGATCGTTCGTCGATCCTGGTGGTGAGCCCCGTGGACGTTAGTGAGCCCTCGTCGTCGTCCGTCGATCCTGGTGGGTCCTCGTGGCCAATCGTGGTGGGCGCTCTTCGTGGGGGTTAAGAGAACAGAGAGTAGTGACGTGTGACATCGCATCCGTCACCTCACCCAATTGGGATGTGTCCAGCAGTTTTGCTCGTCCTCTTTGCGTCCTCTCATCCTCGACACAGTGTCGAGGATGAGCCTTATCCCCTTTCGGGGAGTGTGACGCTGTACGTATATCCTCAATATGGAAATGCTTGACCGCGCCATGAATCTTGCTCGCAATCACCCGCACGGCGACGAGCTCGACGACACTGATGGGGAAAATGACAATGCCATCGACGCAAAGCTACGTTTTCGAATGGTTCTTTGGCAGTCGACATGACAAGAAACCAGAGCCTGCGGCGACTACCCCGCCAACTGCGCCTGAACAAATGCCCAGTGTGCGTAGGAATGTGTGCGTCAATCACGCGCTGCCTGCTATGGAGGCGGATCACTATGGGGAGTCTAGGGTTTGCTATGTCGGAAAGAAATGAGTGCGTATCATTGCCCTTCTTTGTGAATATCGCTAAAATTGTATTCGAAAGCACACAATTGTCGCATTTATTCTCAAGAACAGTTTCGAGGAGTAGCTAATCTTTTCTTCTAGTCTCTGGTCATTCTACAATGCAAGTATAAAGTCGTTACCTGAACCTGTCTGCAAACCGTCAATGTCTTTGGCGCACCAGCAGGTTCTATATTGTCCTTCCCCTCGCATCCATTCTCACCGTCACAGCCATCAAGGATGGCATGGAAGTCTACTAAACCAACAGCTCCGCAGCGACTAAACTAGGGGGTGGATGGCGTAACGTGAACCAGCTGACAGACCCACGGTCCTGGCTCCAGAAGCTGCTGGGCATAAATCCGCCGGGGAAGGTGATCAAAGGTGTGAGGAAGTTGCGGGATAGGACGGCTGGGGAAGGGATGCGTGTAGTGCTGAGCAGGGGAAGAGACGCAGGGGATGTTTTGAGCGTTGATGCAAGTGGGGATGTTGGGAGTTTCGGTAGTATGTGGCCAATACTTTGATATTGACAAATCCTGAAGCTCCGGAACAGTATATTTTTTAATAGAAATCTAGGTTCCTTTAACGACACCACGAGGAAGGGAAAAGGCCACCGCCCGAGGGAGCAAGGATTTGAAATGTGCTATTCTCTGTGCTCTCTGTGCACGACGCTGTGCTTTCTCTGCTACACGCTTGGCATGCTGGAGAACATTCCATGCTCGCCAACCATCTGACCACTCTGGAACAAAACCAAGACATTATTTAATAGGCAATGGTCGGCTGGAAGTCTTACCAACAACAGTCAGAAAAGGAAGATCCCCACCCTCATAGCATAGGTGTTCTATAATTTGAGTTAAACTGAGAATTTCATAGAAGCGATGATGTCCAGGTTGATCCAGGTCCACTGCCTAACCATGAGGGGAAAGAATGAGATGATGACATTTTTTATTGGCAGGTCTTGATGTACATCAAAAATTTCACCAGGTTTTCCAATTGGCAATTTGCGCATATTAAGGTGATTCGTTGTGAGCTTGATCTGCGCAACGTACTGTGGTTCAGCAGCAAAGGGATCCTGAGTTCGCCGAAGTATAAAGCTGAGAATTGACATTAATCGCAGCCAAGAGTAAACCGTAATCAGCAGTAGTAACTCACCTGATCTTACCACGGGTTGGGTCTTTCTCCAACCGCCAAAGCTTGCCATTGTAAAATATCTTGTTGGCAGCATATTGATTTGGCTCCGGTAAAAAGAGTTCACGGTCAAAGCCATATTTTTTTGAGAGCCTAGCTTCTGGAACGGCCCACTTTGAGAAGTCACCATGACGCATCTCCGCGACACAATTATTAAAGAATTCCACATGATACCTGTGGACCGGTGTCCACAGGCTCGTGCACCACAGATAGGTGTTTCAGATGATCCAGATATCGGAAAAAGGCAAGGGGAAGGTCTGGCTGACCAATGAAATGAGCAGACAAAATTGAAAAGTAGGTGCAGAGATGGCGGAAGACCAGGTTGGGTTCTCGTGACCATGCCACTGCTGCTGATGCACACTCTTGATCATATGATGGACCACATCTGAAAGGCGTGGTCCGCTCGCTGGTATTACCAAACTGCAAGGGTAGAGTGTAGAGGTCCATGGCAGCAAAGTCATGGAAGACTATGGATATGACCAATTTTTCAGGAATTTTTGGGAATTTTTGACATAGAGCAGCGAACATTTTGCTCGGAGCATCGTGCCAGCCTGAGCGTGGCTGAGACATGATTGTGCGCAGGGAGCAGGTTTGGAATTTTGAGCAGCCAGTTTAGCTTACAAAAAGATGCCTTCTTTCAATTCGCAGGTGCTAGAGGTAAGCTGGGAGAAAGCATGGAGAGGAGGAGGATTTGATTGCCCGACCAGATGATCTATTCAAGAAAGGAGACACTTGTTTTTGATTGTTTGCCGTTTGGGACTTCGTCGTTTTGGATAACGGAATGATAGGGCAACGGAAATAAATTCTAAGTGAAGCCAGAGCATTTTTTACGACTTTAAGAGAGTCCAAGCCTTGAGGCCGCGGAGCGTTCATTCTAAAACCTGGAGTATGGAAATACTTCATTTGCCATTTATAAGAGTCAATCACCCGAAATTCTCACCGAGGCCTCTCCTACCAGTCAGAGGAAATCACTCCGAGCTCAATAAACCGAGTTGAGGACAGCTGGATTAGCCCTTTCTAAGTGAAACACTGAAGAATCCAGTTGGCTGAGGGGAGAACGAAAACAGCTATGATCTAAAAATAGGAGAGTGGATAACCTCCCTGGTCTCAAGCCGAAAAAAGAACACGAATCCAATCTACAACCGTATTTTCCTCATCCACTATATCAGCTATGATGTCTCTTTTTTGCAGGAATAACTTTAAGTGACGGGCAGATTGTAATTGCTGCCGCACGGATGATCGGCTACTAAGTTGAGGCTGTGGTCTGATTTCATATCGCCTGAATGGTCTAGTGGTATGATTCCTGCTTTGGGTCCAATAAATTACCTGCAGGAGGTTTATCGATATATCGCCATCGTGTAGCTCACCTCCAGCTGCATCAGCCCGTTTCACCACCACCATGGTGGTTCACCCAACAAGACACCCACCACGCCACTTAGGACCTCCCCACGTCTCGCCCGTGGTCCGCCGACCACTTATCCCTCTGTCACTCCAAATTTCAAAACGAGGGCGAACAACCAGCGTGCTCTGAGACTCTCCGCAAATCCCGTTCCTGGCCTCACCGCTTGAGGCTGTTCTAAAGCCAGACAGCGAGTTGAAGAGCCCAAAGAAGCCGTATGAAGAGAAACCGACTGTTGCTTATGTTCTGTAAGTTTTTCCTCTTTTACTGATCGAGGACTAATGATGATACATGCGTAGCCGGCGTCGTAGGGAATTTCACAACCTGATGTACAACCCCGCTAAGAACCAAACGGCCTCGCCCTCTCGAGGGTCTAACCTCCTCGTCGAGCACCAGCTTTCTGGGACGTCCACGGTGGAGGCACAGGATACTAATGGGCTGCCATCGCTTGGTTGTCTGGGTCCTCTTCGGGTGTAGGTACGTACGCAATTCCCTCGACTCTCTTTGTTTGTTCCTCTTATTTCTATGGTTCAAAGAGTTCAAGGACCTCCTGCACGTCGAAACGTCGACTTGGCGAAGCTTCAGGTTATTTATCGTTTGGACGGCGCTCGCTGACCTTGCCTACGATGGACGACGACTCTTTGCTTCTGGACAAGGCGGCCTGATGGGTGTTCGTTTGGTACTCGTCTCCAGCTCGACAGATGTCAGGCATGGCCTCTGGGTGATGACGAAGGAAGGTAATGTCGAGGAGGTGCCATCTGTTAATTCAGAACTCTTTTGTAGTATAACCACTGTATCGCTACTATTGTAATCTTATTCAGAATCCTCAGAAAGATCAGACAACTCCTCAACGAGCTCAAGAAGCTCCGACACCGTGACCGGGATGTGTTTGTCCGACGTGGAAAAGGTGTCGGCCTGGCCAATGAGGGAGTCGACGTTGGCATGCAGTCTTGCACGATGGCTCTGCACAAAAACAATCAGAATGAAATTCAATGATGGATGCGTATGATTGACCTCATCCTCCACATCATTGAAAATGGACCTGACTTCCATCAGCAACTGTGTATAACCTTCCACGCGTCTTGTGGCTCGCTGCGTAATTTGGGTGCTGGTGATCTGGTGGCTTTTGATCCCACGTCTAGCCCTGTACTTTTTGGTGTGCGACTTTGCAAGTGTACCATACAATTCAGATGCACTGCACTCCTCAAGGCAGTGGGTGCGAACGAGGGCTTCTGTCTCTGCCCTGCGTCGTTTAGATAAGTTATGATCCCAGCCAGATGATGAGGTAAACTTACTTGAAGTCACAGCCATGAGTAGGGCATTTGAATACGTCGCTGTTGGCAGTAAGCATTTGGAGGACAAGATCTTTCCAGTCTGAATGTTTGGTATAACTAAAAGTCGTCAGCATCAAAAAGAACATACATTCAAATAGTTGACGCACATATGTCTCTCCAAATGTGTCCGCGATCCATGGTCGTGCTCTTGCGATTCAGGGTCATGGCCATACAATTCTTTACAACGCGGACACCGCCATTTGCCATCATCATCCTGATAATAATTGGTAGAGAGTTATACAATTGAAAGAAAGACTCGCCTGTGACATGGCGAGCAAGGCTCGATCCAGAAAGACAGGCTGAAGGACCACCTCCATGAGCAGTGAACGGATTTCGGCCGCTGTGAACTCTGCATCTGCGGGAGGTGGTTTCTCAACATCTGCGATGCTTGTAGGTGGTTCACTTTCATCAACGAGAGGCTGGGGATCATCAGGCTTGTACTCAGCTGAAGTGAGTTGCAACGCCTGATCAAACATGTTCTGAATCTCAGTGTCGACCCCTTCCTCTTCTTCCTCAGAATCTTCCTCGTCTTGATCAAGTTGCATATTGGCTGCTACATGCTCAAGAAATTCACTTGAACCTTCTGGGCCCGAGATTCCTGGTGATGGGATAGGCGAAGGATTTGGGAGCAAGGAAGTCAGTGGTGGCGCAGGTGAAGGGCCTGGAAGTAAAGAGCCCTTGTTCAACAGCCCCAATGAGGGGCCTGATGGTGGTGGTGGGCTTGAGGGCCTAGGTGTGGGAGGGATTGAGGGCCTAGGTGCAGGAAGAATTGAGGGCGTAGGTGCAAGAAGAATCGAGGACGTAGGTGCAGGAACAGTTGAGGGCCTAGGTACAGGAGGGATCAATGGTTGGATTGAGGGACCAGCAACCATAGATTCCAAGATCCCTGTACCAAGCGACGTTGTCAGGAAATGTGATGGTTTGGCGAGTTGCTCAGCAGCGCGCTTCAAATCTTGGGCAGTTCCTTTAATTGCAGCAAGACGCCGCTTGTCTTCTTTAGAGTTGAGTGCAGATTGTCCCAGCCGGTTGATACGTCGCCTACGTTTACCAGCTTCGCTCACTGCTTTTTTCAGATGATTAAGTGCCTAAGACAATATGAGAAAGGTGAAATGGTAATGGGTAACAATACAGTATACCTTGGTAATGGTCTCCTCATCAGCAATCGGCCTCACACCATCTGCTGCCAAGTAACGATTCATGGCCGACAACGCGCGACCAAATGGGACACCGTCATCGCGAGGTGTGTAACACGCCAACCAGGCATCCCACGCTGTGACTTCTTCCTTTGCGAGCTTGTTCATCTCGACGTCAGCCTACAAAACATGATTAGCATGAAAGGGGCAAATGATATGATGACCGTACCTCATGTAAACCAAGTTTATCCTCATGTGAGAGCGTGGGTTTCTTGATCACAAATTCAACTCTTTCCTTCTTGTTGGTGTTGTCGTTCTCTTCATCGTCGTCCTCTTCGTCCTCATCAACAATGTCCACAAGTGAAAGGACAGCCTGAATGGCAGGTGTTGAGTCCTTATTCAACATGTCGGCGTGCTGAATGTACGTATTGTTAGCCTGAAAAGGGTGGTGAATAAAAGATACATACGAGGGCATTGACATCATGTCCCCGTGGCAACGCGTTCATGGTGACGCCCACGAGGTCAATGTTTCCTGTGTTGTGAGAATAGTATTTGAGAGATCCGGGTCTGGCATGGCCCATGATCATTGCGGCACGCGATTTTCCAATGAGGACTTCGTACTATAGTGTGTTGGCAAACAAACGGAAGAGAAAGAAAAGGAAAGGACTTACTCTATTTCCAGTTTCCCTGCGGATGGAATACAGGCCAGATTTTGGCATACCAGCATCTCGTGAAAGAATGCTACACAATGCTGAAACAGATCTTGCTGACATTGGGTGAGGGGGGTCTTGAAAAGCGCGACCTCCAGAATTGGCTGCTAGAAACCTAAAAAGAGGAATGAGTTTGGTGCCCAAAGAAAAGGAAAAGGCAGGTGGCGTGCAGAGGTTCATGTTTTTTTTCATCCTTGATGCGAAGGGAGTAATCACTGTAATTGCGGAGATCATCCATGGTCTACGAGGCATTTAAAATGATTGCAACGCAAAAAAAAAAAAGTGGACAATTGACGTACATTGATTCCGTCCAACGCACCACGAAGAAACAGGTACAACACATACCAAAACGCGACATCAAAGGTGACGTTTTCCCAGTTTTGGATGGGAGTAAGCCAGTATTCGCGAGCTTGTCCCTGGACGGTTGAATTGAAACCCTAAAGAAATGTGATAAGAAGAGACATGAGGCGGCATGACAGCTCTCCCACCTTGAAGTTCTTTATGGTCAACTTGACCTTGAAAGCCATTTCGCTCACGCGAAACACTTGAACATCAGCAAGGATGGGAAACTAGAGGGGGGGGGGGAAGTCGATAGACATCAAGAGAATGTGTAATGACATACTTTTCCATCCCTCAGGTACTCGTCAAATGAAAAACCAAGTGATCCTGGTCGGAGACTGGTGTAAAAGCAGGTAAGAAGAATACAGATTGATCGGATAGCGATCATGCGTCCGGATGTCGCAGATTTTCGGAGTGCAACTTCAATCATCAATTTGATCTCGTACCGACCAAAGTAGACCTTTTCATCTTGATGGCGGTCAAGGTTGGAAGTGCGAATGACTGGGGAAAGGTTACAGTTGTGGAGAGAGAAAAAAATATAACATGGACTTGCGATGATAAAGCTGATCATTCAGCATGCTGAGCATGCCTTTTTTCGTGAGCAACTGGATGCCGTCGACACATGATGTTTCCGGATCTCTTGAATTCCTAGCGATGCACCATGAAAAAAGCATCATGTACTCTTGGAGAGTAGACGCCTTTATAGATTTCCGGCCTTTTGTGCCACGAGCGAGGTGATTCTGTACAGTTGTTACACAGTACTCAAAGAAGAAGAAAGAAAGAGAAACTTACGAGAACGGGCAGAAATTTTGGCCCATACTTGAGGATGACATCCGAGTGCCATGTACGTTCGCCAGAAATCCCTTGCTCCATTATACCCACATAAATTTCCCATCGATACTCCATTGCCTGACGTTTTTTGCGGCTGCTTGGGGATGCATGCGCTTGAACAGTTGTAAGCCATTCGTCGAGGTTTTCAAGGAGGAGAGTGAACCCTGGGCCATCGTTGGCAAGGTCCTGGAAGGATTTCTTCCACTGTGGAAAAGCCGTGCTGTCCTTGAGTGACGGTGGGTTGGGTCTTTGAATGAGCCTGTCGGGGTCATTGGGAGGAGCGTTTGCAGTGGGTAACGGTGCATCTGCAATTTGAATGAGTCGATCAAGAGCCCTTGCAGGAGGGTTAATGAAAAATCCTGGCGGAGGAGGCTCCATTGAGGTGGTACGCCAACAAGAAGTGTTGGAGTACGTAATTATTTACATCAACAAACTCGCTACCACATACACTGTACTCCCGACTCTTGACGCTGACACTGACACAACAGGTGGAGAGCAAGTTAGTAAAAGTTGATTGTGGAAATTCGAAAACATACTCGAAGTCATGCGAATACTACTCCCTCAACAACTCGCCCACACACCAATGCGCCTGTTGTATCTCGTGCGTTGCATGCGATGCTGCACGTAGGAAAGTGCTCCGAGCGTAGGACTTGACGTATAACAGGCCGTCGATAGGTGGTGAGTGCTGGAGGCTCCTGATGCTGCGAGCAATGTGATCAATTAAGAGCACAAAGTTGCATAAGTGAACGACTTGCAGGAGCTGGCGTCGGACAAATATCCGGTGTCAGAGTAAGGGCGGTGAGATTGGCGGAGGCCATTTGGCAATCCTACTTCTCAGACGCCTGAGCGCCCCATTTTGAGGTTTTGCTCGATTAGCAACAGCCCAGATCGTAGCTGAACTAGTAGTGAAGCCTGTGTAAGTCTAGAGAGTTTGGGTCAACCATTATAAGTACGGGTTCCATAAAGTTCCCATGAGAAACCTTTGAAAGTACACGGAGGTCTGCTTCGGCTAGCGAATGTGTAAAGGGAGCGACCAGATTCCGTTTCTTTCCGTTCTCCTTGCTGTTCAAACGATATCAGAACGTCAACCTGTGACGACATTAATGGATGTTCGTAATAACAAGAAAACGGACGCACAGTCGAAATGTCTCGTCCAGATTTTGTCCGTCAACTCCACAGGTGTGCTTGTCGACTTTGACGGTGACGATGAGGCGCCACAGACACCTTGAGTTCGTATAACTGGGCGTGCATGTTGCTCGCAAGTCAATTGCCATGGTTCTACAGTGAAATGGTTAGAATGTGTTGTCGCTTGAGAATGTTGGCTATTTGAGGAACTGAGCCGCTCCAAACGTCGCTCGGTCAAAAGATGTGTTGCTGGCAGTGACAGAGAGCGCTGGACAATGCTGACAAAGGTTGGTAGTGGCGCAACATTAAAAAAAAAAGGCCTGAATCCAGGATTGAACTGGAGACCTCCTGCACCCAAAGCAGGAATCATACCACTAGACCATTCAGGCTTCCTTTATGACAGCTAGAGTTCGCCTATGGTTCAAACTGCGGGTGAGTGTCGACAGTAGATAAAAAGGCTGGTGCGCGTTAAAGACATACTAGCGTGCATTGGCATGGATCCTTCGTGGCAGGGTGCTTCAGAATTTTGAGAAATTCGTAGAAGAGGATCGAGTGGCAATTGATAACTTGACAAAGGCGACTCAAGAAAGAGGTAGAGATGGTCCTAAGTCTTAGTACTCTCTCGCGTTGAACACAGCGAGGAGAAGTAACGGAAAATGCAAGGCTGCCAGTTCGTGGATGTGTCTCCATGAGAAAGTACTTGAAATTATTTATCATGGTTGTGGTTACGTTACATCTAGTCTATTAGGAATACAACAATTGGCGTACAGCTATGAATCGGAACGACGATGTGTCTAAACGAGGCGTGACGAATGCATCTAAGGGGGCTGGGCAATGGACTGGAGTGGGGACGTGGGGATGGCTGGGGCTTGTGGTGGCGGCATGTTCCCGTACATGAACTGGGGATGAGGTTGGGGGAAGTAGGGAGGCTGGTAGTATTGGGTGTGTTGAGCCTGTGCGTTTGCGATGGCGGTGTCCCTGAGTATCTTTAGCTTTTCTACTTCTCGGCGGTGCTGCTCCTCCTCGGTGACTGCCTTTGCCTTTTCCTCTGCTGCCTTTTCCCTCTGCAATTCGAGTTCTAGTTCGGTTTGACGGCTCTGTTGTTTGGAAAGTTCCAATTCGATCTTTTTCTTTTTAATGTCAATGCGCGCTGCCCGTTGCGCCAGTGTTTGACCGACGATATCGGTTTTGGCGATGTTGAGCGCCAAGACGTTTACTTCTTTTGCAATCGCGACTCTTTCGTCTGGAGACATGGTGATGGGAACGTTCCTATATGCGCCCGAATTAGAGTGTCTGAGAAGAAAAAAGGCTGAATTATACTCTTTTTCGGCTGCTTTGCGCTTCTTGCCTTTTGAAGCAGTCTTTTTGGGTGCGGGATTGGCTCGTGCCCTCTTTGAAGGCCTAGCTGAAGGAGAGAGAGGCGGACCATCACCGCCCTCATCGTCGGACGACAAAACGATAGGGCGCGGCATGGTGGTTTAAAGAGAGTGTGCTCCAAACATGTCGACAAGTCGCGTCCAAAGTCGCGTCGACCCAAATGGTCACATGATGTTATACTGTGGAGCAGCACTGCCAATCCAGGATCATTGTCCTCGAAAGCCTTTTTCCATTGCGAATGAATCGGTCGTTGGCAGGAGCGTTCGCGACAGGGGGCCGAGGTGAATGAATCGGTTGATGGCCCGTACGCCAACAAGATGTGTTGGATTACATAATGGACTACACATCTACTACACCTGAAATACCGAGGGCAGAGGTAATGTTTTGAAATGCTTCTTCGGCACCTGGATCGATGGTAGGTTCCCCCTTGCAAAACAAACCGACGAGTGCTCGGAACGAGTCTGAACGGCCAGGCAATCCTGAAGCCGTGTTTTGACTGGCTGCATCCCATATTGGGTCGAAAAGGACGGCGTTGCCAAACTGTAACAAGGAGTTGACAAAGAATGTGAATGATGACCATGTGTGACTCACTTTGGTGTACATGGAAAGTAGGGTGTTGCGTGCGGTGATGACGCGGCAATGTTTACCTTTAAAAACGCGAAGATTTTCTTCAATCATATCGTTTTGTTGTTGGACGTATTGGCGGTAAAGGTCGACCATGTCCCCACGTTGTTCGATTTCGGCATTGAGCGTGTTTTCGGCGACGGCGAGGTCCTCGTATAGGTTGATGTGGAGGGATTTGAATAGTTGCAAGAGGTGGTGTTTCTTGATCGATCGGCCGCGTGGTAGGGTGTCGAGGTCGTTCCAACGTTTTGTAAACTTTATAGTTTCGATGCTGCGAAAGACAAAATTGACGTAGCGGTCGATGGTTTGGTCTGAGTGACAGTTGTGTAAAAACTGTGTTTGGTCAGAAAGAAGGATAGGAATTGGGGAAAACTTGCCAAATCGCGCTTGTGAAGGCTTTCGGCTAGCGGCAAGTCGTCGTTTGCTTTGGACTGGATGTAGATATCGTTGTAATTTGGCTTTGTTATGGAATGAAAAAGGTTCTCCTGTGGAAAGTAATGAAAAAGAAACAATAAAAGATGTTGGGACTTGCCCAAATTTCGTCGCTACCTGCTTCATATCCACGTAATAATCGACGGAACGCCTCGTCTTCCAAATGCGCGTGTGTTTTGTTGTTGTGCGATTGGTCGTGAGTTGTTGATAGATATTCGTGGAGTTGAAAGGGGTCGATTTTTTCTTGTATATGCGCGAGAATGGAGTCGTATCGCTGTTGGGCGATTTCCACTGATGTCTAGAAGAAGATATTAGAGGGGGGGGGGCGTTTGCGAGGTTAGCGCGAAGCTTGCCATCCGAGTGCGTGTGGTGGACGGCGCCACTTGAAGAGGGACATTTGTGCTGGGGTCTATGCTGGGAGTCGTGCTGGGAGCCGTGCTGGGAGCCGTGCCAGGGTCTATGGTGGGGTTTGTGTTAGGAAGAGCTGTCGGCATAGACGCGATTCTTTGGTCGACATAGTCCGCAGCTTGAGCTGCCTGAAATCCTAGCTCTCGAAGGAACTGAGACAACTCGAGACCTGGGTTTTCGATGCAACTGTCGATCCTGTTGTAGAGGGCAGAGATGGTTGACAAGCGATTGAGCAGGAGCTCGTCTTCTGGCATGGTGGAAGGAAAGCCAAAGGGCCCTCGCGTGGAGGGTGCTCCATCACATGACGCGAGCTGATGCCGGACAGGATTTTTTGCTAGCGGTTGTTCATTGACTAGCATGGAGATCAGAGCAGGTTTACGCGCGGAAAACAAATGTTGCCGTACCGATAAAGTGGGCGCTACCCGCATGTGCAGCCCGGACATGCGACCCTCAAGGTGCTGGGAAGGCAAAGCAGGCGGGGGGGACCACGCCCTCGAGGTCACACGGTAATTACCAGAGTAACACAAGCGGCGCGCGGCAATACCAGCAACGAGTGTGGCCGCGCGTGACAGGTCCGACGGTCAAGCAGGTGCTCGTCGTCTGTCATGGTGGAGGCGACGACCACAGCGCTGGTCCGCAGGAATGAGGGCGTTGAATCGACTGGGAGAGAATATTCTCCTGATGACCCGCAATTGGCCGGTTGTGGCTGGGTTGTGGAAGTTGTTGTTCAATACTAGTAAACAAACTCAGCAAAAACATAGTTCACCCCCTGTACCACGGGGGAAAAAGCTAGAAACTGTCAAAAATGTATTTTACGCAACTAAGCATCGTTTTAAGTCAATCTACATTAAATTTACAAATGGCGGTGTCCTGAGGAACAGAAAAATGCGAAATTTCGGAGGGGAACCTTGATCAATGATTCAAGGTGTCACTTTCTGTGAGACGGAAGGGTTATAATCTGAGGCAGGTGTTACAGACAGATAATGTTAATTCTAGGTAGTTGAGGACTGGGCAGCTGGCCATCGTCGAATTGGATGGTCAGCCGCGTCGATCGACATCTTCCGGAATAACTGAAAAGCACACTCATAACACAAAATAAAGATCCTCCCATCCTTATCCGAAAGAATAACCACTCCCTGAATTTTCCTTCTTCCCCTTCCCCACTTGCCCAACTCACCCTCAAATCCCTCTTACACTCCCACCAACATACTCAATCCAAACGGCATGTCCAAAATCAACAGCCACCAACGGTCTAGGCCGATCAGGCGTCCCTCTATCCTCGTAGTCTTCTTCAAAGATCGCGTCGAACACCTGACGTACCAGAGGTGCATCAGTCCGTCGTCTTGCTCTATTTGCGTGGGGGTGCTCAACGATGTGGTGGATGTGGATGTGGATGTGGTGGGGGGCTGAGGTTGAGATCCGGAAGAGGAGGAAGAGAAAGGGCGAAGAGGAGGAGGGGTCACGCAGTTCACCCCAAGCCCAGAAGCAGTCCTGTACGAATTGTAGTTATCGTGATTGACCGACACCCGAAAAGAATGTTGCGCGAGCACGAAGTGCAGACGATGGCTCACTTGGTCGTGTTCCGCCAATAAGACGACTGTGGACCTTACACGTGGGATGTTCAGTAGGCTGGGCCACCATTGTCGGACAAAGTGCGCGCTTTCGGAATACGAGGGTGGGAGGGGGAATGGGTTGTTGTTAGTGTCAAGGTAGTGTGTATGTAGTGTGGGTTGTTTGGCATTGGAGCCTTCGGGGTAAGCCGTGGTTCTCAGATTCTCGCGGCCCCAGCGGGTTCAATGTTCTGGCATCGCAAATGCTCGGCGTGGACTGTGGTGAGCCAGTGGTTGACGTCGTGAGCCAGTGGTTGACGTCGTGGAGCAGCACTTCCAATCCAGGACCATCATTGGTGAGGTCCTCGAAAGCCTTTCTTCGAGGTCACACGGTAATACTGTACCAGAGTAACACAAGTGGTGCGAGGAAGAACTGCTGACAAAAGTCACGTGACATCAGTGGTGGAGGCGACGACCACAGCGCTGGTCCGCAGGAATACTCTTACGGAAATGGTCACATGATTCGTCGATGACATCAAGAGGAGGATTGCGAGCGAAGCGAGCAATCCAGCGGGCGGTCCGACATTCTGAATGGTGCGCAGAACTGCTGACAAAAGTCACGGCCCGACCCTGGTCCGTCGATGACATCAAGAGGAGGATTGCTCGCTGGCTTGCACGCTGGCGACGACCCGTGAGTGGTGCGCAGAACTGCTGACAAAAGTCACGGCCCGACCCTAGTCCGTCGATGACATCAAGAGGAGGATTGCTCGCTTCGCTCGCAATCCTCCTCTTGGCGCCGACCCGAGGTCCTCGGTTCAAGCCCGGACGCCGCTTCCAAACATTTTTCTACCTTGGGTGAGTGCCTTTTTTCCCTGATTTTTACGCTATTTCTTAGGTGTCCTCTGTCACCGGAAGGTGTGCACCAGGAGGCAATATACGAGACAGGCCACCGGAAGCATACTTCATGCGTCATCTTGTCATGATAATTCATAAAAAGCTACTACGCATTTTATCCGTTGCTTTTCAGGTCACGAAAAGAGCTACATCGAATAGAAAATGTATTCGAGGAGAGGATTCAAGTTGGTTTGTTTACGCGTTGTTTGGGCATGCTCTCTCAGCCAAACGTATACTCGCTGAATGCGCTCGCAAATGGCTTGGCTCGTTCAAGCCAGGTTGACGCGGCATAAAATTGGGCTTTGCTGCAGTGTATGATCCCTTCATTTGCCGGATTTTACACAGTCAATAGTACCATTTTTAGAGTATTCAAAACGAAATCTATTCGCTGCTTTCCAGAGGTGTTCTCTAGCAAAGCCTCCAGAATCATGCTTTACACATCATTTTCATACATATAATTCAGAAAAAGCTACTATGCATTGGTGGTCTAAAAACCGCGCCACCCACAAGCACACACGCTCTTACAAATCCAACCACCTTCTAGCAACTCAAGTGCCGTCGCCCTATTCGCAACCTTGACGGAAAGGCACATCCTGAGGAACTTTGCAGTGGAGGCGAGATCTTTCTCTGTGACGTTCGCACTTTCAGTGAGGAGACTTTCGAGCTTGCCAAGCGTTTCTTGTGCGACTTTGACGGGCGATGCGACGTATGATTCGTCAAAAAGGGGCTTTCCGGTGAGGAGGAGGTATGTCTGGTCAATCAAGTAAGCATCATCGATGAGCGTGGGTGAGGATATGAGGATCAAACTCACTGTACATCCAAGCGCCCAGATGTCAGAACTGAGATCGATTTTACCCCCTGTGAGGGCTTCCGGTGGTTGGATGTTTTTAGGTGTGTCGAGGGTTGTGGCGGTTGTCTGGCGGGCTAACGACGAGCTATTAGCAATAAGATCGTGAAGCCAGTACGAAAGACACGCATTACCGTGTGCGAAATTAGCAAGACGGAATTCCGTATAGGCAATATCATCCGCATCGGATTTCCATGTATAGTGGTTCGGAATCGGCTGAGACTTGACAGTAGGATACGGAACTCCATCGCTTCCTTGTATCTTGACAGGCTTGTCAGCTGGTACTTTTCCGAGAGCTTTTCGGACATCGACGCCCCGTTCGACGGACCAGAAGAGGAAGTTGTCGGGTGTTACAGCTGAAAGCGAGAGTATGTATTCAACTCGGATGTTGAATAGTTGGACTTACCACCATGAATGATGTTTAGAGTAGCAAGATCGGCCAGACGATCCAAAATATCGCCAATGACCTTCTGGACGATATGAACAGGCAGTTTCTGCCCATGATACGCGTTCCCTTGCCTCAAATCCTCAACAGACGGTCCAAGAAGCCTGAACAACAAACAGAGGTGCCTTCTCCCCCACTCATCCTTTTCCTCGAACGTCTCAAGCAGCTGGGGTGCATCATCAGTGGCTTTCATAGCCTCGAGGACGAAATAACGTTCATTTTTGGCGTTCGGGGCGGCGGTTGCAGCGGCGGTCAAGATTTTCAGAGCGCGGTGTAGATCATTCTTGTCGATGACGAGCCAGGTAGATGATCGCGGACCCCACCCGAGCTTGCGGGCTATTGTCCATGCGCCGTCTTTGAGCGTTTGTCCTGGTTGAGCGGAGAAGTAGCCCAGGGGAGAGTCAAGTTGTTCTTCAGGGAAGAGAGCCATTGCGATGGGTTGTGAAGAGTGGAGTGTAGATTGAATGATAGGCGGAGTGGAGAGTGATATTTCAGCTGGTTACGATGAAGGTGTCGGCTGTGCAGGCGCTCGACGCAGCGAACGATATGAGTGGTAACAGCAATTTCAGAATTCAGCAAGTTTGGGAGAATGTTCTGTGATTCGCAGGTAAGTGAGTATTCAATTGAGCGAGTCCTACGAGGTCTCTTACTGTCTGGAAGACAACCAGATAGATGTAAGAATGCAGACCAAGTCTGGTATGAGAAAAGCCTGAAAAGTGATGATCGATAACGTATAGGCGGGGATCACTTGTTCATTTGAATGAGCATGCGGCTCATGAAAATTGAAGAGGGCGCTTACCTGGTCTGAGGTAGAAGAAAAGCGAATGAAAGGACACCGAGACTTCTCCTGACGCCGAGTCATCATCTACTAAACTTGACTCTGACTTGAGCACTGCGCCGAAGATCGGCATCGAGACTAGTGGAGGTGAGTGGAGCTCAGAGAGGGAAAAGGCTCAGTGAGGCCGAGCCTTTTTCGAGGGAGAGTTTTGAGCTGGCGCAGGGGTATACGAAATGCCTCCTTACCTTGCCCGCGATTACGATGAACTTGAAATTTACGCGTTGTTTGGGCGTGCTCTCCCAGCCAAACGTAAACAAGCGCCGTACTCGCTTGGCAAGTGTTTCTCCTTTGGCGTTGCTTTCTCCTTTCCATAGACGCTCCCCATGAGTGGTTTCCTCCCCTCGTTAGAGGGCTTCGCCAAAGTGTGTATAATCATTCAATTGCCGGACCTTCACTCAATTCCAATCGCAGGGAACACTGGCAACGGCGGCCACATTATCAACTGTTGGTTCGCGTCATGGTCGTATGGGCATTAGTCAAGCTACACTGACGTCTTGAATTTGTTAGGCGTTGGTCTGCTATACTATGGTCAAAATTACCTGATATACCCCTCAGCATTCCCGCCTGGATCTCGGACAGGTGCGTAGGCGACAGTGACATCCACACGTACTAATAACGTGCGTATTGCAGAGGTGCCCGTGCCAACCGACTTTGGTATCCCGTACCAACCCTTAGATTTGACAACCGACGACAACGTGCGGCTGCGGTGCTATCTACTCCCTCAGAGACAAGATTTGTCAGCTACGAACCCCGAGGCTGCTGTCTTGCCCACGGAGTATGAGAACGATGATGAGGTTTGGTGTTCCACGTATCCCGTGGCTTGTGCTAACTTTGAACTTTTGCAGTTCATTGCCAGTCGTCCGACAGTCATCATGTTTCATGGAAATGGTGGGAATCACGGCCACCGAATCCCACTAGCGAAAGTGTTTTTCATAAAGATGAGGTGCAATGTGTTGATGCTCTCGTATCGAGGGTTTGTGCGCCGCCACTTGCTTCACCGTGCACCTAACATTTTGGCTTTAGGTATGGGTTGTCGGATGGCTCGCCGTCAGAGAAGGGTACATTCTTCACTTGATCTCTTGCGAAGGCCGTTTAACAATCGAGTTCTGTAGGTTTGCAAATAGATGCACAGACGGCGCTGAACTATGTTCTCTCCGATCCAAACTTTTCGAGATCACCATTAGTACGGTTCCTCACAGACGCCTTTGACGTGTCTGACTACGCTTCTTAGATCCTCTATGGTCAATCGATTGGAGGCGCCGTAGCCATTGACCTTGCAAGTCGGAACCCAACCAAAGTACCATTTTCCGCTCGACTTGATCAAACCCATTCTGACATCGAAACACAGATCAGCGCGCTCATCATTGAAAATACGTTCACCTCCCTGCCAAATGTGATACCACATGCCCTCCCTCTACTGGGGCGCGTGTCCTTCCTCTGCCACCAAAAATGGGACTCGGCGTCCAAGATCCCTTTAATCCCAGCTACCACTCCCATTCTCATGTTGAGCGGGGCGAAAGATGAAATAGTGCCCAAGGACCATATGAGGGCTTTGTGGGAAGCGGTCGCGAAAAGGGGAGAGAAGAAGACTCCAGCGGGTAAAGAGTACAAGACGGGGTTGGAGAGGGCAAAGTTTATGGAGTTTGAGGACGGAACGCATAGTGCGTTCTTTGTTTATCATCCGATCGCGATGCAGCAACTCACGAATTTCTTAGACGATACCTGTGTGCAGACTGGTTATTGGACTGCAGTGGCTGACTTTGTGGCTAGCCTTGCTCGGGATGAGGGGCTCGAGAAAGAAACGTCGAGTTCACCACAACGACGTCATTCCCCTTCACGGCTATAGTTGCCACGATCCCCGTGATGAGGTGTCAGGGTCCTCCCCCCTATTCCGTCGCGTCCCTCTCTTGTTCTACTTTGTTTACTTCCCTTTCTTCTAGCTGGATTGTTGGACCTGTACCATAATTTTATTGCCTTGTTTCGATCGGATCGCCCTTGTACATACATGTGTCTTTTGCATTTCTGCTGCCCTTGTTCTCATTTTCGCGTTTTGTTTTTACACTCAGGGTTATCCAGACAAACTCCACTATTGAACGAAACATCTGTTATTGGGAGAAGGTGAGTGGAGCTGTTTGAATTGCCGTCTCCTGATCTGATGCTTGGAGCTAGTCAGGTGTGGGTAAAGGATCTCTCCATCGCTCCGTCTCCAAGTGTTCAAAACCCTCCCTTGATCAATATGATGAATGACCGTCGTCCTTCTTGGTTGGTAGACTTATTGCAAAGTCGCATGTTGTGAAGTCTCTACGACTCGGAGTTTATGGGTATGAATGACCATGACGCCGAATTCAACGCGCTTCCATTCTTCTCTCTTTTTTTTTTCTTGCGAGGAGCTAAAAATGATCTGATGCACTAAGTACGCGATGAATGCTCCTATCACCGACTGATGAAAACAAACGCAGGGAGTCCGGGACCTATGGATGCCATCACGGTCATCAGACCCTGAAGCTTGAAGCTTGAAGCTCTGAAGGTTGAAGTCTGGTGAAGTTCCAATAACCATAGGCAGAGTTTTTTATACTACGCGACTTACTCGGGAGTGAAAGTTTTAACTTTTGGCTCCTTCATTGTGTGAGTCAATCCATTCAACCAGCCTGACTCTTGAATATATGTATCCTCATTCAAAACAAACAGAACTATCCAAAAGAGCCCAGTTCTCCTTTTCTTCCACGGTCCTCCAGATCCGTTGCGCGTGAAGCGAATAGAAGTGGAGCGGCAACCAGGGTTTCAAAATCAAAGTGCTCGATTTGGTAATTGGCTTGCCTGTTCCGAATAAGCGCTGTTCAAATTTTCTGCGACTTCCCTCCAACAGCCAAACGAGAAAATTTCCCGCGTCATGAGGCCATGTCCGCGCAATGTTCCTTGATATTCTTGTTTCATTGCTGAACCGGTCATCACGGGTTTTGGGGGTATAAGTACGAGGCCGGTTTAGCTGGAAACCCCATCGACAACCGTCGTAGCTTCCTCAGCCTCCTCACTTGAACCACCTTCGCCAAACCACGCTCGTTAAGCACCCACGTTCTTTCAATCACAATGCCTTCCTTCCGAATCATCTCTCTCCTCGCCACCATTGCTTGCGCTGTTTTCTCCAACGCGGCGCCCACAACTACGCCTGCTGAAGTCTCAAACCTCGGTAACGCTGCCGGTAGCACTCTTGCTGTCGCCAACACACGGAGCTTCGACCGCAGAGACACCGACCTCCCAGGCGTCCCCGACGACATCGCTCAAGGGTACAAGAATGCTGTCAGCACCGGCGACGTTGCTGCCACTCCCTCAACCCAAGACGTGAAGCCACGCGACGAACAGGCTCAATCAATTCCAATTATTCTTGTCAGTGTCACCAACCAAATTATTCCCGTCGTCCGCCAAATCAGTACGTGATTATCTCGTTTGGATGCAATGTTTCTTACCCGTTTGTTTCGGCTAGGAGCCATCGTCGTGGTCGACGTCCAGATTGATGTCCTCGCTGGCCTAATCGTGCAGATCCACGATATCGTCGCCGGCGCGATAGTCGACATCAGAGTCCTTGCTGCAAATCCCACTGTTGGCGTTCTTGCGCTCGGGGCCAGAATCCTCTCCATCCAGGAAGTCGCTTACATTGTCGCCACCATCCTCTACGTATGTTGATCGCGTTCTGAGCATTAAAAAAATGTTTCTGATCAACAATACACTCTTCACAGCTTATCTTTACTGCCCTCGAGATTGTCGTCCGCACGGTGGCCGTCGTCCAACTCCAAGTGGTCGCTCCCTTGGTTATCTCGGTTGGGTGAGTGTTTTCTTCCCCGTGGATACGCAGCAGCATATTGATTCGCGAACTTTTACTTCAGCGGCGTCGTCGCCTCACTCCTTTTCCAGGTCTTCCTGCTTGTTGGTGGCCTCTCAGTCGTCGTTGTGCCCCTTGTAACGGGCCTCGTCGCCACCCTCGTCGCCCTTGACCTCAATGTTGTCGTACACGTCCTTGGCCTCTCCACATAGTTTCTTGTTCGTATTTTATTTCGAGCGGTAATAATTTGATCTTGGTAGAGTTACGCTCTTATCTTTGCAATGATAATCGAGTAATCTATGTTTGGCTGATCAACCTCCGCTAACCTTTGCTAGTGATATAATAAGGGATGTAAATTTATTTATTTCCACGTCGACATGCAAAACCCGAGACGATCGTCAAAGTCTGCCTTTGAGTTATGTCGGCGAAGACACTGCTTTTAACTTGGTGAAAAACGGAGCACTTATTTGTCACGGTTTTGTCATAAACTTGATCCTGTCATCTACCTCACCAAATTCGAACGCTTAGAAGCACACAATAGCCCTTGACTTTGAAGGGCAAAGATGAACTTGAAGACTGCCAGTATTAGAGCTCTTGTGGTCTGGGATAAGCATGTCACTTGGAGCAACAAGTTCACCCCACTGGAATACCCCGTTCGAAGAAGAATTTGGCGTTTTTGCGATCAGGAAGCCCTTTCACAGATATCTTTTGAAAAGAGCGTCTTTTTTGTCCTTATAGAGCGGATTCAAGCGCCCAAAAATCACCATTTGTCATCCACAAATTTAATGGCTGCCGAAGAATATCTGAAGGAGCTGATTGCGTGCCAGTTTCAAGCCAGTTTAGCTAGAAAAAAAATGCAGTCCTTTGCAAAAGCTACGACTGTCACTTCAGGCTCTGGTTGTGGAATCGGCGCTTAACCCACGCCCAGGGCTCTCACCGATTGATCGCCTCATGAGACAAGTCTCCATTTTACGAATATCCTCACACGAGCCGCGTTTTTTATGGAAAATTCCGTTTCGGCCAGAACTTGACGTAGGAGTGCGGGTTTATTGCAATATTTGGTCCGTCTTCTGGAACCCAGACACCAAAAAAATAGCCTGACAACAGCAAAAGTTGTGGAATTGTAACAGTAAGCGCTGTCAGAGTTTTGCAAATGGGAAGTCCGTGGGCAAATCGCCTGTATCGCTATCTGAACCCAACAAACGTAAATACTTAGAACCAACTTAGAACGGAATGGTTCAGGCTTTCAGCCACTTCAGGTTGATCAGGCCAAGCTCGAAACAGGAGTTCGTGCGCTTAAAGCTTATCAGTTGCAAGCTGAACACATCGGTAAAGCTGTATTCTGAAGACCAGCTGGCTGATGTGAGTTCCAAGTTTGCAGTTGTACCTGTCATTCTTCATGAACGCTAACATTTCCTGTAGGATGGGGGACAACTTTCATGCGACGTGGGGCGCTTGCCAGGTTCATGGATGATAACGCTGTCTATGACCGCCCCTTTGATCATCGTGCCTCAGTTCTCCTTGGCCGACTCAACACCCATGGTTCGGTGAAAACGATATCCCTCAGAATTGGAATAGACGCCCAATATATTGAAGAGCAAAAGGGGGTAATACCCCCACACCTCATTGGTTGGGAGAGGTTACGGAAGAGGAACCGAGAAGTCCGGAGTTCAAAGAAAAAAGGCGGTTATGGACTAAGAGGGAGGCACGAACAGCAAAGGAACTGTTATCAATCTGTGAGGTTTTGCATATCCTTTTTTCACAGTAGTGGTGTCATTTTATCCAGTCACCGCTGCCGTTTGCAACTTGTTTGGACACAATCGTTATCATGCTCTTCCGCTCACCCATCAAACCAGAGCGCCCGACGTCATTCGGCAGTGCGCCCTGATCATGAGAAGCGGCTTGGCGCCTAAACCGTAGTCGATTTCTACTTCACTTGGCTCAAATGGAAGGGGATTTACCAGGACACTTTGGGTATGTATGTTATCAAGAACGTTTGGAGCAATCTTCACTAATTGTGCATCTGAACAACAGGTCATCAATTCTTCAAGGGGCTTCACAGCTCGTTGTCTCTGGTGGAGAATTCACCAGTTCTGAAGGCGACCATAATCGCCTCACTATCAACATTCGTAAGACTTTATCCTCGGATTTAAGTTCTTATTTGAGAACTGGTACTTAGATCAAGGTGTGAAACGGCACAGGGACGATCGACCTGAGTCGGTGAGTAGTTTATCTACAGGACAACACTTGTTTCGCTAAAGGCTTTGGTAAATCGATTTAGTTATATACTCGACGTCAAGGCCTGCGGAGTCCCAGGAGAGGTAGGATACAGAGTACGAATGCATACTTCTTCTGTCATCTGACTTCCTGGACCAGGTCGTATGGTTTCTCGTGACGTGAGTCGAAAACATGCACCCCTGCCTCTATGTTTACGCCCCCTCAGTCATACGATACGCAACGCGAAGAGTCCAAAGAGAAACAGGGCAGCAATGCTGTTCGACGGGGGGACAATACCTCAGTCCGGGGTATGCAGTCTGTCGCACAAACCGACCGGGTACGTGGGTTTCTTTCGTAAATCAACTGAAAACCAACCTAACATCCTTCTTAGGATACCATTACCCGTTTGCTATACTCTATTGGTAGCAAGCGGGAAGTTGAACGTCATCTCCGTATCTTTTCATCGGCGTCAAACCCTTCCCAGCCTGCCAAGTTTGCAGTCATCAAAGTTGGAGGGGCTGTCCTTTCACACTTGGACGAATTAGCTCTTAGTTTGAGCTTCCTCTACCAAGTGGGGCTCTACCCGGTGGTACTCCATGGTGTTAGACCCCAGATCAACGAGAAAGTGGAGGAGGACGGCGTCGTTCCAGACTACATCGACGGCATACGGGTTACTGGTCCGTCTCACGATTACGCGGACTAGTCTGGATTCGCTGAATGCTCCATAACAGATGCCAAGACTCTCCAAATCGCACGAGAAGTATTCTTGGAAAAGAATTTGAATCTCGTGACTGCACTGGAGAAGCTCGGGACCCGTGCCCGCCCCATCACTTCGGGTGTCTTCACCGCTGAATACCTGGACAAGAAGACGTACAAACTTGTTGGGAAGATTACGAAGGTTGACAAGCGGCCCATAGAGGCTTCTATTCGTGCTGGAGCTCTCCCTATCCTTACCAGTCTAGCGGAGTCCGCTGACGGTCAAATTCTCAACGTCAATGCTGACATCGCCGCGGCCGAGTTAGCCAAGGAGCTTCGGCCCATGAAAATTGTCTTTTTGAACAACGACGGTGGCTTGTTCCATGGCGTCACTGGGAAAAAAATAGATGTCATTAATCTAGACGAGGTTCGCCATTTGCTAAGTGTGCGGACGATTGGCTGACCCGACCTTCACAGGAATACGACACATTGATGAAGGAGCCCTGGGTTAAGTATGATACCAAACTCAAGCTGAGGGAGTTCAAAGAACTCCTTTATCACCTCCCTCGCTCATCCTCCGTGGCTGTCATCTCAGCTTCTTCTCTTCACAAGGAGTTGTTCACGGATAGTGGTGCTGGGACCCTTATTCGACGAGGGTACAAACTCTTCAAACACGATGATATCGAGAAGATTGGTGCAGATCGTTTCCGTCAGGTTGTTCACGATCGTGATCCAGAAGTTCTTGCTGGATTCCAGAGCGTCGCTGGTGTTCTCAGCGATCTGAGGAAGACTCCATACAGCGTGTATGGAGATGAGCCTTTGGATGTCGTGGCAATCGTCTCCCATCCTGAGGGCGAAGTTCCTGTCATGACCAAAATGCTCTCATCTCGAGGCGGGGTCTGGAGCGACGTCGTGGACAACGTATTCACTGCCATCAAAAGAGATCATCGCAAGCTATTCTGGACTGCACCACATGAGGATGAAAACCGGGTGTGGCACTTCGAGCGCGCTGATGGAAGCTTCACCAGGGCAGGAAAGAGCCTGTTCTGGTATGGGGTGCAGGATGTCGCGGAGGTCGAGAAAACCATCAAGGACTTTGAAGCAAAAGGAAGGATTGAGCGATCCTTCCTTCCAGTTGGGCCATCAGCGCCTCCTCTTCGATTAGTCACCATTCCAGCGGGCGCTCGTGCATCCTCCACGATGGCTAGACGCTCCATGAGTAATAGCCCTGGCTTATCTCGAGGGTACGCTCCAGCAGTTGCGCCGACTTCTTCAACGGAGCTCAAGCTCGGGGCTCGCGGGTTCATTGGGCAAGCCCTCACAACTCACCTCTCCGCGCACCCCCACCTTCACCTCAGCCATGTATCCTCCAGGCAGCTCGGTGGATGCCCTCTTGGTGGATATATTAAGAACCCAGTTACTTACTCCAACCTCTCTCCTCAGGATGTTGAGAGTCTCGAGACGTCAGGTGAGGTTGATGCTTGGGTAATGGCGCTACCGACTGGCGTTCGCAATACCTGTGTGGATGCCGTTGGCTGTGGCGCCAAGAGTCGCAAGACAGCGGAGTGTAGCGTCGTGGTTGACCTCGGCGCGGATCACAGGTCTGAGAAGGGGTGGACGTACGGTCTTCTGGGTGAGACTTCTTCGTGATCCAATGTAACTTCAACTCAATGAATGTACTAACCTATCCATAGAACACACTCTTGACTTTCTAAACCACCTTCTGACATTTGTCGCTATTTGTCTTGAACTTTTCAACATTGGCTAAGGAACTCATCGGTACAGGTGTAGATCGCTTTATTATTCGTTATTGACACTCGTCTTGATGCTTTTCTACGTTTTTGTGTACACCTCCAAATTCTCAGAGATGTCAGTCGAAAGGGGTGCATATTACTAGTTGGTTTTTATTTTTGTTCGAAGGCACGACAACTGAGTTCCAGAGAAGAGGATGCACAGCCTTGGAACACTGCGTATCTGATTGAGTAATTGTAGGTTGCTATTCATTTCTTATCAGGGTCCGCACCTTTCTTCCGACTTCCACCCACTCCGAATGCTCAGCCACAACTCCCAGAGTTATTGGACGATGAACTGGACGACTACGAGAACGGGCGCCTAATGCCCTGTAACGAGCAAGGGACGGGATAACATCGCCAAACACGAGGCTGTCGTTGCCCTCTCCCCTTGGCGAGCGGTCCGATCCTAGATACGACAATTTACAGCACGAGCGCGCGAATACACACCTACCATCTTCTAAGCATCGCCTTCGCCCCCTTGAATACCACCACCAATGTCTTCGATGGGGGACAGATATTCGCAGGTGCCTCCTTCGAGGACAAATGAAAGAGGGAGCGCACACCACCATCAGCAACACCCTTCACAACGCCAGCGCTTTCCGGAGGATACCCCAAACTTCAATGAGAGACCCGTCAAGAGTGTATGTGGCCCATTTTAAATAAATTTCAATCATAGCGCTAACCAATCGATCGTGTTCCTCCAACTTTGCTTCCGCGGCTTGTAGGTCCCTCCGCCGGCGGTGAATAAACCCACGGATGCAGAGTTCTTTCTTCAAGACGAACATGGAGAGATGAAGCCCAATCATGCTTTCTTGAAGGAACACTTCTTTCGCGAGGGACGATTGCAGGAGGAACACGCACTCTACATTTTGGAACAAACAACCAAGATTTTGTCCAAGGAGCCCAACATGGTGCATGTCAGGAGTCCTGTAACAGGTGAGTACTGACTCTGGTATAGTTGGAGTTGACCAACATGTGTCCGTAGTTTGCGGAGATATCCACGGACAATATGTACGAGTTGTCATGTTCCGGATTACAGGCTATCAAGTCTCATGTACGAATGACAGTACGACCTTATGAAATTATTTGAGGTGGGTGGACCGATGGCGGATAATACCTATCTTTTCCTGGGGGACTATGTGGATCGGGGAGACTTTGGCATCGAGGTAAGGCTATTGTCCACCCTTCCCCTTCCCAATGAATCTGATGATCCCTAGTGTCTGCTATATTTATACGCTCTCAAAATATGGAATCCCACAGGAATCATCCTTCTACGCGGCAACCACGAATGCCGACATCTCACCGAATATTTTACCTTTAAACGAGAATGTAAGCATCGATGACTGCCTTGTGGTTTCCGCCATCGCTGAGCATCTGCCAACCATTCTCCTAGGCCTTCATAAGTACTCAGAGCGTGTTTATGAAGCGTGCATCGTTTCATTTTGCGCCCTCCCGATCACTGCATTGATCGACAACCGTTTCTTCTGTGTCCACGGTGGTATCTCTCCACAACTTGTGCATCTCAGCGATGTAGATGCAGTATGCCTCCTGCCCGCCCCTCCTCTCAAACATTTGATCTCATGCCGATCTAGATTGACCGTTTCCAGGAGCCAGGTTCCCATGGCCTGCTATGTGACTTGCTTTGGTCGGACCCTGTGTCAAACTACGGTCATGAGCACGAGCCGACCGCTCATGGACCAGGGCTTGCGCCCGGCCAGGCATTCCTGCATAACCAAACGCGCGGATGCTCATTCTTCTTCACGTCAGCCTCTTCGTCCTCTGTTCAGTGTTTGCCTGCTCAACTTAATTCCCAACAGCTATGAAGCAGTGTGTGCTTTCCTCGAGCGAAACAATCTCCTCACCGTGATTCGGGGACACGAAGCTCAGGATGCCGGGTACTTGTCTCTTCCCCTTCATGAGCGCTGCTTGTCGTTGATATACCTCTGGAACGGATAAAGATATACCATGCACCGCAAAACTCCCAAGAAAAACTTCCCCTCAGTCATCACCATCTTCTCCGCTCCTAACTATCTTGATGTGTACCATAATCGTGGTGCGGTTCTCAAGTACGCAAACAAGAATATCACGATTCGGCAGTACAACTCTAGCACGCATCCCTATTGGCTCCCGAACTTCATGGATGCGTTCACGTGGAGTCTACCTTTCGTTGGTTCCAAAAGTGCGTTCTTCTTTCTTCAGTCCTCGTTACCTCTTCCTAATGGCAACCGATATAAAGTCACGGAGATGCTGCTCGCCATTCTAAGCATATGCAGCGACGACGAACTCGTTGAGTCCGAATCGGACGAGGATGCAGCGGCCAGAGGTGCGGGTGAACCCCCACAAAGCCCGACAGACTTGGCGCAAAGAAGGCAGCTGATCAAAAACAAGATCATGGCTGTGGGGAAGATGCAACGCGTTTTCCAAATCCTCCGGTTCGTTTACCACATGTAATATCTGACTTGAAGCTGATTTCCTGCAGAGAGGAAGCAGAGAACGCTACTGAGTTGGATTCCCCTACCGAGGGCGGCTTCTCACAAAGGGGTCCCGATGCCCTTACTGTGCAAGGCCACAAGATCGGAAAGAGTATCCGAACCTTCGACGACGCGTATGCTTCCTCTCCATCCACCTCCGTTCTTTGCTCACATTTCCCCCTTCAGACGCCGATCTGATATCGCGAACGAGCGCCTTCCGGACTTTGACCCTCAACGGCCGACGATATTCCCTGTACCTAGTATGCGGCTCAGTAGCCGTACAGACTTGCCGGATGGCATGGATATGGAGTATCTGATCAAGAGAACGCTGGATGAGGATGAGGCTGAGGCAACGGGGATGAGCACGAGTACGGTGGAGAGGCTGGCTGACCGGATCGCTCAAGGCAGAAAGCCTACCGGGCGGCCGGGAGCTCTGAAGAGACATGAAACAGTGATATAGTGTTACAGGCGTAGGGCTGGTTGGTTGGCAGGGGGGGGCAGTCGGATCTACAGATGGGGGCATCATGGTCAATGTATCTCTTTCCTTGCTTTATGATTTTTTTTGCTTTTATTGACTTCTTTCTGGGTTCCGTTTTGTTTTGTTGCATTACTATGGAATATTTTGCTCAATGGACTTGTGTTGTGTATAAAGAAAACCATAGCGCGGTGTATTCTGATGCGGGTTTGAGCCCTAATTGTAGGACTGAAGAATGGTAAATGGAAAATGCTGATTCAAGAGGCTTATAGTGTTCACGAAAGCTTTTCCGCACGAGCTAGAAAACATCTGGTTAGCAGGTTGAATGTTGTGAATAGATAGAAACTGACCTTTATTCTCTTTCATCCCTCTCCTCCGTGTCTCTGTCCGAGGTATAGGTTTAGTTTCTTCTGGTAGCTTCACTTTCTTGCCCATGGGTCTGGCCTCAGGCTCCTCTTCCACTTCTTCAACATCCGAGGAATGTTCCTGTTCAACATCCTTCAACCCATTCACAATATCATTGTTCACCTCCTCATCTTCGTGTTCCTTTTCTTTATCATGCTTTCCTTATCTTCCCCCCCTCCTCCTCGTCATCATCCTGGTTCATCTGCGTGAATCTAGTCTGCTCCGGTGTTTGTCAACATGACTGTTGAGGTCCATAGTATGCATCAAAGCCGCCATTCCCATCATCCACGTCCATGTCGACATTATTCTGTCCACCATCGTCGTAACCCCCGCCTTCATACGGCCAATCAGATTCAGGTGCTACTTCGCGTCGGCTGGTCGAATTTGAGAGGTTCGATGGATCAGGACCGTAATTTGCCTTTGACTGTGATCGGGGGTTCGGGAACGGGATCCGGTCGAAGTCAACATTAGCGGTAAGCACCACCAGACGGCTCGTCGACCCGACGCGATTTAACGTCGTCGGCGAGATTGGCAGACACATGCTACCCAAATTACTAACAGGACCTGCACCATCAACCAACCATTAGCTTAGCTCAACCGAACACAAATCCACATACTATCAAGCTGCATCGACATCTCCCCATCCATTTCATCATACTCCGGATTAACAATGGGTACAATGCTCTTCTTCCTCTTAGGCATAAGGGGCATCACATCGTCCATCCGCCTCAAGACCTCCTCGAACGGCTCAAACCCATCAGACTTGCGCTCGACTTGTGGGATTGTTAAGCCCGTTCTCTTGCCCACTTCACCTGCGTTGCCTCGGTAGGGTAAGTAGGGTTTTATGGGCCCTCTGCGTGCTATGCCGACGCTGCTTTTGCGCACAGAGGTCGGCATGGAGTGGCTGGTCGTTGGGCTGAGTGCGGAACACACAAGAGCGTCAAACAAACGCGACGCGCTTGGTCGTGTTTGGCTACAGCTTGAATCCCAGATGCGTTCCTCGTAGTCTTAGAGGTCAGCTGCTAAAAATTGTCCTCGCAGGCCCATTGGCAAGTATTTTGGTGGTTCATCCGCGACGAATGTTTCTGAGAATGGGCCATGTAGATTCAAGAGCCCAGAACCCTCATGGTGACGGCCGACAAGCCCGAGAAAGCAGTCAATCCTGGGCACACTCTATACGATGGTAGCCAGTGTGGCAGTATCTTGGACGCGACGTTATCAAGTCAACTTTTTGGTGGACGCCATCTCAGATCATAGAATAGGTCCACAACAACGTCAATGGTGGCTTGACTTTTCGGGCAATGGTCCAATCTCATGGGCAATCAATCCTAGTGGCTGCGTACATGCACTCAAGTCTCTGAATCATGTTTTCATTCCAGGGATAACAGGTGGAAATAAATTGAAGGAACGTTGCAGAGGAGTGAGGTGAGGTTTTGGAAAGTTGCTCTGGAATAACGCATCTGCCAGGTAAAACGCCTTGAGGGGAGAGGATGCGACTCGGTGCCTCGAGGCGCATCACATTGTTGGGAAACGCGTGGTCCTGTGCAACGGGTCCGAGTTTCTGGTAACCGGATTGAGAATAGCAGTTCGAGGATTGGTGGAGAACCACTCACCGAGCTCTTCGATTTACATACGTCGCCTTGCAGGCAGATAGCCAAGAAGTATGCCCCCCCATCAGGTGATACAATCGTGCAATCAATGCTACGGCTAAGGAGCACCTTTGGCAAACGAATTGTCAGACTTTGCATTCATAGAATCGCAGGAAAGTAAGCGTGCCAAATTTGTCGAAATATAGAGACAGTACGAAAACTTACAGATATGTTGCACGTCCCAAAAAATGAGACTGAATTGAGTAGTCGTGCAGGAGATGCGTTGCAGGAAAAGAAAGGGCACGTGCAACCTTGGCATACGAGATTGCGCAAACAACATCAAATACAGATAGGCCGACATAGGCACGCGTTCTTTGACATCTTTGACTCAAAGGCATATCCCTAGTGCCCCAAAACCAGAGGAGGTCCAAGTCTACGTCCAGCTTATTCCACAATTCGATGTCGCAATTGCCAGAAAATCACTCCTCGCCCACGGATGATCGGCGACGCGGAACTTTTGTCATGATAATCCCATGTACGATAACAAAGGATTCGTTGGAGACTTTGGAGACCCTTCGAAGGGTGATTTCGGGTTTAGACACCGCCCTACAAGTGAGGATGTTGTTTGAGGAGGAATCTCCAATTGCCATTGTGGAATATACCTCCCCCGAGCTAGGTAAAGACGTCGAAATTTGATGCTTCTCTTTGTGCTCTGAAAGCGCATTCATAGCCGAGACCGCTGTGTTACAGCTAAATAATCGACCCTCGAGGTTCATTTTCGCCGGCTTTCCTCGCGTTCTGAAGTCACTGCCGAAAGATTGCACCGATTTCATGCTTCACAATTTACTGCAACCTTTCGGAACCGAGATTGTCGCGACACGTGTTCACAATAAGCTTGAGGGTATTTCCTTGTTCAGAACAGAGGTAGCAGCTCGAGCCATCCGGAATCAAGCGAGCTTGGCTCAAATTCAACTTCATGAAGTGGACTTTTCGGTGTACCTAACGTCCGTACGTATCTTGTTTTCTGATCCATACTCAGGGTCACTGATATGTCGCATAGGAGAAAAACGTGAGCTCAAATCAGAAACCAGATTCCCCAGAGCTCACTCAACTTTAGGTTTCCAATGAAGGGAACGCTTCTTCGATGCCAGGGGTAGTAGATGACTTCGAGAACGCTCCGCCTCCCTTGTATTCGGAGAATTTGGTAGCTAACTTGGGAGAATCGCTACGCTCCTTTGTAGGGGGCGTCATGGAGGCATTTCGGAGCCAAAGAGAGGATGATTCCGCAAAAGCAAATTCTCCCCTCGAGGACGCGCTGCTGAGTATCCAAAAAACTATGAAACAGACCATTACGGAAGCGAAGCTGGCGTACTCAACTGCTAGACGTGTTGAAGACGCTTTCAGATTACAATCAGAACTTGTAAACCAATGCGAAGCGATGCGGGAGTCCGTTGAGGAGTTGAGCGAAGAACTAAAAGTTATTCATAAAGTCGACGCAGAAGGTTCAGCTCTTCGATGCCAGATGAAGACACTTTACAAGACGGTTGAAGAGTTGTCGCGTAGGGCTTCAAGATCGCAGTCAGAATTTGTCAGCGAATGCGGAGCCCTGCGAGAGTCCGTTGAGGGATTGAGCGAAGAACTGGATGATATCCAACGAGTGTCGGCTCAAAAGTCCGACTTGGAAACCTTGAAATTGAAGATCGAAGAACTGCGGCCACGAGTGAACCGACTCCCCGAAATTGAGGGGCTACTCACAAAATCCGATTTGAAGATAGCCTCTCTTGAAACAGAAATTCTCAAAATCAGGCAAGATCAAGCGTCACTGCGAGAGCTTGAGTTCCTGGTGCAACTCAATATGACAAGCTCGAACCAATCCGCAAACAAGTCCAGCTTTGGCGCGAAGAAAGCACGATTCACAGTACCCTTATCAGCAAAAGCCGACAGTCCCGAGCGCGGGGCAAATCAGGGACAGCGTGACTTTGAGGGTTCCGAATCCGATTTACAGGAGCAGTTGTTAGAAGCGCAGGATACAACGGAGGCCCTGCGTTCCGAAATCACCGCCGTTCGTCAGGAGAGGCAACATTACCACCGTGCCTCTCAGAAATTAGAAGCTGAGGCCCAAGAAGCGCGGAAGATGTCCGCCCTTTGGGAGGAAAGATATCAGGAAAGCAAGAGACAGGGGGAGACGGAAGCTTGGGAAGCAGCTACCGAAATCACGAATCTCCGTCAAGAGTGTGCCGAAGCAAAAACTAGGCTGGCCCCCTGGACCGACGAACACGCTGTGCAAAATTTCAAGCGGATTTTGAGTGAGTTTGAGAAGATGGATTTTTCCAAGGCGCGGCCTCTTACCCAACAAGGAATCCCGTGGCCAACCTTCGTAGACCTCAGCAAGTCCAACTTGGACATCGTCCAGGAGATGACCGTAGGTAATGTCGACCGCTTTTGCAAAGCGTTGGCAAAAGGGATGGAGCCGGCTGAGAGATCAAAGGTTCTTCGAAATCTTCGAGTTCTATTCCACCCAGATAGGTGGAGCAGTAGGCGCATTCTTGAGAGCGTCATTGATGAAGGCCTCCGCCGTTCGTTGATGCAGGCAGGATTGGTAGCTTCTCAAGTTCTGCCGCTCAGTTGAAACCATCATGTTCAAAGGAGCTCGAAGAGCTTGTCGGAAAAGTCGATAGCTTGTAACTGGAAATATGATCAGGGAATGAAAGGCATTGTCAGTCCGCGGCGCAACTACTTAGCAGACTGAAAAAGCGTGACATACAATTTCAAGCTCCGCCGAATACCGGAACACGGTTGCCACTACTTAAACTTGTCTCCCTCAACTTTCAACGTAGAATTGTTCAACTCAACTTGAGTTCCCTCCTTATCTTCTTTGTATATGGCAGAAAGTTTTCATTCTCAAGGTCTACCGATTTTGCTGGTGGCGCCAGTGGCACCCCTAGCTATCGAGCTGAAGACTCTCAGAAGCGCGCTTCAAGGCTTGGATATCCCCATGAGTTTCACTCTAATATCGGGAGACCGAATAGATTCAGAAAAATGTGTTTTTGTGGTGTTGGAGTTTTCAACCTTTGATCATGGTGTGTCAAACCCCCAACCTCTTCTGCTGTTCGTCGGACGGTCGGTAATTGAATCACTCACAGCCGAAGACGCCCTAAATGTATTGAATATGTCTTCCCAGAAAAGCGGGCGCAGTGTCGGTCCACCTAGAGATGACACCAGTGTATCTCCTCCGTTTATCGCTGGCATTCCACTGGTTTTGAAATCTCTATCGGAGTCTTACACGGATGCCATGCTGCAGGACCTGATATGTCCCTTTGGATCAGTCATATATGCTCGTATTTCTGAGAACCTTGGTGGAGTCGTTCTATTCCGGACGAAAAACGAGGCAATGGATGCTCAAAAAAATGCGGGTCAAGCACAGATATTGCTTGAAGAGTTGGATTACTCAAATTGTTGGCAATTGGTTCGTGTATCTCATATAACTTAGACTACCTGTAATTAAAATCCACACAACTCCAGATTGGCGAAACGACCGCTGATGATGACGAACCGTTCCAAGTGCGTTACTGTCTGTTGGCTAGCTCATCAAAAGTGATTTTTTTCCAGGTCATTGACGACCTTGACACCCGCGATATCATCCTTTTCAAAGATGTGCCATCAACACGGTCAAAACTTACCGATTTGATGCTTTCCTTAGCCCGTCGTTTTATCAGCAACGCCCCGCAGGCGATTTCTGGTATCATCTTACCAACCAAGTTCTCATTCAGGCCCAGCCAACCAGAACGAACAAATGGGTCTGAGACGACGATTGAAACCAGATGCTCCGATTTAGAGGCTACGATTCGCGAACTACGAGATGAGATTTCTGGGATCCGACGAGCCACAGAGAATAAACTCGCAATCGGAAACCAGCAAATATACAACCTCAGCAGTTCACAATCCGAGAATCAACAACGCGGTAAACATTTTATGCCGGTACAGCTTTCAAAACTATCCACAGACAACGCCCTAAGGATGCAACACTCGGTAATGGAACAAATACTCGAGCTGCTAGTTGATCTCGGTGCGGATGAGAGCAACTCGAGACTGGAATCCTTGACAGCTACGGTGAGTGGAATACAAGTGCTCTACCAGAATGTCTCCGTTGACGTCGAGCCTCGAGGAGATGAGGGATCCACATGCCTCTACGAAAAGGGTCAGTGATACAGAGGCCTTGCTAAGCAAAATCAGAAATTTGGAATCTGGCCTCGCCACGCTTCGGGAGGAAAGGAATAGGGAAAGGGAGGAACGTCTTGCTGAAATTCAGGAGCTGAGAGAACTGCGCGCTGAACTAGTACGAGGAGGACGTGGAGCGCCATTGTCGAAAGAAAGAATACAGAACTCTAAATCTACAACGGAGGGGGTTCAACGGACACAGCCTGGAGAAGAACGGCGTCTTCCAAGAGACTCGCGCAAAACTAAAGCCACTTTATCAGATATTCAACGGATTGATGTAGACGCTACGATGATACCATCCGCGCAGACACCGTTAGCTTTGCTGCGGCCCCGAACGGGAGGGTCTCGACGGACCCTCGTGTCAGCTAATGAGGAGAAGTGAAATAACGCTGGGATCAAGAGATCACACACCGGTAAGCAGAAGGTCAAGGTAGAAGATAATTTTTTTGTTTCTGTGGGGGATTCGGATATTGCTCCAGGGACAGGTGCCGGAGAGATGTTGAGTGTTTGTATGGAGAACTGGAAGCTGTCAGACAGACAAGAATATATGCTAAATGGGATGGATATTTGAGTTACATCAATGCGGACGAGACCGGGGAAAGGTCTGAAAAAATTCCTCAGACTCGTGGGGGACTTCATCGAATTAGCCCTCCCTCGGTAAGTCTTATCCGGTGTACCTAGTGTGTGCCTTCCCGCCCTTCTGAGGCTCCCTCGTGATCCGCATTGCGAAGGTCGCCCCATTTGATTTAAATGAATTTCATACTTTTGTTTTGCTTACAATACGTCTCGAAGGTCGGAAACGCCTATGTAGAGGGACCTGTAAGTCCTCAAAGGGCGCGCATCAAGATATTCTCTCCAAGAAAGACCGTCGTGCGTATTCTCGTTGTAGTACAAATCTTGTAGCATGGCGAGATCTGTTCTGGTGATCATGAGTCTTGCTGGACAGAAGACAGATCGGTCACCCACTGGCACGAGGCAGCGACATCAACCAGGCGGCAAGGCCCGAGTGAGCGCAGCGCAGCTATTCAGGAAAGAACCAACGAAGCCGGAACTTGCGAGTTGTGACTCACTCGCGCCCTTCGTTCTAACTTCGGACAACGTTGCTTTAACTGCAACAATGCAGATTCGGAATTGTGGGTATTAAACAAGGTTCTGTGAGAAACATCAGAGAGTGAGATGAAGAGCCTGGTCGCTCAATAGATTGCCTGTAAGATAAGTAAGTGATACGATCAGACGCCATCATCAGATTTCCCCATCCACAAAGTGTTCGTCACCAACGGCAGTATCTCCTGCGCTGCTGAGGAGGGCTTTATGAAGGATCCTTTCATCTTTATACTCATCTTTTGCGAATGCACCAACAGCATCCCACAATGCGAGAATAGGCTTGATGCGCATAGACTGGGTCCTGATTCTGATCCACTCCCAGTATTCGGGATACCATCCAGAGAACTCCCAATCGATTATTCCAGCAAGTTGGCCATCCCTTACAAGGATGTTTCCTTGATGCAAATCTGCGTGTGTGAAGCAAATTCTGTGCTGCTTTGCATGCACAGGTTCTGCGAGCCGACGAATTTTTGGGAGACGCCATTTACGTCCGACACGAGATAATAACATCTCGTGGAATGCGTCAATGTTCTCAAATGGCTCGATTAACTGTGGGTCTGATGCATGGCTCCAAATCAGCGGACCACCATTTAAACCTGAGATGGGGCCGGAGCTCGGTGGTGGTAGACTTCGAAGCTCACGAATGGCATTTCGAAGATCCTCCAAAAGTTTCTGGGAGTCTGAGAGACGTAGGGAGGGTTCACATCCATCCAGTATTTTCCTGCATTGGTTGAATTCATCTCCCCTAAAGTTTCCGGCCATCAGCCTCGCGATCTGCACTTCAAATTCCGGAGGCCAATCTGTGCGATTTTGGATCCAACCCGACAACCTCTCCCCTTCAATGAATGACATAACGATGATTCCATGCAATGGAGCTGGTTGTGACTCCGAAATGTAGTAGCCTTTCGGAGCTGGGAAACTGATGAAGTCGTACACAATTGGAACGGGGATAGACGTGTTTCTTGCTACAAAACGCATATTTTGGACTTCGTATTGGGGTGGGCGAGTGGTAAACTTCAACACTACTCCAAATGGTAATCTGGTAACGCCGAAAGGCCCAGTTTGGACGCCGTAGCCATGAAATTCCATGTATCGGTATGCCCAAAGACGGATGGAGGACGGAAAACAATGAAGCCAGATCCACTTTGGAAGAACAAGAAATTTGGAAGCGATCCAAGACCAAGAGTACCGTGCCAACTTGCTGAACATTGAGTTGCTGGGCTTGGTTAACGTTCAAGTCAAGTTTAAGTGGCGGTCTACCATGTTGAAATGTCACATGTGACATGTCACAATTTACGACTTAGAACAAGAATTACAGAATCTAACTCCATGCACCTGCTGAAAACCTTTGGCAAATCCCCTCCATATTCCGCGGCACATGCCCGTTCTACCAACTCAGCTTCGAGCAACTCCAAGCGCTTCTGTGAGCAGCTGACAAACATGCCGGAATCATTCAAGCAGCGGATAGCTTCACGGAACCAGACCCGACAGCTGAAAGTTCGTTCGCGATTGACTTGGGTGTCTACGGTCATGGTAATATCTCTCAGATATAGATCGAGCGTTTCGTGATTTAATCCATCTGCCAGTTGGCCAATCTTGGTGAAGGTTACGGCTAGTACTGATTCTGGGCCATTCCAGCGAGCGACCTCATGGTAGAGTATTCGCTTTTGTGGTTGCATGAAATTTGTATCCACCCTTAGGAGTCTGCCGCGAAAGTAAAGGCGTTAGAATCACTCTTCAGTAGTTCTAGAATTACCCACAATACAGAGGTAGATCATCCAATGAAATGTGCCCGGAACGTCGGTTCGAGTGAGAGCTGCGTATATACCGTTGGGAACATAGCTGGTAGTGCTGTTCCTAGAATCAACCCGTAAGTGTTTACCAAGATAAATGGGCCAAGAATCGACAGTACATACATGATTCCGAGTCGCAGATGGGGGGCGTAAGGATTGAGTTGCTGTTGGAAGAGTTGAAAAAAGCAAGGAGGTTTTATAGTGATTGTCGCCAGCATTGCGACGGCCCATCCCCAAATGATAAAGCTGTTATTGATGCGCCAGTAATTCGCCTTTTGAATTCTGAGTGACCGCAATTATCAGCAGTGACTTACTATGACTCCTTGAATCGATGCCTCGAGGCAATATGGTTTTTAACAAGGCATAATTCAAGACGGCAAGACCCGACAAACATTTCCAGACCGCGATTAGGAACAGCAAGATCAGCTTGATCCGAATGAATTTGATATCCTTGACCTTCGAAAGGGGATGACTCACCAGAACTCACCCTACCTGGGCTGTTGAAAAACATATATGTGGACCCACACTACCGCCTTTAGAATAAAAAGTCGTAGATATACCGGTGATTGTGTATTTAGCGATAATCGCTGAGTGTAGACCTCCATAGGGAGGTACCAGGTGACTTGTAAACCGGAGGAGTGACGTAATGCTGTTAAATACTTCTTTAAGAACAAAGACGACTCAAAATATCAATTAACTTTAACCTTCGATGTAAGTCCTTACTCTGGGGTGGCGCACTACCGCTTCACTCATTTCTGCAGGGCAGGATCGGTTTTTCAGCCAAACGCAATCTTCGCAGCTCTGAAGCGATCTGATAGACGTGGTTACTTTCACTGGATAATTTATCTCTGCACAGTAAGTTAGTAGAGCGCGGCGTCATTTTTGAAATGCTGACCTGCTATTTTACAGGATGAAAAATCGGGTTATAAATTCCATGCGACGACTGATGGCGCAACATCAGAGTGGCATTACGAATGTCTGCCGTGGGATGGTCCAATATCAGAGTTAGCCGTGACGTTCACGAAGATCGGAGAACTTCCCAGTGGGATGGACTATCGCTTTCTCGACACATACCTCCGCGACATTCCAATGGCCGTCCCAAAAATAGATTACGGGCGTGAACTCGTGCTCACTTGTCGAGTTTGGTTCAAGCAAGCCATACGACAGCTTCACGACGCTGCCATGTTTGTCGAATGTCCAAATGTCGACTCTTTGGAGAGCGAATTGATCAGCCGAGCGGCAGCTGCAGAGTATCTGGGAAATCTTCCTCAGATATACACCACGAAATTGGCAAGGGCTTGGGCATGGTGAAAAATCGAGACCGGAGAGTTGCGTAGAACTAAAAAGCATGTATTTCACGACCTAAGGGCGCTTACCCTCAAGGTAAGTATTCTAATTTCTGAGGCAGCACCAAGAAGGACGATGTCTTTTCTGAACAATCATTCTCGTTCGACGTGATCCTAGAATACTAAAAGCCTCATCAGGTCAGGGTTGATAAGTTTGTTGAGCACTCACTTCGACGAGAGGTACGAAAGGTGGCAGAGGTGGTCCCTAGACCACCGCTCGTGTTGCTCCGGTAGGTAGATTTGTGCGTTCGCGTCCGCCTATAGAAGCTTCACTTCCAAGACTCGCCCCATCCGACCAGCGACTTCTCCGGTCTGTCATAGGGGCCGCAGGCAAATGACACAACATTGACCCATTCCGCAACCGAACAACCTATGGACTAGTCCTGGTGCATGAGGACCGGAGTCATCAACTTGAGCCGCATCAACGGGTAACTTGAAGGCGGACCTCTAAAGACTTGTCAAAGCAGGCTGAGAGTTCTCGGCAAGACGGGAGTGCAGTGGCCCTTTGCTTGATACATTTTGTCCGAAACGTACCACCCCGTAAGTAGCCAGGGATCCGGGGATGACAGGATAGGTTGGCGGGCGTATCACTAGCTGAGGGCGAGAGTGACGCGCAACGTAATAAAGAAGGAGAGTGAATGTTTGTGTCTCCTGGGATGAACATTACGTGTCATGGCCGTCTTCGGAGTGAGACTTGCAATTGACAAACCGATGGACGCGATGAACCGTCATTTGTATAAAAAAACCATGGTCAGCGCGACCGTCCGGACGGGTAATAGCCTTCTCGAAGTCGGGGACTTTGCTTCAGCTATTCAGATGCACATGAAGTTGGGCGTTTGTGTGCAAACCATCGTAAAATACTTGCCACTAAGGACGTCGAGAGGTGGATGCATTAGCGAGCATGATCGTTTTTAGCGGAGTTTATTGCCGAGCATCAGATCATTTCGGCAAATATATGAGGAGCGAGGAGGGGAGCACGAAATCTACGTAGTTGACCCAGCCCAAGTTCAAAAGAAGGAAAAGCAAGAGAATAAAAAGACGAAGATCATAGTAATAAGTAAACGAAAGCGTTCTAGTAGGTCCAGCAGAATCAGGCACGACTCGGATAACTTACGATAAAAACATCCATCGCCGACAACAACAACAAAACATGCTCAAGGAGAAGGTGTGCTCGAGAATAAACCCCTCTCAATCCTAGCAGCCGCAGCGAGCACCGACGTCCCCGCCCCAGCATGCGCAGCAGACTTACTGGTACCACCTGGACTTCCATCAGGAGTAGTAACAGCATTCCCCCTCCCTCCCTCCCTCTCAAACCTCAAAACACCACCAGCGCTACCCCCACCCAACAAACTCCCCATCCCAACCCCCAATCCAATACCCCGTTGACCATGGCCAGGCATAGGAGGAGGGGGCGGAAATCCAATAACGCTCCCAGACCTCTTCCTCAACGAGCCCTGGACAGGAAGTTGGGCATACGACGATCTGCGGGTGATCGTCGGCTGGCGCGGAGCAGCAAGCGATGAGGGTGGTAAATGGACGTTGGAGGAGCGATGCGTAGCAGGGGACTCTGGTGTTGCGCGAATACTACTGGTGGGAATGAGGCTCGGACTTGGGGATAATGGGAAGTAAGAGGAAGAGAGCTGGGCGTGAGATGCCCTGCGTGCTAGGAGACGTGTGGGCGGCGCTGGAGGCGGGGGTCCTGCAGGAGATAATGGAGATATTGGTGCAGGCTGTCTTGGCGTCGTTGGTGTTGGTGGCAGAGGGGATGTCGTTATTGTTCGACTGGAGGAAGATAACTGAGCATGCGACATACGACGTCTGATAGTTGTTGGCGGAGCGCCTGGCACTGGAGTCTGCTGTCGCGGAGATGCTAAAGACCTGGGCAATGGTGAAGCTGACAACTGAGGAGGCACCGAGAGAGGAGATGGTTTCTTCTTCCTGCCCACAGAACTTGTCAATGCCACAGGCGGTTTCAACCCTCCGAACCTTCCATGGAAAGGGGGAGACAACGACGATGGCCCTCCCTTCCCTATCGGGCCGGGTCCTCTGGGCCTGACGACACCACCTCCGAACCTCGTCAACGCTTCTTCAACCGAAGACAGCTCCATCCTCGAACCAAACGTAGGCGTTCCACATCGCGAGCTAGCCCGCTCAATTATCTCCATTTCCCCGCGATACCTACGTTCCTCTTCATCGTCTTCAACGATTTTGCCGTCATTGGACTTGGCTACAGACGCAGATGCAGCTTCGAAGAAAGCAGAACCGCTCCCCGCTCTGGCTCTCTTCTGTTGTATTGGGATATTCGTGGGGACAGCGGTGATGTGGCCGAACAAAGACCCAGGAGCCTTGGTCACTTTGACCACCTTCCAGCCTGCAGATGACGCAAGGGTAACAATCTCTCGTAACGTCCGTTCTTGAGAGTTGAACATGACTTGCATCTGACGAAAGGGTGTCTTTTAAGCAACGGTGCTAGGAACGGGGGTGAAGATCCTTACTGTCAAATCCATCCAATACGCGTTGGCGCTCGCCTTGCCAAGATTCGGCAGCAGAGGCCCAGCAGCAAGTACGCTTTCCGCACCTTCAACGCCTTCTAGTCCCCCGGAAGTATCAGCGCATGCTAAGGGCAACACGAAATCGGCGATGAGCAGCTTAGTTTCAGGTGTGGCCGCCTCTCTCAGGTTCAGGAGAATTCTTCTCGCGAAATCATCCGGCCAATCATGGAGGACAACGCGAAGAAGAAAAACAGCAGCGTCTCGAATGGGTTGGGGAGTAAAGAAGTCGTGAACTGGGTTGATGAAGTGAACATTATTACGAAGAAAGGGGGCGAAAAGCACAACGGACCTTGAAATACCGCCGTCCCAGAATCGAGAAACTCCGGACTTTTCGCCTTCCAGGCCTTTCAAGGTATCAGCAATTTTTGAACCGGAGATAGGAATATCGACGAACCTTCTCACCCATCTCAACAACCACCGGCCGGTCCTGAATCACAAACTTAAGTCCTAGTCCGCCTTCCGCAGACGAGAAAGCAGAAGCAAGCAGCATGCTTGTCGACCCAATACCCCCGCCAACATCAACCACAACACTCCCCTTGGGCAATAAATGCCAGTCGAATCCTAATAAAAGCGCATATATTCAGCGTATATCCGCAATGTCGGCCATACCTCGCACGTACCACTCAGAACGGCACCTGGTGCCTCCCAGGACCCAGTGCCAGACATGGCTTTCCCGAACCGTTCTAACCTGAACTGGTTGGGATTCCTAGCCTCGACTTCTGGACCTGACTTCTTGATGGGTTCAGAGGTATTCACGCTGCCTGGTTTCTTGCGTTGTGGGTGAGGCAGTCGTGGAGTTGGAGCAGCCTTAGACCCGAGAACCGCTGGGTAGGCGGTTCCAGGACCTGTTTCAACCCTATCACGCAAAACAAAAATGTGTTAACCACGATGAGCAAGAAAAAAGATTTGAGTTACCCAGCGTCATCATTACCCTTGCTTACTTCTTGCGACGTCAAATCATCCTTTCCCTCTAGCCAGCCGAAGAAATCTGTCCGGCTTTCTAGGGTGCTAAAGGCAAAGCAAAATGGAGCACGGGTTGGCTCTCGACCTTCGCGTGTTTGTTTGGAAGGGGAGAGGAGATAGGTTTCAGTCATGTACGCCGAAGCCTTCTGTATCTCATCGGCACTAGAGGAAGGTAAACATCGGGGAATGTTGTTACCATGGCAGAGAATGCTTACCAGAGCCCAACAAACGCAGCTATCCCGTTCGTGTGCTCATATTTTAGCTCAGGTCTTCGAGGGCGAATTAGAATAGAGGTAGAGGAATACGTGAACGACATACCGTCCACTAGCTTGGAACTCGGACAACTCTCGGGCGCTCTTGCCTGAATCAATCAAGGATGAAATCCGGTTAATCGCGAATACGTCTGGGGTGACTTCGCGCAGAATGTGATGAGTGGCTAGCAGCCGAAGAATATGAGCTAAGGAAAATGCATAGGAAGTCATGTACATAGCAGCGGCAAGGGACTGACTGACCTAGTTTACTAGCCTCGATCCCACTTTGCTCTGAAATCGACTTGATATGGAGACCTGGAGGACCCGCCTCACGGAGGATCTCGGCAATATGAGACGCTTCTAAAATTCGCATGCACGATGGGAGATGGTACTAAGGATAGAGTAGTTTGTCAGACGGAGTTCTTTGCTAATAAGCAAAGAGACGACTCACTCCCATAGATGCATCACAGAGACTCAAAAACGGAATCTGGACGGTGGCACTGATCTGACCTGCAGCGGCGACAACGCGATTGATGGCTGTTATGACAGTAGGGTGTGCAGTCAGAGCCTCTGATAGGGAGTTTGGATCGCACGGGGCGTCTAGTGATGGGAAATCGAGTGCTGGGGTACGTGAACCACCCTGATGGTCCAGAGGCGGCGGTATTCGCTCCGTTGGCGAACTTATGCATGGAGACGGTGGTGGAGAAACGTATGCATATGAAGTTCCATTTGAGAGTGCTGGTTTGTGCCTTGGTCTCGAATGACTGTCCGTTCCACGAGTTTCTGGAGACGATAACGGTGATGAGACCAATGTCGTAGCCTCCGTTAACGATACCTCCGTAATCTCTTCCGCAGGGATAACATCCGATGATTGACCATGAGCCGAGTATACGCCTTCAATCTCGTTCAAAGCGTCTCCAATTATGGTGTGCAGCGCACGAAGAACGGCAAAGGTCATCGCAACCAACGACGAGCAGCCTCCGGGGTATATGTAGCCGGGGGAACAGGGGGAAAAAATGGCGATGGTGATAAGGAAGAGGAGAGAAGGCGGCACTGCTGAAATGGCCGTCGGCTTGACTCGCGTGATCATGACCATATGCGTTCACCAAAAAACGTGGTACCAAACCTGCCAAAACGCCATGTCAAACTTTTGAATCATCATTCCAGGTTTCCTTCTCGTTTTTACATACTCCCAGCCTCAAATCCACAGATAAGCTTTTTCTTTCTCGCATTTCGCACCCTAGAACGCCCAAAGCACAGAAAATCAAAGCCAAACTGGCTGCACAAGACAGCAAATCAGATCATAGGCAGGTACCGAGCGCTGATCCCTATAGTTCAGTCCTCGTCAAGAATGGTGCTTCCGTGTCAACAGTTCCAAGAAAGTCATCCAGTCCGAGTACGTATGCAAGTCATTTTGTCTTTGCCCCTGCTTTTTTTTTTCTCTCACTCGTGTCAAATACGAGGTCCATGAAATGCGATGCAGACGAAGATAGAAGGGGAATGGAGGAAAAACGAAAGGATGCGTTCCTGAACAAGGAACAAACTATTTGGTTTTGTTGTCCAACACCTTCAGATTGACTCTGCTCTCTGGTCTTCCAGACTTCACCGTTGTCCCCTTCTTGTTGTTGGGGCTCTCTTATATGTATCAAGCCGTACAAGTCTACAATCACCTGCTCGGAGAGTCGATCCCGAAACCGCAACAAAGGGGACAACCAAAACGCTCTCTAAGAAATTGCTAACAAACACCGATCAAGCAAACTGTCGACTTGCCTTCGAGAATAAAGCGCCTTCACTGCTCTATGTCCCACTCAACGTCACGCCTACCACCCTGTTGCCTTGTCCCTGCGCGCGACCGCGGAAATTCGGTCTCAGGGCGCCGAATGCGCACCCATCGTGGAATTCACTGCCAATGTCGAACTCACATCTCCTTGAAGGCTCCGAGAACCAAGCAAGTGGCACTCCGCCGCTGTCGAGAGACCTCAAACTCTTGGCTGTTGACACAAACATACGAGCTTCATTTTCTTTCTTACCCGGATCCCCGTTGTCCTCGCCGCTGCTGGATAGAGCCACCTCAGCCATTTGCCCCAATTCTCGAAACAAGCCAGTCATATGCGTTTGTCTGCTGCCACTGTGCTCCCGTGTTAATTACCGCGTAAACTCTATCACGCTGCTGTTCAAACTGGAACGGCAGCGAAACTTTATGGGGGCCAAAATCTGCAGCTGCGAAAATCCTCGGATGAAATAGAACACGGCATGAAAATTCTTCAGCTATGCGTCATCATACCAACGATAGCTTGCAATATGCATAACCTTTGGCTGTGGACCCTACCCCTCATTTTTTTGGACCATCAAAATCTGCAGTCGCGAAAATCCTCGGATAAAACAGAACACGACATGAAAATTCTTCGGCTATGCGTCATCATACTAACGAGCTTGCAATAGCTAGCAATATGTATAACTTTGGGCCGTGGACCCTAACCCTCATTTTTTGGGTCCATCAAAATCTGCAGCCGCGAAAATCCTCGGATAAAATAGAACACGACATAAAAATTCTTCGGTTATGCGTCATCATACGGACGACAGCTTGCAATATGCATAACTTTCGGCCGTGAACCCTACCCCTCATTTCTTGGATCCATGCGTGCTTTCAACCCTCTTATAAAACCACCCCACTATTCGGAGCACCGCCGTTCGCGTGGCACGCAAGCCACAAAAATTCTTCGGGGAAGATAAAATTTCGTTTGGCTCTGTATTGGATCCCTTAGAGTGATGGTCATTGCATAATAGTCAGCCGAAGATTTTACCCGTCAGTTCTTGGGTCTACCCAAGATTCCAATCCGTGATAAAAAACCCCTTCAAACTACTTATTGGAGAAGATGCGCCTTTCACTCTTTTCCATCTCAAAAAAATAGGAATCCGTGATTCAAGACCCTCCGAAACGTCTCCCGGAGAAGAGGCACGTTTTCGCTCTTTCCAGTTGCTTCGTTGCCAGTGTGGGGCGAGAGCAACGCAAAATTCAAAATCCTCCGCACATACCGGCAGCGAGATAGCTTCTAGCCTTGTATCTGTTCGATGGTTTGCTACTACCCTGTGGTCACAAGCAAGAACTGTCATGGCCTCTCCGAAAGCGGTGGGTTTGAGGGTCTAATCATGTGACGTAAGCCAACCCCGCAACCTGAACAAAATACGATACCACTTTCGCACACTCATCAACTTCCAGCTAGTTATTGTCCCCTTCGGGGTGACATACGAAAAAATTGGAACGATACAGAGAAGATTAGCATGGCCCCTGCACAAGGATGACACGCTTTCCCGGAGTGGTAGACCTACGGGTCTCAATATTTATTTTGTTCCCTTCATACACAGATTCTTGTTTTCTTTTTGGTCGTGCACGGAAACTTAATGTTCTTTTCAATCGAGCTAGGAGAAGTGTTTTATGACTGATGGATGCATACATATACGGATGGTCCGGCTTCCTTGGACCTGAACCACGTGGCACCCCGACTAGGACCCCGAAAAATTTTGGGCGACTCGTCGATTGCAACACACATTTCTGGCCTACATACAGCTTTTAAAAGTTTTATACCATTGTCAAACCAGCTAATAACATTCTCAGAGCATGTCTGGGACCGGAGCGAAGGCCAAGGGCCAGATCCCACCACTAAAAGGTAAAGTGACGACCACTCGACAAGGTCGAACGTCCGAACCAGAAGCACAGGAACGAGCGAAAACGAGAGCTGCGGGCTCGGCGGAGATAGACGAAGATGAACAAGAAATAGGCGACTCAGAAAAAGGGAGGTCTTACCTCGAAGAAAAACTGCTCCTCGTCCCGCGAGGTGCACTGCTCACCCTAGGCGCACTCGCTACGACACTCTGTCAGATAGCGGCCTTGCCAGGAGTAGCCCTCCCTGCGGTTAACGCAGTCCGCGCGGTCGCTTTTCTGCTAAGGGACATCGAATTAGGGACGGTAGCGGAAGACATCAGGGACATCGCCAACGCACAGTTCAACGAATTGACCAGCGACTTGAGAGAGTTCACGGAGGGGCTGAGGGTGAAGGTCATGGAGGAGTTGGAGAAAAAGACGGAGGTTCTGAAAGAGAAAACAGTGGAACTAGCAGAGGTGGTGGAAAAGGCGGCACAGCAGGCCGGGAACGCAGCCAGCTCGCCTTACAGGGATGCGCTGATTAGGGCGACCTCTGGGGCTCCCTTGGATGCTAATCCTAGGCTGGCCGCGAAAGAAAGTATAAGACAACGACAGTCTTTGGTCGACTTACCCAGGGAATCACGACTACGGGATTGCGCCAACCTGGTCCTAGTGGGCAAATTCTCGGAGGCCATGGGTAGGGCGACGGCTTTACAGCACAAAGTCAGGTCGGCGTTGAAGCTCCAGAACGGGGGAATCCTGATAGAAATGGCTACTGACGAAGGCGCGGCATGGCTGGCAATGAAGCCCAACGCGGAAGCTTTCTTGCAAGAGCTAGGAGAGTCGGAGGCCTCGTTTAAGACGAGGTCATACAACGTCATTGCCTATTACGTTCCTCTGAACTTGGATACTAACAGTGAGAAGGATAGAAGGGAGATCGAGGAGGCTAACAATTTTCCAAAGGGTGCTCTGACGAAGCTGAGGTGGATCAAGCCCCCCGCTCGAAGGCGGACCGATCAACGCTTCGCCCACGTTTTCGTCACCTTCTCGGATGCGGACTCAGCAAATCGGGCGATAGTGAACGGGTTATCGATATGCAACAAGAGGGTATCAGCAGCGAAGAGCAAGAAGGAGCCCATCCGGTGCCTCAAGTGTCAAGGATGGGACCATATCGCCGCGGAGTGCGTTGTCAGCAAGGATGTCAACATATGCGGCACATGCGGGGCAAGGGACCACTGGACGAGCAAGTGCGAGCAGCAGGGGACGGTTTTCTGCACTTCGTGCAAGACGGCCGACCACACCAGCTGGGATCGCAACTGTCCAACTTTCCTCAGAAAGATCGACGACCTCAATGCCAGGGACCCAGCTAATGACTTACCTTTCTTCCCAGCAAGGGAGTCATGGACATGGGCGCCGTCCTATCCATCACACAGCCGGCGTGTCCCACCGGCAGAGATTCAGATCAATGATGCACAAGTAGGCTCTCAGAAGACCAGGTATAGACAAACACAACTAGGTTTCGAGCCCACGGCCCCAGGTGGAAGACCGTACACCAGGGCGCCAAGGGCACGCCAATACTCGAAGACCCCAGTAGCTGAGTCCCCTCCCCCTGTATTCCCTAACCCAGAATCCCCTTTGCCCCCGGTGTCGAGCATCGGCTTGACCCCTTCTGATAGCTCCCCCCCTATAGCCATAGCCCATGTCTGAACAACCGATACCCTCGACAACAAGACTACGGATCCTACAAATCAACCTTAACAAGTCATCTAAAGCGCACCTGGAGTTATACAACAAAGTCTCGAGAAAAGACTGGGACATCGTCCTGGTGCAAGAACCTCACGTGACAGCTATGGGAAACATCAGAACGCCAAACGGATATGTCACAGTAGCCCCAGTGGATCGTTTCAAGGACGGAGCACCAACGACAAGAGCGGTAACATGGGTCAGCTCAGACCTGGCGACAAATTCATGGAAGATCCTGAACATACCGGGTACCAACGACATCACCGCCATTCAGCTGGCAGGAATCTACGGACGACTTACTATCATCAACATTTATAACGATTGCACACATTCAAGAACGCTAAGAGTGGTCCGCGAGTTCTTACGCATAAACCACGCTGAAGTTTTATCTAGGGAGGACGACCACCTGATCTTGGCTGGCGACTTCAACAGACACCACCCAATGTGGGACGATGAGTCGGATGACAGGTTATTCACGCCCAGGGCGTTGGACGACGCGGGCAAACTAATAGAGCTTCTAGCTGACCTGAATCTCAAGATGGCCCTCCCGAAGGGACAGCCGACTCTAGAGCACATGGTCACAAAGAAGTTCTCCCGCCCTGACAACATCTGGTGCACTGAAGAAATCCACGACTTAGTAATTCGTTGCGAGGTCGACCCCTCGATTAGGCCGCCAGCTACTGATCATTTCCCCATAGCAACTTACGTGACTTTGCCACAGGAGCGTATAACCCCCAAGGTATCGTATAATTTCAGGGCCGTGGATTGGGAGGACTTCCAAGAAAACCTCGCCGAACGACTACTCGAAATACCGCCACCTCAGCGACTGCAATCGGATCGGCAATTCCAAGAGGCAGCTGAGAACCTAACAGCAGTGCTTCAGGATACGATTCGAACCAGGGTCCCAGAGAACAGTCCATCCCCATTCTCGAAGAGGTGGTGGAACAACGGCCTCAGCCTGCAGAAAACCCGGTTGAAAAAGCTAAGTAGATCGGCATACAAGCTCAGAGCGTTACCAGATCACATCGCACATGCAGAACTGAGGACAGCCAGAAACAAGTATGGGGAATCGATTATCGATGCCAAGCGACAACACTGGGAGGACTTCCTCGAAAACGCGGCTGAACAGGACCTGTGGACGGCCAATAGATACCTCAAGGAGCCAACGGGGGACGGAGGCAAGTCACGAGTTCCAACACTTAAGGTGGCCGACGAAGGAGCACACGGACTTCTGCAGGAAGTCAACACAAATGAAGGCAAGGCGAGGGCCCTGGCCCATGTCTTCTTTCCAAAGAAGCCGGACGCCTCCAGGGTTCCTGAAGACTATGAATATCCGGACCCACTTCCACCGCCACCGCCCATCACCCCAGAACAGATAGAACGCCAGATCAAGAGGCTCTCACCTTTCAAGGCGAGCGGCCCCGACGAAATCCCCAATGTAGTCCTGCAGAAGTGTCTCGGGCAGTTGCTAGACTACCTGGTACACTTATACAGGGGAGTATTCATGCTGAGGACTTACTTTCCAGGGTGGCGCGAGTTTACGACGGCAGTGTTACGGAAACCAAGCAAACCAAGCTATGAGGTGCCTAAGGCCTACCGACCAATAGCCCTTTTGTGCACGATCCCTAAAGTGCTGACAGCCATAGTAGCGGAAGACGTTGCCCATCTGGTGGAGAAGAACACCCTGTTACCGGACACCCACTTCAGAGGACGACCAGGCCGCACCACAACGGACGCCATACACTACCTAGTCGACAAGGTCAAGTCAGCGTGGGGTAAGAAGAAGGTCGCTTCGATACTCTTCTTAGATGTCGAAGGGGCCTTCCCGAATGCGGTTACTGACAGGCTAATCCACAACCTGAAAAAGAGGCGAATTCCAACAGCCTACGTCAAGTTCATCGAGCGACTTCTGGAAGGACGGAGGACCAAGATGAAATTCGACGATTTCATTTCAGAATACATCGACATCATGAACGGTATAGGACAAGGCGACCCCATCTCAATGCTACTCTATGTAATATACAACGCGGACCTCCTGGAAGCATTACGACGACTGGACGAGGATGCCATCGGTTACGTGGACGACGCCCTGGTGATATCAACAGCAAAGACATTCAAAGAAACGACACGCGCTCTGAAGAGATTCATGGAAAGGAGGGAAGGGGGACTAGATTGGGCGAAGGACCACAATTCGAAGTTCGAAATCAGCAAAATCGCCATGATGCATTGTCAACCAGGACCAAGAAAACCCACCGACCGCCCAAACCCAATACTTCGGCTGGAGGGGAAGGTGATTACAGAGGTTGCGAGTTACAAGTACCTGGGGGTACACGTCGACAGTCAGTTGCGGTGGAGGACGCAGGAGAATGAAGCGACGGCTAAGGCCACAGCATATATCCTCATGTTTCGCAGACTAACGCGAACCAGTCTAGGTATCCGGCCAAGGCTCATGCGTAGGTTGTACGTCTCGGTGGCCATTCCCAAGATGACCTACGCATTGGACACCTGGTTTGTACCCCCGCACAAGAAGGAAGGCAAGCGCAAGAACACAGGTTCGGTCAGAGCACAACGGTCAATGGGCAAGATCCAGCGGGTTGCCACGTTGGCAATCACGGGTGGCCTACGGACATCGCCCAACGACCTTTTGGATGCTCACGCCGGAGTCCTGCCGGTGAACCTGATGCTTGACCGCATCTGTCATGCAGCAACTGTCCAGGCCATGACTCTTCCAAGGGGTCACCCCACACGGGCCATGGTCCGGGGGTATAGTAAGACGCCAGCTAAAACTCACCTCACACCTTTGCAGAAGTTGATCGAATTCTACAAGTTCAGGCCACGACGTTTCGAAACCATTATGCCAGACCCTCGCCCGCCGACTTACAAGAGACCTTTCACAGCGACAATCGCGGAATCCAAAGAGGAATCGATTAAGGAGGAGAAGAAAGACGAGTCAGACATTAGGATTTACACAGATGGGTCAGGGTACGAGGGAAACGTAGGAGCCGCCGCGGTGTTATACAGGAAGGGGGTAGTGGAACCCGTGAAGACATTACGCTACCACCTGGGATCGCTCAAGAAGCACACCACGTACGAGGGTGAGGCCGTGGGGTCCATACTTGCAGCATGGTTGCTTCAGGGACAGCCAGAGGTCGGGAAGGCGGCAATAACAAGTTACTCGGATAGTCAAGCCTTCATTAGGGCAACAGGAGCGAGGAAGTCGGGGCCAGGACAGTATTTGGTACTGGAGTATATGAGGCTGACGGAGGTGATGGAAAATGGCACTGACGGGCCAGTTGTTACAGGTACGGACAAGTTCGCCCTGAAGTGGATAGCGGCGCATAAGGGGGTGGTGGGGAATGAAAGAGTGGATGAGGAAGCAAAGAGAGCGGCACAAGGAGAGTCAAGTCCCCCCGAAGAACTACCACCCATCCTTCGAAAGCGCCTGCCGCTCAGTGCAGCAGCAGTCAAGCAGGAGTACGCAGAGGTGCAGAAGGTTAGATGGATGGAGGAGTGGAGGGCCTCACCACGTTACGCAAGATTTCAGCACATCGACACAGGTTTCCCCTTCAACAAGTTCCGGAGTATCAGCACCAGGTTATCACGGTCACAGACGAGCCTACTGACACAGATACGTTTGGGGCACATCCCACTCAATGCATACCTCCATCGCATCAAGAAGATACCCAACAGCCGGTGCGACTCCTGTTGGAGCGTCAGTCGCCTGACGATCACAGAGACGGTCATCCACTACCTTTTCGAATGTCAAGCATATGCAACGGAAAGATATGATATGGACAAAGCCTTAGGGCGACTATCGAGAGACCTACAGGGCATACTGACGAGTTTGGACAGTATCAAGGAGTTACTGAAGTATGTGGGGAGAACGGCCAGATTCAAGATGACGCTAGGGGACGCGATAGGTGACGTGTCTCACTTAGAGACTGAGGAAGCCTGACAGGAAGCACTCTTTTCCCTTGCAGATATAGTAACGACAATAAAGCAAACCTCAAAAGTCAAGCTGGCCCCCGGCAGCGGGCTTGCCCACACATATACCCCCCCTCTCTCTCCCCTCTCCTCACCTCTCTACCCGCATCACAGCCCGCGGACTCCAAGCACAAGTAACATCATGACAGGATCATCAGCAAACACGGAACTCAAGCAAACGGCAAACAAACAACTTTATTTTCTTCTCCCTGATCACGCTCGTCCCACTGGCTGTACCTATCCCTCGGGATCGGGTACTTAGAAGACAAAACATTACCGCAGGTGGATTGCATCGATAGGCAATATGGCGAGACTACCCCGCCCACGTTTTAGATGCGCCCCAAAACGGCGTTTCCGTGCCGGGCTGTGTGGGGGAAGAATCGCTGCGGGCGTGCCTCCACCAGTGCATGGGGTGATCTTAAGGGGGTCAGGTATACATGGCACTAGGGGCCTTAGGTAGTCTACTGAGTTGTAAGGTCTGACGTGGGGCCCTGCCCCAATGGACTTTAAATTTGACATTAAAAAAAAAAAAAAAATACGGATGGTCGGTGCGAACCAAGTGCGAACGCTCGAGTTCACCGGCTGTGCCGCCATTTGTCACTTGTTTGCCCTCGTTAACAGGAACTCACTATCGAATGGAATGTGCGAATACGTTCTTAGCAAAAAATCTTGGCATCACCTAATCGACGCAAAGAACGGAGGTCACGAAACTCATATCCTCATCTTGAACAACGGTATCGAACACCTGAACGAAGGGAGGATCAACACTTTGTCTGAAAATATGTAGCACCATGCCACCTTGGTCCAAGCCCAATGTCCCAGCAGAGGTCACAAACTTGGCGGCACGTAGAGGTAGAGGTATATATGCTAACATTCACTGTGTCAATGAGATGTCAAACGTCGTCCAGAACTTTACTGGTTCGACACTAATAACATGTAAGTTTGGTGAAACGCAGTGAGTTCCGTCGGAGGCGGCGAGTGTGCCACCAACTATTGTCAGTGAAGTCTTGGCGGTGGAATATTGCATTGATCCAGTCCTTTATGAGTGGGATTGAAGGTGTTGGCGTTATCCGTCAAAGCGAATGAAACGGAAGATTGACGTACTGGTAAAGCCACCTTGGAGCGCCGCAGTTGACTGAAAATACTCCATATTCCAAGCCTGCTGGAAACGAGAAGGCGGATTCGACTTGATGGGTATGGAGTGGGAACTATGTGAAATACAAAGGTTAATAAAACCAAGATAAAATCAGATATAGAGCGGTTTGAAATTATCTTTGTCGGCGAGAAGGTGGTATATGTTGCATCAATTTATCATATGTCCAGGTTGGCAGCTGGACCCCAGTGACAAGAATGCTGTCAGTATCGTGAGATCGGAGGGACGAACTGCAATTGTCTTTGGTAGTTGGTAAGTACTTACTGGCCCCGTCATAACAAAATGCCAAGGCTCCTTTCACGCCGACATGTTCGGAATATTTTCGTAAGTGAAAGACCGCACGATACGTGCCACGATTAAAGCTTGGTGGGGCTGAAAATGTTTATAAGGCCCAGCTAAAAGTCGATACTCATCAGCTTGCACCACTTCAATCTACAATAACTTCCAACAACTTCACCTTTTTTGTAACCGTCAAGTACGACGCCGTTTGAATTCTATCTGGCCACCAAATTGACAACCTTTTTTGTAGTCATGTCTGGCATCTTCACCAACGGCCAAACTCTCGTCGTCACCACGACTGGCCCAGGAAAGCTTAATCTCCTCTCTTACCAGAGCAACGGAGGCATAGGCAACGTCGTTGGCTCGATTTCCACCTCCAAGACCGGCGAGACGAGGTTCTTGATTTCCCACAGTTATACATACGAGAGGTTCGCATTTTACTGGGATGGAGCCGGAGAAGCCGTCTACGGAATTGGAGCATCCTTGTTACGCCAGCCAGTTGGGAAAAGCTGGAGCAACGCCTCCCTGGCTAGCTGGGGCAGCCCCACCATTACCACTGCAGACGTCTCCGTTCAGGTCAAGACTGCCGTTAACCGCGACAACCAGATTACCGCCTTTATCATCCCTGATTTAATCTAGGCGCTCATATAGGTTATGCGATATTGGGAGGGGCGAGCCGAGTGAGCTGTGGAAAGTTGTGATGGTTTTCTCGAGTTGGGAAATAAAGTGAATGTATGAAGGATTTCTTGGTACTTACCTGCTTCCGGTCGAAACGTTATGAACATTGTATACAGCATATGAAGAGTATTTGATCTTACGATTTTTTTTGTCCTGAGGGATTTAAGTTGGCGATCAAGTACACCACGACGCCGTGGTTTGTTGTCGAGGCTGGTGTTCAATCGACGGCGTAGACGTTTACCTTTTTTCTCGTGAAGACTGCAAGCCAAACACATTATTAGTAGATAAGCTTGAAGGGCCCTAATTTGTTTCCCGTTCAGAGTAGTCATAAGTTGATCCTGCTTACCCTCGGGTTCTATAGTGATGCCGGAACAGCAAGATGAAAGTCGGTGACCGTAAGAAAACGACGGTGGCACAACCTTCATTCGCCTCAACATTTACTGTTGAACGACAGTGGAGAAACGGCGACTAACCGCGGAACGGGGTAGCAGATGCACGACATTCGTGCATCCCTCGATAATCAAATACGCCATGAGCAATAGTATGCCCCAGCGATATATTTAGGCGGTCAATGTACATGTTGACGACAAAACGATTTCGTTGCGTTACTCTTCAAGCCTTCTTCCAGGTCTTCTCGGCCTCCAGTAAAGCATCCGTCGTATCTTCCAACGTCTTCTCAGGACTAATAAACTGCTTAATCTTCAGGACCTCCCTAGCTCGGGTTGTATCCAGCGCCGACAAAGTCGGAGATTTACCCTCAAAGGAATCAAGAGGTGCGAGCTTCACGTTTGGTCGCGCCTTCATTAGATGCGCAACAGCATCCTTCCAGGAGTATTCAGCGGAGTTGATCAAGAAGCGTTTCTTCTCCAGTGGCGCTCTCGGTAGGTCGATAGCGAGAACGTGAGCTTTAGCGACATCGCGGACATCAACAACCCACGGCGCAGGTTCCGGATGCCCTCCCTTGATCAGTTCATATGGCAGGCGGTTTGTGCCCATCGCGTCAGGCGAGGTTGGCAGAGGGAAGTGCTTTGGGAATGGTCCGAAGACGAATCCTGGGAGGACTGGAAGATACGGATTAGAGAAAGAATTCGTAACGTTTTAGAGGGCTGACTCGTTGCAATGTCAACTTTGGGATGCTCTGCCGCGAAAGACCAAACGGCCCTTTCTGCAAAAATCTTGGATGCGCCATAGACGTAAAAATCACTATCTGCGTGAGCTTCGACCTCTGCACGGGTAGCTTGTCCCCAGTCTAGGATTCGGGAGCATATGAATGACAGGTCAAGCCCGTAAATGAAGAAAGCGACTTGCCAGAATCCGTTAAGATACGACCATCGAATCCTTGTTTCAAAGAAGCTAGTAAAAGTCTGTATCAGAAAGGCACCCAAGTCAAAAGGCTTGGCGTACGATCAAGGACAGCAGCAACGCTGCTCGTGACAACAATCTTCTCAATACCAGCCTTGTCAGCCTGACGGAGAACGTTGAGGGTTCCCTCAACAGCCGACTATGAGCGCGTGTTAGACAAAGATAAGCGCTGAGTATGTGAGCTTGCATTGAGAGTAGTGTCAACCGAAGTTCTGCCCGGAAGAGGAGACGCTACATGCATCACGATATGCACCCCTGCCAGTATTTAAATCAGTAATGAATCCCACAATGTTAACACGGCATCTAATCACGTACCGTTGAGTGCCTCGGTAAGATCGCTTTTGGCGATGTCATCAACCTGAGCAAACTCAAGGCCTGGTACCTTGACTGTATCGGTCAACAGCTTGACTTTCGCTCCTCTTGTCGTCCTGCGACTCGGAATGAGTCCGACTTAGTGCATTACACTCAGTTGTCGAAGATTCACGCACCCTCTGACCCGATATCCCTTCTCAAGGAGTTCGTTTGCGACGTGGCCGGCTATGAAACCTGTGACACCAGTAACCTAAAACGAGGAAAAGGTGTACCAAAATCATCAGGTGAGAGCTCAGACTTACGAGAACGAGCTGTCCAGTCATGATACGCAAGTCTGATAAGAATTAGTTGCTTGGGTTGGCGAAATTTCTGGTTCGGTTTTGAAAAGCCATATTTTATAGCCAGGTTGAGGGAAATTTGTCATGGTATGAGGTTACGAAGCAGTGACGGCATGAATGCATTGATTATGTCTTGGTTGTTTGAGATTTGGTATCTGCCGAGATGCTGCAGCGTAATATTTGTCAAGAGATCGCTTGACCGTACTCCAGCGCTGCACGTCAATGGGTAACATTTAGATGGGATAACGAGGCTGAGCGGCAACAGTCGATGGCCCATAGGTGGACGCGTTCAAAGACCTTGAAGTCGCGTTCACTAGTTTTACCAAAACCACGTGCAGCAACTCCCGCGCACAGACCCACAAGAAAAAGTATATAAACCTCACCATGGCATCCTGTTTCCCCAGAACATACTCGAACAGGATCTGTTTACAGAAACTGACCGAGTCTCGCATTTTTACAAATGCCGCATCTTCATATCCACTCGATGACTTCCGCGCTCACCCGTTATACCGAGAATATGGCTTTGCGCAAGCAGGGCCTCGAGGACGTTTGGTGAACCCATCGGGCGTGCTTTTTAAAGCCGCTTGAAGGACTTGCCAGCGAGTCGAGCGTCTGTCTGATGGATACCTTTCTTGAGTCTTGACTACACCTCTGTAAAGCAGCTTTCTATGTACACAAACGGATGAATTTTGTCTTCATTTCCTTACTCCGCGTGAGCTCTCGAAATTCTTGGACTTCCTTAAGCTTCAACGTTCAACGTTTAACCCCCGGCAGTCAATGGACATTCGAAATTTCGTCGTTGGACATTGATGCCTTCGCGGTTACCACGAGAACTTGCGGTAGGAGGCTTGTACTGGCGAGTGATAAGAATTATCGTGACACAATACAGTCGCATAAGCGAGAAATCCGACAACCTTATAAGCGCTTACAGTTAATTAAAAAATGAGAGGCGTATTATGTATGGTATAAGTACTGGCAAGTTGTAAATTTGAATGCCACTTATAATGGAGCCATGACCAGGTTTCCCCGGAGTAATCTTATCAATCCGGCAAGGGTGGGTCAATAAAGACATTGACGAAGCCTACATATATGACCGCAGTGCCGCCCGCCAAACATACGCCACCAATCCACGCACTTTTTATACTCGTAACGTCACCAGGCAGAAGCGCAATGACATTATACGCGTGGTCGTGCAGCCAAAAGACGCTGCTATTGCAATAACAGTTATCAAAGAAGCTGCCGAACTGGAAGAGGCACGAGACGACTACCCAAATTGAGTTGAAGGCGGCGATGATCTTTCCGAGACAGCGGAATATAATTGAGGTCCTTCGAGCTGCTCTTGCAGGCCAATGACGGATGGCCCGGCCTTCAAAGTGGTATTGGGTCGTCGAGGCATAGTGCGTTAGGATGCTTGAAGCAACTAACAGCATCCAAACGATCGTGGAAAGGACAGTGTAGAGAAGGTAAGATGCTGATCGGCAGCCAAGTCCTGTGATAGTGATCAGCTAACAAGATAAAGGAGATAGAACCGTGAAGTTCTTACCTCGTGTAGGTGTGTACCAGACTTGAATCAAGGCAGCCCCAGCCGTGCCCCATTGTAACATCAGTGCGAGGGCGGATGCAAGAAACATTCTGGATACAACTTTCGGTCCCCAGCGACTACGAGGTCTCTCGGCAGGTTGCCATGGAGTGCAGTAGTTTTCGACTTCAGTCCTGGTTCCCACACGATTGCGCTCATCAGGTTTCTGACCTCTCTCCACTGTAACCCAGTCAATAGAGGGATCGACTGAGTCGTGATTGTGAAGATGATCGGACGCCGCCTGGAAAGCTTCGGACACGTCTTCTACTGCCTGCACCCACGGAAGGAATCGTGCATAGTTGAAGACCGGCGAAGTACACTTCTCATCCCGACGGAGGTCATCTACCTCCGTTAAGGTAAGCTCGATGGCTCGTGCCTCAGTTTGGGCTTCTTTCACGAGAACAACATGCCCATCATCTGTGGCAACGTGGGCCAGCTTATTAGCACGCTCTACGGCACTGCTTAAGCGCGCCGAGTCACATTTGGGTGAGATCTGTAGCCACCCAATGACGATAGGAAGAAGCCATAACCAAAGCGATCCTACTCCTTGGCCGTTGGAATTGATGGAGTTGGTGATACCCACTGTGAAAGAATCAATGACGGTAAAAATGTAGGCGATGACTACCCATGCGATGGAAGTGGCTGCAGATATGGACCAGGTGTGGGTATAATCAATCCACTCGTAAAGTTCAGTCCACCACTCGTCATTTTGAGGAAGAACAATGAGGGACGCAAGAAGCCCACCCTCCTTCACGACTCTGATGGGTGATTGCTGCAGGCTGCTGAGGATGCGAATTGCATTTCGGGCATTGGGATAGGTGTATCGTGCAAACCGTCTGGTGACCCAACGACTGTTTAAGACAGTTAGGCAAAGTGAATATGCAGCCAAAGTTGGTGAACCGACAGTTAGGAGCACAGAATCCAAGTTGTCTAGTTTATCGTTTGCGCCGAACGGGAGCTGGGAAACAAGCGCTAGCCACGGGAGCAACCACGCGCTGAATTGCTGCGAGAATATGGACCATTGAAATGGTTCTTGACCGCCACCACAAGCTTGGACGCACAGGCGGTACGTGATGCCCGTGGCGACAGAGACATCCACAGGGTATCCGCGGTCGTCCGTGCCGCCAACATCCATGCCCACTCCAAAAGTGCCATTTTTTACATTGGCTAGACAAACATCAAAGTTCGTCCCTGCGACCGTGGCCGTTGGAAAGGCGATGGCGATAACGATGAATCCGAGAAATTTGTGAGGAGATTCTGCGTTGCCTCTCGTTAGTATGCAATTTACAAGTTCGCAAAAACCACTCACTCATCTATGGGAGCCTGACGGGCGCGGTATGCTTGAAGGGCATCTGACTGGGAAGCTACATTTTTATTCATCGGGGAAGGCGCTTCGAAGGCTACCCACGCTACGCAACCGCACAACCGCGCAACAGCTTTTCTAGAGTCATGGCGAGATGGCTGCCAAAACCGACGCGCATGTCATGCCCAACCTGTTCAAGAAGCTTCAGGGGCGCCGGTGCAATGAAGTACAACCTGTCTTCTAAAGAGGCTGTACTTGCGGGGTTTGATCGTGCTTTTCTCGATCCTCAAAGTTCACTGGTCCTGCGTGGATAATCCAGGCGTCATCTAAATGATGCAAGAAAATCTTTCAGAAACAATATAATGGTGACGTTGCCCAATGACAACATGATGTTTATTTTCCCGTTGTTGTAGCTCTCGATAAATTCAGAGTCAATAGGGATATAGTGCGTTGAATGATCGTGTGACGCGATATCGGAAGGCAAAAAAGAATTACTCACTCTGGATTAAGTAAGCGCAAACCTATCCAGCTTAGATAGTAAACTTCAGTGGTTGCGCCGACGCCAGTACTTTCCAGAATAGGTTACGCCTGATAGAGAGTTTGGATATCCCAGCGGAGGAGAAGCTGTTGATTGTGATTCGTGACCATCCGACGCTTCGGACTTACGACACTTCTCGAATCTCATGGGGCAGCGCCGGAGGGAGTGATCGTTGATGATTACTTCATAAGCCGAAGAATGCTCGAGTGACTTACAATGTGTAAGTAGATGCAAAAATAAAGGGAGCGCACAGCAAACTTACCAAACTTCACGATCCTGGCAAAACCTGGCCCCGAAATGTAAGTTCGCGCAGTCATGACCTGTAAAAGTGGCTGCGCAGGGAACTTAACCTTGACTCGCCAGCTGCATGTATGGATCAGAGAAGGCGAGAAGAACGGGCTTTACAAAGACTTGATCATTTGGGAGAGATCAAAAATAGACGAGCCTGACGAGTACTATGTAATGCATACATCGAGATTGTTCTTGCACTGTGAGCCAGAGCAGCGCACAGCACAAGTTATTAGAGGGATCACATAAGAGGGCGTTACAAAGATCTATCTGCATCAGCTCAGGAGTGTGTCGACAGCGCGACAAGCTGAAATCATTGTGCAAAAAAACTCACCACTGGCATGTGTAATGCAGTGTATAATCTAAGTTTGGCTGCGTAATGACGCTGCGAAATCAATACGGCGCGAAGGAAGATATGTGTACTGGAATTCACCAAGTTCCGTGGATGACTTGACCCCATACACATATCAAACATGGTCTTGATCCATGAGCTGGAACGGTGCAAAGCCCAAATCAGCAGGATCACAAGAAAGGGCGTTATGAAGATCTGTCCAGGCCAGTTAAAAGAAACAACACCTGAAGAGCGATAACGATCAAAGTCGAGATCATCCCAAGAGCGAAGGCAGTCGCTACATGCAAGTGCAGCCCCGGACGGCTCTTGCGGGCCAGTACTTCAAGCTGGAGTGCCACAGGTTTTCAATGTCAACCTAGCAGCTCAGATACCGGCCCCGAGACAGATATCACGGAGGTGAAAAGGACAATAACGAGGAAATCGACCATGCTTATATCGAACTTGGCCTTGAAATTTTGAAAGCTTGAACGGTACCTGTGCGTTCAAAAAAGATAAGTCGGTGACGGGCTCCAAGTAATCATGCCAAATCCAACACATGTTCGACAAAACGTTGGACAACTCAAGTCCAGATGCTACAAATATGAGTACCACACAGCAAGATCGGATCACGACCGCCGCCCAACAACCCTCTCCGTCAACGCTACCAACCCAGTCTTGGCCACGCTCTCCGGAAGCTCTTGAAGGACCTCCTTGGCACTTCGGCGAATGCTTTGGCGAGGAGTTCAGTGCGGTGAACGCCTGAGGAGCGGAAGGCTAGGGAGCGGGCCTGTAGGTGAGGATACGTTGTCGTCAACGGGGGTAAAGAGAACAAACGTTTTAGGGAAAATGCAGAGAAGCGAACATACCATCTCAAAATCCCCAAGACTCTCAAACTTCTTCCTTATAAGCTCTCCCATCTCTTGGAACTCTTCCCAAGCATAGAGAGCTGGTCCGTGGCTAGGCCAAGTTGGAGGTCCGCACCGCCGGGTTTTCCAGGTGTTAGATCTGCAGAGCCGGCTGTTGATGTGGATTCGTAGTCTAGTATGTCGTCTATTAGCTGAGAAGACCATAATTAGGAAGAGGAAAAGAAGGGAAGGTAAGGAGAAGGGCACAAAGTCAAAGAGCCCACCTGAAATGCAATCCCTAAATTCCATCCGTAAGCATACGCTATATACTTCCATGTACACCTCGCCCTCTTCGCACCCACCCAACACGGCGGCCGATCATGCGCCCTTGGTCATACGGGTTGCGTTACGCTTCAAGTCTTCTTCCAGGTCTTCTCAATCGCAGCCTCCACCAGAACGTCGTACCTTCCAATGTCCTCTCGGGACTAATGAGCTGCTTAATCTTCAGGCTTGGGTCTGATACCTTTGGTCAAAGGAAGTCCGATGCTGGCGCGAGAAGTCTGTCAAGAGGCCGCCTGACCGTATTCCACTGTTCCCTTGAAAATATCGATAACCGTCAATTGGAAACATTGGTAAGACGAGGCTGAGCGGCAAAAGTCGACGATGGATCATGGATGGACGGCGGACGCGTTCATCACATACCCTTACCTGAAACCACGTGCAGCAACTCCCACGCACAGACCATCATAAAGAAACTATATAAACCTTGCCTCCCCCGTCAAACGTTTCTTCAGAACATACTCGAACAGGATCTGTTTACAGAAACTGACCGAGTCTCGCATTTTTATAAATGCCGCATCTTCATATCCACTCGATGACTTCCGCGCTCACTCGTTATACCGAGAACATGGCTTTGCGCAAGCAGGCCTCGAGGACGTTTGGTGAGCTCATTGGGTGTGCTTTTTAAAGCCGCTTGAAGGACTTGCCAGCGAGTTGAGCGTCTGTCTGATGGATACCTTTCTTTTCTGTACCTTCGTAAAGTAACGTTCCATACACAACAACGAATGAATCTTGGCTTCATATCCTTACGCCGCTGAGCTCTCGAACTTTAATTGACAGCTTGGTGCATAGTGGAAGGAGTTTCCAAATTTCAATCCTGTTGAAACTACGTGTGGATAGAGTCAAACCCCCGGCGCCCAGTCCAACTTGTAATACCGGTATCCACCGCCAGCAATAGGTCACAAACCACTCGTTCGAGTTTACCATTTTTGTTGAGCACCGTTTTTTGTTGGATGTATTTCTGTGTGCGGTGGAATATCACACGCGAGTGTTCTCTCGGAAAACTTCTCGAAACCGTGACGTTCATTTACAGACGGAGGTGTCTGTGAGAAAATTAGGACCAGGCAAGACAAACTGCCAGTGTACGCATTGAGAGGACAGTCATCCCTGTCAGGCTATCCAAGCAATATTGTGCTTGTTGGACGCGTGAGCGGCTTAGCCCAACTCCCCCGTGGCGAAGTAAAGGAAATGTACATATGTGATAGCGCAGTTTTGTGTCGTTCTTTAGACCTACCTCCCACGTCCTTTGCCTGCGACCTGGTTGGGACACTCGTCCTAATCCATCTAGATCTCACAGAGACATACATCGCATTATCCCTGTGCTACACATCTTCGCTTCTATCTACACCCTAGAAAGCTCACCCATTACACCTTATAGCTCTTCGGTGGCTTCGCTGCAATGCGATCGGATTTCCTGTTTGGCGCCTTTGGTATGAAGACAAGAGCTGGACGCTTCGGGATCGCCTTGTTCGAACTAGCATTTGATTGAGGTGACGACGCCCTTGAGGATGCCGGGCTGCGATTAGGTGACGATGCCCTTGAGGACGCCTTTGAGGACGCCTTTGAAGATGACCTTGAGGATGACCTTGAGGACGCCGGGCTGGGATCGTTAGCGTTCATGATCTTTGCGTTATTCATCATGTTCCGTAGCGTGCGCTGCACAGTGTTTTGTCCGAAATCGTGGCCGGCCTTTGCAAGGCCGATGTTTGATCGAAGCTTGATATACCAGTTGTTGGAAACCAACTCACCTTTTTGAATGCATGGTCGAGCTGTTTAGCTGTTTTCTTGGAACTTGTGTAACTGAGTTTTATGTACGCATCGCGATCTTTCTTAGGGGTGATGGCCTTGCCTTTTCGCGCTTGCCTGAACACTTGGCCTTTCTATTGCGGAGTAAGTCGCAGGCAATACATATTTCAGGAGGATAAGAGCCTTACTCCTCGATTGATGCCGGCGGGCACTGGCACCAGGTTGTTTGGGCTATTCATTATGCCTTTAACCTGCTTCTTGAGATCAGGGTGCAGGTCACTGAGTAAAAGATTAGGCCACGCTCACATCATGATGAACATGGATACGTACCCGAATTTAAGGCCATGCTTATCGAGGTGGTGATCCAGAACCTGATGTTCAAAGATATGATCTACGAATCGGAACAAAAGAATTTAGTTATCTCGGCAGCCCGACGTTTCGAAGGAACCATACCGGCATCCGTTTTCGGGATCAGGAGCATTGTACGATGATTGGGGATTCGTGCTGATTGCGTTAGCCGATGGCGAGTAACACCGCCTGCCTTATCAAACTTGTACGCATAGGGATGTAATTGAGAAATCTTGCGATAGGTCTTGCTGGACACTTTAGCCCCATCGGCCGGGGCCCGTCTTTGCAATTGGTCTGATGAAGGTATAACAGTGGCGAAAGAAAGCGCAAACTGAGCAGCTACGAAGGTGGATAGGATGAGCGACCAGCGCATAGTAGAGAGGATAGCGAAAGACGGTTTTCTGAAGAGGGCCTGCCTGAGGAACCTATCATGCTGATGATGGGGTATTTATGGGCACACAGGTTGTTCAGGCGCTGGCATGATCAGGTGTCAGTACGTGAGATAGGCAGTGCGGGAAGCGAAGACTATATCGCTAGCCTCTTCTAATTTTTTACCGAAACGTCACCCTTTCATGGATGCATCATGAATGCGGGATGAGCAGTTCGGAGAGTGATGAGTCGATTGGTATATCTCGATCCGAATCGCCGATACCTCCTGCCTTCTTTTTGCAACCGCGGTAGCCTGAGTTGCAGCCTCCTCTGTAGAAGTCGCAGAAGTAGCACCTAGCTAAGGACTTATAGAAACTAAGAATCAACTAAGAATACATTAATTTTTACCATATTGTTTGTTTGTTTCCTTGCATGCAAACCAAACACGGTTCACACATCCTCAACGTATACTTACTCACCATCGAATATGTCGTGCCGGCGCAACCATCTCTGCCCTCTCCGTCAACCCGCAGGAAGTTATCGTGGCTCTTGTGGGATCTAGGATACTATCGAGTGCGTCTATCTTCGTCTATATCTCTCTCTTCGCGCGTTGATGTCATACACCTCTAGGATCCTAAAGCTGGTTCATACAGCCGTGGGGCGTTAGAATTCACATCCAAAGCCCCTGCTAGCTCAGTGTAAAAGCTGAATGGATATCATATGACAAGGCGCGACGGCTCGAAAACAAAGCCCTCAGCCGTCTCGCCATTTTGCGCACCGTCAAATGACTCAAATCCACCGCACGAGATGTTTCCGCAAACGACCTCGGTGCTTGATGGTTCAAAATCAATCGGCCTCTTCTTCTTGCTCGGTTCATTTGTTCTGGATGGACTGTCGTCAAGGACGACTCCAGCGTTCGAGTATACAACCCACAGCGCGGCGAGGTTAGTCATTTCACTGGCATCCATTTTCCTCTTCAATGACGAGTGTTGTTTCCTCAGTCTTTGACACTTCTTAGTCCACTTGTGTCGCGGTACTCGTTTGTACTGATTCACTGACATCATCAACTTCCTGAGATTTCTTTTATCTTCTCTGCTGGAGACCAACTTTTCGCTGACATAGATTTTGAACCGCAATTTTAATCTTATGTTCTGTACCATGCTCCAATATACTCAGTTAACATCTTCAACGATTAATTTCGTTTACGAAGATACCAGCTGCTCCCATTTACACTCCCGATACACATGCTTGTGCAAAGGAGCCTCTCACCCCTGCAGTTCAACTCTGCGAGACCCGTCACGACTTGACGAATACCAGCTTCAAGCTCGTCAGGTTGAACCACCGTGGTTCATGAACTAGCCATAGACGTACTTATTTTAAGGGGATGCGAGATGGCAATTGACCCGCCACTGCAAATCGATGAGAAGTTGTCGAAAAGCTGCAGAAGACCTACTTTGGATTAATTTTCTATATCGGTTTGTTCAATTCCTCTACACAATACGCCGATTGTGAAGCGAAAGCCTCATTGATGTGTGCAATATGATGAGCTTCCTTCTAATGTCCGGGGCATGGCTCGTCGTCTCGCCCGCCCTCGATTCCGTTGTAGAACTTGTTGGGAAAAACCCAACCGGCCAGTGCGAAGAAACTGCTTGAGTACTTCCGTCGGGGGACTGATATGGTCGATCCAGCGCTGTTCCTCTTTAGGTATTTTGGGGAGCATGCGGCGTTCTTCAATGTTGGTGCCCGCCAGCTTGCAGGCGATGTTTCATTCCGAGGAGACCTGTATCAAGCATCGCGTCGTCAGTATTTATTATATGTTTGGCCGTACTGGTACTGACAAAGTACAGCTGCTTCGGCATTGGGCTTTCGTCGCGTTCGAGTTTCGTCCCCGCCAAGATTCACGGGTCCGCCTGCGTACGTTGACATCGACGACGTGGATCGCCCGTTGTCATCTGCACCTCCTCGAATGAATGAGCACCCCTACAAGATGGGGAGACTCAGAACCGCTACTATGGTTCGTCGCATGCTAACCACCCTCCTTCGGTCGAAAACTTGGATGAGGTTGGGATGAGGGCGCCGTGAAAGACATAACCCTTCTTGAGCGATTGAGGAGCGGGCACGGGCTGACTGGTCATCAGCGGGGAGGGCTGTTTACCATGTGCGAAAAGTGCGGCCAGCATTTTGTGAGGTCGAAACTCAACAAAACGTGCACTGGCTTGATTGTTCTCTGAGTCAGTGGATGTGGCGACACTCATAGTACATCAGCAAACCTACACTTTACTTGTCAGCTTTTCACGACTTTTTGTGACTGACAGCTTGTCGCCAAGTCACAAGTCGACACAAGCTCACAAGCTGACGAGGTGCCTGACCATGAGGGGACTTGGCGAAAAAAGTGGTTTGCGAACTTGCTTATGTAACAATTGGTAACCACGCCCATTCTGTAATTTCCCTCTCATCTTAACCACACCATCATCCACAGTGACCACCCACCTCTGCTGCGTCACCACTGCCACCACCAACATTTACCTCCCGGAACCATCGTTTGACCTCCCACAACCACGATAGCTCACACCGACGACACGTGGTGATGCCACGTCACCAGCCTCAACCACGAGCACCAGTCAGCCCAATGCCGCCACGCCACGCCAGCAGCGACAGCAACCAGGCAAGCACCAGCCGACTCACTGCCACGTCGCGGTGACGACGTGGCTTGTCAACGGTACGTTACATCTTTGGCTCTTCGGTCTCTCCTAGATTTCTCGTTCACCCATCTCTCCAATTCGCTCTTTTTAGGCTGGAGCCTGGTTTTGTTAAATTAGAGAACGAAGTCATACAGAAGCCATCGCATCCGCCATTTCGTTCTTTTTAGCCCGCTGCTATGTGTGCCCAAGAACTTTCCAAGCCGAACCTTCCTGACGTGCCACGAAGTCGACAGCAGCAACGACGACGACGACAAATGATCGTGGAGGAATGAGTGCTACCAAAAGGTCAGCAACCCCCGATATCCCCCCCCTTCGACTGACAAGTCCCCAGCCAGTTGCCGTTGCCCACACCACACACCAACCATCGCCACGTCACTCCGCCGCGCACGCCGTTTCGACAGCATATGTACCAGTATGCACTTGCAGGGGCAGGAAGGGAGTTTGAGAAGGGGGTATACAGAGCTTGTGGAAGGGACCCAATGGGGGAGGGATGCATCCCTCCTGGCGTCGCTGGTGTGGATGGCAAAGGATTATTTAATAGTGTACTGTCGTATTCTCACTGTATTGTGCTAGTACCATACAATGATCAGTTATACCTAATTTTTTGCTACGAAATACCAAAAATAAGATTACCACTTTTCTGAGCTTGTCAGCTTGTTAGAGCTCGTCGAGCAATCTCGCAACTCAACTTGCGAGATTTTTGGATCTACTTGTCAACTTGTGACTTGTGGCTCGTTTCGACTCGTTTGGGCTCGTACGAGTCGAAAAAAGCCCAAACAAGTCGTGACAAGCGGAGTGTAGAAATACTGATGTATTAGTGACGACGTTCCTCTAAAAACATACATACTGTTGAGTATCTACAGACCTCGAATGTCAGCGTTTGCATCTTTCCTGAACTCAGATGAAAGTTATCACGCAAGATGAAAGAGAATCGCAACAAGATTGTTGAAAACGAAGAGTTATCTTTGTAAGTTTTGTCCAAACGTGTGACTTCCAAAACGTCGGCAAAGTCCGAAACACTGGACACGAATTAGTACCACAATTGTTAATTAGGTTGGTTGACCTATCATTCGATGAATAACTCGACAATTACATTATTATTTTGCAGTAGTTCGTAGTGATTCTTCAAGGGAGGCTGCAACTCCGGCTGTCACGGTTTCGAAAAGAAGCCTGCGGGTATCGGCGATCCGGATCCGAGAGATATACCAATCGACCTATAACTCCAGTTCGGATACTCTTGCAATTTCAGCGAGGGCTAAAATGGAGGGAGAAAGGACGTCTTTGTGAGTAAGCTTATAACAGTACTTCGAGACTCACACGTTGGTTGACAGGCCAAGTTTCCGAAGGTCGGTCTGAATCTTCAGATAATAACAATAAGACTCAGAGCGCTTCGGCATTCTCCAATTCTGCTCACAGTCGTCACAGCCCGAGGGGTTATGGCGGCAACGATCCTTCAGAACAAGCCAGAAATTCTCCAAAAGCCAATCGCGGATGGACAGCGTCTCCTTTCTCCGCCGATTCCTGTGTGACAGCTCGCGGTGGTCGCGCCGAGATTCGAACGGAAAGCAAGCAGCCCAATAGCGTCCGCTGAACTGAGAACCTGTTCAAGTCAGGCACTGACGCGTAAAGATTTGAAGATGTAGGTTCATCTGGAGGAGTACGGCGAGGAATATGTCCAGGTGCAGGAAGAAGCTAGTATTGTATGGGCTTTTGGGGGCGACACGATGACAAAAAGGCATCAAATGAGGACTTTTAGTCGAGAGACGTTGCGACATACCTGTTTTCGTTGGCAGCTTTCCAAACGACTCTTTCAGATGGCCGCAAATTCCGTGACTTCCCTGAGACTTTACGTCGCAATTCCGCACTACACGCATTGAGATAGACAGGACGGAAACGACGTGATAAGCGTGGAAAACCCCAATCATTTGACGGTTTGGACATGGACTGTGTGATCAAGGACAAATGTAACGTTTTGGACATATCACTGTCGACTTCCCTGGCAGGGTACTGGTGTTTGTAGCTGCTATTACATAAATAAAATAAAATAAAATAAAAAGAGGAAAAAAGCGAAAGAAAAGAGAATATTTCTTATCTTATCTTATCTTCTATACATGAGCTGTAAACTACTAGCCCATCCTTCCATTTCCACCTACATCTGGGCAGCTCTGAAGCACTTTCAAGGATGTAGGTTGGAGTAACTAACCCTTTTTTTTTTGGTGGGGTGCATGTGAAGCACTTCCACTTTGATGTTGAATTAGTTTTGACCAAACAGGATTCTTTCTTTGTACATCTACAACCTGGCATTGTGATTTTGTTTCTGAAAGTTTGATGATAACTTACAGTAGTTTTCATATGTGAAACTATGACATGCGATGCTATAAAATGAAAAATCTCATCCTGTTTCCCTTTGCATGATTACCATTCCATATAATTGCAGCTTTGCTCTGGATCTTGGTTTTTCTCTCATGCATAAGCTTTGTAAACAACTAAAAGTCATCAGAATCTCCATCCCAGATAATCATACAACCATCTAAACAAGGGGGAAAAAAACAAGGGACACACCAGCTGTACAATATTCTTTCCAGTAGATAGGGTAAAATTTTCTGGGTGATACAGTCAAGTGTAAGACTTATGCCAGTGCTTAAAAATATCTTACACAGAAAGACATAATCTATCCAAAGCTTCAGTTGAAATTTCAGAAGATTAACAAGCCACAATTTAAAATTATGTTTATCAAAGCAATGAGGTATTACTCTTTTATTTCAAGACTTCAAATTTCTTGTACTCAGGAGTTAATTTTGTCCAAAACATGAGAAATGTCTGTTGGATTTCTCAGGGTTATTTCTATGGGATTTCTTTACAATTTTTCCAGTTGTTTTGGCAGTTGACCAAAAATTGCCATAACCCCACATGCCATTTTGGTAGTTGTAAATGGCCTATGACCTGTGACTGTTGAATTGATAAAAATGGCACAGTAGCAAGTTCAGAATTCAAAAATGTCAATTTCAACTGATGTTGCTGATTTAACAATTTTTTGAGCAGTAAAATGCATAAAAATTTGGTAGCTCATACTCATGTAATAATCTCAGTATAATGTCGATTTTATATGATGTAAAAATGTAGTGGAAGACGGCAGAGAGGGCAATTATTACAGAAGCAGGCTGGAGATTATTGCTATCACATAAGCAAAAGCATAGCCACCTGCTATCACATAAGCATATGCATAGCCACCTGCTATCACATAAGCACATAGCCACCTGCTATTATGTAATAGCAGCTACAAACACCAGTAGACTGCCGTATCTTCACTATCATGTTGAACCCGCCGCTTTCTCTCCTCTCAGACGATCTGCTTGCTTACATTGTCGAACATATCTCAAACCTTCCATTTTGGGATGAGCACCTCCATAGTCTCTCTCTCACGGATCGGGCATTTACGCAGATATGCCAAACATACATCTTCCGGAGCCTCGAGCTGGGCATGGGTTCGGGAACCAAGAGCAAGATATCAAAGAAGCTGGCAAAGATGAAAAAGATTTTAGATGACAAGCCTTCGGTCGCCAACCGTGTCCGTGTTATTGAGATTTGTGTCTCGCACGCACGGAATGCATGGCTTTTCAACGATCCCACCCTCATCAGCATCCTCCAACTGCTCGCCAAGTCGTTGATGCCACCCCATGAGCTTCGCTTCGGCGGACCTATGTTCTCTCGGTTAACAATTGAGGACCCCATACTATTCGTGGGACGGCTCACGCAATCATTCTTTTCGCAAACCTTGACTACCCTCCGCCTCACCGAATGCAAGAACGTGCCGTTGCCTCTTTTTCTCATCTGCCCCAAGTTGAGAGAAGTGCTCCTTGACTGTGTGGGAGTTTCTGAGGAGAGCTACGATGAGTACCCAGAGGAATATAGCTCTACCCGAGACCGAGAACTGCCAGCACTGGAAGTTTTCGACTATCGCGATTCGCACAGCCTCGTCAAACAGATGATTACATCACCGCCTAGGTTTCATACGCCAGTGGTCATTTGGTCAAAGCTACGCATTCTGACCCTATCCCCGCACGAGGAGGAAGAAATGGCTTGCTTGCAACCTATCCTCGATGCAGCTTGCAATACCCTGGAGGAATTGTATCTCACTAGCTTACACGTGGGTGAACGTAGGTGCAGTGTTTTTTTCGTAAAGAGAAGCGATTTTGACAGGTTTCTGACAAAGGTAAACAACTCCCACTTGTTGGACTCTTGAACCTCAAAGATCTTTCAAGCCTGCGCGTATTCGCGCTTTACGCCATCATCAAATGCAATAAAAAAGAGTCCGGTGCTCTCCGCGATATCAATATCGTCCTCAGTAAAATATCTGCATCCAATCAAGTCACGAACCTTTCATTCGACTTTTCCATCTCCGGCAAGCACCCTTTTGGTGGATGTCTTGAACAAGATTGGATCGGATTATGTGACGAAATCATCCGCATTTCTGCCGGGAAGCCGCTCGAGTTGGAATTGCAGACGAAGGTGTCTTCGGAGGGCTTTCAGTCCCCAGACGTTGGAGACGGCGCAGTATACAGGCGCATCGAGGAAACGACAGCATCCCTTTCAGACTTTTCAAACATTTGTTGTCACTTTTGGAACCCTACTTGTTGGTCTAGTGGGCTCGCTCCATTCCCCCGCGGCCAAGTGCGCAGTAGATGTAGACGGTAACTCGCTCGCATATTGTTTCTTAGACCAACGCACCACGCGCTGAGGGCCCGCTGGCTGGGACACTCATCCTCCGTCGTTGAGCATACTTTCAATTTTTTTGTAACTCTTCATCGATTCATCTCCTTTCATACACAGTGGTTCGATACATGAAGAATTTACTCGACTTGTTTTTGGTCACTCTGAAAAGCCAAGTCCTCTTTTTCTTGATACAAGCGTCGGGGGTAGAGCCAAGTCTAAGAAAGTCTCCCGCCCGAGGGAGCAACGCCTTAAAATGTGCTATCCGCTGTAAACGCCGTTGAACTTTATCCGCTGCAAGCTTGGCTTCCTCTTCTTTCATGCGATTCTTCAATAAATCAAAGTCTTCAAACACCGCTAAAAGAAATCCTACATGTCATTTTCTTCAAGTTGGTTGGGCAATAACTCTTACCAACGACGTCTAAGAAAGGGAGATCTGACCCTTCCTCGTAGGTATAGTGCTGCCTGATCATGTTTATATCGTAGAATTGGTAACACTCGCTTCGATTCCTCGTGGGCTGTATGTATACATATGTTTTTTTTTTACGAAGGAAAAATCAGATGGGACATTGGACGTACCCAAAACCTCTGACCAGGTTTTCCAAATGGCATTTGTGACATGTCGAGGCGGTCCGTAGTAGCTCTATACTGCGCCACATACTGTATTTTTTCAGCATAGGGATCCCGTATGCGGCGAATTATACAGCTAAATATTGACGTTAAGTGATAAGAACCAAGAATGTCATGGAAAGCCTCTTACTTTATCGCAGCACGAGACGGGTCATTCACCAACCTCCAAACTCTGCCGTTATAAAAGATCCTGTTGGCGGTATACTGATTCGGCTCCGGCACAACTTTGTCCTCATCAAACCCATATTTTCTCATGAGCAAAACATCGGGATGAGCCCATTTCGAAAAATCGCCGTGGCGCACGGATATTGAAAAAGTTGATGTGATACTCATGAACCTGTGTCCACTCATGCATTCCAGAGAGATACTGGAGATGATCCAAGTACCGGAGAAAACCAAGGGGGATAGTGGATTCGTTCCGGAAGTAGACGGAAAGGACAGAGAAGTACGTGTAGAGATGGCGGAAAATTAGGTTGGGTTCCCTGGACCATGTTATTGACTGCTTCAGAAGTTCTTGAGGGCACCGTGTCCGAGTCTGATGTGGAAGCCGTGGGGGTGTGGCTTCGCCAGATTGCATAGGTAAGTTGTATTATACGTATAGGTCCAAGGCAGCAAAGTCGTGAAGTATTATTGAAAGTACCATAGTCTCTGGGATGGTGGGGAATTCTTGACATATATCGGTGAAGATACTGGTGTCCTGACTTCGACAATCCTGCTGAGACATTGTCTGAAAAGGCCAGCGGACGGTTTCGAGGGTATGCGTTGATGCTTCCATGCAACGCGTAAGATGGAGCGCGCCTGGCAAGATGAAACGAAAGAGAAACCTAAGGGATAGACAGGATTTGGACAAAGTTGCAGTTGAGTTTTGTGCAGCGTGTGCAGGCCGAGGGGAATCGAAGGTGGCTTGAACTTGAAGGACGTAGTACTCAGACTGCAATTTTGAAACTGTTTGACATGATCGCTAAGCACCTCTCATTCCGGCGTCATGGCGTAACAGAGAGTCGTAAAGCTTAGCTTCAATGACTGGTCTCGCCAGGCAATAATGATCAGATTGACTGGCCGTGGATGACCGCTACGGTTCAAGTTGCGAGGTTTGTTTGGCTAGCCCTCCACAGCGTTCTATTATTTCCTTGCCGTCACATTTTCATTGGGGAGTCCAACTTTGCGACGCGTAGATACAGGTAAGAAGTCGGACAATCACTTTGAGAACGTGCCTACTACGTGCTACGTCTTTAGTAAAGTTTAGTATTAGTGATGCGTCGAATTCCGCGTGAATTCGGTTCAATTTCGGGTTGGTCTTCGTTCAGGAGGACATCTCGATATTGGATAGTTTGTCCAACTTGTTGTATGGAGGTAGAGGTATGCACAGGGACGGTGTGGTGCTGGGGCGACGCAGCGGCTCTGTCGTGACCGGCGAGGTGGGCGTTGGGTGGGCGGTTGATCTCGCAGAGTAGCGGTGACGTCCATTTGGTGAGGCGATGAGCTGGGTGAGTGATGAGTGAGGGAATTTAGTCCAAGTTCAAGATTCTGCACAGCGCCAGACACCAGACACCGGACATTCCAAATCCGGGACTTTTGTGAAAGAGGAATGAAAGCGATTCATGATATAAGAGGATCAAGAGAGGAGGCAGAATAAGACGGAAGAACGCACCGCCGGTTTTACTGCGTGTTAGGTCTGCGGAGCCAGGTGTCGAATGTCGAGTCAAGTCGAGTATGTCGTCTATTAGCTGAGAAGAGGAAAGTTAGGAAGAGGGATAGGAGGAAGAACAAGAAGAAGGGGAAGGAATTTCAACACAAAGTCAAAGAGCCCACCTGAAATGCAATCCCCAATAAGCATACGCTATATCCTTGTACAACACGACGGCCGATCGCGCGCCCTTCGCCATGAGGCTTGCGTTATGCTTCAGCCCCCTTTTTCCAGGTTTTCTCAGCCTCCAGGAAAGCGTCCGTGGTATCTCCCAACGTCTTCTGAGCTGCTTGACCTTCAGGACCTCTGGCTCGGGTCTGATAACTTTGGCCTCAAGTCCGATGCTGGAGAGTAAGGTCTTTCAAGAAATGTCTTGACCGTACCCCAACGCTGCCCTGGAAATATAGATGACGGTCCATGGGTAAGACGAGGCTGAGCGGCAACAGTCGACGATGACTTTAGCCTTTGGGTGAAACGAAGTCGCGTAGAAACCACGTGCAGCAACTCCCGCGCACAGACCCACAAAAAAAGTATATAAACCTTACCACGGTGTCCTGTTTCCTCAGAACATACTCGAACAGGATCTGTTTACAGAAACTGACCGAGTCTCGCATTTTTACAAATGCCGCATCTTCATATCCACTCGATGACTTCCGCGCTCACTCGTTATACCGAGAATATGGCTTTGCGCAAGCAGGGCCTCGAGGACGTTTGGTGAGCTCATTGGGCGTGCATTTTAAAGCCGCTTGAGGAACTTGCCAGCGAGTTGAGCGTCTGTCTGATGGATACCTCTCTTGACTACACCTTTGTAAAAGCATTTCTATAGACACAAACGAACGAATTTTCGCTTCATTTCCTTATGCCTCGTGAGCTCGCATTTTGAACCTTCGACCTCGTCGAGAGTGTTTCCAAATTTCAACGTTGGACGTCGGGCACCGATACCTTCGAGCTCACTTTGCTTTCTCTCTTTTCTAGGCCCTCATGGATCTTGTCTTCTTTTCCCTGGAGCTTCGGAGTCCCTCGGAGATTCCTTCAACCTCATCCTAAAGTGATGGGAACGACGTGAGTTCATAAATAAACCTTCAGAATGTGTTTAAACCGTGAAAGTCAAAGGTTGACCGAATATAGGGTAGGTTACAATGACTAGCGGCAATCAGGATCTATGAGCTGTGTAGCGTCAAAGGTGGTCAGTGATTGTGGTCAGCTGAAGCCTGAAGTTGACATATTGCCACTCAAAAATGTAGACCCCCAACTCTGGGCGTCCTAATCGACCGGCGGCCATCAGGATCTAGGAGCGTCGATCTTATCAACCAGCGGCAATCAGGACCTATAAGCGTCAAACCTGTCTACTGAGCGCCCTAATCATCACTCGTGATCACTGATAAGTTGTGCTTTCAAGTGCTGCTTGAATCAAGACCAGTTTGATACGTGTATGGGTTCAAGCTATTCATGGAACTTGGTGAGCTCTGGTGCACTTATTTTCTTTCGCCTCTTATTGGTTTCACCCAGAGATGTGTTTCATATCTACCGCGTGAAACAGTGCCACCGAGCGTCGTTACTTTGGTCAGCTGAACTTCCAATATACACACTACGCATGAAGTTGGCGAGTTTGTTGTACAATATTCTCTTGCTTTCAACGTTCTCCTGCCTGAACTGGTGCAAACAGATCTTCGCAAGGCCCTCTACTAAGTTGCGCATTGTGCTACTCTGGCTTACAGTTCAAGGACTGGTTTGCTGTACGCATTAGTACCCATCAAGCCGATATCTATTTTTTGTTCCTCCCAAACTGGCAAGATCAAGCCTTCAGTCTTTTTTGGTGAGTCTACTGTGTACTCCATCTATTTTTGCGCCTCACGATTTGAAGGTCTCTCAGGCATGCGTGCCTTGGCTTACCGAAGTAATCATCGACGTTCACTCCCTGCCCCATGATAGGTGTCATAAGGTCTGAACGTCCGATGGTCGTGATCAACAGCCTCTCCTCCGCTGGGATATCCAAACTCGTTATCAGGCATAGCCATATTTTTCGAGAGCTAATGCAGCGGGGAAGGCCGTCATAATCTCATTGGGTAACTGGTCATCGCTATTTTTTCTGAAAAAGCTGGTGCAGATATCGTTTAGATGGCGCCTGAATTATCCGCGCAGGATCATTAAGCTTTCAGCCTTGAGAAAAGAACGATCAAACCCCACAAGTACAGCCTCGTTAGAAGACAGGATGTCCATTTCATTTAGTACAGGTCGGCTCGGACCCCCGAAGCTTGGACGTGAGATGTAAACTCAGTTTTGGCAAGCCCAGAAAAGCTACTGAACGGGTACTTATCGAGGCGCCTCCTTCGTCCGATAAATAGGAATGTGGTTTCCCAGTCAGATGCCCTCCAAACACACCGCGTGTGTCAGGTTGCCATAGATCATGAGTGAGTAATTGTTTTCGAGCTTGGATATCGCGTGCTGACGAGAGGCAACGTAGAATCTCTTCACAAGTTCGTCAGATTCGTTGCCAGCATGGCCGTCGCCTTTCCGATGGCCACGATCGCTGGAAGGCTCCCAGGGACGAACTTTCAAGTTTGTCTAGCCAAACTACAAAACGGCACTTTTGGAGTAGGCATGGATGTTGGCGGAACGGACAACCAAGGAAACCCTGTAGACGTCGCTAACGCCACGGGCATCACGTACAGCCTATGCCTCCAAGCTTGTGGCGAAAGACAAGAGCCATTTGAATTCACCATTTTCTCGCAGCAATTCAGCGCGTTTTTGCTCCCGTGGCTAGCGCTGGTTTCCCAGCTCCCGTTCGGCTCCAATGATATGCTGGTGAATTTGGACTCTGTGCTTACAACCGTTGGATCACCAACTTTGGCTGCGTATTCGCTTATCCTAACTGTCTTAAACAATCGTTGGGTCACCAGACAGTTTACACAATACACCTTTCCCAACGTTCGAGATGCAGTGCGCATCCTCACTAGCCTGCAGCAATCGCCCATCAGAGTCGTGAAAGATGATGGGTTTCTTGCGTCCCTCATTGTTCTGAGCCAGAACGACAAATGGTGGAGTCAACTTGCCGAGGAGATCGACTATAGTCACAACTGGTCCATTTCTGCAGCCACCTCCATCGCGTGGGTGGTCATCGCCTACGTCTTTAGCGTCCTTGATACTTTCATAGCGGGCGTTGACACCTCCATCCATTCCAATGGCCTAGGAGTAGGATCACTTTGGCTGTGGCTTCTCCCCATCGTCGTTGGGTGGCTACAGTTCTCGCCCAAATGTGACGCGGCACTGCTCAAGAAAGCCGTAGCGCATGCGAATGACCTTGCGTACCTTGCCACGGATGATGGGAAGAGTGTTCTCCTGAAGGACAAAACCGACATACGAGCTATTGACCTTACCTTGACAGATGTGGATGACCTGCATCGGGATGAGAAGTGTACTTCGCCAGTCTTCAACTATGCGCGATTCTTCCCGTGGGTGCAGGCAGTGGAGGATGTGTCCGAAGCTTTCCAGGCGGCATCCGAACGTTTTCGCCGTCATGAGCCGGTCAACGAGCCGGTCGACCCCGATGCTGAGAAACCTAATTATCGTGATCGTGTGGGCACCAGGACTCAAGTCGAAAACTACTGTGCACGGCCGAGAAACCTCCTGCACGTGGTCGCTGGGGACCAAAAGTTGTATCCAGAATGTTTCTTGCATCTGGTCTCGCATTGATGTTACAATGGGGCACGGCTGGAGCTGCCTTCGTTCAAGCCTGGTACACACCTACTCGAGGTGAGAACTTCACTCTTCTCTCTCCTCCGTCTTGTTTGCTGATCACTGTCACAGGACTCGGCTGCCGATCATTAGCTGTGCTCATTTACGCTGTCCTCTCCACGACCGTTTGGATGATGTTAGTGACCTCAAGCATCCTAACACACTATGCCTCGAACCCCCAACACCGCTCTGAAGGCCATGTCATCCATGAAGGTGAGGCCAGAGATGAAGAAGGCCAGGCCCTCCTTGAAGACAAGGCCATTCGTCATCGGTCCACAGCTCGATGGATCTCAATTATGCTACGCCGTCTCGGAAAGCTCATCGCCGGCTTCAACGCGGTCTGGGCAGTCACCGCGTGCTTTTGCCAGTTCGGCAACGTCTTTGACAATTGTTTTTGTAACAGCAGCGTCTTTTCTCTGGGCAAGCACGCGTATTCTGTCATAACTCTTCAAGATCTTGACTTTTGGATTATACAAAGTGCGTGGATTGGCAGCGTGTTTTTGGCGGGCGCCACTGCGGCCATATATGTGCTCTTCGCCAATTTCCTTATCGAGCCGCCCTTGCCTGAGATCGTGCCAGTGGCGACTGAATGAAAACCTGGTCATGGCTGGTCTTTGCTTTTTATGTGACATTTAAATACGTTCTCATACCAATCTCATACCTTCTGTAAAGTCTTGTCAGGTTTCTCGCTTGTGTCACTGTAATATAGCGATCGTATTGTGAATTATGCTTACAAGAGAGGGGGTTATGAAGATCTGTCCGGGCCAGTTGGAAGAAACCATGACCAGCGATAACGATGCATGATAGAATAACGTGTGCGGCCCAGAGATTAAAGCTAAGATTATGAGGGCGAGGGGGGTGTTGTTGAAAGGCAGTCGCTAGACGTCCAGGGTTTTCATTGTTAAAGTAGCAGCGCAGATACATACATGGCCCCTAGAGAGAAAATCATCAGAGGCGAAAAGACATTAACGAGGAACTCACCGAACAGTGGGCCATGAACGGCGCCTGTGCGTACAATCAAGCAATCATAACTCGTGTTTGAAAAACGTCAAACAACTCAAGTCATCCGCAGCCTTTCGTTATGAGTGCATTGAATTGCTGTTTGGTATCTATAAGTGTCAACGAAAAGACATCAACGAGGAACTCACCGAACTCGGTGCCTGTGCGTTCAAAGAAGATAAGGGGACTTCAAGTGATCATAACTCGTGTTTGAAAAAAACGTCAAACAACTGAAGTTATCCGCAGTTCGTTAATGAGTGCATTGGAATTGCTGTTTGGTATCTACAAATGCCAACAAAAGACGAAAAACTCACCGAACTCGGCCTTGAAAGGGTGCCTGTGCGTGCAAAGAGGAAACTCAAGTGGGCTCCAATTAACCATGCCAATCCCAACTCGCGTTTGGCAAAAATATCTACAAATGTCAAAAGCAAATGAGTAATACCGCACAACAAAGCAACCGAATCACGACCGCCTTCCAACAACCTTCTCCGTCAACGCTACCAACCCATTCTTCGCCACACTCTCCGGAAGCTCATCAAGCACCTCCTTTGCTTTTTCCGCGAATTCTTTGGCGAGGAGTTTAGTGCGGTGGACGCCTGAGGAGCGGTGGACTAGGGAACGGGCCTGTAGAGAGTGTGTGTGTTAGCTCGAGACAAGGTCGAGGGTGAAGGAGAGGGAAGGTAGGGGGAAAAGCGAGATATGGTAAAAGAGGGGAGGTAGAAGGAGACGGAAAATGAATGGGAAAAGAGGAAACACACCATCTCAACATCCCCAGGACCCTCAAACTTCCTCCCAATCAGCTCCCCCATCTCGGGAAACTCTTCCCAAGCATACAGAGCTGGTCCGGTGGCTAAGCCAAGTTGAAGATCTGCACCGCCTGGTTTACCGAGTGTTAGATCTGCGGAACCGGGTGTTGATGTTGATTCGTAGTCGAGTATGTCGTCTATTAGCTGGGAAGACGACGATTAGGGTTAGGGAGAGGGATGACGACAAGAGCAAGAGGAAGGGAAAGCACCTGAAAAGCAATCCCCAAATTCCGTCCATAAGCATACGCTATATCCTTCCACACCTCGCCCTCCTCACATCCACCCAACACAACGGCCGACCGTGCGCCCTTGGCCATGAGGCTCGCTGTTTTGAGGTACGTCTTTTGCAAGTACACCGTCCATGCGTTTTTAGTTTTTCCTTCCACCCCAACATCTTTGTCTTTCTTCGTCCCCTCAACTTCCCCACCCAAAACGACATCCCGCATCTGCAAAATCTCCCCCTCCACCAAATTCGATATAACACTCGCGATAAGCTGCGTGACTTCCGCGTCGCCGAGCCTGGCTAATGCAGTTGAGGCTCTGCCTAAGATAAAGTTTCCTCCCAATACAGAGAGCTTGCTACCGAATTTGCTTGGGGCGGAGGGGGCACCCCGACGAAGGGGTGAGGCGTCTATGACGTCGTCGTGTAGGAGTGAGGCTGTGTGCAGCATTTCGACGATCTGGGCTAGGCGGAGTTGGGTTGGTAGGAGATGCTCATGGTGGTGGTCGGAGAGGGTTGGTGATGACGGAGATGGGGTTGAGGATGGTGGGGAATGACTTCGTGGTGACGGTGGATATGTGTGCGCCGTCGACGGCTTCACCAAAAACACGTCCTCAAACTCCCTCGTACTCCCCTGCATAGCCGGATTCCAATCGTTCAACACGTCAGGTCGTGTGAGCGGTCTATCCAAATCCAAGTCTTTCGACTCGAGCAGCTTTCGAGGCCAGGAACGGCCGAGGCCATTGGTGGCTTGGGAGAAGAGGAGGACGATGACGGGGCGGATGTGTTTTGAGGGGTGGAGGAAGTAGTATTTTGTTAGTTCTGAGAGGGTTGGGTTACCGGACGTTAGGAGGGGGAGGAGGGTGGTGCGGAGGGTTTTGAGGTGGGGAGTTAGGTGGGCTAGTGGGTCGTTAGAGGAGGAGGAGTAGAGGCGGTGGCGGGGGAGAAGACGGATGATGCGTTTGTGCATCTTACTGAGTTGAACCTGAAATTGAACCGAATTCACGCGGAATTCTACGCGTCACTGAAGAGGTAGTACGCAGTAGTCAGCAGAGTGATTGACTGACTTCTTACCTGTACCTACGCGTCGCAAAGTCGGACTCCCCAATGGTGGCAAGGAAATAGAACGCTCATTTTGTTGTGGAGGGCTAGCCAAACAAACTTCTCACAACCACAACGGCCATCCACGGCGGGACCAGGCGGGTGATTTCCTGACGAGAGTCATTGAAGCTCAAGGAGTTTTTGTTCAATGTTTCGACACGAGAGGTGCTTAGCGATCATGTAAAACAGTTTTACAATTGCAGTCCGAGTACTATCATTCCTCGGCCTGCACACCACTGAAGCACTAAGCCCACCTACCCCTCACATCTCTTTCGTTCCGTCCTGTTCCGTCTCGCCAGGCGCACTCCACCTTACACGCTTGAAGCCCGAACGCATAACCTCAAAATTGCCCGCTCGCCTCTTCACACAATGTCTCAGCAAGACCATCGACGTCGGAACGCCAGCATCTTCACCGATATCTGTCAAAAATTCCCCAACATCCCAGAGACTATGGTAATTTCAATAATACTTCACGACTTTGGTGCCATGGACCTATACAGCTTACCTATGCAATTTGGCGAGGCCACCCCCCCCACGACTCGGACTTCCACATCAGACTCGGACACGGTGCCCTCAAGAACTTCTGGAGCAGGGGATAACATGGTCCAGGGAACCCAACTTGATCTTCCGCCATCTCTACACGTACTTCTCTGTTCTTTCCGTCTACTTCCACAACCAACCCACTATTGTCCCCCTTGGTTTTTTTCGGTACTTGGATCATCTCCGGTATCTCTCTGGGATGCATGAGTGGACACGGGTTCATGAGTATCATATTGAGTTTTTTGAGAAACGTGTTTTGGAGATGCGTCACGGCGATTTTTCGAATTGGGCTGAGCCTGATGATTTGCTCATGAGGAAATATGGGTTTGATCGAGAGAAAGTTGTGTCAGAGCCGAATCAGTATACTGCCAATAGGATCTTTTATAATGGCAAGGTTTGGGGGTTGGTGGATGATCCGGCTCGTGCTGCGATAAAGTGAGAGTCTTTCCATGACATTCTTGGTTTTTTATATACATATGTATATTGATGTCAATATTTAGCTGTATAATTCGCCGCACCCTAGATCCCTATGCTGAAAAAATACAGTATGTGGCACAGTATAAAGTTACTACGCATCGCCTCGACATGTCAAAAATGCCATTTGGAAAACCTGGTCAGATGTTTCGGGTACGTCCACTCTCCCTCCCAAAACAAACGTCCCCCATCTGATTTTAAAAAAATTTTAAAATCGTATACACACAGCCCATAACGAACCGATGCGAGCGTTACCAATTATACGATATAAACATGATCAGAATCAGAAGGCACTATTCCTACGAGGAAGGGTCAGATCTCCCTTTCTTAGACGTCGTTGGTAAGAATTGTTACCCGACCAAGTATAAAGAAAATGACATGTAGGATATTTTGTGTTTTGTTTAGCGGTGTTGGAGGACCTGAAAGCAGACGAAGCCAAGCTCGCAGCGGAGAAAGTTCAACGGCGTTTACAGAGAATTGCACAGTTTAAGGCGTTGCTCCCTCGGGCGGGACGGTTTGTTAGTCTTTGGCTCTACCCCCGACATTTTGACCGAGGAAAAGAGTGACCTAAAAAAGATGTTGAGTGAATTCTTCATGCTTGAAGTCTTAGCAAGGATATCGTCGGCAAAGGATGTTCAAGGGAGTGTATGAGGGGCTGCAACGTTGCTGTGGCTTGTTTCCTACACATGAACAGCTCGGAAGCTTAGAGTGGGTTCCCCCAGCGAGATACTTGTGGTGACGAGGTTTCGCAATATTTTCATGAGTTTGAGAAACACCGTTACCTGTATTCTCTTATCATATATGTAATGTTAAGGGAATAGTACTCGGTATGAGATCCTGCTCATTTGGTACCGGTTTGAATGTCGAACTCACAATCCATGATCACTTCCACGTCCATTCGCAGCATACCCAAAAATCCCGTCAAAAGTCCCATCACACTCAGACCTTCTCAATATCCCTCTCCCCCCCATCCTCTTCATCAAACCGCAAAGCAAGTAACGCGCGCACGCTGGACTCTGTCGAAAGATGGAGCAGTCAGAGAAATGTGATCAAGACAGCGGGGAGGTTATGAGAAGGATGGAAATAAGGCGAGTTGTCGAATTGACGTTCGAAAACACGGCGAAATGGGGGGCGACAAGCGGGAAAAAAGCGAGTAGAACGCGGCATTGTTACCGTGGGGTTGAGGTAAGTTGGAAAAGTGGACAAGAGAACAACAGTAGTGGGGCATTTAACGGCAATAGCAGATATAAGTACCACACTCACCAAGCACAGGTAACTCAACAAGGATGTGGATGGGTTCCTTGGATAAGTCTTGATCTCCAAAATATTGAGAAATTTGTCGGCGGGCGGAGGTGAGGCGAACAAGGTGATCATCAGAACCGTCGAACTGAAGGGTTTTCAGGGTTTGTTCTAGGTTATCATCATCAGGAAGACAGCAGCACTTCCAGAGGACGAGAATCAACGTCAGCGAGACTGTGAGCATGCTTGTCTTTGATCATGTCCTTGAAAAAGGCGACAGTCCGGTTGTTATGTAGTTCGACCTCGACAATGTGTTCATCGGGCTTGTCATCTGGCCAGACAAGGCACCTTAATCTCAACTTTTCGACAGACATTGCAGGACGGAGAGGAGGCGAACATTGAAGGTGACTGCAGGTCTGAGATGACAGCGCTGTGACTCATTCTCCGTCACGTGTTCCTCAAATCGATCGTGTCAATGCTGGAGCGTGTTGAAACCCAAGAACCTCACAGTCTGACAGTCAGCAAGTTCAACGGAGGATTAAAGGGTTGACGGCGGCAGGGGGAGAGGGAGACGATGTTGTAGTATGCGGTGTCTGGGTGAACAGGAGAAGGAGGATTCGACGCGTTCTTCTGCCATATCTTTTGGGAACATAATAAACGCCGGTGGACGGAGTGGATATTCTGACTCGGTCGAGAACTAAAGGAAGAATTCATTACTGCATACAGCCTATAACCCAAAAATAATTCAGAGTCACGATTATACTGGCGAAAAAAAGTTACACATCCAAAGAAGTTCATTCTGCGAAATCAATCAAAAATCGGTTAAACTATCAAAAAGTTGTTAGAAGGACTTGACCAACTGACGAGCCATAATACTAGGCAATTCGAACTCGAGCGCTGACGCTCCCGGAACCTTTAACAAAAGACACCCGAGCGAAAGCAGAGCGTGATTGTTCGGGATTGGACACATAAGAAAAAATTTCCATGTAGCTTTTCCGGCTACATTAATCCTGAAACTGCCCCCTCAGGACTAACGATGTATTTAGCTAGCAGCTCCATCTCAGTGATAAGATGCCCACCTTCATAGCTATACATCTGCTTTGATTGGGCCGTTGGGATCATTGCCTTGACTAATCGGTGGCTCTCGTCGAGACTCTCGCAGATCATTGTAAATGGAGACAAGGCAAGCGCCGATTGTTACGACCGGGAAAATCTTTGAGGGGTATCAACAAATGTAATAGTCAACATGAAAGGAACAACAAACCTGGCCAAATGTAATCGGAAACCACGGGCCATTATGGATGACTGGATTCCGCTGAATAGTTTGCTCGATAGTCACGACCACGTAAATCCATTGGACAAGAAAGCAGAACGTGATGTAGATATTGACGAAGAGGATTTTGATGAAGGAAGTGCGAGGGCCAGCTGAAAGGCGGTACGAGCCAATGAGCGGATGGAAGGCTTTGATCAAGAATACCAAGAGAAATCCGACTCCTGCGAGTGTAATCACTGGGACACTTAGAATCACCGTAGCACTGATACCGAAGAAAACTTCAGGAGTAGTATCAACAACAGTCCTTGACTGGTTATAGGCATGCTACTCACCAAGGGATACCACACGCCCCGAACCAGTCGCTGAAAGCTCCCTTCCGAAGACTATTAATTTGGTAGCCGCGTTGCACTCCGGCTGGGATCCAAACCTCCGAGCATGAACCCAAACGTAAAGCCCGAAGCCATGCCAAGACCAATGTGGTAACGAAAGAACCACCTTTGCAGGGAGGCCAACCTCAGACACTTGGGCCCCCATACTTCTCTTCTGCATGGATCCAACGACTAGCATGAGCTCGCAAATGAGTTGAAGGTAGCAGAGATATAAAACAATGATAGCATTGTAGAGGGAGATGGAGTGGTTCGCTGCTTGCGCTATTGCTGATACCATGAGAGCAACGAAAGCGAATAAGGTGGCCCAGGATGAACCTTACAAATTTTTGCTTAGTTGGTCTGGATTTGAAGAGATGTGTAATTTACGAACCTCTCGCATCACTACCTGGAACGCATGCGTTGATAACTGCATGAAAAACCCCATTTATTAGTCAATCGACTCCGAGAGAATACGGCGTTCATGCGCCCGACCTGTGAGGACGCTCGTCACGTAGAACGTTATTCGGACACCTGTAAATGCCTTGTAAAACAAAATATGTGCAATGCGAGGGCTGTTGTCGCTCACCAAGACCTGTGATATCCAAGTCCTCAACTAGGCCTTGGCAAACACCTGATGGGTCCGGTGTTGCGTCCCTCAAGTGAAAGGTTCCAGGGGTATTACTGTTTGGCAAGTCGAGTGCGCTGGATACAGCTGATCCGGGAAGAGCAGATGTATTAAATGGTGAATCGGAGGAGACCGCCCGAGCAGGAAAACGTGTCAGAACTCGGTCGGAGGCCAGTTGGGAAAGACGCAGAGCGACAGGAGGGGAAGATAAGAGGCCTGCGAAGGATTCAACGTTTCCGGCGGGCGTAGGAGGGGATTGCGGCCGGGGTGCAATCGATGGGATTAGGTAGAGAACACTAGGCAATCTCATAGTGGTAACGCCGGTGTCCTTGAGAGGTTGGGACTAAAAGTCGCTCAAGCCTTCAGCGCTTCAGCTTATAAGAACCAGCTAATGCATCCGAACTCGGCCGAAACGCCAAAACCATGACAGGCGATATGATCTGTTAGACGCGTGAAGACCACCGTCGCGACTTTGCACTGTAAGTAGTTCGTATGCTGGGACCCGGGTATAACGCCAAACCAAACCTAACCAAACAAACAGATTTCTCAGAGTCAGAGCCAGAGCACGACTTCATGCCAGGCCCTCTACCAAACGCCCGACGCCATGATACCCCACGACGAGCCGTTCACAGCCTGTTCGGTGAGTTCCTCGTTAATGTCTTTTCGCCTCTGATGATTTTCTCTCTAGGGGCCATGTATGTATCTGCGCTGCTACTTTAACAATAAAAACCCTGGACGTCTAGCGACTGTCTTTCAACAACACCCCCCTCGCCCTCATAATCTTAGCTTTAATCTCTGGGCCCGGGGCTGCACACGTTATTCCATCATGCATCGTTATTGCTGGTCATGGTTTCTTCCAACTGGCCCGGACAGATCTTCATAACCCCCTCCGAGTCTCTTGTAAGCATAATTCACAATACGATCGCTATAATACAGTGACACAAGAGAGGAACCTGATAAGACTTTACAGAAGGTATGAGAACGTATTTAAATGTCACATAAAAAGCGAAGACCAGCCATGACCAGGGTTTCATTAAGTCGCCACTGGCACGATCTCAGGCAAGGGCGGCTCGATAAGGAAATTGGCGAAGAGCACATATGACTTGGGTTCGCATATTGAGAGTGACATACGGAAACATGTCGAGTGAGCTTTTCGTGCTCAGGCTTGAAGGATGGCAAGGGAGTGTAAGTAGTATGAGGGGCTACAACGTTGCAGTGGCTTGTTGAGTCTTGCGTGGATTAATTATATGTAACCCTGAAGATGCTCAAACTCGGAGTACCAAGTTGGTTCCTCAGCGAGTACTAGAGTACTGACCAAGTTTCGCAATTCAAAAATAGAACGCCAAGACAAACAAATGCTCTCACTGGCATCTGCTCAGAGCCACCACAACTCGGACTCTTTCGCAATGAGACGGCCATTCAAGCGCCCTCTTCCAAACGCCCGACGCCATGATGCCCCACGATAAACTTCCCACTCCTAGCCCGGATCCCGAGTTTGGAACTTCACAAGAGAACCGTTGCGCACCAGAAATCAATGATCATCACCCTTTGCACAGCTACTTTCATGGGGTTCAAGTTGCGGAGCGCTTCGCAGATATGGCGTATCTCTCCAACGTCGCTTCTGTTCTGAGAGATAGGATACCCTGCGGTACTCATACGAAGGGATACATCCATTACCCTGATTCATTTACCGGCAGAGACGTCATGGTACGTAACCCACCCATAGAGCAGCCCGAGTCCTCACGTATAAGTACCCCTAGACAGCCATCCAATCGTTCATACCTCGACATCTGTGCAACGCACCCAACCTTGCAGCACTCCAAATCTCGCAAAGCTTATACTCCCAAACCCTCTTCCGCAACTTGGAATGGGACAACCCACTCTTTCAAGATTCGACACAAGAACTGTACGCCTTCCTCCCTGAATATCGGCCATACGGAAAGAAGTTGGAGTCGAAGCACTTGCAAAGGCCTTCTGGGGTAATCACGATACTCACTCGATGCTACTTCCCCAGCTGCGAAGCGGAAGGAAGGTGTTACGCACCTCGATGTCCTAGGAAGGTGTGAAATTTTCTTTCTTCGAGGTTCAGAGGTTGCCCACGGAGGGACATTAGGACCTTGCACAGCTGTCTAATGATTCAGCCGAGTCTGATGCGGTGGAGCCGGAGGAGTTGGAGGATATCATACCGGATGATGTCTTGAGATCGTTGTCGGAAAATGAGCTTAATCGTCGACGGTTTGTCTTTATTCTACCCTTCTTCCCAGGCATGGAGCTGAGGTGTCTTCGGTTAGGATAATACACAAGCTGATCAAGAATGAAGAACGATATGTCCGCGACCTGGATATTTTATCATCCGCTTTTCTCAGCCTGCTTTACGAGGCATTCATGTTGCCTGTCGACAAGAGTTTACTCGACCATATCGTCTCACTGGGTAACTTTCATCGTCGGCTGTTATCAGCCCTCTATGCGCGACGACGAGAAGACAATTCAAACTTGCAATCAATTGGGGACATACTCCTGGAGGCATCCTGCGACTTTAGGAGTGTCTATGCGGCGTATCTCGGTTTTCTCCCTTCAGCAGAGGAGCAAGCGATACATGAAATGGAGAACCCCGACTTTAGATTCTTCATCGAGGTACTTCCATCACACCTAGTCACTGGCAGTTGATACTCAAGTGAGTTCTCACCCTCGTGCCTAGTTATGTGACCGCACGATTTCAAAACGACTGCCCCTTCGTCTCTCTTTCCACCAATACCTCCGCAGACCAATGGACCACCTCGAGACGTACTGTCTTTATTTGGACGCACTACTATCCTTACCTCCAAATCCAGATGGCACGGACCTCCGCTTGCGGGAAGCCCAAACCTCTCTGAGCACCGCCCTGGATACTGCGATGGTTTGTTACTTTCAAGCCAGCGGGTTTCCTTCAAGGGGCAGGTACCTCTGGGATTGGGATGCACTCGTTTCACAAAGTGTCAAGGAGGGGATTGGAAAAAGGGAGAGGCTTCGGCAGTGGTCAGTCCTTTTCTTTGTCTCTTTAGAGCTGCGAGGGTTGATAAGGAAGGAATTAGTATCATATTTGAGCTTATCAATTCCGAGATGTACATCGTCAAGGCGTTGGGTAAGATTAAGAATGTACGTTTTTTCCGTCCCTGTTCCTTTTCCTACTTGGGTGTTTACCACTACATGCTATACCACAGCTGTATATCACACCCCTGCGCACCGCGAACCCCCCGATCATCCCCCCGCTATGCCTCGACCAGTTTATTAAAGACGTATTTGGGAACTATGAGCAGGTTCTCCGCTACCACTCTAACATTCTCTCTCAACTCCTCGAAGCTCAGAAGAGGGAACATCCCCTCCTCGATATCTCCTCCATCTCCGCTCCTTACCTCTCCCTCTCTGGGGCATTTAGAGAAGCGTACATGGAATACATACCCAATCACATCCATGCGAAATGGAAGATTGAGCGTGAGATGGATGTGAACCCCAGTTTTAGGGCGTTCATCGAGGTTGGTTCTCTATTCCCTTTCTCTTGATCATCATCTTTGGACTCACGAGATAATGCGATAGGACCGAACGAGACTTCTTGATGCAGATAGGCTTTGTATGGGGTCTTTCTTGGGCCGCCCAAATGGGCGGCTTAGAAAGCTAGGAATGATGTTTGGACGATTCGAGGAGGAAACACGTGGATTGGAGATGGAGAGGGAGACAACTGGTTCAGATGAGGTCTCTGAGGGCGTGACAGACCTGCGGAAGGTCCTTGAGATTCTTCGGTCTGTTGGCAAGGAGATTGAGCCTCTCGTTCAGGCTGCAAAGGAGAAGGTAGAGTTGGAGAGGTGTGATGTGGGGTTGGTTTTCAGTAGGGAGGGGAGCGTCGTGAGTTTGTTCTCAGTGTTAAACGTAAACGGACTGACGTTATGTGGTTGATTGGATAGGATTTCGAGTTGCTCAATGGCAAACGACGCCTTCTGCACCAGGGGAAGCTTTTTCATGCGCTTACGGAGTGGAGTAGGTGGATGTATCATGTGGTTCTCTTTGACCATTACCTGGTGATGACAAGACCGAAAGTCAAATACGGGGTGACGAAGTATCTTGTCCAATACCGGGTCCGTTTATCTCTACCCCATCTTCATGTTGGGTTGCGTGGGTCTGATATTGAAGGGAATGCAGCCGATCCCACTGGACCTGCTCTCCGCCAGGAATTTCAACCATGCCCCCTTCTCATGCAGAGAAATGCACACCGCCATTATCCCACCTGGTGCAAGCTACCGCAAATTAGTTTTACACAGGCTGTAACGACTACGGCACTCCCACCAGATATCAGCGAAGATTCGCATGTCCCCCCGGATATCAACCGAGATTCACATCTTGTATACCCATTCACGATTCAAACACGCGGAAGCAGGGGTGGGAGTTGGAGGTTATGTGCGGCGTCTTTGTATGAGCGTGAGGAGTGGAAGAGGCAGTTGGAGGAGGCGGTAAAGCTGAGGAGAGTGCGACGGGAGGGGCGGGTGTTTGAGATGAGGATGATGTTTGGCGGTGGGGCTGTCTTTGAGCACGGGCAAGGGCAGGGAAAAGGAGAGTTGGATTGGGCAGGCCCGGGGAGGATCAGCTGTTCCGCTCCTTTTGGTAATGCATTCCCTTTGACATAGCTTCAAATTGGACTAACGGGAGCGATCAGATTGTTATGGACAACAATTCCTCGCTGTGGGATGTGCGCAAGGCGTCTGGGTTGGCTCTCCTGATGGTCTTTTCCGTAAGCGTCACCAGCCTACCACACTAGTCATCAGGATCTCAATCTGTGTATACTGTCAGCCATGCGTCGTGTGCTAGATGTGACGACGGTCAAGCAATGTCAGGTTTTGCAAGACTTGGGTGTGTTCCTCGTGCTGGCGGATAAGGTACGTACGTTTTGTTGTGCTTGGGGTCTGGAGTGTTACAAGACGGGCTGACGAGTGTTATAGTCACTGCTTGCTTATCGTCTTGATGTTTTGGTTCAACCATCCTCGCCAACGGCATTGGCTCAATCTCATTCCTATCCTCAGAAAGTCAGCTTGAGGGAGGTTCAATGCTTTACTTCCAGGATCCTTGAGGGCCGTATCGTTGTGTATGTGACTAAGAAAGGGGTGGGTTTCCTCATCCTTGCTTGATCTTGGGAGTTAGTATGTATACTGACTGCTGGTTACTCATAGAGAGAAAGTGTGGTTCATGTGGTTGAGCCCGTTGTTGATAGGATCAACGAAACATCCAATGTTGTAACACCCAAGACTGCCACTGGATTATCGCGCATTTTGGGAGTGGGACGAACCAAACCGTCACAGTGGTTCCGGATTTGTAAAACCTTTTGTGGGCCTTTTGTTGCTCTCGATATACAGTTCCTTGGGCTCCAAGGAAAGATTGCGATTCGGTCGGAGAGGCATTTCTACATCTTGGACCTCACACAGTACAATTCCCATGGTGGTTCCCCTATGCTATCGCTAATTCTATGTGTTATAGGTCACCGAAACCTGTTCTCATGCCGCAACTCACGGAAGACCTCGCCTTGGCGAGGAGGTGTGCATTGGCTCAACCGATAGCCGTGTTCTTATATACAGAGGATGAATACCTCATGTGCTTTGATGGTATGTTCCCCTTCTTCCACACGATGGCAGGCTTGATCTGATGCGAGAGTTCATAGAATTTGGTATATTCCTCGACCAAGACGGGTGTCCAAGCCAACGCCGAGAGAGGAACATCATCGAATGGGAAGGCGCCGCAAAGCGAGCGGTCCTGCTCCTGCCTTATGTCATCTTGTTTGATAACACCTTCGTTGAGGTTCGGCATTTGGAGACGGGAGGCTTGGTGCAGGTTCTTACTGGGGTTGGTATCGAGTGTATCTGGGCTGAGTCTGATTTACCTGGGCGGGTGTCCGAAACATGTATCCATTTGGCTATCGATGCTGAATGGTCTATGTTCGAAGACGTTCGCTTGGAGGGGAGGATTGAGCAACGTATCTATGAGTTATTGTGTATACCTTAAACTTTCAGTACACTGGAGAGCTACTTTTCATGCCAACATATCAGATCTTCAACTGTTGTTGCCCATGTGTGCAAGTGAGGACTTGTGCGGGCTTGCAATGGTGAGTCCGATAGGAATCATTCGGCTTGGCCTGAACATTATCGTACCCTCTGGCCAACACTCATCATGGCAGACCCAACCGACGTCGAAATGCACGTACGAACCTCCTTCTGAGCTTACCCCGCGCGTATCTGACGTGATTTCCTCAATGTAGGGCGCAACCATCTGAAGTCGAGCCGAAGGATTCCGACTGGGTGCGATTAGAGACCACCAGTGATGGCTTCACATACCTCGTTAAGCGCAAAGTCGCGTTGGCAAGCGGCACAATGAGGAATATGCTCGATCCAACAAGTGAGTGGCCATTGGGCTTGCAGAAAAACGCGTTACCTTGTCCTCGAGGTCGTCATCTTGACTTGGTCACGCAGGTGGGCACACGGAAGCTAAAACGCGGATATGCTCCATGAAAGTGAGGTGTGTATCCCTCGCGCCAGTGGTTCATGATCTTTTCTCAAGAGACCAAACGATTGTAGGGGCATCATTACAGAGAAACTCGTTGAATGTATGTGTTTCAAATCTCACTACGAGAGTGCTGCATCAAAGGAGGACATTCCCGCGAACGAGTTCATGGAGTGCGTTCCGCCTGAGGGCAGGGAGGGCTACGTTGCCGAATGGGTTAGCCGAGTTCGGATTCAGCCTTGGCTCATTCAGCCACGCAGCCCGACGGAGAATCTCTGGAATCGTTTTTGCGTGATGCTAGACCTTGATCACCTGAAGACGCAGGCAGAGAGGCGATTTCACAGGCGTATGAGGAAGGATATTGACCGTGTCAGGAGTGCTCTTGGGTCGATGAAGCGTGTGGAGGAGTATGAGATCACTTCGGAACGAGGAACGAGGAACGACGCATTGTCAGCTCTTCAATGCTTTCCTCCAACCTGTGCTGTGGGACTGAGCACACACTTTGGTGACGTTGTCCATTAAACTCCCTCCGGAGCTTCTTTCCTTGCTTGTTCGGGCGAACCTTCTTCGGCTCGAGAACCTGGAGGTTACGTTTCATACTGGTGGGCTGCAAGAAAGGGACATTCACAATGCACTCGACGGATTCATCGTATTCGTTCACAACTCCAAGGACACTTTACGATCGTTTTCAATCCTATCCACTTGCTCCTCTGAGAACCTTGACCTCTCTCGGCTGTTCAGGTTACTCAAGAGATTCCCCCAACTTCGTTCAGCGTCGCTCTCTATTCTTTTTGATAGAGGACACCTCTTCAACCCAGCCAGCTTCTCCAGTTTTCTGGAGCTGCGCCGAGAAACACTTCAGCGTGTTTCCCTCAAAACCAGCAGTTGCACCCCGGTCCATACTGGCAAGAACGACCCCGCTTGTATTAACTGGATCCAGAGAATCATGCTGTCTGTCCACGTACCCTTCCCGCAGCTTTGCAGTCTGAAGTTGGCTTTGAGACCTTTTCGCGCGCCATGACACATCTTGTCCGACTTCCTCGCCATTCACTCTCCTACCCTTGCATTCCTCATCCTCAACGATCGCATGCTTACTTATGATGATGTACAGAGCATCCTTGCCTCAATCGCATCCGTTCAAACCTCGAGCGCCTAAAGCTCCGCGGTTCATATCTCAGCCCTGAACTCCTTTTTTTGCTCGCCTCGCGACTTCCCCGTCTCCGGTCTCTAAGCCTGGTTTTTACCGATGTCCTCTGCGATGGAACAGGAAGAGGCGGTCCTGAGTTTGTCCTCCTGCAATTTGGCGATTTCCTCGTTCCGACGTCGGCCGCAACCTTCGCCGCTCGCAGGTTGAATTTCTCATAACGATTCACGAAGCAAGTTGCCCCACAAGCTCGGTGAGCTAGTAGGCATGCATGATTCTGGTGGGGAAGGCTGACATTGCTACAGTCCTAGTTTCGCTACCTTGTGTATTAACAATGGGTTGATTGCATGCGCCAAATTTTCACGACCGCTTGTTTTCGTCCGCAACGTCACCTATGCTAATCTCCGACTTATGTTACATAGGTACTGCCTATAACAATCTCCTAGTTCAATACTGTATTGCACAAGTACGAATCTATTCTGCGGAGGATTCACGTTTGTGGCGGACTTAAACTCACTGTTTAGCGAAGGGATACGCTCCTTATTATCTACTACTACCGCGTGGACGCCGAATGACTTCTCGGGATGGCATGTCTCGCATTTTCGTCAGCGTACGCAATTGTTTCAGGTCTCTCCGGATCCCCGTAGGCCACTCAGCACTTCAAACTAACGGTCAGATGGCAACTTCCATATCAATGGACCTCCCCAACCCATCAAACACAATTGTGAGGCTCTCGTACTTTGTGCCATGTGGAGCCGAAAGGCGGCGAACGAGCATTCCAGCATATCAACGCCAACCCCGCAACGGGTGAACGGGAGCGAAACTTCACACGAGCTGATCACGACGTCGTCGTCAAGAATCTTCGAGGAGAGGAGGAGTCGGTGACCCTTGATAACGCTGGCTTCCAGTTTCACCGCCATACGGCCAAATACACTTCCTTCTCCCATGACACAGAAATCGAGAAGGAATATTACCCGGAGACTATTGAACTCCTCAAGAAATTGACTGGGGCGAGCAGAGTCGTGATTTTTGATCACAGTATGATCATTTCATCCCCTTCCAAAATGGAATTTTAATTCTATCTTCGAAATTCAGCCATTCGTCGTCACCGCCCAGGAGAATTTGATGACTCTCCAGACCGCCGTCAACCGGTTGCGCAAGTCCACGTTGATCAAACAACTGAATCCTCAGTGGCCCGAGTTCACAAACATCTCCCTGCTTCTGATATTCCCGAACTTCTCAAACGTCGCTTTCAAATCATCAATATCTGGCGGCCCATTGGCAATCCAGCATTTGATTGGCCGCTGGGACTATGCGATTACAGAAGCGTAGACCCCTCAGACGTCGTGCCTGTGGCCCTTATCTATCCTGATCATGAGGGGGAGACGCTTGGGGTAAAATTCAATCCGAATCACAAGTGGAACTATTTCCGTGGCATGACGTCAGAGGAGGTCGTATTGATCAAGTGGTGCGCAAGGCTAACGGAATTTTTTTTGGTCATTCCCTCCTGATTTGGTCCCGCTCCTTTTAGTTTCGATTCTATTCAAGACGGAACTGTGGCCGTATTCACTCCCCACACCGGATTCAATGATCCAACTACGCCGAAGGACAGTCCTTTGCGACAGTCCATTGAGGTTAGGGCTTTAGTTTTTTACGACTGACGCCAACCTGCAAGGGAGCTTATTGTACAGATGTATGTAAATATATGTGAACAAAGAAGAACCGTGTTTCAAGTTCAAGGGGATCCCTTCTTGTCATTTTTTTTTACAACGCCCCTTCGACCCGACTCCGTCGGTTTTCAAAGCTCGCTTTCACGTGTTGCGCATAATCGACATTGAAAGCATCGCTCGACACGCCCAGCGCTGACTTGTCGCCAAAGAAATAGGTCGAGTTGCTCTTGCTTTGGGAAATAGCTCTGAGCTGTTCCAGGCGTTTCAGGTCAACCAAAGTCGCCAAAGCACGTTGACGCTCTTCTGGCCGGACATCGTCTTTATTCGCGGCGATCGAGCGCGCGATATTCTCGACCTGCTGGGCGATCACGGAGGACTCCATAAGGGCTTGCTGTTGCCTATATTTTGTCCAGAATGATCGTTATTTAACAGCCCGCGATAAAGGTAAATGCGAAACTTGCCGTGCCTCGGCTTCCCTGACTACTGTCTTGAAGTGTGCATCCGCTTCGTTTGACTTGGCTTCCAGCTAGACGAAGAGCGCAGATGGTTCCAAATTAAATGAAAGTCAGTGAACACATTTGCTGGACTTACATGACCCTCGCTTTCCAAGATGACCCGTTGTTTTTGGCCCTCGGCAACATTGATTTGGGCTTGGGTGTCCAGAAGTTGCTTCCGACGATTTCGTTCTGCCTCCATTTGGAGTTCAAGTTGACGCTTTGCAATATATGGAATTTAGCCGTTATGGATAAAGTTGTAAGAACAAACCTCGACTTCTCTGTTGGCGGGTTTGAAGGTTTGAACCTCGAATCTGGTGCATTCGACTCCCCAATTCTAAAATTGGGCGATATTAGAAAAGTACGCGGAAAATGCGGGCCGCAACTCACCGAAATGGTACTCCCAATAACCGTGTTTAATCTCTTGTTGAGTTCATTACTATCGGCGTTTGTCGTTCTTGCGCCGGCGTGAGACTGTATTTTGCCTACGAAGGTGGTTGAGCGGCAGGGATACGGAAAGAGGCAAGGCAAACGGAGCGCTTCAAGTTGGTACAAAACCGCGTTAGCCCAATCATCAAACATGCACAAACTTCAAGCTTCACTAGCTTCACTTATGAATATTATCATCGATACAGTTCAAGATGGTCTTGTAACATCCCTCCCCCTCGCTAATCGCCGTAAGTGCCTTTATAACCTTCAACCCCAGCTTCCTGCCCTGCATGCTCTTATTCACCGCGATATTCTCTATGTGGCCTACCTCACGAAGTCCTCTGACGAACTTTTGCTCGACAAAGATGCAGCCGACGGCGACGATTTGGTTGGTGGGTTTGTGGATTATGACGAGGGTGAAGTAAGTGGAGGGAGAGAGGCGCTGCTTGCCACGGCCGCTGAGTATGTCTTCACGCCGGGATCTGACACGACGGTGAGGACGGAGAGAACTGATAGGTGCAAGGCTGCAAGCGCATGTAATCTGTCTTGGCTAAAGGACGCATCTGTGTGGGGGTCAGCATGTGTTGTACAGTGCTCGCTGAGAAATGCCGAACGTGTAGATCGGGCCCAAGCTGGGCTTTGACGTCAGCGGGAGCGAGTTCTGGGTCGATGAGGAGCTCAAGGTCGGCGTCGGGCGTGAAGGACGACATTGTGGCGGGTATTGAGACTGGTGGTATATGGTATAGGCGTCGCCATCGTTGCCTGACTATATGTTCGCATTTTTAGCCCGGTCATTTTTCTCCATCCGACATCTACACACCATTCGTTGATCAGCCAAAAGGTTGAAGACCCAGTCGAAAACCACTGTAGCCCGTGAATTTGTAGATGGCCTCGACTCGTGGCGTGGATGTCTGATCACTAAATGTCGACGTCCAAAACCACTGACACTGGCACCCCCTCGTGGCTGCAAGCCGCAGTGCCTCTCCTCGCTTTTGATTTGGAGGAGGTCGCTATGCATAAGATATGTCATACCCACTTGGCGCTTCCGTTCTGTCTCAGTTCAACTCAAAGACCCCAATTATGCCGTCAATTAGAAGGTCCTAGAAGGTCACGGTGAGAGATTTGTCATTTTCATTTCAGTTATCTTCGGTGAGAAGTTGGCTACTGTATTTTTAACAGGACCAACGTTACACGGATGTCGCGAGTATGACGAGAAACTACTCTTCAACTGTATCCCGTTCCACATCAGTTTTTCAACTCGGCGGTGGTAGGGCTGGTGTTAAAATTCACCCTGAAACGTTGCTGATTGTTTCCATTAGACGTGTCTAAGTAACTCAGAGGGTTCAATGAGTTGATAGAGATCTACGTTGCCATTGGCTGCGTCCGCCAGTTCCCCCAGCGCCTTTCGCGCGAATACCAACATGGCTGACCCCACGCAGGAGTATAATATCCTGTAATTGTGACCCCATTCTCGTTATTCAAACCGGCTTCTGAGATTATGCCTTATGATGCCATGATCAGATGAGTGTCAGAAACATTGTTATGGTATTAGAAGTAAAAAAAATCAAGGGTGGGCCCGTTCTTGCTTCCAGACACTTGATATGAAAAAGACGCACATCTCGGCCCGTACATCCCAAATTGCAAGACCAGTACATGATTTTATGCCGGTTGCAAATTTAAAGGAGTGTCAGTTGACATCCTATTAAAGACGTTGTTGTTGACATGTTCAGTGGACAGTGAATGACACATGACGGGGCTTGAGTAAGAGCGACGCTTGCTCCCTGGAGGTTACAGTTCACCTCGGAGAAAAACATTGGCGGGTGCTACATAAAACCCCGTCTGGTTTAGAAGACCTATGCCGACAACATGTCTCACTTCACTTTCTTGAGGAGTTTTCACACAGACTGCAAGTAAATAACGCTCCCACAATCAAACAGTAAGTTGGCTCCATACCTGTCCGGCACATCGCGGCTGCTCAATCCTCAAGCTGTCAGGAAAACACCAACGTGTCTTCCATTGCGAAATTTCGGCATTGTGAACCAACCTGGTGACTCCTGCCCAAACCTGAAGCATTCACGTTACACACTTCGCGGCGCAAAGTACGTATTCAACGCCGTCATGTCCCTACGTTGAAGCCGGCAGATTCTGTAAATTGTTTTCAGCTACCTAGCTAAGCAAATGTGTCGCATCGATAATATTAAGTTTTTACCGTCGGAAAGGACTTACAACACCATCAGAAGGTTTTGTAAACTTAGTGGGGTTAGAACGCGGTGGCATTCCTTTCGAATGTCGAATTTTCCAAGCTGCCAGTCAATCTATTTGTACGCGTGAGATGAGTGAGATGGCGACATTGTGTGGTGAGGTGAGTGCGATGGCGACAGTGTGTGAAGTTGACCAAAGACTTACAAACCAAAGCCCAAAAACCTTTAAAAGGACCAAGTCACAGCGACGTTTTTCCAAGCTCAAGCACCTTCATTTACTGCCTGGTAAGTCATTGTCTTCCAACGCTGAAGATGAAAAGTAATGACATGACCTTCATTTTAGAATCTTTATCAACCTTTGAACAAAGTATGCTGCTCTTCGCCATCACCTAGAACTTTTGTTAACGCGCTGACTCTAGTCATGTCTGGAATCTTCACCAACGGTCAGACTCTCGTCGTCAGCGCTGTCGGCCCCGGAAAGCTCCACTTGCTCTCTTACCAGAGCAACGCGAAAATCCCAAACCACGTCGGTTACATCCCGACCAACAAGACTGGCGAGACGAGATTCGTGATTTCCCACAGCTACACGTTCGAGAAATTCGCCTTTTTCTGGGAGGGGTCCGGCGAGGCCGTGTACGGTATTGGAACGTCTTTAGTTCGTTCGCCAGTTGGAAAGAGCTGGGACAGCGCCTCCGTGGCTAGCTGGGGTAGCGCCACCATCACCACTGCCAATGTCGCCTCCCAGGTGACCAGCGCCGTTACCCGCGACAATGCAATTACCGCTTTTATCATCCCCGACTTGATCTAGATGTGGGTTCAAAGCTGTCGATGTTGAACGAGGAGAAGTGATGGTGTACTGTAGTTGAGGACAATGTAGGATCGTTCGAATTGTAAGCATGAGATTGATGTGTTTCTACCGGTGTTCCTGAAATCGAGAGGTGGTAAGTATCCTTCGCACATTTTTCCTTGGGGGTTGTTTGAGCGAGTAAAGCACGGTAGGGAGGATATACCTACGGCGGCACACTCCCCGAAAGGGGATAAGGCACGGTAGGAGATCATTAAAAGCTCACCATATGTAACAGTGGCGGACCCAATGCTCTTCGATGCAGTTCGTCACCCGCATTAAAGGAGGAGAGGTGACGTAGCCGACTGGAAGTCTGAACTCAAGAAAGAAAAGAACTATGTCGAGAAGCAACGGGAATTCGAATACTTATCACGATTCCGACAGGAAGAAATTCAAGCCGATGACTGTGTATCCATGTTTGTGTCTGTTTGGAATTGCTCCTGACGACCTTCTCTCACTGCTTACAAGTCGTGACCATGTACAAGAGGTGTCAGATCCACCGATCTTGGAGGTTTGATCGTTGAAGCGACCCTGCCATCGGTAGTTTCCGAGCTTCGGCATATCAGCGGCAGCTTTAAGCGACAACGAAGGCATTGGGCCATGATAACTTATAAGTATAAGATAGATATGAAGATCGTTATTACATAACATAGATATGGAATTAACAGAGGGCAAGTAATGTTAATCAATGAAAGGGATAGGTGGGGTCTTTGAGGGTAGATTATACTGTGACTGTAAGAGCTGGGGACTCAGAGTTGGTAGATGGAAAGGTTGGAGAGGGATAGCCTGAGGTGGACTCGAAAAAGGAGCTCATCGTGGTCGTCGTGGGGAATGCTCTTGAACGTTACGAACAGTTCGAATGCAATTTGATGGCGTTATTTGTGTTACTGGTTGCTTTGCACGAGATTTGGCAGAATCGAGCACTAAGAATTGGGAAAGTTTCGAATTCTTGAATATGCGCGGTAGGTCAAGGATGTCTTCAGTACCACAAAGGTCAAGGAGTGTACGCCAGGTTTGATTGTGGGCGCGGAGGCAAGAAAGTGCCTTGCGAGTGTTGAACAGCTATTCGTGGGTTAGAAAAAGATTATCTGAGCTCACGACGTCATTTGCTCCTTCTTCAACTTCTTCGTGGCTGAATCAAGCCGCTGTACGAGCTGAGTGTGGCTCAGAGTGGTAAGGTCGAGTTCCCCACAGGGTCTCCGAGCACGATTGAGAACGACGCCGACAAGTCCTGTAATGACAAACAGGGGACAACGGGATCGGAGTTGGCGACGATCCCGTGCAAAAAGGGGAGCGCAAGCCCATACACTATATACGTTATCGAGACGCCATGATGGTGGGGAGGATATGTTGAGGGCGTTTTGATCAGAGATGCGTTGTTCAGGTGGTCGGATAAGATGCTGAGGCCTGAGGGTTTTGTGTGATGCCACTATTCCCTTGCCGTCCTGCCGTTTACCAAACATACCACGCGAATCGCCTTATTTGGGGGGGGTGGGGGGGTGAGAGGGTATGACATCATCGATTTCCGCGATCGGCGGATCTGACACCTCTTGAAAGCTTGACCATGTAAGTATTCTGTTCCCAAATCGTCCCTCACGGCTGGTAGCGAGCCTACGACCATTCGTTGTGCAGTGTTCGTGATTTCGGTCCATATCACACCCTCAACTCGCCCTGCTGTTTAATGGATGTTCCCGACTCCTCGCTTCAGTAAACCATTTGGGAACAAGTACCATAACCTGCCATTCCAAGCTCAACTTGTGTACGCCTTCAAAATATGCTGAAGGAGGAGGATCAACCATCGACTCACAATTCGTCATTTTTGCGGCGAGGAACGCACATCCAGGGCGTTAATGTGCCACCGGGCCGATTTTGGGGACCCAGCAGATAGGCTTTCTGGCATACACATCCAAACTATCCGCCTTCTATCCCCACGTCACAAGTGTCTTGACCTCTCCCGGGGTTCCGTCAGTAATAGATTGAAGCGCAATCCAAGCGACTAGACGACAGTCAATCCCAAGGCCAATCGGTGCGCAACAAAAGATCTGTCGTGTCCTTGATCTGTAACTGATTGGAAACATTTAGGAAAGCAATGGCTCACAAAGAACAGCTTCTGCCAAATGCACCGCAAAATGCCTGGTTCACATTACAAGTTGAACACATCGAGGAAAAAAAACCATCCAAACGTCAAGAATGCGACGTTCTCATAAATATCTACCCTCGCGACCCAGTCTACAAGGCTGCCGTAGAACTCACCAGAACCATTCACGGGGTGTTCGATAAACTCGATGAACCCATGGGAACATATGGGTACAGAATTAGAGCTCTTTTCATCGTGTATGGCGAGTCGGAGGAGCTTTTCGTCACCGAAAACCAGATCGTCACCCATCTTCGGGAGCTCGACTATGCGACTCTTCGTGGTCCCACCAAGCCCAACTTGCTGAGGTTGGGGACCAACAGGATCCGAGTGGAGTTTGAGCAACGCAATGCATTCGGCATTGGTTTTTAGGGAGGTTGGCACTGTTGGATGGATACGTTTGACACACTTGACTATACACTTCGCTGGTTTGTAAGTTTCTCGTACTCCGACGATCTTATCTTCCTTCTTTCCTGCGGGCCCTTAACTTCTACTTTGATCATGGCTGCAAATTTTTTATACTTATGCTCCTCAAAAAATATATTACTTCTCGGGAGGTGATAGGAAGGTCGGGCCTGACCTCCACCTTGAGGCCGTCTCCTTCGGAGAATCTGACAGCTGTGCTTTTCGCATAAAGACCAATCCATTGCCTTCCTGATTCCCCACAGTCTGACCCTGTATCCAGAACGCAGACTTCCCCATCGTGTCCCATCCGTGAGTACCACACGATCTTGATAATGATTTCTTGAGTGCGTAAATTAACTGGAAATTTGTAGCGTCCGAATCTACAGAATCTATACCATATAGATACTATCAAATGGCGTCTTCAGAAACGTCAGGAAAGACCACGGCGGAGAACGCCTGGTTTATTCTGCACTTTGAAACAACCGATCAAGCCGTTCGCCAACAGTGCAACGTCCTCGTCAACACTTTCCCCTCCCTTCCTATCAAAGAAGCTCTAGTCCCATTCACAACGACAATCCACGAAGCCTTCAACAAACTGGGTGACCTGTACTCAGGCGGTGGCTGGACTATCAGGACCTTGTACATCATAGGTCGGGATGGCAAGCAACTCGCCACCAACCCGACGCAGATTATGGATTTTCTTCGGGACCTCCCTTCCACGGCCCTTGAGACTACGAAACCCGATTTGCTTGGGTTGGGGACCAACAGGGTCAGGGTGGAGTTTGGTGACATCGATATTACGCCGTGGCGTGGCCTGGGCAGATTAGGCAGAGGGTAGATATTTAGTTTGATTCGTCCCAACGCATGTTTCATCGACTTGTTTTAACTTTTTTAACGCCCTCGACGGCTCGTCCTAAACCTAATAACGGTTCTCCTCCTCTCACTAGGCTTCTGGTGATGATCGAAGCAGTGGCCAATGAACATCAGGTTCTTTGCTGAGGACAAGTAAAAAAATATGATTTCTGTATTATATCTTGACAAATGTTCGAGACGAGGCTTTGGAAGTCCTATACACTCATTTCTCAGTCACTGAAGAAGAGGTTCAGATTGTAACGTTGGAGGCCAAAAGAGTACGCCATACTGGGGGATGCATTAAGAGGGAATCGAACCCCCGGCGGGTCGAGACTACACAAGATGCACTTGTTATGAATGGCAACGACCCAGGTTACCACTACCCCATTAATGCACACAAGGCGTAAAAAAAAATCAGACGCATGTTAAGGTGAGTAATGTAAGGAGATCGATCCGCGTCGGCGCTTCGTAGCAGGAAGTTATGAAGCCGGCCAGAACCACCCCAAAGCAGAGAAAGAAAATTCCACAGATAAATATAATATGATCCCGTTATATACACACGCACTACTTTGTGCTTTGTCCCTTTTCATGAAAACCCGCCTGAGGTACGCGCGACGGGTGACTCACAGAGCGGCGCCCACCACGCGACTCACGCGACGACACCACAATGAATCACGCAGCGATGCACTACGCGACTCCGCGACGATGCAACGCTCACGCAACGACACACCCCTCCTCGCCCCCCAACGCCTGCATCCCATCCAATCCCGGCGGTAAGGGACCCATAATCTCCGCAGGCGGCGATCCGTACGATTGCATCTATTCATAACATTTCGACATCATCAGTACCTCGCCAACGTCACTCAAAAAGAAAGGGAGGTAAAGCACCTCACTCATAAGATCCACAATAATCTTATTACTCTCCTCATTCGCATCGGTATACCCAGGTTTATCGAATACGGCTAAAATCCGCTTCACGCACTCTTCTTGCTTTTCGTACCGGCTTCTGTCTTCGAGGGAGAGCTGGGCGGGTGGGTTGGTTAGGTATGGTGGGAACTGGTGTATGTGTTGGTAAATTCACGAAGACGATGGAAGGAAGGAGGGAGGACTTACGCCTTCAGCAAGCTCTTTAAGAGGCTCGTATAACACGTCCTTGCTCATGAGCTGCCCCATCATAGTCTCGAGGAACCCAGCGAGCTCGTTCTCGTCTCCGCCCTCGTCGAGCCCCCCGACGCCGCCTAGTGATTTGAGCAGCGCCTCGAGTGATTCCGGGGACGAGGCATCCGCAGTACTCGAGTCGCCCTGACCATCCGTGAGCCAAGAGCCAATAAGAGACAGAGAAACGAACCTGTAGATTCGATTCGCTCTCTTTCAGCTTATCCATAGCCTGCTTAATCTTCTCCTGAAATCCACCCGCACCCTCAGCCGTCGTCGACTTCCCAACCTTCACTCCCGGCTTCTCCCCACCCGCCAACAGCTCCGCCAACTCATCACCCCCAGGCCCATTCATCCCCTCCACAAGCATAGCCTCCCACGCAGCCTTGAACATCTTCGCCTGCCTCTCCTCCTCCGTTGTTTCCTCCTTCTCCCCTCCTCTTCCTTCCTTCTTCCCCTTCCCCTCCGCAACGATCTCCTGCATGAGGCTCTCCATCCCCATCGACAACTCCTTCGCGAACTCGGATGAGAGCGCGTCCTCGTCGAGCTCCGTTGTGGGGTCTAGTGGCGCCCCGGTTCCCGGCATGGATATGGGCAGCGCATCGACGCGCGTGTTGGTCCGCGGACGGCTGGTGAAGTGCGAGTGGGAGGCGGTGGGTGGGGGCGCGGTTGTTCCGGGTCCGGATGAGAATTGGGAGAGGACGTCTGGACGTGCGTGGGTTTGGTGCTTGGTGAGAGGAGAAGAGGGTAATGCTTACCGTCGAGATCGTCGACATCCTCGTCGGGGTTGGGCGCGACGACGCGTTCTGGTGCTTCAGTGGACATGGCGAAGAAGAGCGAAGTAAGTGGTTTGGTGTTGTTTATGTTGTCGGGTATTGCAATTCCCGGCTGCACCGTTCCTCAACGTTCAACATTCAAAGTTCGAACAACATTGGAAAGAGGAGTTCGTCACTTGCAATTCCCTCCGTAACATCGAACAGCGCGACATCTAGGCTCACCCAACGGACAGCGAAAACGCACGAGGAGGCAGGTCGTCTGTTCGCCGGGTTCTCTTCATTCATATGGGCTCTTCGGGATGAAAGTTCGTCTACATCTACTACTCTTAGTACATAATTGATGGTCCTCTCACAGATTACTTACCGTGGTTCTCCAAAACATTGACTGAAGCTCTACCCCATGCCAAAAGCTCTTTATCCATCGATTCCCGTGTTGGCGACAATTTCATCAATTCGACCCATCAGGAACATCGCGTTTCCCATATTGTCCTCATCGCGTCCGTCACATCTCGTCGTTTCCTGGCTATGTTCTGACAATACTTTTTCAGGATTTTCGTAGTTGCGGGCTATTATCACGCCCAGATCGGACGACCTGGCAATTTTTTCCTACTAAACCATTTCGTCACCCAGCTATGTTTCCTACATCTGGCCTGCCCTCTTTGTTTGGGGCCTTGACCGCTTCATCCGACTCGTTCGTGTTATCTGGAACAACAGTACATTCCGTCGCAAACGCGACCCATCACACTCGCCACTATCGAGCTCCTGTCTGAAGATTCTATTCTCATGTCTCTCAAACGGCGCGACTTCTCTTGGTCCCCAGGCCAACATGCCTATGTCATTCTCCCCACGGTTAGCAACCTCCCGTTCGAATCCCACCCATTCACCATCGCCAGCATTGCCGACAAGGTTGACGTGACATAGCGCACCGGGGAGGACCGAGATGTGATTTATTTGGTGAAAGGCTGCAATGGATTCACAAAACGGCTCATGGACCACGCGAGTACTCACGGGACGGGTACGGTCTCTGCGTATCTGTATGGCCCCTATGGATGCCCACCCGATTTGCGCATATTCTCCACTTGTATCTTCGTCGCAGGTCTGCGTCCCTTTTTCCACCTATGACTCTTGCGTCTAAATCAGTAATTATTAGGCGGCTCGGGAGTTTCGTACACTCTCCCTCTTTTTTTGAATCTCATTCGGTTCGTCACAGTTCCCTCCCTCCTTCGCCACATTCGAGTGTGTGAGTGGTCCCCGATCGGGGATGCGCTATGCGTGGATGGTCCTCCATTGCGGAGTTCCTGTCTGAGGAAACCAGACACGATAACTCCGCCTAAACCAGATGCAGACGTTCAGGCCATGAAGATTGAAATGAAGCGCGGACATACCCATCCACATTTACAACCGGGTTGCCGATCTACTTTTCCGCCTCATTGTTTCAAGATCTATCTCTCAGGCACTACACTTGCATGTGCCTTGGCTTACCAAAGTAATTACGGGCGGTGTAGACGAAGCGCCCTCATCGAGATGCTCATCTTCACTAGCCTCCCCCCCGCTGCGCGACGACGGGTTTTGGTGCTTGAGTGGACATGGCGAAGAAGAGCCAAATAAGTGGTTTGGTCTTGTTTATGTGGGGTATTGCCTTTCTCATGATCACCGTTCCTCAGTCCTCAACTTCGAACAACATTGGAAAGAGGAGTGCGTCACTTGCAATTCCCTTCCTAACATCAAACAGCGCGACATCTTGCGGCGTCGACACGATAACTGCGCCTACACCAGATGCAGACGTTCAGGCCATGAAGATTAAAGTAAAGCGCGGGCATACCATCCACATTTACAAGATGCCGATCTACTTTTGCGCCTCACTGTTTCAAGATCTATCTCTCAGGCACTACACTGGCATGTGCCTTGGATTACCCAAGTAATTATGGGCGGTGTAGACGAAGCGCCCTTATCGAGATGCTCAGCATCCTCTACTCCGCTGAGATCTCCAAACTCTCTCAGGCGTAATCTGTTCTAGAAAGTACTGACATCGGCGATACGACTCAATGTTACTATGTAGGCTGGATAGGTTTGCGCTTATTGCGGTCCCGGAGTGAGCATTTATTTTCTGCTTTCCGTTATTGGCAATGATTTAACGTAGAATACTTATCCCAACAGCCATATTTTTCGAGAGCTAAACCAACGGAGAAAAACATCATAATATCATTCACACTGCTTTTTTGGTCTGAAACATTTTGTTGCATCGTTCAGATGACGCCAACTGACACGGCCATTAAGCTTTGAGCGCTGAGCCTTCAAAAGAGAAAGACCCAACTCCCCAAGTACAGCCTCTTTGAAAGACAGGTTGTCCATTGCATTGTACAGGTCGGCCGAAGGTTACATTACGTGCACAGTCAGTTCCGACATCCTCTCGCCATGACTTTGTGAAAAGCTGTTCCACGGTTGTGTAACGTGGGTACCTTTCGAGGCGGCTACTTTGTTTGATAAATAGAAACTTGGTTCCGCAGTCAGATGCCCTTCAAACACACCGCGCCAGTCACCATCGATGAGTGAGTAGGTTTTTTAGAACTTGGAGATGGCATGCTAACGAGGCGCAACCTAGAATCCGAATCTCCTCATAAGTTCGTCGGTTTCGTTGCCGGTGTCGCCCTCGCCTTTCCGATGGCCACGGTCGCTGGGACGAACTTTAATATTTGTCTAGCCAGCGTACAGAATGGAACTTTTGGCGTGGGCGTCGATGTTGGCGGCACGGACAACCGTGGAAACCCTGTAGACGTTTCTAACGCCACGAGCATCACGTACGACCTGTGCGTCCACGCTTGTGGCGGCGGCCAAGAACCATTTCAATGGTCCATATTCTCGCAGCAATTCAGCGCGTGGTTGCTCCCGTGGCTAGCACTGGTTTCCCAGCTCCCGTTCGGCGCCAACGATAAGCTAGACAACTTGGATTCTGTGCTCCTAACCGTTGGATCACCAACGTTGGCTGCATATTCACTCATCCTAACCATCTTGAACAGTCGTTGGGTCACCAGACAGTTTGCACAATACACCTACCCCAATACTCGAAATGCCATCCGCATCCTCAGCAGCCTGCAGCAATCGCCGATCAGAGTTGTGAAGGAGGATGGGCTTCTTGCGTCCCTCATTGTTCTTCCCCAAAACGACGTGTGGTGGACCGAACTCAGCGAGTGGATTAATTACACCCACACCTGGTCCATATCTGCAGCCACCTCCATCGCATGGGTTGTCATCGCCTACATCTTTACCATCATTGATTCCACCAGCTCCAGCAAATTCAATGGCCGAGGAGTAGGATCACTTTGGTTATGGCTTCTCCCCATCGTCGTTGGGTGGCTACAAATCTCACCCAAATGTGACTCGGCACGTTTAAGCAGTGCCGTAGAGCGCGCGAACAAGCTGGTCCACGTTGCCACGGAGGGTGGGCATGTTGTACTCGTGAAAGAATCCCAAACTGAGGCACGAGCTATTGAGCTTACTTTAACAGAGGTGGATGAGCTCCATCGGGATGAGAAATGTACTGCGCCAGTATTTAACTATGCGCGATTCTTTCCGTGGGTGCAGGCAGTCGAGGATGTGTCCGAAGCTTTCCGGGCGGCGTCTGATCATTTTCGTAATCATGACTCAGTCGACCGCTCCATTGACTGGGTTACAGTGGAGAGAGGTCAGAAACCTGATGAGCGCAATCGCGTGGGCACCAGGACTCAAGTCGAAAACTACTGCACTCCGTGGCAACCTCCCGAGAGACCTCGCAGTCGCTGGGGACCAAAAGTTGTATCCAGAATGTTTCTTGCATCCGCTCTCGCATTGATGTTACAATGGGGCACGACTGGAGCTGCCTTCATTCAAGTCTGGTACACACCTACAGTAGGTGAGAACTTCACGGTTCTATCCCCTTTATCTTGTTTGCTAATCAGCATCACAGGACTCGGCTGCCGATCAGCATCTTACCTCCTCTTCGCTGTCCTTTCCACTATCGTTTGGATGCTCTTAGTCACCGCAAGCATCCTAACGCACTATGCCTCGACGACCCAATACCACTATGGCCGGCGCATCCAGCCTTGGCCCGCAAGAGCAGCTCGAAGGACCTCAATTATATTCCGCTGTCTCGGAAAGTTCATCGCCGCTTTCAACTCGCTCTGGGTAGTCGTCACGTGCCTCTTCCAGTTCGGCAGCTTCTTTGACAACTGCTATTGTAATAGCAGCGTCTTTTATCTGCGTGACCATGCGTACAATGTCATTGCACTTGTGCCTGGTGACATTACGAGCATAAAAAGTGCGTGGATTGGCGGCGTATGTTTGGCGGGCGGCACTGCGTTCATATATGTTGCCTTTGTCAATGTCTTCATTGACCCGCCCTTGCCAGATTGATAAAGTGGTGGCGACTTGAGGCAAAAAAAAACCTGGTCATGGCTGATCTCTACTTTTTCTGTGGCATTCAAATTTACTACTCACTATATCATACAATACCGGGCCTCAACTAACAGGCTTTTTAAAGTCTTGTCCGATTTCTCGCTTTTATTGTAAAACACACATATACGGGTCATGATAATCTTCCGAGGAAGACAGCTTGAAGAACTCGTAAGAAGATCTTGTAGAGTTTCCCCAGATTAGTTGAGTTTCGAATGAATTTGACGGAATGCCTATTTGTCCACGACCACCATATCGGAACCTCTCATTCCGCTCTTTCATTATCTCTGCCACCTCACAACATGTAAATCCACTACACCTTCCAAGTCAAGCGTCACTGGGCCTTCCAAAACTTCCAAGACGACAGCAACCCCCATCCCGGCTATTCACAACCTCCCCGACCTCGCACCATGAAAACCCACTCGGCCTCCCAAAACGGCCCCCTCCACCACCAACAATGCCACGCAAAACAGGGCCTATACCCAAGCGGCCCATCCCGAACGTGAAAAAGGTCGTCGCTGTGGCGAGCGGGAAGGGTGGCGTTGGGAAGAGCACGGTTGCGCGTGAGTTTGTGGTTGCTGCCAATTCCTCTTTTTTTTTTTTCGTCTCTAATGGGGGATGGGGGAACTTAGTCAATCTAGCCTTTGCCCTCGCACTTCAGAAAAAGAGGTTGAAAGTCGGGATATTGGACTTGGACATATTCGGGCCTTCTGTACCGACGTTGATGGGGTTGCAGAACGTCGGAGAGCCTGAATTGACGAGTGGTATGTTTCCCTTTTCTTTTCCTTTTCATCCCTCATCCGTTTCTTTCGGGAATAGCAGGAGGTATAATACCACTGACGAACCACGGAATCCCATGCATGTCCATGGGTTTTCTCCTTCCCTCCTCAAGTTCTGGCGGGGACAACACGGACACACCTATAGTATGGCGCGGACTCATGGTGCAAAAAGCCGTTCAGCAGCTTTTGTTCGACGTTGATTGGTCGATGGGGGGTGGTGGTGTCAACGCGGGGTTGGACGTTTTGGTTGTGGATATGCCGCCTGGGACGGGTGATGTCCCCCTTACCCTTGGGCAACTTGTAAATGTGGATGGTATGTCCCGCGCCTTTATTTTTCGATCTTTCATGCCTCCGGCCTAAAACGTCTGCGACTGCTTTAGGCGCAGTTATCGTGTCGACGCCGCAGGATGTCGCGTTGTCCGATGTTAGGAAGGGCATAGCGATGTTGAGGAAAGTTTCTGTGCCGGTACGCTTTACATTCCTTCTTTTTTTGACGCGTTCAAAAGTCTGACGAACCCATACCAGATAACAGGTCTAATTCTTAACCAATCTTACTACCTGTGCCCGACGTGTGTCTCTCCAGAACCCCAATATCTCTTCGGTACTTGGATCAAATTCCAACACCCGTCTACGTTTACTCACTCTACTTAACGACAGGAAAACCCGACGCGTTCCGCTCAGTCGCACAACGGCTTGGTGTTCCTGTTCTTGGGGAACTTCCGCTCGTTCAAGGAGTTAGTGCTAGCGCTGATGAAGGGTGGCCTTACGTTCTCGCAGCTAAAGGGGACCATGATGGCCCAGGCGGAGCGGATTGGAGGGCGGTTATGAAGCGTATTGCTGAACAGCTGGCCTTGGGGTTGGGATTGAGTTGAGGAGTTTGGGGCTGCTTGTCGCACAATTACATAATGACTTTGCTTCTCAGCACTTCCTCATCCGTGGCGATTTTAGGCCAGATCCTGTCCGGACAAATTTTAGGATATTTTAGCAAGGACAGGTGCAATCCAGAAAGGTGCCTTTTTCAGGATCAACCATTGCCCAGCATCATTTAGCGCTTCGTCTCATTGACCAGAAAACGAGAATATATATTTTCGATTTGACAGCAGGACTCGGAAGAAAAAGTGGTATGTGCAGCCGCAGGTAGGAGATGACGCATACATCACCAAAAACGCAGATAGGTACGTACCCGACACGAGGGCGGAGAAAAGTTGGATCGAGAAACACAAGAACGTCAAAAGGTAGAGCGATGTGTGTACAGAGGACGAGGTGTTCTGATGTAAGGTACAGGTACAATGGCGAGGTTAGACAGACAGGAGGAAATCAAAGCAATGGATGAGTGAGACGGAAATCAATTATGATTAGGGACGGGGGGGGGGTAAAACAGGGGGGGAGGAATGAGGATGCAGGATCATGGATGGGGAAATGCAATGCCAAGGTATCGCTGAGAGCAACATGAGAGAAGGAAGGTAACAGGAGGTCGTTGAGATCCAAGGTCACGTAGACAAAGCGCCAGGGGGGGAATGAATCAAAGTCCTTGAATTTGTACGATAAGGAACTGTTTCTCATCACTAAACTGTTCATCTACAACAGAAAGGCAGGCGGTAAGCGTACATAAACACATGCCATTCCAAAACGGCAGCCGCACCTTCTTTATCATTATGGAACGACTTAAGGAACGCCAGTAGCTTATCCTTATTCCTCCTCAAAATCGTCTCAATCTGAGGGGGTTTCTTCGGGTTCGCCACAAACACCTTTGCTCATCACCCATCAGCATCACAACCGATGAGTTTGAGGAAGGAGCGGACACACCTTGAACACGTGAAACGCCTCAAATTGGATATTCTTGCTTTTATCCCGCAAAAGGTTCATCATCATTTTCAGGTTGGCCTCATTGGCGATATACCGCGTCATCACGTTGAAATTCGCCCGATCGAGGAGGATCTCCCCAAGTAGCTTTAGGGATTGCCGTTTTGTGACGTAGTTGTTTGAGAGAATCAGTGTTGTAAATGATGAGAAGAACTGTCACAGGTGGCGAGGGTATCAGTGAGAGTTTACAATGAAGAGGAAAGGAAAGGAAAGGAACGCACTCTATCATAGTTCTTATCCAGGTATTCCGCAACCATAGGTTTATGCCGCGTAAGCGTCTCCTTGAGATTCGCAAACGCATCACACGAAATCCCAAAAGTCGTTGTTTCGATGTAATGCGGGAATTTATAGAACCTGAACACATCACGTCAGTCTCCGAGTAAACCGCACGCCGGTCACCGCGCCGAAAAAGACGCGCCCAGTCAGTGGAGGATGACAAACTCACTGATCAGAATACAACAACACCTTTGCTAGCTGTTCATGCCTCAACATCTCCTTGAGTATCATCCCCGTATTCAACGCAACCTCCTCATTTTCATACCCAGCCAGCGCAGCAAAGATAACCTCATGCTTCGCAGAAAGGTACTCCACCGTCGGCCAACGTGATCCAATCTGCCTCCGTAGGAGATTATTAAATATCTGAACAACGTCTTTGCGCGCTTCGAATTCGAACCGAGCCACGTTTTGGACGAGGAGGAAGAGGAGGTCGGTGTTGTATGTTTCTTGTGCGAGTTGCGCTATGAGCTCTGGAGCTGGTTCTACCACAGGGGAAGAATACATGTTAATAGAGTAACCGAGAACATGAAGTGGTTTACGCACCGCCATCACCATACAGGATAGCCTTGATCTGCTGTAGGTTCTTCGTCACGTCCTCATTAGCCTGTTCAACGTCATAGCATCAGCAACCACCCTCATACTCCGCCCATCCATCACCATCCCCAAACACTAACCTTCCTCCTCGTCTCCCCCCCCGGTGCGCCCCCCTCCAACCGTGGTATAGCGTCCCTCAATCCCCTCACAAGGTCCGGTGGCGTCCTTGGCTTTGTCTTGAAGAAATTCATAGTTCCAGCGAAGCCCTAAAGAGGAGGGAGGGGAAAGGGTTGGGTTGGTGGTGGTGGTTGCAGAGATAAAGGAAAGATTGTCACGGTTGCATCAAAACACGACTCACTCAGGTTGGCGCTTCTACGCGGGCGGTTGCCTTTTTTGGGACGTGGTTCACTTTAGGCGGGCCGGGTTCGTTGATGGCCCATTCATGAACGAACGAAGATATGCTCAGCCTCCGTGGCCACAAGACATGATCGTTCTTTAAATAAGTCAACAACTGCATTACAAAAGCGTAAACGTGTACAGAATAAGCTCAACCTCCGACATATGCATGCTACATATACATCTACATACACGTCCAGAAATTAAAACATGCGTCCAAAAACCACCGGTATCAAATCCATCCATCCATCCGAAAAAAACCATTAGAGCCCCAAAGCCTTCTTCGTCATATCAATAGCAAGTCCCCGCGACTTGAGCTTCGCAGTAAACCAATCTCCAAGCGTAACACCCCACAAAAGGCCCAAATAACTAGCACCTCCATTCTACGTTAACCAAATCAGCACTTCCATTGCATAAAAAATTCCAACACAAAACACACACACACACCTTCCCAAACGAAATCGCAATCAACTCCGGACTCCCCGCATACTTCGCCTTGAGCTGATTCTTCTCAAGCAGCGCAAACGCATTCTTAGCGATGACGGAGGCATGGGCGGGGTACTTTGCCGCCTGCTTCTGTTCTTTCCACTCGATGATATCGCCACCTGCTAAAATGCGTGGGTGGGATGGGAGTTGGAGGGTTGGTAGGACCTTTACGCGTCCTGCGGAAGAGAGGACGTCGGAGCCGAGTGAGGAGGCTATGAAGGAGGTGTTTGGGCGTCCGCCGCGACATGGGACCTTTCATAGTGGATGGGGCATCAGGAGCGGGGAAGGGGGAAGGGAGGGTGGGAAACGTACCACGAGATCTGCAGTGATTTTCTTCCCCTTGCGCGTTTTGACGGTGCCGTCTTGGGATGGGACGATGTCGTCTATGTGGTCTTCGAGTACGAGTTGGACACCACCTTTTTGGACGCGTTTCGTGAGGGCCTTCCTCCATTTCTCGGGATACGCGTCGTTCAAGAGGATGCCTTGATTATGGACGATGGTAACTTCCTTTTCCTAATTCGGTTTTAGGCATCGAAAGAGGGCCGGATCAATCTTTTAGAAGCTCACCGGCCACAGATCTTTGATCTCTCCCGCGAATTCTAGGCGGGGGGTATAATTAGTCAAGGGCACGAAGAGAAAGTGAAGGAAAGGAGGCTCACCAATGGCAATAGCACCCCCACCAACCAACACAACATTCCTCGCCTTTTCAAACTCTTTCCTCGACGCCTTAATCGAAGCCAACTCCTCCTCCTCATCATCAGGTAAATTAATAGGACCCTCCCACGTACTCCCCGTAGCCAACACAAGAACCTCATATTCCAACGTCTCCCCATCCGTAAGGACAACCTTACCCCCCTCGATACGCTCAACGCGTCCAACCTTCACTTCCCCTTTTCCGTGTAACCAATCAGGTACGTCGTAAGGCATGAACACGCGTTCCTCCAGTGCTTCTTCGGAAGAGACGACCATGCGGATGGTTCCCGGGAGATGGGTAAAGTGCGGACGGGCGGTGATGAGGATGAGATGGTGCTTTGAGGGGTCGAGGAGGAGGGAGAGTTCGCGGGCTGTTAAGGCGCCTGCTGAGCCTCCTCCTACGATTATCACGTTTTGTCGTTTGCCTTCTGTCATCGTCGGGGAGTCGTGAAAAGATCTAGGGTGATTGGGGAATAAATTGCACGCATGGTCGCATACTTATACGCCTTTGAGAAAATGAAATAACTGATGTATGTAAGAGTGGGCGTTTGATGTGTCATTGAGGGGTAGGAACAGTAAGACGCTGTCAGCCTGTGTACGTCATGACCATACCTTTTGATGACTTTCCACATTGATCGCGTCATCTGGATCACCCGTGGTAGCCACGAGGGAAACACATCGTTCCCCGATGGGAGTTCTATTTTAGATGGATAGCATATTAGCCCTCTTGGACGTGGTGCACTGGTGGCTCGCTTGGTAAGTAAGACACCGAATCGCAAAGCTCCACAGCCTGATAAGCGCCACTCCATTGTATCTGTCCAGGGAAAGGGACGAAAGTCATGACAACTTCAGACTAGTAAAAGTCTCCAATTCATTGCGCTCGATATCTTATTCAATACTTTACATCAGATTTTCCTGGCTCTTGTAGCTCATGCCTATTCGGGCTTGATCATGAGGAAGAACAAAAAGTTATTCACCCTGCAGGAGGTTGGAGAAATGAATGGTCAATCTCACGTCGTGACGCTTCTATATATTAGATTGTAAAAGTTAACAGGGGAACGTTGGCGCCTTGAGATATAATAATGGGCACAAAGAGCGGCTCATGTCTTATGTCTGGAGGTGATCTTGAAAAAAAAAACTTTTTTCAAGATGAGGGTTCGAACTTATGACCTCGAGCATTTGGCCGAGGTCGTGTCAACCACTGTACGACATAACCACTAAACCACATGCCTGTTCATACCTGGTAGCATCACTCTTAATATACCTCGTTATGGTGCTGCATCTAGACAACATTTCGTTCCAAGTGCTGTCTAACACCCAAATTAATTTGCATAAATTCACATAAATTCTCAAAATATTTCGGCACAATATAATACACAAATTTATCTCATTGATTCTCCATGTACACCTGTCATTACACAGGTGCACCATTTTCTGTTTCCAGATCCTTTGCAACTGTTGTCAATAGTGGAGAATGCTTATTTATTTACTACGGATAGTACAGGAATCAAACATAAGACTAGACAGAAGATCAGTAAGTACTCGCATACAACTGGTAGTGGAAGTAGGGTAGCGGAGGTAGGGCTATAGTGGCTTGTAGAAATAGGCATGGGGCTAATTATGTTGTTCACGATGTCTGCGATGGCGATGGTGATGGCGGATCATTAAGTCAACGGAGATGCACAGGTGCATCCCCGTCGACCATTGATTATGTGTGTACACACGGGTGGCTACGTCGATGGCGATGGGAATGTGATCGAAGGGTGGATGTTGTATTTTCGCGCGTGAACAAAGTTGATGGGGATGCGCCTGCATGCTTGCATATGCAGTTTGATGGGCGGCAACGTAGTTGGCAATGGGAATGTGATCGAGGGGCGAGGGTGATGGTATCCGCAGCGTTTGCGATGGTAAAGGTCTTGGTGATGGGCATGTGCACGTCATCCGACGCACACATGCCAAGCGACAGGCGCAGGTCGGGCAGCGTGTTAGGTGATAGCAGATAGATGTAGGGTGACGTGGTTGGTGCATCAAACGGGCCAGAGTGGGTGCCGTTACAAAGCCTGTAGAGATAAAAACATGTTAGAAAAAGTGGATGCGAGGAAAGCAGAAAAGTCTGCTTTCCCCGGGTAGCGTACGCACCTGAATGACCCCGCAAAGCCTTGTCCTCAACACGCGACCTACTCCGCTCGTGCCCGCCCAACCACCTCGCATGTCGATGCATTGAGATCTTGACAGATATTTGTTGAGGCGATGTTGAGATCTTGGCGGCGGTCGTCTCGCACCTGGTGAGTCGGAAGTCGAGCTAGTGAGCAGGGTATGTGTAGAACATGGAAAGCAAACAAAACGCGGGCGGTATCCAGATACCGCCGTGTTTTGAGAGAGCGTTGAAGAGCCAAAGTGCTCTTCAACGCTCTCTCCGTTGATTACATGTGACGTTACATTTGTGATGTTTGCCTTAACGGGTACATCCGCATATGTACATAAACTTATGTCTATATATGTACATAAGCTAGTCTCGGAAACCCATCCTCTTTGGGCACCCTTCCCAATTTGGGTCCCTTCCCTTAAGAGTCTGGGAATCTTCCAACGACATCAACGTACCTTTGTCTTTGCCAATTTCTCGGCGGTTATGTAAGCTTTATGTCTGCCTTTCTGAACGCGTCGTTATCATCGCGTCCTCATCGCCATGTCCATCCCTTGCGTTATCCGCTCCATATACCCCTATAAACTCCTACTTCTATCTCTATTAAGGCTTTACCATGCTCAACTCCACTCCTTTGCAACCTCGGCTACCCAAACGTCCTCGAATCAACAATCAAAATGATTCCCCATTGCCCTCACTAACATCACCTTCACCTTCCACTCCTATCGCGATACGCCCACCATTCCTTACTCTCAACCAAAACTTATCCTACACCACCCCACAACGCCCACTTGCCAGCCAGAAGTCCCGGAAAATCTATCGCAATGGCTATGAATCAAAGCCCAAGACACCGTCATACACACCATACAAGCTCAACAATCCAGGCCATCCTCGACAGCACGCCTTCGCGTTCTCCAACTTCCAGAAACTCCCAGCAATGGAGACCATTTCTGCACGACGTTGGAATGAGCTAGCAATCTCCGAGGGAGTACTGAAAGTGGGACAACACCTCCGAGACTATCAGGTTGAGGCATCAAACATTATCCTATCTCGGTGGTGGGATCTATGTGTCATTGCCCCAACGGGGGCTGGAAAGTCTCTGCTTTGGGTCCTCCCTCTCTTAGCACAGAGAAAAGCGATTGCCGTGGTTATTATACCATATACGAGCTTGGGTTTTCAGGGCGAGCAACGGTGCGGGTTTTCGAGAAGTAGATCTAACGGCCATGTATTGAAAGCTACCTCATGTGTAATAGACATTCCGGTTCAAACATTAAATGTACCTTCCTTCACTCTGGTGCAAACAGCAAAGCAGAGCTTGAGGAAATTGCTCGAGGTGGGGAGAAACATGTCATTTACACATGTGTTGAGATGCTCGAGACGCCTGGCGTTGCACAGGTTCTTCACTCTGCGTCCTTTCAGGCTCAACTGTCAGGTGTGTATATTGACGAGGCTCATGTCCTGCATGAAAGTCATTCTTGGCGGCCTGGCTATGCACGCTTAAATATCTTGCGGACCATAATCGGGACCGATGCTCCTTTGGTCTGCATTTCCGCAACATTGCCCAAACGATACCGCAACTCTCTTCAAATATTTGCTGGTCTACGGCCAGACTATTACCTTATTAACTTGGGAAATTTTCGACCTGAACTGTCAACAATTATCTCGCACATGCAACATCCAGCTTCATCATTCCTCGACCTTGCCTTTGTTCTGCCGTGGAATTCCACAGCTGAATCTATCCAACAAACCATCATCTATTCAGATGATTTGGATGTATTAACTTCCATGTTTTGGTGGTTTCATGCTCGTCTAGGATCAATAAATTTACCAGTGACACTAATTGATATTTTACATGCTGGACTTTCCGAGAAACACCAAAAATTATGCACGGCCGACTTCATTGCAGGGAAGTCAAGAATCTTACTGGGATCCGATAAAATTGGGGCAGGAATGGATTTTCCACACGTCACCCTGGTTGTACAGTACCGCTGTCGTGGCCTAACAATTGTGCGGTGGGAGCAACGTCGGGGTCGGGGGGGAAGAAGAGATGGGATTACAGCATTAGGTGTCATTCTCGTGGAAAAGTCCATGACAGGTGACGATGATAACGATAACCTTTCCACTCAATGCCCAAAATCAGAAGATCCCGGAATGCTGGATCTGATCCAAACAGAAGGCTGTCAAGAAGCTGTCGTCGATGTGTGGCTTGAGAACCCACCACGAGAAACACTGGCTCTTTGTGGCCGTTGTTCAAACTGTAATCCCGCGCTTTGTCTTTCGACCAATTACTCCTGGGTTATGGAAGATCCTCGACCACACAAAGAACGAGCTTGAGGTGGTGCATCCAATCAGCAAAAAAAGACAATGCTGAAGAAGCTTCAAAGTTGGCGCCTCAAACTTTGGCAAGGGGAGTGGAAAGATAAATGGCCGTCGTATGGAGCAGAGGACCTCGTTAGCAATAACGACCTAGAAGAAATTGTGCAGCGAGCTCAATCAATCTCGGTCGTTGATGACCTTGATTCTATTGCTCAAATTCCTCACCTCGACGATCTAGGCGACGCACTCCTGCAAGCAGTCAAGGACATCCTTTTTGAAGTAACTGGTGTTCGTGTTGAACATGTTGCAGCTAATCCCAATACCGAAGTGCCTCATCCTCACGACTAGTGTTTAAAGGTTCAGTCCATAGGACCACAAAAAACCGGTGGACCGAACTGAACCGGACCATGGTCTGGTCTTTTTTTCGGTTGCAGTTGCCCCAATTTGGGGTTGGTCCGGTTGCTGGTTGCCTCATTTCGAAAATCTTTTAAAACCGTTCAAAGACCGGTTTTAATCGGTTGCAACCGGTTAAACGGTCACGTGCGTTACATAGCCTTGTAACCACGTTTATTGCCTTTTATGGGGTTTTTGTTTCATCAAAAACGGTTAAGAATTGAGAAAGATATAACCAAATCCATATTTTACCTGAGTCTCTAGGAGATGTAATTCAGTTTCAGTCATAGCCATGTCAAATCTTCATTAAATCTCTTGAAAATTGGTAGAATGACGGGTATTTATATGCTTTACTATTTTATATAACCTGTTTATTTTTCAGAGTAATAATGGTTGAGATACAAATGGTTTATATTGATATAATAAATTATACGCAAAAAAACCGGTCTGGATCGGTCTGAACCGGTATCATGGACCGCAAAAGACCGGTCCTAGGTGGTTCGGTTCGGTTCCCTCAATATTTGGGTCGGTCCTGGACCGGTTGCGGTCCACGGTTGCGCGTTTTCGGGGCAAAAAACCGGACTGAACTGAACCTTTAAACACTACTCACAACATTTCCATATCTTTTGATCGTTTGGAATGGCTAGAGCCAGAATGTCCTGACACTGTGAAGGATGGTATTGCTGTTGACGAGGAAACGAGAGAAAGGGGGCCTTTGGGTCAAGGTGAATTTATTTTATCTTTCAGTTGAGAACTCTGATATACCTTCAACACTCGTTATTTCACGTAGACAATTACTTATCCACGACCTTTTAATATACTTCAAATATTCGTTCTTTCACGTAGGTATTAATCATTATCCGTATCATATATCTCATCGTTGTCGACCGTGCCTCCTGGAGCAACAAGATCTGTTACTTCATCGTTCTCAGATCCCATCGTGTAGTTTCTTGGAATGGCATCCGTTGCGAGCATGAGTTCCGGGTCAGGTTCTGCAATATCTGCGCTTCCAGTGTCGTGGCGAGACCGAAGCCGTAAAATGTGTCGATTGAGATGTTTTGCATGCCCTCCGTTAGTCCCGGCCAGGCGCTGACATCCATAGTGGTACAGATCGACCACTGCATGTTTGGAGGGTTTATCAGCTGCAAAGTCGAAGATTTTTGCCTTGTGAAAGACTTTGGCCACGATCTCAATGTCTTTATGCTGTAAGACCTTAGCGTGTTCTTGGTTAATTTTTTCAATGCCTAAATCTTCGAAAAGGCGGTCAGTCAGAATTTGAACATGGCCCAGAGCTGGAGTTGTTTTTTCTAATACATCTGGAGTTGCATTGGACCCATGTGCTCGCTCCTTGATTTTGTCATTAAGGTGTTCGACACGGATATCTGTTGGTTTCCATCCATCTGGCTTTCCTGAGGGATTGACAAGCATGCCGTTGAAAGCCACACTGGCATAATCTTTTGGCCAGTCATGAGTGACGTTGTGCAGGAGTTCCATGCACTCATTTGCATAGTTATGACTGCCAGCCGCATAAAACATCGGAAGCCAATATTTGATCATTCGAGAAATGCGCTGTGGATGGCCATGCTTGATTGCATGTTGCATTTCTCGGAGTGTCATGAGGTCGTGCATAAGGAGGATGGAATGACCAGATTGAGTGTTCCCTTTGAGTGTTTTTATTCCAAGGTTCTCAAGACGGAAGGCTGAGGGCAGTAAAAATGAATCAACAACAGAAGTTGCAAGGTCCACAAATTGTGCATAAGTGCGGACTCCAAGATTGATGTTTGACAACTTGAAATTGTCGAGTGTCCGTATATCACAAATTTTCAATGCAGCTTGAATCACCAGTCCTCGTAGAATGACATCAAGAAAGCGCAGCCATGCATAGTAATCAACCTTCCGGAGATTGATATCTTTGCGATTGGGTAGGGATGCAAGTAAAGTCGACAGGCTTACTGCATCTGTGTTTTTGTCACCCCAATAATTGCCTCCGACTGCATGGATAAAGTTCAAGCAAAAATGCATGAGGCCGCTGACCATAGAAAAGCTCGAAAGATGGTCAAAGCGATGTGTTGAACGATCTACAGCACACTGGTCCTGAGCTGCATGGTCGCGTACTGTTGTCAAACGATCTCCGAGAACAGTGAACATTGTGTGTTCAAATGTTTCTTTGGGAATGTCGAGAACCTTTCCGAAATAATGCTCCAAGACAAGCATATTGCCCTGAGTCGAGCCTTGTTCTTGATCAAATGTTGGAAGATAATATTCCTCGGTCTTCTGTGCTGTAATAGCTGCTGTGTCCTCAAATGGTGGAATAGCAGAGGAGAACCATGTGAAAGATTGGATCTCCTCACTCAAAATACGCTGAGTGTGAATAATTGAATGAGTGCGGTACACAGTTTGGTCTTCTGCCATAGGCAGAATGTCGGTGAGGGATTTTCGAGGAGGAATTTTGTGCCGTGTGCCTTCCGTTTCAGTAAATCAATCAAGACTAGTGACTTTGGCGGCCTCCTGCCCTTCTGGAGTGGGTAAAATCACCAACAATGCAGAAACTTCATCATGAGTTATTGATCCATGCAAAGCCGTAGCCTCCCAAGCTTTTGATATCCAGTTGAAGTTGTCGTATGGGAGCAATTTAATTTTTTGGCTATCATTTGCTGCTCGTCGTGCAAGTAGGATCACATCCTTGCTCAATGCTGTGATTGATTTGCCTTGGAAAGGGTATGATGTGGTGATTCCGAAGTGATTAAATGCCTGTACAAGGCGTTTCGGTACATGGTTATCCCAGAATAAAAGTGCATTTAAAGCAGCGTGATAGTTTAATCTGCGACTGCGTAAATTAAGAACCATCGATGTTATTAAAGTCCTGCCCTTTATCAACATTATCAGTGAAGGTAACTTGGCAAATCATGTATATTCGTACTGCATCTGGATCCCGACTGCCTGGGGCCAATATCTTCTTGTCCCTTGCAATTATTGCATTCAAAATAGCTTGCAGGTGGGGAGTTACACGGTCATAGCGAACACGGAGGTCATCGATCCGAAAATTGTTGATCATCTTCACGTTTACATCTCGAGATGACACATGCAGATATTTGGCATCATCTTGATGTTCACCTTCAGAAGCACAATCGGAAAGCCAGCTGGCTTCTTTAGCACAGGCCAAAGCTGCCTTCTCCACTACCCAAGCTGTCAACTTAGGATTTTTGAGCTCCCCGCCTCCCTTCCACAAAAGATCCATTATGGGATTAACTCCGTCACCAGCCAGAAATGTGTTGGCAAAATTCTTGATGCCTGCATCATCCGAGGTAAAGAGAGTTTGAAGAAACTGATGAAGGGAAAATCGATTGAAATCTCGCATGAAAGCCAAGGTCATACGGGTTTTTTGCTCGTTGCTGAGGGCTGTAGTCCGTTTGATGGGTGTTTGGGGATCGGGAGAGTAATTGGAGTCCTGATCATCATCAGGTAGATCAGGGAGGTTCGTAAACTGAGTTCCTTGGGATATATTGACTCGCTGGTAGGGAATGGGAGACGAGTGGGGGCCAGGAGAGCTGAGAGCATCTGGTTCTTCGACATCGGTGTTTTCATCGAAACCAAGCAGAGTAAAGCGCATGAAAGGGGGATCTGATTGATTATACATAGCTAGATGACAGAACTAGATTGTATGAAGGTAATATGGAGCGGATAACGCGAGGGATGGACTGGCGATGAGGACGCGATGATAACGACGCGTTCAGAAGGGGTGTCGAAAGTGGACATAAAGCTTACATAACCACCGAGAAATTGGCGAAGACAAAGGTACGTTGATGTTGTTGGAAGATTCCCAGACTCTTAAGGGAAGGGACCCAAATTGGGAAGGGTGCCCAAAGAGGATGGGTTTCCGAGACTATACATAAGCCACCTCCAGACACCGCATATGAGCCACGATCTACATAGACTTTTCCATATGCTCTTTGGGCTCATATGCGGTGTCTGGAGGTGGCTTATGTACATATATAGACATAAGTTTATGTACATATGCGGATGTACCCATTAAGGCAAACATCACAAATGTAATGTCACATGTAATCAACGGAGAGAGCGTTGAAGAGCACTTTGGCTCTTCAACGCTCTCTCAAAACACGGCGGTATCTGGATACCGCCCGCGTTTTGTTTGCTTTCCATGTTCTACACATACCCCGCTCACTAGCTCGACTTCCGACTCGCCAGGTGTGAGACGACCGCCGCCAAGATCTCAACATCGCCTCAACGAATATCTGTCAAGATCTCAATGCATCAACATGCGAGGTGGTTGGGCGGGCACGAGCGGAGTAGGTCGCGTGTTGAGGACAAGGCTTTGCGGGGTCATTCAGGTGCGTACGCTACCCGGGGAAAGCAGACTTTTCTGCTTTCCTCGCATCCACTTTTTCTAACATGTTTTTATCTCTACAGGCTTTGTAACGGCACCCACTCTGGCCCGTTTGATGCACCAACCACGTCACCCTACATCTATCTGCTATCACCTAACACGCCGCCTGACCTGCGCCTGTCGCTTGGCATGTGTGCGTCGGATGACGTGCACATGCCCATCACCAAGACCTTTACCATCGCAAACGCTGCGGATACCATCACCCTCGCCCCTCGATCACATTCCCATTGCCAACTATGTTGCCGCCCATCAAACTGCATATGCAAGCATGCAGGCGCATCCCCATCAACTTTGTTCACGCGCGAAAATACAACATCCACCCTTCGATCACATTCCCATCGCCATCGACGTAGCCACCCGTGTGTACACGCATAATCAATGGTCGACAGGGATGCACCTGTGCATCTCCGTTGACTTAATGATCCACCATCACCATCGCCATCGCAGACATCGTGAACAACATAATTAGCCCCATGCCTATTTCTACAAGCCACTATAGCCCTACCTCCGCTACCCTACTTCCACTACCAGTTGTATGCAAGTACTTACTGATCTTCTGTCTACACCACTATTTGGGCCAGATGTGGAAGCAACCTAGAGCACGCGGCCTGTCCACTATATTTTCCCACATTGTCACCAGTGTGACGAATGCTGGCCACCAGCTCAAAATCAAACTAATAGGGGTCTGGTTCCAGGCTAGCTGGAATAGACGTGTCGGGTCCAGCCCATTCCCAGCTGACCATCCTGGCTACATCCTTGTGGGTGGTTATGTAGAGGGGGTATGTATTATAGTATGGCCACAATGTATTCAACCACCTGAAAATCCCATTTAAATCCCGACCTCAATCCAACCATATAGTTTAGAAAGATTTATGATATTTTTACTCAGTAACAATGAGGGGGATAATTCATATACGATCGATCAATACTACTTACTACTACTACTGGAGAGGCTAGTTATATGCTATTGCTTACCCCCCCAATGGCTCCCTTCCCTGCTATCATGATACTCTCTCCCATGTGCCCCCTTCGTTGACTGGTGGTGGAGGTGACATGACGGCAAGCAGTTAGCGACATGTTGGCGACATGAGGGGTGAAGTAGTCTAGAGAGGGAATGTACACATTAGCAGGTAGACCGTAGACATCATAGGTTGACGTTGGCAACTTACTGCAACAGGGTTTGGACAAACGAAACAGTGAGGGCAACAGCCCCCGATAGGCGGTGCCGGTGAGCACTTACTTACCAAGCAAGGGAGCCTGACGTGACAGGCGAGGGGACGTCGACCATGATGTTGAGGTTGGTCAACAGGGTGTCGACGTGGCAGCGAGTTCGCGTCCGTGGCTGGTTAGTGTGGTGTAGTTGCTGGCAATGCTCGACCCCCTCCAAACTTCGCCAGGCATATGTGTTGGGCGTTGGTGTGGAGCTGGAGACGGTGGAGAGGCATGATGTGGTCGATAACGATGGTGGCAGCGGCAAAGACTTGTGATTGTGGCGAGGTTGTAGCTTGACGAGGGAGGCAATGGGGTTGATGACAAGAATTTGCGCCCTTTTTGACACTGCGGAGTATGCTGAGTATGAACATATTTCCCACACTCTTCGTCAAGTGTGTTTCACTAAAGTTGTTCCGAAGGCAATCCGAAGGGGGTGAATAAATATAAATTTAATGATTAAAGAGGTGCTAGATACTATGGACTTCATAAAACGTGGTACTTGAGTGAGAAATGTGGAGGTATCATAATTTGTGGGCAACGCTGTTGAACAGCTTTAGACGAGAGCTGGTGTCCACAAAGTAAACTCCTAGCTGCCAGCTGGGATCCGGCAGGCTGCCCAACAGCTGTCAATTGGATAGCCGACAGGGGGGAGGTTTGATGCCGATCAGGAATTTCGGCATTCTGCCATCACCCTGGGGCCCAAATGGCGGTGTAGCCTTACGCTTGATTCCTGTACTATCCGTAGTAAATAAATAAGCATTCTCCACTATTGACAACAGTTGCAAAGGATCTGGAAACAGAAAATGGTGCACCTGTGTAATGACAGGTGTACATGGAGAATCAATGAGATAAATTTGTGTATTATATTGTGCCGAAATATTTTGAGAATTTATGTGAATTTATGCAAATTAATTTGGGTGTTAGACAGCACTTGGAACGAAATGTCGTCTAGATGCAGCACCATAATGAGGTATATTAAGAGTGATGCTAGCAGGTATGAACAGGCATGTGGTTTAGTGGTTATGTCGTACAGTGGTTGACACGACCTCGGCCAAATGCTCGAGGTCATAAGTTCGAACCCTCATCTTGAAAAAAGTTTTTTTTTTCAAGATCACCTCCAGACATAAGACATGAGCCTAGATCGTTTGGTTTACGTGGTGAGCGCTTTTGCGGTTATGGAAACATCGTTAGAAAATTTGTTGTTGAATTCAAGGTACATTGAATTCGACGTGTGTCGGAAACCGGTTGTTCCTCATTGGGACCGCTCCGGAATAAAATCTATCTATCTATCTACATATCTATCTCGAAAGGTTTTGATCGTTGACCATTGAACAAGAGGTTATAAGAAATAAGACTGAGGGCCCCAGCAGAGATCTAACGACAGTCGAATTCGGAATTGGAATGGTGGCCGGTTCAATCAGCTGACCAGCACGCCATCCTGCGCACAGACCATCATCAAAAAACTATATAAACCTCGCCTCCCCCATCAACCGTTTCTTTAGAACATACTCGAACAGGATCTGTTTACAGAAACTGACCGAGTCTCGCATTTTTACAAATGCCGCATCTTCATATCCACTCGATGACTTTACGCGCTCACTCGTTATACTGAGAACATGGCTTTGCGCAAGCGGGGCTTCGAGGACGTTTGGTGGGTTTCTTTGGGCATGCTTGTATGAGCTGCTTGGAGGACTTGTCAGCGAGTTGAGTGTCTGTCTGATGGATACTATTACCTTACTTCTTGTACTTGTTGGTTACCTTCTGTCTCCTTGGAATTATCATTTCTTTTGCTATTGTCTTGTTTCTTTTGCCATGTAAGGATTGCGAAGCGCTTTCGTGAAAATAACGCTTTTTTATCTCGCCTGCTCCCATTTTGAGAGTGAGCTGCGTGAATGCTCCTAGGAAGTTGCGTTGCCTCGACTGCGTTCCCAGTTAATGTCGACACCTCCCCTTCCATATTTAGTGCACGTGCATGCCCAGCGGTCCAAAATTTTGAAGGAAGGACATGATACAAACTCTCGAACTTTCATCATGGGCAATAGTTCACAGACACGCTCCAACTGCTACGCGTCCTCCAGCCTCCCTTACGAGTTGGCATGCACACTCGGAGCAGTACGCGTCTCTGGTCACGTGAAACACGGACGCTTGTTTTGAGTTGATGATGTCGGAGTCGGAGACTGCACACCTTTCCTCTTGACCATCACAACATCTCAAGAACACGCCTACCACATTGCTACAACCACAAATCATGCCTCCAGCACTGTCGTCAACGGTAACTTTTGCTCACCCAGCTTTCCGCCTGAGTGATAATTGGTAATAATGCACACGAGCAGATGACTATGAAGCGGATCCACCGTGAAATCGGGGACCTCAAGAAAGAAGACCCGGGTGCGATTGTGTTAGCTCCGACGGAGGAGAATCTTTATCTGTGGAAAGGAAGTATCCCGGGTCCGGAAGGAAGTGTTTATGAAGGAGGGGTGTTTAATGTGGAGGTGGTCCTCCCCCCAGATTATCCGTGCGTTTATAGCTTTTTCATTTATCCAGGAAGGTGGTTGTATTAACGTTTTCTTATACAGGTTTACTGCGCCAAAAGCCATGTTTAAGACGAGGTATTCGTCCCATTTACTTATCGCGATATGAAAAGTTGACGCCGCTTGCACAGGATATACCACATGAATGTACGTTAGACGCTGATCTCTTTGGGGTTTACGCCCGTCCAAAAGACTGACGATAGAGTCTAGATTTCCGAACAGGGGAATATATGCATTGACATTCTGAAACAGAACTGGTCTCCTGCTCTATCTCTATTCAAAGTCATGCTCTCCCTATCGTCCTTACTCACGGATCCCAATCCAAGTGCGCAATTTTCTCCTTTCCGCGCTTAACAAACTGATTTACATGTCTTGATAATGCAGAAGACCCACTTGGTTCGTGATGTTTACCTTTCCATTCAACGACAGCTTATTCACCCATTCCATCATCCACGCAACTTCGGCGGACACACAGTTCCCTCCATAGCCACTCAATACACCCGCAACCGCCAACTCCACGACACAACCGCACGCCAATGGACGCAAATGTACGCACTGCCACTTAAACCCATCGTTGTCGTCCCTAGTTCCCCACCACCACCACCACCACAACCAAAAGTCAGCAAAGCAAAGGGCAAGAAACGCGCAGAGGCGCCTCCGCCAACTGCATCACGAGGCTCGACAAGCTCACGCGCGACGCGGTCCACTGCTGCGTCTGCTGCACCGGTAGAAGTTGCGGATGAGGTTATTGTTCTGGATTCGGAGGATGAAGCGGGGACGTCGAGCGCAGTGGCGAGGGGCAAGCGAAAGAGGAGGGATGAACCTAATACGGTGGCGGCGTCTGGGTCTGGGTCGACGCAGGTCTTGGAGCTGGGTGATGATCAGGAGGGGGGTTCACGAGCTTTAACGACACGCAAGCGGCAGAGGAGGGGCGTAACGGCGAATAAGCAATTGGGAGACGTGATTGTTATCGAGGATGATTAGTATTTTGGATACTTTATTTCACGTTACATGTTAGTTGCTTGCCCACCACCACCTGAAGTATCTAAAAGAAAGCACCACCCTTACACTTCTTAGACCCACATCTACAACTCTCATACACAGCTCCACTCTTTGGCCCAGAGACTTCCCCATCATCATCATCATCACCGCCCTCCCCATCATCATCATCATCAGCTCGATCCCCACCGTAGTTGAAGGAGAGTTCCTCGTACGCCTCCACGTCACGGAGAGTGAACACTGTAAGAAGGGGTTTCTCGATGTTGGACTCGTTGACGTAGCATGCGGTTAGGCGACAGTTTGGATCGCATGAGTGGTTCTGTATTCTAGTGTCAGATGTGGGTTGACGTCTTTTGGGAATGGGACTTACAAGGAACCGGGTGAACTGGTCGAAAGTACCTCGTCAGTTATGAGTGCATTTCAACATAGAAGACATACATTTCCGGCATGATAAGCATCCACGACGAATTGAGTCTCCCATTGTTTACCCTCTTGCCCCCTCAAATAATAAAAATCAAGGTCGAACAGGTACGTGCGCCCAAATTGATTGTATTTCCTTTGATAGAGGTCGGTCGTTAGTGACCTCCTCTTGGTCATTGAAGGAGGATGAGGGGGACTCACTTCCCACGTTGTTCAGCCTCTGCGTTGGTCAACAGCTCTCCTGCGTATATGCCTATAAAAGTTCCAGCGGGTATCTTTTTCGTGCCTGCAAAGACGCCTTTGATACATGATAAACCCACGTAACACGATGAGATGTGTAAGAAGACGTACCCCATCCTTTGTTGAGGGTCTTCGCAATGTTGACTTGGACCTTTCGTCCCTGTTGAGCGACCTAGAGAAAATACAAAAAGTTTGTCAACCCTTGGTGCATCACCAATAAAATGAGTGCTCACCCGATTTCGACACTCCTCATCACATCCACACAAATCATTACACTCAAAAATCGGATAATCAGACTGAGACTCCTTCAACCTCCCAGCCTTATCATACTGAAAGTCCCCATTCGGATTCTGCAAGTACCTCCTCTGCTTCTCCAAACACGCACAAGGCTTCGAGGATCTCGGATCGCATTTCCCTACACAATCACAGCTCTCCAACTTCGTCACGTCGGGGGGCGGCACGCCGTTCCCATGCCACATCTGGTTCGTGTAATAAAATTCCCATGGCGGGGTGGGTTCACCGTCGATGTCGTTGAAGACTTGAATCGGAGGCGCGTCTGGCTCATCAGTGGTATTCTGCATAATGGTGCACTCCAGAATCTCCCGCATAGCCTCATGCATCCGAATTCGCTCCGACATGCTGTTGATGTGGTCCTGGAGATGGTGAGGCAGGTCCATGGCAAAGTAACATTTCCGCTCGAGGTTGATGGGGTCTTGACGGAATGACTTCCATGTGATGGCAGGGAACCCTCCGTATGTCTTTCCCTCGGGTGGGATTGGGACGTCTTCTGGCGTGCGGCAGGGTGGAGACGATTCATAGTCTGTTTCGAGATCAGCGTCGGTATGATCGCCCATCGAAGACCGCCTTGACGAGCGACGAAATTCAGGAATGCTTCCTGGGGTTGTCCGTCCACTCTCCAGCATAAGCGGATCAGCGAATGAAGAGTGCTTCTTGAAAGTTGAAGTGACTCGTTCCGGCTCTGAAGATACACTCCGGGTTTCGAGAAGGGCATCGACTTCCATCTCAGCTTCTTCGTCGGACTGTTCCTCAACCAGAGCACGCTGCTTCCCCTTGGATTTGGCGGAGATTCCACCCTCAATGGCACCTTGAATAGTCGTAGAAGACGTTGGATACTCGCCTCTGCTTGAAGATCTAACGGGGAGCTCACTATGCGCGGGCAACCTCTCTAACGAAACTGCTCGATGGGGAACAGGTGGGGTAGGTTGTGTCAAATTTGACATATCAGGAGTGGCTGGCGGTATGGACGAGTCTTCCGCCTCTGAGGAAGTCGCGATATTAGTGACTCTTTGATAAGGGGCAGGTAACCTCCCGGGAAAGCTGTGGCGTGCAAAAAGGGCAGGCATGGAGGTCGCGTGTGACTTTGAAGGTAAATTAACCACACCGGCATCTTTTGAAGAAGCAAGCGTCGTCCCTTTGCTCGATTCTGCCCCACTTTCATCGACAACATTGTGATGCGAGTGCCGCTGTGCCTCATTCAAAGGTGCATAGACTCCGTCAGGAGATTCATCAGCAGGTAGAGGAACAGGTGGTGAATCGAGCCGAGATGCTTGTGGTTGCTCAACATCCTCTTCCTCAAGCAGAGCCCGTTGAAAGGGACGGAGCGCAAGTTCATCTGTTGTCGACCTCGATCTCTCATTAGCCACTTCCACAGCTGGAGTTTGAGGAGCCACGACGGGGGTAGAACGTGAACTGGAAGCCTTACTCGAAGCAGCAGCATTTTGAATCCACTGCATGACCAGCTTCGATTGGCCAATTGCGCCTGTCAAATCATGGTCCGAAGAATCCTGCAGCAGGACCTGCTCAGACCCTTTTGCCGTTCGACGTTTTGTTGCTGGTAGTGGATTAACATCGTCATCGGCAGTCAAGTCGATGGCTTCCTCCTTCGAGTTCCCCTTCCCAGTTTCATGTAGACCACTCATCGTGTTGTTCTTTCCAGCTTCTATGATCATATTCGCAAGTGTCTGCTGCCCTGGTCGCCTTCTCGAAACCAGTTTCTTGCGCGCCAGTACACGACTTGATGGGTTAGAGGAGGTGGACAGTGCACCCGTTTCTTTGCGATCCTTAAGAAACAAATCAAATGAGGTCATTACAAAATCAAAGCAGGCAGGACGTACTGAGTTGCGGGGCAAGGTAGGCGATATGGGCTGGATCTTGATCCTAGACGTGCCAGAGGTAGCCAGGGGAGGTATAGGAATTCCCAGGGCGACATCCAAGGGACGCATGTCGACAGAGTCTGATTGGTGCGGAGCAGGTGTGACCTGTCTCACCGCCAAATCATCATCCTCACTCTGAGATTGCTGTTCCATCGCAGCAGCAGCAGCAGAAGTGGGTGGAGGGGCCAACTGGGTCTCAGGAAGCGTCGATGTAACCTGCAATGATGAATGCGCTGTGCTAGAGCCAGAAATTGGTTGGGAAGCTTGCTTCGCCAGAGTTATCTGCGAAAGCACACTCTTACGCGGTAGAGGAGGCTTCTGAGATGCCGTGGGAGGGTTATTAGGCATTGCCTCTGACGGGGTAGATTCTATCGATGATGAAGTTAAAGGCTTCTGCGAGGAAGAAGGCAACACTGTGGGAGGGGTTGCTGCAGGTCGCGAGAACCTCAACATATCCGAAGCAGATAACCGGGACTTCGCCTGCAAAGGAGAAGGAAAAGCAGATTCTTGTAACGATATAGAGGTGGAAGATGTAGAGGCTGTGGTTTTTGCGGACTCATTGACTGTAGAAGGAGTAGATTTCTCAGTTGACACCGGCTCTGCCGGAGTAGCATTCTTCACTGGTGTAGACCGAATCTTCTGTTGAAACGCCGCAGATGCGGAGAGCCTATGTGTTTTCGAGGTCAATGGTGTAAGCTTAGCGTTAAGAGAGGTACTCGGACGGCTGGGTGTTGAAGCTGATGTAGAGGGTGTAGAGGTGGAGCCAGAAGCCAAGGACAGCGACCCAATGACAGGCGGCTTGTGTTTCGGTAGTGGTTTGATTGGAGGGAGTGGCCATTGTACAAAATGGGAGTTTATATTCGCGCTGGTTGGAGCAATTTGGTTATCGAGCACTTTTGCGGGAGCTGGCAGCGGCAAAGGACGCGTGATAACCACGTCCTGGTGCAAACCTCCCAAATGTGCTGATGCACTTTGTGAAGGTGCTGGAGGGGACGAACGAGGAGGAGAAGCAGAAGACGACGGCGGAGGTTCCATGTTCACGTCTATATCTTGGTCGACGTCCATTGCGTTGTCGTCACCTTGTACACTGGTAGCTGACGTAGGAGGGCTGTCTCGAGAATCGAGAGCGCATTCGTTCACAAGTTCAGATAGGATGCCACTTGTTGATTCGCGGCGAGTGGGGGGCAATGATTTAGCAGGGGATGCGCTTTTGCCAGAGTGTGGTGCTGGTACATTAGGAGACGTGCTGCTGGTACCGGAGGCGTCCCTCGTTTTGCTTGAGAAAGGTGTCCTGTTTGTGGGAGACACGTCGCTCGTAGGAGAGGCCTTGCCTGTGGACGAAAGGTTAGTCGAAGGCTTGCTTGCAGAGGACGTCTTGCTTGTCGATGCCAGCGGCACCTCGTCCTTACCAAAGCCATTTCTCTTGCTCTGATTTGGCCGGGCGGACGCATCATCATCATCACTATCGCTTAGCTCAAACACCTGCGGCTTGACTTTGGCGATAGGTCTGGGCTTGGGCTTAGGTTTGTTGGGTTCTTCCTTCGACTTGGATTCATCTACCAATGATGGCAGAGCCTTGGACTTTGGCTTGGGTATGTCTGGCATCCTCTTCCTAGCCATCTGGCCGTCCTTTCGCGCCTTTGATGAACGCACAAGGACGGGTTTCTCCACCTCCTTGGAATCATCAGAGGAAGAAGAAGATAGCTCGATTACTTCGTTTGAACTGGGTTTCGTAACAGGAGGCGGAGAGGATGTCAAATCAATGATATCTTCTGGAGCGACTATTTTCGGCAGGGCTTGTGTAGATCCTACTGACAACTTAGAACATGGCGTTGATGAGTAAATAGCGACATACGCTTGGGTTTGCTAACGGGTGCCGATGCACTCTCTGACCATGTTTCCGGTTTAGATCCCCACTCTAGAGCGCCCGGTTAGCTCGGATAAAACAAGGACAACTGCAAACCATACCCGATAGTTTGTTGCCACTCTTTCCTTTACCCTTCGTCCCACTCTCAGAAAGTGAATGTTTCGAGAAGTCTGGTGGAGTGTCCGACTGGGAACTCCTCGCCGATTCCTTTGGTTTACGTTTGACTCTGGTCTTGGCTGAGGAAACGTAATCATTCGATCGTATCTTCAACACCGGCGCCGTGCTTGAAGGTACCGTATTCAACCTGGACGGCCCCGCCTGCGCATTTCGATTTACACCGGGTATGATATCTTGACCAAAAAATGTCGGAGAAACCCCTGCGGAGGCATGAGCTAAAGTAGCAATAAACGAATGAGTTCAACACAACTTACCTGATGCCAAAGTTCTATTACCAGCTTTCGGTCTCCCTGATCGTACATCCTCCCTGGTACCTGCTACGGCATTCACACTATCTCGACTAAGAAAACCTGCTCGGGTTTTGGTCTGTGGCAACAAGTGACAACATTGACGAGACTCACTTGATGATGTTTTCCCCGCGCCTTCAGTGTTCTCTACGTGTTTTAGTCTCGGTGGTGTGTATCGCGGGCGTTTGACAAGTGGTTCGCCCTGAGATGTCCCTTTCCGCTTCCTCGCCAAAGACAGTTGGTCGACGTCGTCGTCAGCGTCATCCAGTTCGTCCTCAGAGGGGTTATTGGTTGAAGATCCTTGTGATTCTACACGATTTCCCATGGGGTTCAGGTTATAGTGATAATGAACGTTGAAGTTCTCACCTTGCTGTAAAGCCTCCCATCCTGGACCAGGCGATGGGCTAAAAGTCATCAAATTGACGCGATGGAGCGCTGAGCTGGTGTCTCCCGGAGTTTCCCCTTGAAAAGAGCCTATTCGGAGTGAAAGTGGTCCAGTCAATTCTTCAGACAATGACTTACAAGGGCAAGGTTCGGAGGATGTCAGGGAAAGGTTACTTCAATTATGTAAGGCGCTGGCGCGACAGAAAATCATACAAAAACCACTCCACGATATATAAAACCCGACTATAAATATGTAAATACAGATAGAATCGATAAGTAAACGGTAGAACTAGTTGTGATAATTTCGTTTCCAAATGCTTTGGCGGTCACTTTAACGTTGGTAAAGGGGGCTGGGAAAGGGACAGTTGCCTCGTTGAAGATCTCGAAACACTTCTCGCCATGGATCTTCCCGAAACACTGCTGGCAAGAGATCGAACACTCCCTGCCCGGGATCTCGAATGACTCTTCGTGGAGACGGTCTCGTCTGATGCCTCCGAATGACCCCCGCGCCTATCCTGGAAAATCCATTTCGCATCTTTGAAGGCCTCCGTAAAGTGGGCGTAATCCTGTTCGTCAGGTGGAGGAGCAACGGTATCGTCAGATGACGGGACGCCCTTGGCCAGGTCACCCTCTTGTCCCGAATTTTTGTGCTGTGCCATATATATACTCCCTAGGTCGTTCCGAATCTTCAGGTACAGGGGGTCATCCTGAGGGCATGCGTGTAAAGCCTCGAGGTTGTACGAAAAGGCGTGTTCCAGGGTGACTCCATCCACCTCCCCAAAGTCCTGGCAACGGACATAAATGGCAGAGGCAAGGCTACTGTATAGAACGGGATCGCGGCCCTCCCCAGGGTCAGGATCGATGGCTTCGCGATAGTATTGAATAGCTTGGTCCAAATCCGTAACCCTCTTCTGGTTGATTTGGGTGTATCGAGTGAAAAGAACGTCGGCGAGAGTAATGAGGACATTGAAATGGGTTATTTTATCCGATCTATCCGAGAGTTTCAATGCCTCTTGACCGCGACGAACCGCCTCTTCCAAATCGTCGCCACGGTCAGGCTGTTGTTCGCAAAGCCTCCAGAGGCCGTTTGTCAGGTTGAGAAGCGGAATGAGCCGCCCTTTCCCCTCACCCGTCAACAAGTCTAGCACCCTTCGCAGGGCGTCAACTTGACCCACAACATCCGTGACGTCTTCAGAATGATAGTAGCGACTATCGTGCGCCTCTGCGAGGCTATTGAGGGCTAAAAGGAGCGAAGGTCGATCGCTCGCCTTCGCCTTGCAAAGCTCAACAGCTTCACCAAGGTAGGTAATGGCATGCGTTAGATCAGCTTCGTTGTCTTTCTGAATAAGAGCAATGCTGAGGTTAATTAGGGACGTTGGGCGATTTGGGTCGTCCCTCTCCGCTTTGAGTTTTAGTGCGGATCGGTGATTTTCGATCGCTTTGTCGAGGTTGGGACCAATGTCAGGGAAAGCCTCCGGATTTTCCTCTCCGAGGCGGAAGAGTCTGAAGTAAACAAGGCCAAGATTGTTGTGGATGATCGCTCGGTGTCCAGCCTTGTTTACCGGTGGCAGGAGACGAAGGGCCTCATCGTAATACGATATCACAATGGTAGCGGTTTCCCTCGTTACCGCACCAAGTTCGCATTGCGCCCAAAGGGCCATAGCGGTGTGGTAGAGAGATTCTGCTCGACCAGGGTGACCTGATACGCGGGCATCTAAGGCTGCCTGGTGATTTTGGACTGCCTGCTCCAGATACCGCAACTCGCGGGTTTTCTCATATTTGGCCCACGCCTTGACACCAGCAGAAAAAGTAGTGGCAGAGGAATCTTTGGCCCAGATAAGTCCTCTGAGGAATTTGAAGAAAGACGGCATGAATGTAGCCGCTTAATCGATCTAAATTGAATGGACAGTAAGCATAGTTTCCAATCGATGAATCCGCAAAGCTCACGGTTCAACTGTAAAAGGTAACCGCAACGAATCTACGTAGGCTCAGCGATTTTGTCGCGAGCTGGCTATTCGACAAGAGCCTGGGGCCAAGCGATGGATAGCGAAGATTGACGGTGGTCAACGGTGGGGAATGAAGAGATCGTGTAGGTGGCCACTCCTCCAAGCTGGTCTTGAGGCTATCCATTGCTCTACTACGCACCGTGGTGGTTCTGGTGTGCCCATGCCCGACGACCCTTCCCACCTCTTCCCACATTCAACTTCAAACGAGGGTGAGGCCTCATGGTTGACTCTATTGTCAAGCACCATGTAAAGTCGGCGTGCTTTTCGCGGAGAGTCAATCCCTCTCCTTTTTTTGAGGGGGTAACGATGAGGAAACGATGGGATTAACGTTCAAGACTGTTGTGTTCTATGTCAGAATCTGAGGGTCGGAAGATATCTAAATCGTGCGAAATTTGAAGAGAATTGAGTCCGATGTCCCTGACTTTTCCCTGCATAGCACGCTTTATTTGACGTGCGACTATGGCTAAGATCTCAGACACTGAGAGCTGAGAATGAAGGGCACGAGGAAGGGGTCAATGGCGAAGCAACGACGTGGCGAAGGGCCATCCTAACTCAGGATCCCACTGTAAAAGCAGCAGTTAGTGGACTCGGTGGGAGATTAGATATTATCTCAGGAGGTAAATATATGAGTGACTACTACGGGGCCCGGGCTACTGAACTAGTAAAGATCAACACAGTTTATATCAGGAAAGACAAACCTCAAAGTCGTGTATAAGAGGTATCCGACAGGGTTCCCCACGCGAGTGAAAATGGGAAGGGAGAAAGTACAGCGAGACCAGAGGAGGCGGAGAGGTGGGATGGACGTGAAAAAAAAAACATCAAACGAAATCTTTGGCGCGGAACTCACCCAACGGGGTGAGGGGGGTAAAGGAGGATTCCCGCTTTGTCGGAGATCTGGAAGCCGAAGGGCTGTCTGATGATGACGAACGCGACCGTATCGTAACCGAGGTAGACTGGTGCCTGGTAAGGACAGAGAGCTTGCGCGTACTACCCTCTCGTTTATCCTGGAGAGCACTTTTCGCATCCTGGAGGGTTTCTTGATAATAGGTGAGATCGTCATTATCACTTGGACAGTGGGAGACGACATCCTCGTATGCCTGAATTCCCTTCATAAGGTCACTCTCTGCCCCCGACTTGTTAAACCGTGTCAGATAGATACTCCCGAGGTTGTTCTGAATCCTGAGGTAGAAGGGGTCATCTTTAGGGCATGTGTGTAAGGCCTCCTGGTTGTAAGAGATTGCATCTTCTAGTGTCGCCCCTTCCGCCTCTTCAAAGTCCTGACACCGGGTGTATATAGCAGAAGCAAGACTACTGCATAAAATGGGATCGGGACCGTCTTCGGGGTCAGGGTCGATGGCGTCGCGATAATATTGAATAGCTTGATCCAAATCCGTGACATTTTTCGGGCTGGTTTGAGCGTAGCGGGCAGAAAGAACGTTGGCGAGAGTAGTGAGAGCCTTGGCGTGGATAATGTTATCAGAGGGATCAGAGAGCTTCAATGCCTCTCGACCGCGAAGAACCGCCTCATCTAAATCGTTGCTTCGACTATGCTCTATTTCGCAAAGCCTCCAGAGGGCATTCGTCAGGTTCACGAGCGGAACCAGCCGCACCTTCCCTTCATCCGTCAAATCTAGAACCCTTCGCAGAACGTCAACTTTCCCGACAACATCGCTGATATCTTCCGAGTAATGGTAGTGGCTGTCGTATGCTTGTGCAAGGTTGTTGAGAGCCAAAAGAAGCAAAGGACGACGGGTGGGTTTCGGGGCGCAAAGCTCTACAGCTTCGCGAAGGTAGATAATGGCATTCATCAAATCATCTTTGCTGTCTTTCTGGATAAGAGCAATGCTGAGGTTAATGAGGGATATTGGACGATTTGAATCGTTTTTCGCCGGCCTAAGTTGAAGCGCAGATCGATAATTTTCGATCGCTTTGCCGATGTTAGAGCCAGTAGCAGGAAAAGCTTCCGGATCCTCTTTTCCGATGCGAAAGAGTGTAAAGTAGACTGCGCCGAGGTTGGTATAGACAGTGGCTCGACGTCCGAGTTTGTCGCGCTTGTCGGGCAAGAGGCGAAGGGCCTCATCATAGTAGGCTATCACAGTGGAAGAGCTCTCCTTTGTTACGGCATTTTGGCATTGTGCCCAAAGGGCCATAGCAGTGTGCAGAAGAGATTCCGGGCGACGTGGATGATCCGGTACACGAATGTCCAAGGCTTCCTGATGGTTTCGGACTGCCTCCGCCAAATACTGCGACTCGCGCGTTTCCTCATACTGATTCCATGCCTCGACACCAGCAGCGAACAGAGCGTCAGATGGATCCTTGTTGCAGCAGCAGCAGCAAAGGTCTCTGAAAAACTTTAGAATGGACGACATGACGGCCGCCTTTCTCTGCAGGGCAGTAAGTAAGAACTCGTCACGATGAGCACAAGCTGCTCACGATCGCTACCTCCTCGGGATACTGACAGACAACCCTGTAAATTCGACGATTTCGTCGCTCTAGTGACGGTCGATGAGGACCTGGGGTAAATCCCGGGTAACAGAATTTGGAGGTGTTGGACTGTAAGGAATGCGGATAGCGTGCTGGGGACAACTTAGTTGGTCTTTATGGTACTCACGGCTCAACCACACACCTCTGAAACGTGTCTTGTGCCCATGTTCCTCTCAAGCGTCAAGCGCCGCGATCACATTCAAACTGTCAAAAGGGGCCTCGTGGTAGTTTATATTATGTCAAGGGAGTCGACGTACCGTTCAAGGGGTAGTAGATGGAAGCCTCCACAACCTGACAGAATCTTGGTCGAATTCACGTCTTTCCTTGAGGGATGAAAGTATGCTCAATTTTGTGATGAAGTTGGCAAGAAGTTGGATGCTTGGTGATGTGAAGATTTCAAAAGGCGCTTCCTAGGTAATCCCAAAGTAATCCAAATCTTGGAAATATTGACGCCAACTGCTGAAATGAATTGATCGCTCACATCATCCTTAACATGCCTCCTGCCTACCTTTATCCCATACAGAGCTTGAGAATGAAAGCCATGAGGAGCGCGCAGAGGAAAATCAACGACGGTTGCAGTACCACAAGGTCGAATCCGGCCCGAAGTCAGGAATCAGACTCGGATGCTATAGATCGCCTTGTTGCACCTTCACTTGACCTTCACCGTTCCCTGTACACGACTCAGAACTGCGTGCAGATAGTTAATCTCCAAGTAATCTGGTTATGCTCTCTCATGAAACGGATGCGCATCTAAGAGCGAGCGTACCTCGCAGCATAACAGCCTTGGTCCTCCTATTCACCTCCCATCACAAATGAATTGTGAGTGTCTTTCGAGACATAACCGGTTCCCCTGAGGGGACCAAATTTCAATTGAAAGCATTAGAATCGCGGCAACGCAAGCCTCATGATGATTTCGTTTTCTAGATGTTGAGCGCGATACATTTTATAGTGAAATTTCATGGCTGAAACAAGACCGCCATCTCTGCGCAGACGACTGCAAGACCCACACCCGTCATCACAATCAGCGGCAAAATATTCCAATACGAAAACGTCGTTTGTTTCACATAAATCCCTTTCTTCTCCAAAATCTGCTTCCACAACAATCCCGCAAGACTCGCGCTAAACGTAAAACTCACAGCACCAATATTGCTCGCTACCGCCAAAGCGATCGCGGCCGCGCGGTTGCTATGATCCGGGAAATCTGCCGCTCGCACAACTTTGGTGAGCAAAATCGTAGCGCCGATATTGTCCCAGAGACATTGCATAATATAACTCCAAGGATGTCGATTAGCCATATGGTAGGATAGACCTGACGATTGGACGCACGGACGAGCCAGTTGGAGAAGATCTCTATCCCACTTGGTGGACCCAGGAAACATTTGGAGCTTCTTTCATGGGTCTCTCCAAGGTGGGGTTAAACTCCAGCTGTAAGCCACTCCAACCAGGATTCTATTAGAAGATACGAGTGGAGATCATCACATAATTTGCCTTGAACCTCGGAAATCACAACCCACCTACAGCACTGCGTGATAATACTACACCAAGTCGACTTTGACAATCGACGGGGATCAACTTCAGTTCGATCAAGTCTCCACGAGCGCAAAATACGAAGTGGGAGATTGGTGCCGTCATTTATTTGACCATCATATCAGTATTGCATATCGTAAACTTCGTGTTCCCAAAAATAATTCTTGGCTGTGCTAGTGGTATTATGAAGATTTTAGCGCTGCACAGGGACGCACGAGAATTCATCGAGTATAGGTAGACCAGATATCACAACACTTCGCTTTGTGGTTTTGTTTAGTTGCGAAGCCTCAGGGTATGTGCAAAAAAACCTTACTACAGGGTCTTGCATAAATAAGTTCAGGTGGAGATTTCACAAAATGTTGTTTGCGAGTAATTGGTTGTGGCTGAGCCGTGACTATCGTGATGATTATGCGTGACATTCATCACAAAATTACTCTCTTTGGGCACGTGAAAACATGGGCAAACAGCTTTTTAAAAACCATCACCTGAACTTATTTATGCAACACACTGTAAGAATGTATGGCAACAAGTGGGACGGGGCGGGAGGGCAGCACCCTCTAAAAGTTCTCCAAAATTGAATATTGAATAAGATGCACTCTTACGGCCAATTACGTAACAAATAGGGATTAATTTTCCCAGTCGATTTAGCGCTCGCCGTTGGAGACGGGTGAGGAGCCTGCCAACTAGCACCATGATCATGAGTGCCCACAACCCCAAGACCAGCACTGCCAACGCCTATCTCTCCGGGAATAGCATCCACATACACTATATATCATAATCGCGTCAACCATGGGGTTCTCCTTGGGCTTTACTCCGTTTTGGATCTCTTCCCTTCATAGCTGGATCGACGCCAACGAGGCATATTCAGAAGTTTCATAATGCGACAAACGTCACCTGCGATGCCCTCTCGGGCGCCTGAGCCGAGCCACCGGCATGGATCGCCTTCAGGTAAGTTGATGTCATTGCCATGGTTCTACACTAACACCTCGCCGCGGCAGGGCCTTGGCCTTTCTTTGACATTGACGATGAGCTTGACGCTGATCAATCGGAGGACACGGAAAGTCACTGGTCAATGACCTCGTCTCCTTGTCATCATGTAAGGGGGATAGAAGACGACAAGTGTTGGTGCAAATACCCTCAATCTCTCTTCCGAAATTGGACGCCGAGACGGCAGAAGAAAAGCAAGATTTCCGAGGTGGTGGAGAAGTCTACGGGGTTGTGTACTATCCATTATGCGGATGTGCTACAGGATGGAGAGTTCGTTCACGCAGGTGCCCATGAGGTACAGGAGTCAAACGTTGATGAATATTGGGGGTTTATTTCGCAAGGGGTATGTCCTTCGCCTTGCAGCGTTTTTTCGGTGCTAATCGACCGTAGCGTCCCACAGGCGTACGATGTCGAGCACTATTCATCGACCACCTCAGCGGGCCCGTGTTACAGATGCTCGGTGCGAAATACATCATTGAGCCTTTCTACTTCTCTTCTTCACTTGGCTGGATACCTTCTCGTTATCAGTCAAACAAGGCTCCCAGAGGCGACCGTTCGTGCTTCAGTCTACTGTCCACTCTTAGCACTGATTTGATTTTGCGTCGGCTAGATATCACCATTACACTGACATTTGCAAGGACGATGCGTAACCCAACCACGGTACCGCTAGTCCCAAACTCGAGTATCCGTTCCGCTAGCACTGCTGACACGCTCGCACATGGGCCGCCAATCGCGATTGATACACAATTGCCATTGCCACTCCAGTCCAATGGCATACTTGTTTACGACCTTCTTGCTCTGCACATGGTCCGATCTGAGGAATCGAACACCATCATCTCCTATCATCCTGGCAACAACCATTTAGCAACCACTGCTGAGGCCCTTCATCATCGTTTCAAGCTGATTGGGCGCTCGGTGTATTGGAGCTCGATATTCAAGGAGACGAATGACCCTACCTTGTTCTTGCTGAGCCTGATGTGGTATCCTGTGTATTGTTGGGACGAAGTTTTTGAAACCTTATACTACCACATCTGTGATCTGGTGAGCCTCGCGATTCTTCACAGCCGTTCTCAGTTAATAGGCTTGCAGGAATCCACGGTCTTAACTACGAATGACACGAATCTCACTCACAAACTTCACGCAATACGAGCACATTTGTTACACTACCAAGCTTTGCTCGACGATTTCCGCAAGACTATTACGTTTATCAAGCAAACTCCCTTCCCCGCTTTAAATGATTCGGATGGATACCCTCCACGTAGCAGTGAGATCTCACAGCAACTTTTGGAGACGGAATCTGCAAATTTGCTGCGGGAAATACAGCGGCTAGAGGACACCAAGGAATTGCAGGAACGAAGGTTGAAGAATGTCATGAACCTCGTCTGTCTCTTCTTTTCTTGCTTATACACCCGCTAATGGTAACAAAATGCAGACCTTCAGCATCGTCAATATTGATGATAGCAGAGACACGCGGAAACTAACGGAAGCGTCCGTCCGAGATAGCGCTGGTGTGTTTTGCCTTAGTTCCCTCCGTCTACTGCTCATCCGCCATGCACCCAGCCATGAAACAAATTGCCTATCTCACCATGTTCTTCTTACCAGCTACATTTGTTGCTGTGAGTTGATCGTTCCCTCTACACGCCGATAGGTCTAACAATAGTTCAGGGAATATTCGGGATGAACATCAGGGAAATTAACCCAGGGACTAAGGGCACCCTACTTCACTTTTTCGTGGCTGTGATTCCGTTGACGCTTATAACAATCTGGTTGATTGTCGCCTACCAGATACAAGCTACTATTCCTCGATTGAAGTTTAAACGCAGTGAGGATGAGGGCGCCGAGGCTGAAGACTTGGAAGGGCGCTATATGCTATATGATGGCACTACCCGGCTCAAAACACTTAGTTGGTGGACGAGGTTGTCCTGGCCTGTTGTATTGGTCTCTTCCCTGTTTGAAAAAAAGATCTGGAAGAAGCGTAGGCAGAACCTTGGGAATTGGTGTGGTATCTCTGGTTGTTAAGCTGGATGCTCTTGGGTTGACTCTGGGTCGATTGTGTCAGATTGTGTCGCTGTGTATATACTAAGTATGCCCTATCAGTAATTCAGCAAGGAAACTTGCATTTCATACAGAGCCTTCTGGAAAACGCTAAATAGCTTTAAAGCAAACGAAAAAAAAGGTCACACGAGCTTCCTATTCAACTCCAATCACAAACTAATTGTGAGCGTTTCGTCTTGAGGCCCGAGGGACTCGAGACATAACGAGTTCCTCTGAGGGTTCCAAAGCTCAATTGAAAGCATTTGGAATTGCCAGACGTAAGCCTCATATCATGATTCCGTTTTCTAAATGTCGAACGTGATACATTCCTCATAGTGCAATTTCATGGCCGAAACAAGACCGCCATCTCTGCGCAGACGACTGCAAGACCCACACCCGTCATCACAATCAGCGGCAAAATATTCCAATACGCAAACGTCGTTTGTTTCACGTAAATCCCTTTCTGTTCCAAAATCTGCTTCCACAACAATCCCGCAAGACTCGCGCTGAACGTAAAGCTCACAGCACCAATATTGCTCGCTACCGCCAAAGCGATCGCAGCCGCGCGGTTGCTATGATCTGGGAAATCCGCCGCACGCACAACTTTGGTGAGCAAAATCGTAGCGCCGATATTTGTCCCGGAGACATTGCATAATATTACTCCAAGAATCCCGATTAACCATATGGTAGGATAGACCTGGCGATTGGACGCGCGGACGAGCCAGTTGGCGAAGATCTCTATCCAGCCTTGGTGTGCTAGCGCTTCGATGAGAATAAATTGAGAGAAGGCGAATGGGACGAGTGCAAACGGGAGGCGAGGGAGAGCTGTGAAAAAGGTGGGGAAATGAACTGTGAGTTCGTGCAACTTCTTGGAGTAGGCGCTGTGCAGTCGTTTTGAAAGAGAGGGCTTTTCCAAGTTCGGTGGGAGCAGCCGAGTCGGAGAATTTATGTAGGTTTCTGTGGTGTTTCCTGTATTGGAGCGTGAATTTGCGCGGGTTTGGATAGGGGATGTTGACAGAACGTCTCCAAATGTAGGATTATGGCTATTTCGCTCAATTGGAGTATCCTCTTTGTTGAGAAAGTCGGATGATTTTCTGGGGATGGTGTGCTGCCGTAATTGGTTCATGATAATCTCTTCCTGAGCAGCCGACAAGTCCTCGTCCGATTTTTTGCGCCTAAACTTTTGTTTATTGATATATCTGTAGTGATCCCATGCAATGTCGTAGAGGAATTTGGAGACTGCGAATGGAAGGCTGATTTTCCACACGTCGATGTGGAAGAAGCTAACAGCGATGATGACAACCAGACATGTTCCAAGGATTAAACTCCCAACCCATGCGCCAATTGGGTCTAGGAGGACAGATCGGACGTCTAAGTCCCCGGAAACATTGAGATGCCTGGGAATGTATTTGGATTTACGAAATTGGATCCCAAGTGTGATTAGGCAAGTTAAACTGCAGGCGAGGAATGGGAGAATAGTGTAGGCTGTGAAAGCCGCATTATTAACGCGAAACCCTTCGCAAATAACAACGTTGGTGGGATTTCCTACGAATAATACCATACTTGCAGTATTTGCTGCCGCAAATTCAGACATGAGCCATGAGATAGGATTCAGCTTGAGCAAAAAACAAAGTCAATAGGGATTGAGAATAAAAAACGCTGACTCTAACCTCGGCAACTTTAGTGTAATACACCAGGAAAGCGGTACCAGATAAAATTATAGGGTCATTTCCAAGGAGAACGCTGAGGGCCGTTAACATGATGTAGAAGTAGAAAAACAATTTCCAGCCATTCGAACCGCCCTTGTTGCTGACCCAGAAAGCAGCTGCTTGTAAAACGCCAGTGATATCGAGCGTGATCGCCATATAAGCCAAAGAGAAAAACAAAATGAGAATATTGTAAGGCTTGACTCCATCAGTACCACTAAGAAATCAAGGTTCGCGAGGAAGTCACCAAAACATTAGAATCGACGCTCACACGATACCGTCACGAATCTACAAATCGGAATCGTCACTTTAAGCATGTATAACATGGAAACGACGCTCACAACACTAGGTCCAAGACATTGCGCAGCCCAAAGGATAGCGATGGCGATTATCGGTGCGGTTGTAAGATTGATATATATTCGCTTCCGGCCTAGATAAGGCAAGAGCGCCAGGAACGAAAACGGGTAGATAACGCAGACGATGGAGAAGATGAATAGCACAAGAGTGGCTACGGATGACCCAGAAACCATTTGGAGCTACCTTCATGGGTCTCTTCGAGGTGGGGACAACTTCGACTGTAAGCCACTCCGACCAGGAGTATATCAGGAACTACGGAATCGCATAATTCGCGGAAACTTCGGAGATCGTACACCACTTACAACACTGCAGGATAACACCACACCAAGTCGACTGCAACAATCGATGAGGATCAACAGTTCAATCAAGCAACTTCCAAATCCTCACGAGCACAAAAATACGAAGCGGGAGATTAAGTGGGTGCCATTTGACCTTCATATAAGTATTGCATGGCGTAAAACGTGTTTCCAAAAGGAACCCTTGGCTGTGCAATACTCCGTCAGCTGAGAAAGAATGACAGATTATAAAAGCGCCGCACAGGGGGACGCATGCACGTGGGTGGGTGAGTAATGGCAATGATCAATTTCTCTTGAAAAGACACTTTAAACCGGAAACCCAATCGTCTTCTTCTACTTCAAGTCTCTTGCTGGAGGGCTTTGTGTGTAGCAACTTTGCAACTACTGCATGGTGTTTGGCGAGGTTTGGCGTTCGTAATAAATAAATATTAATTTTCCCACTCCGCGATTGTTTGGTTAAGCGCTCGCCGTCGGGGACGGTGAGGAGCCAATCACCATGAGTACCCCCAATCACCATTCCAGCACCGCCAACACCTCCGTCTTTGGGAACAGCTTCCGCATACGCAGTATATCATAATTGCGTGTACAACAGCCCAAGTAACTGAGGCTTTACTGCGTTTTGATTTGCCTTCACAGTTGGAACGACATCAACGAGGCATGTTTAGAAACCTCATAGTGCCACAGACGACCCCTGCGATGCCCTCTCGAGCGCCTGAGCCGAGCCATCGGCATGGAGCGCCTTCAGGTGAGTGTTAAATTATCAACTGCCATCGTTCTACAACTAACACGTCACCGCGGCAGGGCCTTGGCCTTTTCTTGACATTGACGATGAGATTGAGGCTGATCGATCGGAGGGCCCAGAAAGTGACTCGCCAATGTCGGCGTCCCCTTGTAATCACGTAAAGGGGACAGAAGACGATGTGTGTTGGTGCAAATACCCTCAATCTCTCTTCCCGAATTGGACGCCGAGGCAGCAGAAGAAAAGCAAGATTGCCAAGGTGGTGGAGAAATCTACAGGGCTGTGTACTGTCCATTGTGTGGATGTGCAACAGGATGGGATCTTCGTTCCCGCAGGGGTCTACGAGGTCAAGGAGTCAAACGTTGATGAATATTGGGGGGCTATTTTGCGAGGGGTATGTCCTTGGCCTTGCAGCATCTATCTTAGTGCTAATCGAATGTAGCGTCCCGAAGGTGTACGATGTCGAGCATTATTCGTCGACCACCTCAACGGGCCCGTGTTACAGATGCTCGGCACGAGATACAACATTGAGCCTTTCTACTTCTCTTCTTCACTCGGTTGGATACCCTCTCGATATCAGTCAAACACCGTTTCTGGAGTTGGCGACCGTTCGTCCTTCACTTCACTGTCCGCTCTTAGCGCTGATGGCGTCGGCTAGATATCACCATTACACTGACATTTGCAAGAACGATGCGTAACCCAACCACGGCCCCGCCAAGTCCCAACTCAAGTATCCGTTCCGGTAGCACCACTGACAAGCTCGCACACGAGCCGTCAGCCATGATGATTGATACACATGCGCCACTGCCGCTGCAGTCCAATGACATACTCATTGTTCCCGACCTTCTCGCTCTGCACATGGTCCGATCTGAGCAAGAGAACACCATCATCTCCTATCACCCTGGCCACGACCATCGAACAACCACTGCTGAGGCCCTTCACCGTCGTTTCGCGTTGACTGGGCGCTCGGTATATTGGAGCTCGATGTTCAAAGAGACGAATGACCCTACCTTGCTCTTGCTGAGCCTGATGTGGTATCCTTTGTATTGTTGGGACGAAGTTTTCGAAACTTTATACTCCCACATCTGCTTTCTGGTGAGTCTCTCGCGATTCTTCACAATCACTCCCGGTTAACAGGATTGCAGGAATCCCAAGTCTTAATAACGAATGACACGAACCTCACCCACGAACTTCATGCAATACGAGCACATCTGCTACACTACCAAGCTTTGCTCGACGATTTCCGCAAGACTATTACGTTTATTGAGCAAACTCCCTTCCCGGGTTTAAATGATCCGGTTCAATACCCTCGACAAAGCAGAGAGACATCACAGCAACTTTTGAAGACGGAATCTGCAAATTTGCTGCGAGAAATCCAGCGGTTGCAGGACAGCAAGCAGCTACAAGAACGGCGGTTGAAGAATGTCATGAACCTTGTATGTCCCTTCTTTTTTACTCCTTCAACGTTCGCCCATGCTAACGAAGCACAGGCCTTCAGCATGGTCAATCTTGAAGATAGCAGATACACGCAGAAACTAACGGAAGCGTCTGTCCGAGATAGCGCTGGTGTGTTTTGCTTTGTTCTCCTCCGTCTCCCGCTCATCCATCATGATAATCAGCCATGAAACAAATTGCCTATCTCACCATGTTCTTCTTACCAGCCACATTCGTTGCTGTGAGTTGATTGTTCCCTCTACACACCAAAAGGTCTAACAATAGTCCAGGGGATATTCGGGATGAACGTCGGAGAAATCAACCCAGGGACCAAGGGCACTCTACTCCACTTCTTCGCGGCTGTGATTCCGTTGACGCTCATAACAATCTGGTTGATTGTCGCCTACCAGATCCAGGCTACCACTCCTCGATTCAAGTTTGATGGCGATGAGGATGAGGGCGCCGAGGCTGAAGGCTCGGAAAAGCGCTATGGGCTGTATGATGGCACTACCCCGCCCAGAACACTCAGTTGGTTGACGAGGTTGTCCTGGCCTGTTGTGTTGGTCTCTTCTCTGTTCGAGAAAAAGGATCGGAAGAAGAAGGGGGCGAAACTTGGGAATCGGTATAGTATCTCTGGGTCTTAAGCTGGTCGATCTTGGGTGGACTCTGGGTGGATGTTGCTGTGTATATAGCACCGTTTGGGCAAATCTTCACGTCTGCTAACTTATGTGGATAGATTTTATTTTTTATGTGTGACAATGCTGCAAAGTGATGGGTGTGACAGAGAGCACTCCCCCTCTTCCTCTACTTGCATAATTGCTCTCGAATCTCTGAATTCAAACCGTGTATTGACCGTGTGTTTCCTTTGGACAGCATGCCCAACCCCCGTCTGTTGTTCTCGAGTTGAGAGAAGTACGCCAGTTGGCCCAAATTGCCCTTCCTAAGTGATTTTTTTTCGATGGTCACGAAATCTGGAGCTCACGGAATGCGTTCCACAGATAGGTAAAGTTACTATGAGTTCTTGACTTATGGCAACTCATTTACATCTCCCAATTGGAGATAAGTGAACTGCCCTGGCGGAGATAGCATTAGTTCTAAAAATAACCCATACGCACCGTTTTCAACAACTTTTTCACGCGCACATGTCGGGGCTATGAAGAGCGCCAGACCATTTTGACGCTCGTGCCAACGACAACAAGACAAAATTTCCCACTCCGGCGACTCGAGGCGAACTTCCCTCATTCGCACCAATTGGCGATTTGGACGTCAACCACGTATGCCGCCCCCTTTCTGCTTGCAGGCCGGTTTCTAAATTACGCAGCCTTCAAGCTAGTATTTGCGTGAACGACGCTGAAATGCCTTCTCGACCCCGACATAGACATGCAACACCTTCAGGTAACTGTTTCCCTCAAATCGTAAATTGCGACTTCTAACCCTTTAACCTGGTAGGGCCTTGGCCTTTTCTCGACGTGGGCGATGAGATAGATCCCGAGCAATTAAATGATCCCGACAGTCACATCCCCATTCTTTCCTCCCCTTGCATTCACGAGAAATTCGAACAAGACGACGTGTGCTGGTGTAAATACCCTCAGGCTCTATTCCCGAACTGGACGCTGAGCCAGCAGAAAAAAAGCAAGATTGTCAAGGTCATAGAAAAGACCAATGGAACATGCACCATAAATTACGTTGATGTGTTGAAAGATGGCACTTTCGTCTCTAGACCATCTCGGGACATCGAGGAGGCCACTGTAGATGCGTATTGGGGGGTTATACGGCGAAGGGTAGGTTTTGGTTTTTGACCGCGTATGTATTACTAATTATGTGCAGCGTTCCGAAGATGTGCGATGCCGGGCGCTGTTCGTCGACCATCTCAGCGGGCCCGTGTTACAGATGCTTGGCACGAGGTACAACATTGAGCCTTTCTACTTCTCTTCTTCACTTGGTTGGATACCTGCTCGATATCAGTCAAACATTGTTGATGAAGTTGGCGATCGTGCGTGTTTCCTCATCTCATTGCCAACCTACAGCACTTGACTCGCCTTCATGCAGACATCAGCGTCACGCTGACGTTCATACGGCCTGTGAAAGACCAAGACGCGCCAAGTTCCCGTCAGAGCATCCGCTCTGGTAGCAGCACAAGTGAGCGCGAAAAGCCAATGATTGACACACAAGCGCCCCTCCCATTGTATTCGAAAGAACTGCTACTCGTTCCCGATCTCCTCGCTTTGCACATGGTCCGATCCAACCAAGGCAATACCATCATTTCTTATCACCCTAGCCATGACCATCGGGCGACCACCGCCCAAGAATTGCACGAGCGCTTTACGTTAACGGGCCGTTCAGTCTATTGGAGCACAATGTTCCAGCAGACGGACGAACCTACTTTGTTGTTCCTGAGCCTCCTGTGGTATGCCTTGTATTGCTGGGACGAAGCCTTTGAGGCGTTGTATTCGCACATCGGCTTCTTGGTGAGATTCATCCCCTTCTCGCAGTTTTACACGATCTGATCGCAAGACTGTTAGGAATCCCAAGTAATCATTACCAATGAGATGGATCTGACCCTCGAACTTCATGAAATACGTGCACATCTGCTGTACTACGAATCTCTTCTCCACGACTTCCGCAAAACCGTTACATTTGTGCAGCATGTTTCTCATCCCGGATTGGACGATCCCGCTCGCTACCCTCCAGATCTCAAAGAAACGTCGCAGCGACTTTTGGAGACAGAATGCGAGAACCTGCTGCGAGAAATTGACCGGTTAGAAGACAGCAAGGCACAACAGGAATGGCGGTTAAGGAACGTTATGAACTTGGTTTGTTCTTACTTCTACCTCGCATCACTTGCTTTGCTAACGCCAATGTAGGCCTTCAGCATGGTGAACATAGAAGATAGCAAATCAACACAGTCACTCACTCTTACCGGTATCAGAGATAGTGCTGGTATGTGCTGTCTTTTGTGTAGTTAGTTGATTCACTCAGTCATCACGATGAACCAGCTGTTCGACAAATCCATTACCTCTTCATGATCTTCCTGCCCGGGGCCTTTGTTGCTGTGAGCTTTACTCGGTCTGCCCTACAAGACTGATCTAATAATGACTTAGGAGGCGTTCAAGATGAACATTACGCAAATTACCGGCAAGCCTAACAACCCCAATTTGCATGACTACGTCGTGACAGCCATCCCCTTGACGGCCTTGACGATCTGGTTGATCATTGCATACCAATTCCAGGTCAAGATCCCCAGAGTCAACCTCCGCACGCGGAACAATGAGAATGAGGCGAGATCGGAACTTGTGGATAGGCGAGATATCGTCGACGACCGCGCAGGTCCCGGGGAAGTCAGTGTGTGGTTGAAGCTCTGCTGGCCTGTATTGGTGGTCTGGTATATGTGGGAAAAGTGCAAGCTCTGGAGGGGTCAGAACCGGAGAAGATAGTACGGATTCCAGAGGAGCTTCTTATGGTTTTACAGCTCTATGTCGTCGGTCGAATCATCTTGTATACGCTTTGTGTAACTTCAAGAGTGTGCCACCTTGTATGTACATCCAGCTCTTCGAAAGTTTGGACACGGAGATAATGTAGAGACTCGAGGGAGTGTCGAGCTTGCAGAGCTAAGGGATCATGCCATTTAAATAATTGCGATGGTTGTGTAGTAACCAGGTAGTAACTGTTTTGCGTTGAAGAATCATTAACTTGGTTGTACATTGTCCCATGCCCATCTACAGCACTAGTAATACAAGTTGAATAGTTTCATCATTTTTACCTTGAAAAACAGAAGGGTTAACGTCTAAGAGGCATCGAATTGGAAAAATGCGCACCCGAATGTTTCCCCAGGTGGGAGGGTACGAAGTGGTGCACTTGTCCAGTCTAGGGTTTGCTTATAAACCTGGTTTCCCCACCACTGTTGTATAGTACTTCGTCCGATTGTGCCATTGAGAGGATATTGCAAGCTGTTATGGATTAAGATCAAAGCAACGCGGAGACAGTTGCAACCATACCAAAAAAACACAAGGATAAGACCAACGGCTGTCCCAGCGTCAAGCGCAGCCGATAGTACGTCTGAGGAGAGGTGTGAGCAAGTTGTGCGCACTCGAAAGAGACCCGGAGCTTACAATTATATTTTGCCCAGTACGAAAAGTATTTTCGCCGAATAACATATTGAAAAGAGAACCCTACGACAGCCCAGGGCACGTAGTTGACAGCAGTGGCTGGGGGTATCTGACCTACGCCTGAAAAGATGAGGCTAGAGACGGCAAGATACGTCTGTCAGTAACAAAATGTTAGAAGACATTATCGCGAGGTTGCTTACGGGAAACTATAATGGACGTTGAGTATGACTGTGAGATATGCGAGCAAGGACGTACTTAAGATAGTTTAAAATTGTGTTTGGATATCTCCGGGAGACCAACCATAAAACGAGCGGGCACGCGGCGCCGATGAGGAAGAAGAACGTCACAGCTAGTGCCACCGCTGTGAATGATTGTGACAGTAGATCATCAAGAAGCTTACAGCTGTAATCGAATCAGATCCACAATTCTTAGACGTTCAAAAGACGAGACACTCACTGATAGATTTGATGCCTGCCAAACTGTATTGCAGGGCCGATTACTCCCCACTAAGATTTGGCGATTAAAACCAATGTAAATGAGTAGAAATCTCCGAACGCACGATGATAGAGGCGGCCCCGAAGACGCGTGTCGACGCGCAGGTGAAACTAGGGCAGATCATGTCTATCAGGGTTGGTCATGAGTAATGAGGTTACGTTCACATACCCATCCTTCTGGTCTGGATCGCACAAGTCCCTAGAGATGTTCGTATTGATTCGCAATCATGACACTAGGTAACACTGAAAGATCGTACTGTATATTTGTGAACATCCTATATTCGCGAATCAGGGATGATAGCTCTCAAGAAACGAGTGAACAATACACACCAAGACTGGACGCCAAGCTGAACGGTACCAGCTATGATGGTCGCTACAATCTGTCATGGACCTCAATAACCAGCTTTATCTCCATCAGCAAGGTGGACCTACTTGACACCAGAACATTGGTCGTGGGGGTACCTGTGGGACAGACATCAATATCGTCAAAAACACACGGGGAAGGAGAATAATACCTTCATATAACTACATCAAGGCAATGTCAAACTCGAACACGCCAATGGACGGCTTTGGACTTACTGCCCAAGTTTGAAGTCAGCCGTGAATTGCAGTGCTGAAGCAACCTTTGAGCACAAGTAAACGAAGTATGCTGAGGTGGTAGTGTACCTTGTGCCATCGTGATATAACCGTAAGTCTAGATAAAATTGAGCGGGACGAACGCAGGAGTAGCGGAGAGTGATCACCTTGAATCTATGAAAGTTCGACGATGAGATGAGCCACCTATGTCAAGGTGGGTGGTATCGGGTACGAGTAACGTACATCATATTTGCAGTCGGGTTCCCAGGCATCATGAAGCCGGCGATGAGCTCTGTGATGACACTAAAAAACGGTGTTGTGGTGAATTTCAAGCAAAGAAATTGAGTGGCATATTCACTTCAGTCCAACTTGGCGATTCGTGATCGCCTGAATCATCCCTGTTTGGTTAAATCAGGATCCGACCAGCGCTGAGCCCAGTCACATACCGATGGGTATCACGTAAAAAGTAGCTGTGCGAGAAGGGCATCAGTGTCACCTATGGGACACGGAGGAATGAAACCGGATGCTTACCGATGAGAAGGGCGATTAACAGCGCCCATATTGGCATTTGTGTTGGCCAGACCTTGATACAGATGCACGCGAAAACAAAAGTGATAACTGGGAGTATCTGGTTCAAGAATAGCTCGAACAGTTCTGGAAGGCCTACTCACCGAAAATACAAGCATAATACCAGTCAGGCACTAGATCCAAAAGAAAGCTGTAAGCGTTTGGTTGGTCTTTGAGAGAGACCCGAGTAGGTCGTGGCGCAGACCTTGCGGGTATTCTGACATGAGTTGAGCATGAACATCTGGTTGTTCGCGCATTGGCCTGCGGAATTGCAGCCGAATAGGCTTCCAGAAATAGATGATAGCTGCGCCTGCGTTGGTGAGGGTTTCTAATTCCGGCATCAACACAACATACCATGTGTGATAGTTGCTAAACGGAGAAAATCAGTAGTGTGATGCACAGAAGACAGTGCCCATAAACTCACATGTAATCGACGAGAAAGTAAGGCCGTATGCCACGACGAAGGTGGTGCTGCATCCAGCATCAGCGGAAACGCACTCTTGACCTGGAGGGAATGACGTACGATAGATATAGCGGGCTGTATTCATGGTAAGCCTCCTTGTTCAGCGTAGCAACATCGGGATTGAGAATTCTCGAAACATTGTAGTTGTGACCCGTGTTATCATATGTGTTCAGCGATGATATTCTGCCTCGAAACGATCAGCGCCTCAGCGTCAAACAATCATCAACCAGGAACGTACGGCATGTACTGGCTATGCCACACATTCAAGTACTGTGGCCCCCAAATCAAATAAGTTGTTGATCAAGAGGAAAGATTCCGCAGCGCGACCCACATATAGCACTGGTGTCAAAAACCCTGGAAAAGTGATCGTCAGCTCCCGCAGGCGATCCGACTTGGTAAGCTTACAATAGAAGAAGAAGAACCCAATCATAACGTTAGCTTCGGCCCACCCTTGAAGGAAGAAAAGCTAAATTTGTCGGGCGGCTGAAATGGAATTGTGAAAACGCACAAGGAGTAGCCAACCTGGATATGAATCATAACGGAAAGGCTTGGTCAAGGTAGCCAAGCCCATGAAGATTAGGACGCACGGACTGCCAATGAATGCGATTTGATTCCAATCGAAAGTGAGGACAGAGAAACCCAGTCCACTGTGGTATCTATAATTGGCAATAAGAAGTTAGACATATGGCATTGGGAGGGCGAACAGGGCTGACCCAAAAATTTGGTTGATTTTCTGGTTGACTTATTAGGCGTGAGATCTAGGACATTCCAGAGATACGTACGATGTTATCTGGGGCTGCCCAGCATACCTGCAAGTGAAAATCATGAGGTACTTCGTAGAGCAGGGTGCTGGGAGAGGTTTTTACCCAGCTGAAGACACTGTAGGGGAGGAATCCATCTTTGATGAACGTCTCATCTTGAAAAGCCAACAACATACATACCTCAACGCCTGGAAGAAATATCCGGGAATGAAATCTAGGTGAGAAGCGTTCAGATTCCGACACATAGCGGAAGAGGTCAATAACTCACACCACAGTACAGCAGCGCCAAAGGCGTAGATAAAGTATCGCTCTCTGCTGATCCCGTCGTGCTGGCCGATCCCGACGTATGTCTGCGAATGCAATGTGTTGAAGAGCGCACATGAGACGAGGGTATTCGGCCAGACTGAAGTCCCGATAATGCATCAGAGAAGGTCTGTCAATCCAAGGAAATGATACGTTACTCATTGATGGCGGTGCGACGAGAAAGCGGCGCGCAATGCCTCCGATAGAGAACCCGATCAACTGTGACGACATAACAAGAAGCCATTTATCTGTAGCAGTATTGATATTCTCGGACCGGAGGGTAGAGCGCGGGCGACTGACATGAAAAATTCCACGATTGCCCATAGTAAACTCGCTGAACGGCGATGATATCTGTTGCGTAAGCTGAGTTTGCGCTGACGCTTGCCATAATAGTTACAAGTACCTGGGAATCCCAAATCAATCCGTTCGCAGTCGTAGAGAAGTGGAGGCAACTTACATGTTCTTTGATCGTGAAGGGTCCAGGATTCAATTCTATGCCGAAAATCTTGGCCTGTGGGCAGACGCGGACCCATAGCCGGCCTAGAGGAAAAACCAAAAGTTGGGCTACGAGCTTTTGTCGTAAAAGTCAGCAAAGTAATCGGATACAGTGTGTAAACTCACCCCTCCAATGGCCACGGACGGGAAGCGAAGATGGAAAAATTGATTCATGCCCGAGAGAACAATTGCCCAACAGATACCGAGTACCCAAGCACGAAAGGTAGAAGCCGGCATTGTCGGGTCGTCAAAGTTAGCCACCGCCGACCGTACTTCAGGATATGGAGAGTCATCTGCTGTTGAAGAAAACGTCAGTTGGCGACTTCGGCCGGAACCAAGGCGCGAACCAAGTGTGACCGATGCACTGTCATAATTGGGGTCGAATAGGCTGTATATCGCACTTCCGCGCTCAGAAAGAGTGCGTGAGTCCAGCCCTTCTAGTTGAGAATCGAAGGGCGTTTGGTTTTCTGTTGATAAAGTCATGAAGATCGCGTCAGACGACATATGTGGGGCAGAAAAAGAGCGCGCACCCAAGGACTTCTCGGCATCTCCGAGATTATAGTCCACAATGTCAGTCTCCTCTTTGGCAGCAGCTGCACTCATCTCATCCCTGCTCTCGCCGTTACCGAACGTACCCGGAGGAAAGACCTGCAACGGTACACCCTCCAGCGCCGTGAACGCTGGTTTATAAAGATGAGGTGGAAGTGCGTGGGCGCGAGGTAGAAGTCTTTCTTGCTAAAAGGACAGCAAAAAAATGCAGAAAAATCAGGTAGGTGGTTTGAAGAGAAAAGATTTTGAGGGGTTCTTGGCGCGATAAGGTTCGTTAAATGCGAGTCGGAGATTGCGTGTCGCAGGAGATGTTGTTGAGGGTCTTTCAGGCAGCCGTTTGTGTGTGAATTTGAAGGAGAGAAACGAGGAATCGCGGCGATACTAGGCTCACAACTAAATGGTGCCTTGGCAGAGCTGACGACGGAACATTTGAAGTTGTGCACAGCAAAGTCACGTGGCATTTGTTCCTTTCAACTGGGCGCACGCAGATATCGGAATCTCCGCCAGAACGTGTTATATCAACTATTCCTAGCCGATGTGAGCTATCTATAACCGACACGAGACCCACGCTACCACACGAGGAATTATCACTGTTATCTGGGACTACGTACTTCAACATAACCCTAACCAATACCTGGTCGAAGAATCGAAGATCATCAGTGTCCTATTTTTACTATGACGAGCATTCGACACCTGACCTCGCTACCCCTGCACCGAAAATCAGGGCGAGTAGAGCTTGTTTTCCAGACCGGAACGGCACAGAATTTGGTACTGAGGGTTGCAAAGATTGATGTGTCTTTACGACGATCTCAAGATCTTGTGCACTTATCGCTTCACTGACGAACTGAACGTAACTCAGAGCCAGACGTTTTGGGCGGCACTATTGCGCGTAGCACTGTCATGATGCGCTTCGACCTCTGACGACTCGGAGTGAGGGGCACAAGGTACGTCTGTATTTTTGACCAATGAAATTCTGATCATACGGAGCTCAAAGGCGTACAGCAAAAGCCTACCTTTCAACAAATGATCTCTCTGAATCCTTGTAAGCAACATGACATCTCACAACGGACACGGGTTTTTTGACATACGGGTACGGATGTGGCGCCTGTGGCCATTTATTCCCATCTAGTAGCATCTAGTTCAATGGACGAAAGTCAGTGTCACGTTCTCATGTTAAACACAACCATGGTCACGGAGAATGCAGCACCCACAACTCGTACGAATCCGACAACCTGTCATAGTCTCGACCACGCAGATAACGCTTCAAACCTTCGAAGACAATAGAACTACCTTTGAGGCGCCGCCGAAATGAAATATCAAGACAAACAAATGGACTTGCTGACGCGATATGTCATGTCTCTGCGAAACTTACACTCCCACGTGCGATGCAGAAAAGGTCGCCGCCTGAGCAATGACAACGCCAAGAGGAGCCAAGAGGTCGCTCCAAGTCTTATAGTGCAAAATCATTCAATGTTCATCTCTCAACTCAATCTTCACGAACACGTCTACCCGACTCGGAACAGCGTGTGAGGACTTCTTTCAAGCGTTGGCAAGGAACACGACTGCATAAAGCTCGAAGGTTTCAAACATAATCCAGGCACAGGCCTGGACAGGCACGTTCATCCACAAAAAATAAGCTGGGAGCGCAGCCCCGAGTCCGCTATCAACCGTTCTTGGTTACTCACATACGATATCGATCTAGATACCATGATAAACGGACGAACTCTCATAGGTCGGTTCTGTGGTCCTAGGTTTTCTGCGTGCCCTTCTAAATTGAGCAGCAGAGTTTGACCCAGTGTTGGCCAAACCAGTGGATATCCACGTGGTTCACACATATCCACGAAAACGTGGGTAACCATGCCCATGTGTGGGCATGGTTTTGGCCGTTTATGGAAATGAGTGATGGGAAGGTCGAAATATCAAGCAGATAGGTAGAATAGCAGAGGATACAGTAGAAGTTCTCATAATGCATAACGCCGGGAAGGGCCAATTTCCGATGCATTATTAGATTTATGCCAGTGTAGATAGGTGTAACAAAACGTGACAGTGACATATCGTGTGACTCTAGTGTGACTCTCTGCTGCTGAACCACTCGTTCAGCGACGTCTGCCTCGCCTTCGCTGTCTCCACCCTCCTCAACTGGATTCGAAACTGCCTCAGACTTCGAGAGAGGTCTAGGCAGGTCTCGGAGTCTCCATATTTAAGGGAGAGGCGTTCCACTTTCTCACATAAACTCCTTAACTCGCCTATTCCAATATCCTCCTCCTGTTCATCCTCCTCCTCGTCATCAGACTCGATCTCCTCAATCTCACCCCTCTTAAGTGCCATCTCGTGGTTAACCTGGTCAACAATTTCGTCCTCGCCACCTGTCAACAACGACTTCGGGCTGACGTGGTTTGTATGGCGCGTGCTCAGTGCGGGGCTTCCGTTTCCGCTCGGATGTGTTGCGATCAACAGGCATGTGAAGAAGTCTATGGCTGGGGAAATGAAGCGGCGCGTTTGAGAACAATAACCTCCCATTCCTCCTTACTCGACACGTAATGACAGCGAAATTTCTAGCAAAATATTGATTAGATAGCACTCCAGTGTGGTCTCCCTGAGATAGAGGACTTGTCTCGAATTTTCTAGAAAGTGATCACTTAGATTATTGTCAATGTTGCCTAGATACCACCAAAATATTCTATCCCATAGTGCATATTTGCTCTCAAAATGTTATGCATTATGTGATATGCGAAACCCAAGACTAACCAACGCGGGAAGAGCACAAATGTGATGCTTAATGAGAATTATGCATGCGTAGATCATGCACTATGAGAACTTCTACTGTACATATTACAAATGGCGAGTAGCAGTTCTGACGACTGCCCAGCATGTATATTTAGCGATTGAGACTCTTTTCGGCGTTGAGACGGGCCAGAATGTATGCTGGAAAGAAGAGATGTGTTGTTGGATCACAAACAGGATTTCGGACGCTGTGCCCCATTTAGTGGTCCAATTCATTTTTGAGGACCCGTCGATTTTCTTGTAGATTCTAACAATCCAATTTGCATCCTGATAGACCCCGTAGTTCTTGTACAATATGTGGAAAGTCATAGAATTGTCATATACTGAATACTGTCCCAGAAACATTTCCTGTTGGCTTTGACTATGCACAAGGTTTTCGGGCTCGTCGAACTGATTCGGACTATGCTAAAATTTAAGCAAAAAGGTCGTGTGTTGGGGGAGAAACAAAAAGAAAGTATTTGGCGGCGCAAACACCTTAAAACTTTCCGTTTTTCCAAAAAAGGATTGCTATCTCACATGATCCCAGTGATCTGAGTGTATCGCCGATATTGCCGACCAGCGCCGAGGGTGGGAAAACCATGCCCACGTTCATGGGATGTGGCATAACCAGTGGATTCCCACGAAAACATGGATATGGCCTACATGGCAAGCATGGTCACGGCCAACACTGGTTTGACCTCAACAGCGAAGGTCTTTTTTTGACTGGTTGCGAGGGTTGCTTTGACACTGACAGGCGTCGAAACGAGGTTCGAGCTCAAAAAGTTTCAAGGAGTCGTGAAGTTATGAAAATTAGGAACATCACGCACATAATATCAGCGCTCTTGCTGAATGGCGCTGAGCGTCAACGGTCAACGTGAGTCAGGCTCAGCTTGCAGTATTTTTTGAAGATTCGATCATCCATTGGGTGACTTCCCGTAACACAAATTCGCGAGATTTAAATAAATCGACGAGATCTAGGGTCTTTTGCCGGGATGCCGAGTCTTGTAAGGGTTCGACTTTGATGGAGGCCCTGGTTGGCACCCAGTTATAAACCTTAATCTATTCAGAGGGTACAGACCCCTCGAATAGATTTCAAACGCTGGAATCAACCCTGCCATCATGACACCTTTCCTTCCTGGGTACGTTTTCTTCCCACCTAGCTTAGTCAGCTCTACCTCATCCCTCTCTACTCTCCTACGGCTGAGGGCAGTCTGCTCTCTCGTTATAATTTGAAGCCATTACAGAGTTTATTAGTAGTGCTAACGTCCTCTTGTTCCAAAATTTCCTCTCCGAAGCTGTTTTTCCTTCCACAAACAATCTTCTCAGCACATAACTCACAGAACCACAGCATGTTCAGCTCAAGTTGACATTTTCTTGGCTTCATTTATTATGTGTCCTACTTTCTGGCTGATATGATTGAGCATCAACTATAATACACCCATCCATGGGCCTGTGTGTCCTCAAAACAGCTCAGATGAGAGGGAAGTAAGTTTATTCATGTCAGGTGAATAAATCTAATCAGTTGGCATTACGGTTTATTTGCTTGATTAAATCGCAAGCCAGGGTACTCATTTCAAACTCCGATAAGGGTGAGATTTACTCGTTTATGTAGATTTATGTTACGGGAAGTCACCCATTCTTCAAGTTCTAGACATGGAGTTAGCAGAGTTGCGAGTGCCGGGTCTTTCTTTTATAACCGCGATCTAGATGCCGTTACACAAGGGGAGACTCCCATAGGTCAGTCCTAGCCACGGTCCTATGTTTTCTGAGTGCCCTTGAAGTTGAATTTCAGCATTTGGCGTTAACAACCCTTATGGCGGCCTCTCCTTTGTTTCCTTTTGAACCCGACCAGTTGCCAGAGCAGACGTCGAGATGAGGCTGGAGCTCAACAAGTTATGAAAGTTTCAAGGGGCTGCAAATTCATAGACATTAGGCACGTCCCGCGCACCACATCAACACTTTTTGGACGGAGTGAGTGTCAATGTGAGTCAGGGTTAATCTATTTTTCGTAACTAAAATTTTCCGTTCTTCCCCGGGCCAGACCAGACATGAGGCGTATATGTACACCGGAAGTTAGCGCGCTTGCGGGCTAGGCAAGGACCTGTGAAAGTCATGTTAGGTGGCTGATCCCTGTGCGGACAAAAATTTGGAAATTTCCCGCAAATACATGAGGCAGAATGTAGGCAGATGTGCGGACAAAAACGGCCCAAATTTCAATGGCCTGATCCAGTCCGGACAAAAATTAGTCAACAGCGCTGAATTTCAGGGACACACTCTCCATACGCGAAGATTTGCTTTGCTGATGTTTGCCCAGTTTCTTTGCACCCTCTGTCATTCCCCCAGCACCACTAACAACAGTTCAATATTCATGAAGACCATGACATATTCAAAGTGTTGAATAATCGCCACCCAGATATCAAGAAGGCGATTATTGCGTTGGCCGTCGGTGAGGAAGGATACAGATGACGAGAATCAGTAGGTAATTAAGTATGAAGTGCTTTACATCAATTCCCTTACATTCTTACGGCCCTGGGAGCCCTGTGCAGCGAAAAAAAATGGAATACTGCCTAGTAATAGGCCTGATGTAGTGTGCGGACAAAAATTTCGAACATCTGGATTCTGTGCGGACAAAAATCACCAGATTTGGAGATTTTGGGATCAGCCATTTGACATGACTTTCACAGGTCCTGCTAGGCACAACTTGCTCAGTCTCTTTTTTTTTGAATCAAGAAATCATGAGAGGTCCTACGGTTCTACAGTCGCGGACAATCAAACCCCACTTATTTTTGTGCCCCCTTTTTGTGAGCGTCGACCTGAGTCCAGAGCCTTTTCAACCGGGCTAGTGATAGAAACGCTAGCACTACTATAAAGTACAGCGGCGGGTTGCGCGAAATTGAGAAAAAGACGGATATTGCGCACACTGTAAAAGCTTATTTCAGAATTTGAGATGAACGACCATAACGTCCTACTCGTGATGGCTCAAGCTCGGAGAATGGATCTATAGGGCATGTCAATAAAGTATTTTGGTAATGGGCGATCGCATCCTGGCACCGGATATATATCGCGGAAGCAAGGCTACTGCATAAAGCAGAACCTGGACCATCCTTAGAGTCAGATCCGATGGCTTCACGATAATATTGAATATTTTGATCCAGATCTATGATGTCCTTCGGATTGGATTGTGTATACATTCAGAAAGGATGTTGGCGAGGGTAACGAGAATCTCAACGTGGGCGTTTTGATCAGATTTATCTGAGAGTTTTCAATGCTTCCTGACTGTGACGAACCGCCTCATCCAAGTCGTCGGCAATGATTGGGCCCTACTTCGCAAAGTCTCCAAAGAGCCTTCGTCAGGTTTCAAAGGAGCGCGACGACTCAGAGCGGCCCTGTCCCACTGGCAGTACGTCAACTTTCCCAGCAACATCGTTTATATCTTCCGAGTAATGGTAGTGACCGTCGTATGCTTGAGCGAGGCTGTAGAGACACAAAAGAAGAGATCGACGACCAGTGCATGTCCGCCACGCCGTAAGAGTGACTCTGGAAATGATCATACTGCCAGTTTTTTTGATCTTCTGAATGATGAAGAATTTGGGCCAGTTGAAAAATATTCGCTCGCATCCCGCCGCTTTACTATGAATGAAATGGTAATTTGTTAGGTAGACGAACTGATGCCAGACACCGAGAGGATGGGGTTAATCCGAGCAGAATGTGCTCGTCCAAACGAACGAATTCCTGACTGCGAGTGTTCCGAATCCAGGTTCCACCCCGTCGATAACAAGTCCAGACCTCGTGAGCAACGCAAAGGGCCACACACCCATTCTTGCTTGGTGAGCCACAGGTATGGTGAACTGGCTCTCGGGATGGCCTAGGCTTCGCCGGATAATGATAGTGTCACTCCTCAACGCAAAGTCGATGTTGATTACAAGCTAGACTGGACTCCTGGCATTGAGCAAAAACGGTCAAAGGCCATATCAAGTTGCTGCCTCGACTCTAACCATGATAGCGTAGGCTATGAAACCGAGGAAACGTGCATGGAAATCCCTCGCTTCGTGGAAGTTGTTCTGAATTGACATTATTGGTCCCGTGGATCGTGAGTAAAAATATAAGAGTGACTCTGAACGTTCGTCCATCCTTGTCATCCTGACTCCAACCTCCCCCACAAAATGGTTTAAATTCCCCGGCTTTACCATGTATTCCCTCTAACCCACCAATTGACAAGACGTATACACACATCAAACAATGATCGTTCGAATACACAACAACGCCCTCCAATCCAAGTTCAAACTCTTATACTGTAACACATAAAAAAAATTTTACAAAAATGTTCGGTGAATCCGAGTCCGAAAGCCCCCGCGTCCCAAGCCCATGGGACTCCCTCATCTCCCTTCCCCCTTCTCCAAAGCCATCTTCATGGGGCACCTCGACGCGCCCACACACACCCTCCCCACTCTCCTCCGACCTCCCCTCCCCCTCTCTCCCAATCCCGCGCCTAGTCCCCGAATCAGACGACGGCAACGTCGAATACAAACTCCAACTTCTCTCTCCCTCCCCCGCCCGCTTCGCCCGCCTCGTCACGCAACTCAAATGGCGGCTACTCGAAGGCGGCGGTCAAGCCTACTACGAACTAGGCGTATCCGATTCCGGGGACTTGATTGGACTGCCTAGGGAGGACCTTGAAAGGAGCTTGGAGACGCTTGAGATGATGGCGGGTGAGATTGGCGCGAGTGTGGTTGTTGTTAAGGAGATTGAGGTCCCGGTTGGGATGGTGGAGTTGGTGGCGAGAAGGGAGGGGAAGAGGAGGGGGAAGGGCAAGGTGGAGGATGAGGATACGGATACGGGGAGTTCGACGGTGCAGACCGAGACGGAGACTGAGACTGAGTCGCCTTCTGATACGGATGGCGATGATCTTTCGGCCACTGTTGTCTTGGAGCGCGACGCTCTATTCGCAATGGACTTTGAATCGGATTTGGACGAGCCTACCTCCCAACCTCGGTATGCAATCGACCTAGAGATCGCTTCGGTATTCAAGCCCAGGCCTGTACGTACCGGAGTCCACAGCCATCTACACATCGCTGGTAATGCTGGGGGGAAGAATAAGAAGGTGAAGAAGCCGAAGCATTTGATGTCGTTTAATGGGGACGAGGGGAGTGTGAATGGGGATGGGAATGGGGACGCGATGGAGCGCAACAAGGCTCATAATCGAAGACAAGCAAGGGACAGGAAGAGGGAGGAGAAGAGGAGGGCGTTGACTGCGTTTGCGGCACAGAGCGTCGCCACTGGTCCTGCCGCCGCCGTTGACTTGGACTCGTCTACCATCGTACACGGTCTGGAGCAGATGCACGTCACCATTGAGGAGCCCGCTACCTTGACCGTTCCTTCTGACGACACCACTCTCGAGGTCTCCTCTATCATCTCATCCATCGACATCTCATTAGAAATACAAGAAGACGAAGATGCGGAGGACGACGACGACGTCTTCGCCCCACCAACAACCACCACCTCCTTCTCCTCCTTCTCCACCTTCCCCGCCACCCCAGGCGGCGAATCGTTCTTGAACGTCCCAGCCCTCTCCAGCGTCTTTCCCACCACCTCTTCTGGGGCTGGCTCCGCGACGAACGGGGGAAAGGCGGAGAACGTGAAGGGTGAGACGAGGTTGATCGTTGAGGCGCTTGTGGTTAGGAAGATGTCGTTGGAGGAGGCCTTTTTGGATTTTGGTGGGTTTTCGTTGACTTAGTGTGTGCTTGTAGTGGGGGGAGGAAGGGGTTTTGGTTAGAGTGAAGTAGAGTGCGCTGTTTTTTGTTCTTGTTTTATTCCAAATAATTTATCAAGTTGTCGTGTTACTTTTACTGAGGAGTTGATTTGTAGAGGCATTCATTCGCAATCTGACTTTGTATTTGGAGTGTGAGGGTAATTTAATCGCGTTGGCGTTCAATCCACACGTACGCGTAAGGCCTTGAAGCTCAGGAAGTCACATCTTCACCCATTTCAAGTTACTTTTACATTGCAAATTTGCTAAGTACAAATCAATCGTCCTTCTGTCCGTCGCGCATTCGTTCAATGATAAACCAAGCACGAAGCTCAATCATAAAACACCAAAGCCCGAAGCTCAATCGACTCTCGGGGCGGAGCGTCCTTTGGCGTAGTAGGGTCTTCGAAACCCGTATGCGGAGTGAACACCGCTACACTCCCATCTTGCACCGAATCAAAACTGCCAACACTTTCATCACCTTCCACTCCAAAAAAAAAACAGCAACCGACTTACCACTTTATCAAAACCAACTCATCCGGCGTCATCCCTCTAAAATACGTCCACCTATGACCAGGATTAAACTTAACACCCAACGTCTCGCCCTCTCTATCGGGGTACACCAACGTCACAGGCACCACGTCCTTCTCCTTATCCACGCTCCTATAATCGCATAAACCCAAAGGCCAGTCTAAAGCAGGGTGGGAGATGGGTCGCCAGAGGTTTATGATTTGGAACCGGCGTTTAAGGAGGTCTGCGGCGTCTGAAGGGGGGAGGTGTCGGTGGACGCGGGCGATGGAGGCGGAGGTTGTTTGGTCGACGTGGACTTGGGAGACGGGTTGGCGTTTGGAGGGGGTGTCGTCTGTTTCGCCGGGGCGGCGGCGGCGGATGGCTGTGTGTGTGTTAGCTTGGGAATATGGGACGGGGGGGGGAGGAAAGACGTACTGTGATCGAAAAGAACGACACGACTAGCCCCAGTCAGCTCTTTGATCAACTCGATACTCTCAGGATAATATTCCTTGACTATCTCCTCGTCCCCGTTATCGAACGTCGTATACTTTGCAGGGCGGTTGAAAAGCTGAAAACCAGCCGTGTCAAGTGTCGCTTCTTCCCCTTCGCCTTCTTTACCTCTCAAGTTCTCGATGACGACGGCGTAATCGGCGCGGGTATAGTTCGCCTCCCGTTCGCCTGTGAGTGGGTCGGCGTTGATGTGCTGGTATGCTTTTTCGCCGGTGGGTGGTGGGACGAAGTAGGATAGGGTTGCGAGTGTTGAAGTTGCGTGTGTTAGCGTCATTGTTGCTGATGTATTGTAGCCTTGGGATTTGGGGTAGGGGAAAGAGAAGGAGCAGGGAATTTATACATTTTTTTGCATCTAGGTGGGATGAATAATCAGTGGCACAGAAGCGGGGTTGCGTGCTCAGCTTACTAAAATTATTAGTGGTACGGCTCCTGAGTTTGTGATCTTCTGTAAGCGACTCAGAATTCGCCATTCTGATCTACAGCGTCAATTCTGGATTTTTCAGAGCTCCGGTTTTCAGAAATTTCAGAGCTCCGGTCTGTTGTTGGTTCTGAGATGCGTTTCATCACGTGCGTGATTGAATTGGCGGGGGAGCGTGAAGTAGACCGGTGACCGTCTGTATATGAAGCGTGAAGCGCCTCTTGTCTCAAAACGGAAAGGGGCGGGAACGAACTAACATGGAACTCCCGCGTTCCTACCGTCCCCAGCGCACCCCAATCATCAATGTTCTTCAACGGAAGCAGAAACCGACGTGCTCTTTCTGCCTTCGACCACGCGAGCAGTCGTTGGGCAGCCATACCTTTGCGCGACCCAACCACCCAAAGGCCTTCTTCTCGCCCAACAGACACCCACGCCCTCGGTAAGCAGACACTCTCCCTCACATCTTGGAATATCCAGGCCTCCCTTTCAAGGCACGTCACACGCTCCGAGCTCATTCTCGACCGCATTTTGAAAGGACCCAAATCTCCAAGAAGTCACGTCAAGCATCCGGCATGTTCTCCTCAGCAACCCCAGAATACGCTCGAGCTTCCTAACGACGGACGCTGAGGACGACACGTCTTTCAAGGGGGGCGTACCATTCGCGACTATGACGTTGCTCTCCAACAAACGTTTCGGCTCTCCGTTGCTCGCTGGCGAGGAAAGTTCAAAGATGGTGCTCGACAGCGTCTTCCGCACGGAGTTGTCTAGCAGGTACAACAGGGACGCGCTCTGCGTGAATATCGTCTCCCCATCTTTGCCCCGCTCAATCTTCCGTCTCCTCAACGTCCACCTCGGCCCCTTCGACTCACAGGCCAGGCGTATGGATCAGATGGACGTACTAGCTCGGCTCCTGCGCGAGCCCGGATGCAGCGGCGCTATCATCGCAGGTGACTTCAACGCAGTTTACCCGAGGGATCATCAGCTCATCGATGACCATGAGCTGGTTGATGCGTGGGTTGCGCTGCATGGGCGTGATGGAGGAGATACTTGGGGACATTGGGGTGTCCCTGTTGAGATTGAGGATGAATTTGAACCGGGGAGGTTGGATAAGGTTGTTATGTTGGGCATGAAGCCTGAGGAAATTGAAGTCCTACAGCCTGGGCGCGTGGGCGCGTGTACGCATTGGAGCGAGCACTGCGGGTTGCGCTGCACCTTCACCATTTAGTACTGTAAGCAACTCGCTTTTTCGACGCGCATATGCTCTATCTGCAATCGCCGTATCTCTTGAAACGTGCTGTAAGCAGATACTATGCGCTTTAAGCTGCATCAAGGAGATACGCGACTACGGAGGTCGGAAACGTCATACCAGTGTGTATAGAACCTTCATAACAAGCAAGTCAGATGTGTGAAGAGGAGAAATAAACGGAGCAAGACGAGCTGAAATAATGAATCACGAATCCACGAAATGGACGCCTAGTTTATCGATGAAGGCAGTAGGTTTGATGACGAGGAAGGAGGAGAATTTGACGAACGAAAGTGGACAAGCAAGACCTGTAGATTAAAAGGGCGTTATTTGGTACATCGAGAAGACAACGTGGTAATCTTGTCCATTACACCATCTACTACCCAAATTTCAGAGGGGTTTGCCTGTTATACATTTTGTCCCGGACCCCCGTCGTTCTTGCACGGAGAAGAAGCAAAAGGAAATTTTAGTGGAATGCGCAGAGAAGGATTCGAACCTCCATCTCCAAAATCCAGGTCGGGACCACCCAGATTTTGGAGTGTTACCATTACACCATCTGCCCAAATTTCTGGCTTATCTTTGATTCATCCCGAGAAAACTGCAAGCCACCCACGGAACTCTTATTTGGAAGTGCAACGTATGGCCGGATACCGGTGTTTGTGGGCTAAAAAAAAAAAAAAAGAAAAAGAAAAAAGAAAAAGGGAAGAGGAGGAAGGGAGGACCCAAACCTCACAATATCAACACGGCGTGCAACAACACAAGCAAGCAACCTGCAGAACACCTCACTGAGCTGCGGCAGTGTGTCCTGGGGTGTTTGCGAGCTGTAGGAAAGCAGGGTAAATCGGGATACTGGATACTTGCTTAGTTTTGTGAGATCATCAGGGTTTGTTTCCTCCTTTTAGATTTATTTCGTGTTATATAAGCTGGATACTCGCTTAGATTACACAAAGGTACAGTCAGATCTCTGATAAGATAGAACAAGCATTAGACCCGTTCCTCCCTATGTTCAATCCCTGCACATTTTTTTTGTAAAATTGAAGGACAGTTCAAAAAAAAATGATCATTGAGAAGGTATTCTACACATAGAAACACAGTAACAAATAACTAAATGACTATGATGAAAGCAGGGCACGTCGCCGATGTGCCCCCTGCTTCTCATGAGAAAAGGTGGGGGAGAGAAACCATCTTGCTCACCTGGATTAATGTGGACGGTGACGACGACATGCATCGTCACAGTCTGGATGTCGTGGCATGTCCATTGACGTGCCAGGCCATCTTCATCGTCCCTCGTCATCGTGTCGTCGTCATGGTTCTTTTGTGGTAGGTTGTGAGGTTGACGTGGACCCTGCTTGTTCGACAATGGTCATGTCTCGTCGTGTGCTGTTGTTCTGCCATGGTTGTTGCATGGTCGTGTTGTCGCGTCGTGGTGGTCGGTTGTTGCTGGGGAGGGGTGACGTGGCCATGGCCACCGTTGTTTGTCTGGTGGTGGTGGCATGTTAGGTGGGTGGCAGAGAAGAACTGGGATGGCAGGGGACTCACTACGATGACGACAACGACAATTAGCATCTGGTTTGTGTCGGATGGTTGACGTGACCCGTGCATCTGGTACTAAAATAAGGGGGAGGGCAGTACCATACATACCTTTTGGCGGCATGGTGCCTTGAAAGAAGGACCCTCATGTCGTGAAGGTGTTCCAGAGACCAGCTAAGAGTAGATTAGTAAAGATAATAAAAATATTTATATAACGAACCTACCATTTTTCCGAAGTCAACCGAAACAGGTGATGAAGCCTGTTTCCGGGGTCATCCTCTTGGTCTCTTTGCCGCCGAGCTGCATTTTCACCCAACGACGCCCTCAGCCTCTGCTTATACCCAGTTCTGGGAGGCTGTCCGAGTCTTAGACGGGGGCTGACTTGATCTTCACGCTCCCTTTTGAGTGACCGCGTTTACGTTCCGCAAGAGGCGGTGTTGTTGTTGAGGTTGGAGGGTCTGTAGTGGGTGCGTATAAAGCAGTTGATGAGCTGGCGGATGAGACAGCCACCTCGCGAGGTCCGAGACAGGCTGTTTGAGGTGTATGTGAAGCAGCCGATGGGGTGGTGGCTGAAAGAGGGCTTGGGTAAGCCATAGAGGGTGTGTGGGAAGCGGAAGGTGAGCCAGGGGGTACGGCTTTCGCTGCTGAAAGCATGCGATGGTCGGCAGGGGAGGTTGGAATAGTCAGCGGAACCACAGATGTGGGAGTTCCACGATAATCTATAAGTTGATTGAAGGAACGTGAGTATGTATCATGAATAGATCACAAAGATAACTTACGCACCTGAGGGGTTTCCAAAGCCATTCTACATGGGTGGCGTGAATTCTTGTACAAACCGTGATCTGCTCAGATGTTGGTTGCATCAGCAAGGGCACGAGGAAAGAAATATCTGGGGACTTACATGCCTTGTGAGTTCCCGGATGCTCTCAAACAAGTTGGAGAATGTTTCCCCAGTTTTTCAGCGGGTACCGATCCAGAATCTGAGCCCCCTCGTGTTGCCGTCGTGGTTGAGCGAGACGATAGTCATTGCCAACGAACTCTGAGCAGTGATCAGGTGATGATTACATAATTTATTTTTCAGACTCAGTATCCGTATCCGCTATTCTCCACAGACATCGTCATCCAGCCCAACGTATCGCTGTTTGATCACTGTCCATATCATCGGTGAGCGTTCAAATCCCTTCCTGCGGATAATCCCCCTGGCTAGTCTCAGTCAGTGTTCAATTACTCTTCGGCACGTGTTCCTCCTTGACACTCTTGTACATGGTACAAAGAAGGTTTCAACGCCATCTTTGACGATCGCCTTCTTCGACTTGTCCTTGTAGTTGATCTCGCCATCTTCGTGGCAAAGCGACGCTGCGCAGCACGGCTAGAGACGTTGAGTTTAGTACCGTGACTATTGACTCCGTGGGCTAGGGCACCACCTCTTTGACGATGACTTCGTTGAGGGACATGCCCTCCGAGTCCGGCATATTCAGCTTCTATGTATGCCACTGAGCGTATCTATTCACGAGAAATGAGGAGGAGCAACGATAATCTGGGCTTACAACTTGTGTCGAATGATGGAAACAACACTTCTCGTGGCAGAATGTGAGCCCACATTTGCCTTCGAGGTTCACAGTAAAGTGGTTGTCCGTGCGTCGCGGATACTGAACTTGTTGATGCTGGGGCCAGACTTGACAATAACTGCGATATCATAGTGTTCAGCTGTAGACTCCGTAACGCAAGGGAAAAAACTGACCATTGTGGGACGAATCTGCCTCACCTGAATGTAAAGGCCGCCAACGACTTTCTCCTCGTCGGCGGCCTCTACATTTTCTC